TGAAGTCCACTAGCTATCTTATTTTATTCTTCCTCTTTTTAGCGTCTTTTTTTTTTTTTTTTTTTTTTTTTTTTTTTTTTTTTAGCTAAGCTTGGGTCTCTTTTTTTTTTTTTTTTTGCTTTCTTTTTTAAACCCGTTTTTTTTTTTTTTTTTTTTTTTTTTTTTTTTTTCTTGTATTTCTAGCTAAGCCTGGGTCTCCATATTGCATTTGTTTTGACATCATTTTGAAAGCCGTTTTTTTTTTTTTTTTGTTTTTGTTTTTCGTTTGACTACGTGCTCCACTCGAATGAAAATGTCCCCCCGGCCATTTGCTTTCTGTATCATTAAAAAATCGGCTATATTGGAAATACATAACCTGGGAATTGACGTTTCGACCCACTTTGCACGGACGCATAGTTAAACGCCCCATCACCAGAAGAACCGTGCAACAGCGTAACTCTACCTGCAGGTAGACGTATGCGCCCAGTTCACGAACCAGGGTGGGACGACATGCTATGGGGTATCGTACAGCGCATATATCTATGTGCGCATGTAGCTGTGGATCGCGCGAAATATCTTATCGTATGTTTTCCTATCAAGTCCTATATACATAGGGTTTTTATCTTTTGTTCATTTGTGTGGCCCATGAATAGGTAGAAACGCACATATGGGCCATACCTAGTTTATCGAATATTTCACGGGATACTTTGGCCTATGCATATCCGACATTTCTTCCCGGATTTCCGTGACAGCGGTGTATGGGTTCTGGGATAGAAGACAGGCATGGTTCTACATGGCCCCCTCGTAGCTTGGGATCGACAGATATCTTGAATTCACGGGATGTTGCGCAAAAGAAATATGGCACAATACTTGGTAGGTTCACATTTATAATAATGACACAGGAAGAAGGCAGCTAAACTCCGTAGTCTATGGGTTCAGTATGTATAGCGAAAAAATACAGCCTATCCCACCGAAGAGATGCGAATCAAGTCCAGTATGCCTGGTGCAATCAGACGGCCACCCCGCGGGCACAGTTTATGGATTATACTTCCGCGTCTGGCGGGACAACGAGCCGTTCCGTGAAATTATGAGAGGGCATCATTATTGGAGACCCTGAGGGCGACTGGTACGGGGAACGTGTGGGGACGAAAATGTCCGCGCAAGGGGGCCTTGGAAGACTCAAGTTTGGGTTTTTTTATTCAAACCAGCAGGCCACCGAGGGCGTGCTCTCGAAGGAAGTTCTGGTCATAGTGCAGTATAATAATAAAGCGGAGCCTCGAACTATATGCTGCTATAGTGGTAGGCACTGCGCAGAGGGCGTGTGGGCTTTGAGGCTCGAGAATGGAATTCTGAATGTGCGATGCATGCTCGTCTGTAGCGGGTCTTTTCTAGGCCACCTCGCCTATTCCTTGGCTAGAGGCCTAGATTGATGAACGATGGATCTTTTTGAGGGCTTACATAATTAGTTTCATGCAGAGCATCGTTGGCGAGCAGGCATCAAGGAGTGTTGCGCCAGTGGAAATGGCAGAAGCCAGAGCAAAAGAATATGCGAGTCAGAGCCCCACCGCCTCCACAGACACCTCGACTCCCTGTACATATGTAAGTAATGCACATACTAGTATATCTGGCCACAGCGGGGCGGGGAGTGAGAAAAAAGAAATCAATGTGATGCATCTCTATCGCAACAGAGATAAATGATAATCGCTCAGTATCTTTGCGGCCTGAGAAATTTGACGAGGGCCATGCACCATGCAGAGTTTCCTGCATATGCATTCAATGCATGACAGACGCACGAAATGGTTACACTCGCATGTCTTTGGCAGGATTTTGTGCCGTGGTTCAAACCAGTCAGGGGGGGACAGAGGATCCGTATTTCAATGGCATGGGGTAAGTGGGGACGGGAGCTCTGGGAGAGGTATTTGCACGCACACCTCAGGCCATGATTTATAACTGTAGGCTGTCCTTGGCCGCGCGATTTGAACCGGACTGGCAGGCTGAGAGAAAATGCTCCGCACTTCGGCTCCCATCCAAGCAGCGCGGCAGGTCGAGGCGGGGTGAGACGACGACAGACGGCAGGGCGTCCCGACAGAGAGAACAGTCAAAATCAGGACAGGATTGTGGGCGATGGCCATAAACCCTAAAGCGTGCGCCTGTGCGGTAGGCAGGCCTCGCGTTTGAGGTCTGAGCGGACGGGAGATTCGAGATGATAACGGCGGGTAAGTAGACCAGCCAAGAGTAGAAAGAAAAGGTGAAGTAAAGAGCAAACAGAAAGGATGATAATGCAGAAGTCACTACATATCGTGATGGCTCAGACCCCCCCAAAAAAAAACAAAAAAAAAAAAAAAAAAACCGTAAAAAGCACCTCCCAAATCCCATAGTATGCATAACTTTTCAGCCCGGAAACATTTCGGCACTTTTGTTTTCCCCTTTTGTTTTCCCCGGACCCAATACTCAACATGTGAAATTTCAATCATTAGGTGCCCAAAATGAGAGGCTTCAGGCGCGTGGCGCATCGATCTGTTTTGCGAATCTTGGTACGACTCTCACTTTAACATACAATCGCTCATATCCGGGAGTACCCGTTGTCCGTTATGTCACTGGAGTTCGAAAGCAGGCTCATGTGTATGTAGGAAGAACATCGAATGAGCGGACGCGGAGCAAGCATGCCAAACCCCGTGGACGTGCCTTGGTACAGCCGGCATTACGATACGGGTTAGGACGAAGACTTTTTCTTGCAGTCACCTGTCGATGCAATAAGCGGTTGGTATTTGCAGTCTAAAAAACTGTCTGGGTGTCAAAAAAAAACGCAAACTGAACAGGCAATAAACTGCAAGATATATCTCATGACAAGAGATCCATAAGGTCGAGTAGGAGGTCGTTGAAGGGGAGGAGGTCTAGTACCACAGTCATCAGGCCGTGTTTCCCTGATTTAATAGAGATGTCGGTCAGCATGAATGTCGGAGTATAGAAGAGGCGGTCTGGTTTATTTATCAAAAAAGAAAATAAAAAATAAAAAATAAAAAAAAGGCTATATTGATCATCCTACCGCGCCACAACGTTTGGAGAGCATCTTTGCTGTGTCTGTTGATATTTAAGACACCATGCCTTCACAAGAAAGCGAACATGGCCACACTTGTATTCGACTTCAGTGTAATCGCACATGTTGTGTGTGAGAATCCGTGGTTAAAAGGACAAGAATATTGTAACTCAAATTTTTGGGGCGAGCTGGGGCCTGGGGACATTTTTGTAGCAAACGGAACCAGGTTGTTTTCAGGTTCTAGCGGGCGGATGAGTATGGAGCAATTGCGGAGTAATCACTCATTCGCCATGCGAGGTGTGCTGTTTTACCTCCGCAGAAATGGTTTTACGGGAGATGCTCCCGCCCATCAGTATATCTTGCCTAGGATGGGAGCTATTCCATGCTATTCAGGTCATAAGTGGGAAAAGAGAGTTAGGGCAGAACGGGCCAAGTTGACCTAGTTAACAGGGTGCTCTTGCATCCCCGACGTACGACCTAGACCGAGGCGCCCATTTCCGGCATTCACGGCAGGATGTTGAGATGAAGCCAGACCGGATTGGCTAGCAGGGCTGAGCCAAATGGCGCACGTCCAGACAAATAAAAATTGCGTACGGAGTAATATGCTGCTTGACTGGGATAACTAGTATCGTTCGGGCACGACCAAGTCACAGTAGTGGAACTCTTGATCAACGGGGATCGTGGCAATTAAAAGTAAGTTTCGCCTTAGTCCCCGGAGGCCCCTGAGCCAATGGTGGTCTGCCCGGGAAATATTCTCTAGTCCCGGTTAAAAGCTGCCAGTCCAGTTGTATGTGCTATGTGCATTTGGAATACTTATTAATGGGGAGGGGGATAGGTAGTGAATGTCTAAAAAAGGAGTGATGCACTTTGGGTGGTTTGAAACTCATGGCAGCTTTGCTCCAGGCCAGATGCAAACGCCTTGGAGCCCGGTTTCTCAGCTGTCGGGTGCGGCCAATGCACGCTTCATTTGTATTTTTAGGCAGTGCCAGATCACCCATTTATCACGAGACAAATCATGGCAAGACGTGCCAAGGGTGTCCCGGTGAGCAAGTCGGGTAACACCATGACTTACCATTGATTCTCAGATATAGACACTTCATAGAACACTGTAATTGAAAGACGTATGGCTGAAATGGGGAGGATGATCACTAAGGCATGGAATGTTGTCGTGGGCTGGTCTCGTGCCGCAGGAAGTCTTGTCGGGGATTTGTAACTAATCTTGAAGCCGGAAAGTAGCATAGAACGGGGTTAGCTAGACACCCGAATATTACCTTGTGCCAAAATATGGGCCGAAGAATGCATCAATTTCATACTGCACACACAATCCGGGCGCGTTGCAGTGTCCAAGGGTCGACACGTCCGCGCGCTCAACGGCACATAAGAATTGAAGCGAATCGCCAGCTATGATATCCTCCCTGCCAAGGAGCGTCAAGTTGTGTCGATTTCTTCACTCTCCAGCCAGCCCTTTGACATGTTGACGGCTTTCGACCATTGCCGGTACATCCTCTCGCTTTCGCTCTTCGTCACCTGTGGCTTGAACACCGTCCTACTTGACTTGTTCAGGCCTTTCAACTCATCAAGATCCCGCCACATGCCAACCGCAAGGCCGGCTGCGATTGCCGCCCCCAACGCAGTGATCTCGTGCATTGGGGATCGTTTGACAGGGATACGTATTATATTCGCTTGGGACTGAGTTTTTAAATGTTAGTGTCGGCAGTGACTGACCAGGGGTTAGCCATAGGCACCTGCATGCAAACATCAGAGTTACTCAATCCACCATCGACTGCCAAGTCAGAAAGCTGTTGACCGCTGTCACGCTCCATTGCCTCGAGAATGGCCCGGGTTTGAAAACAAACTGCCTCCAATGTTGCCCGAGCTATATGTCCCTTTTGGGTGTGGTGCGTTATTCCGACTGTTGAAGACGTCAGCGATGTTATAAGTGATAATAAGAGTTTAATAGATATTTGTGTCAAATCCTGGAGACACGTACAGATTGTTCCTTTTGCATCATCAACCCAATATGGGGCAAAGAGTCCACTGAATGCTGTAACAAAAATACAGCCGCCATTATCCGGCACTGTGGCTGCTTCTTCGTCTACCTTTCTCGAGTCATGGAAGAAGCCCAGATTGTTCATCAAAAAAGATACACCGCTGCCAGCAACGGCGATACTTCCTTCCAGAGCATAGACAGGCTTCCGTCCAGCACCCAATTGAAAGGCAACTGTTGCTAAAAGCCCATGTTTTGAAATCACAGGCGTCTCACCAACATTGTATAACAGAAAACAGCCTGTTCCATATGTATTCTTCGCTGTGCCTTGTTTTAAGGCTCCATGGCCTAACAGTGAGGCCGATTGATCACCCATGCAACTGGTGATTCGAAGTCCTTGAAGGGGACCGACTGCCATTTGTCCAAAAGCAGATTCGTCAGAAGACGGCACAATCTTAGGGAGTTTCAGCTTAGACCTGTCAATGTCAAAAAACCCCGTCAATATATCATCATATTGAAGGGTGTGAAGATTGGTGAACATAGTTCTTGAGGCATTGGTGACATCAGTGACAAAAATGTTTTTCTTCGTGCCACCATTGAGATTATACAACAGCCAAGTGTCAATGGTACCAAACGCAAGTCTCCCTTCATCATATGCTTCCTTAACTCTTGGAATATTTCGAAGCAGCCAGACAAGTTTCACCGAAGAGGGGTACGTGGATAAAGGCAGCCCGCATTTTTCTTGAAGTTGATCGGCACCGTCCTTTGATTTTAGTTCCCGGACCAGTGATGTTGTACGAGTGTCAGGCCATGCGATAGCATTATAGAGAGGTTCTCCAGTCTCCCAGTCCCACACAACAGTTGTCTCGCGCTGATTTGTAATACCCAAAGCGCAGATATGGGAAATGGAGTGGCCAAGGTTGACGAAGGTCTTCGTAGCCTGCTCTATACACGATTCCACGGATGACACAATTTCTGTGGGATCTTGTTCATGCCATCTGCAATATTATGACATGGTCAGCCACTGTGTGTAATTTGGGCTGGGTTTCCCTTCGTCCTTACCCTGGGTACTCGTGCAAACGACGCAGTTCCGCCTGGTACGAAGCAACCAAGCCTCCATTGCCATCAAAGATGATAAACCGCGTGCTGGTTGTCCCTTGATCAATTGCCCCCACAAACCGGTGTAAGTGATGGCGGCTGTCTGACTGCAATTCCTTCGGGTTCGAGCATAGCTGGGTAACTTTCGATGAGTTTCTATCGTGGGATACCCTGTTCAGCTCTGATATAGCCGCCGCTTCAGTCATTCTTGACCCACCCATCGCCCTACCATCGTTGAAACCGATACTACGTGCTGCAGTGCAGTGATTGTGGCTTGGTATAGCGACGAGTAATGACGGTCTTCAGGAAACCTAGGGCCGAAACCGGTTTTCCTGGGCCTGAGGTAGTTATAGTAGAATTTAGGCCCAAAGGTTTTGGGGGAAGAGCAGGGGAGAAGATACCGGAATAGAAAGAAAAGGGCAGGAGGATGATTGAGAGACTGTGTGTGATAGTGGCAGTCGGTAGGCTAAGATTATTATATGTACATCCCAGTCGGGAACGTCTCCGGATGCCACCCAGCATCATGTGCGCCAGGACGGTGGGGAAAATTGCCGGACTGCGGGGCTTCACCGGCGTCGATGCGCCAGACTAAGTGATGTGGATGTCAGTTAAAGAGGCCGGTGGCTGCATTCCTGTTTCTGGCGTGCGTTGAGCCAAAGAATGGGCGTAGATGCCGGCTGTGCAGGCACCAGCCCACCGAACCGCTGTTGACGGGCCCCATAGCCCCATCTAGAGACACATCAATCCATAATCAATAGCCACCCAACTCCGCAGCCAATGCTTTTCCCGGCGCACCGGCGCCGCCGGAATTACCAGGCCTCAGAGGCTTGCTGATTTGTCCGAACTACTCTTCGTGCAGACTACAGGTTTTGCGCCTGCATTAGTTGCGCAACGGTGTCAGGGTCTCGGGGCGTTACTTTACGGATCTCAAAGCCGCTGACACTTGAGGGCATTTCCAGATTTATGAAATTTGCTTCATCTGAAGCTATCTGGCCCATTCGCCCAGGTCCAGAACAACCTTCTGTGACAACGAGCAAAGGCCCCCGGACAAGCTTCGTATCAGGGCACAGGTACGAAGGACCCGGCTTGTCTGCATATTCTAACCTTATTGCTAGTTACCCCAGCTTGCGTTTCTGCTGTTTTCGGCTAGGAATAATCTGGAGGTAGAGACCACTCCAGAGGGGAGACGGGCGATGCCCTATTCCTTGCCGCAGGAGGCAGAAGTTGGTTGGAGGCAGAAGTTGGTTGGCCTAAGCTTGAATTCTTGGATCAGTGGATGCAGCATGGTTGACAGCCACGTTGGCGATTCTTTTAGATACCCACTTCATTCACTGAGAAAGACTGGGCAATCTGTCCTTCCGCGACGGGTTCGTTGAAATTTTTCGGTAGTTACTTAGCTACGGAGCACACAAAAGTTCAAGAGCAAGGAATATCCAGTCACTGATTCAGCGCGTCTTGCACGGAGCATGTTCTCAGTGACTGCGAACTGAACAACGAATACGATCGAGGCCTTAGCTTTGCTGCGAGTCATCCGGGGAGATGGGCTCAGTATGCCTTACATCAGGCTAGTTTCAGAGCAGCTTAGCGACTATTTATTTTTAGATCGGCGTGGGTGGTCAGCAACTAGTTAGGTAGTTTATGCTTTGGGGGTTTTGATGGGTGTGGAGCAACAGGCATGAGCATGCATCAAAACAACAGAGCAGGAGAACAGAACACAGTATTCTTGCAGTAGTGTGCCAACGCCATCCCTTTGACCCCCAGAAGGAATCATAGCCCTATTGCCCAGATGCATCGACGGGTGCTAGTCATCCATCGGCGGACGGCGCCCCGGAAGGCTATGTTTGAAAATGGTGCCACCCAGACCAACAGTGGCACCATTTTTGGTTTCCAACACATCACCTCTAAAGAAACAAAAACTAACATATTTACATGAAATAACAAATGAAATAAATAAGTATTGTGTCGCAACTTCGAGTGATCCTGGCTATTCTACAAACATCCCAAAGGAAGATGGCCCCAGCTGCCACCACCACCACTCCAGTACTTTTCGGTTTCGTTCTTTAATACATTTACTCCTCCTGCGTTTCTGCAGCCTCTTTAGCAAGCTCAGCCTCACTCTTCCAGTCAATGGATTTCAATGCCTTCAATCTATCGGAAATACCATGCTTGGAAGCATAATGGGAGGCCAATTGTTCCCGTCCGACAAGACTTGCAACGATGCTGGCGCCGACCACAAAGGTGAGAATGAAGCGGTACATGTGGTACCACGGTGGAGTCCACCCCCTGACGGCCGCGCGGGCATCGTTGTAGTACAGGAAAGTGAATGCCATGAATTGGGAGATTAAAGCATATTCTGCTGGAAGAAGGAGAGTCGGCCAGGCAACAGCTGGAGCAACGACTCCATATGCGTACCGCCTGTAGCCACGCTTGCCACCGTACCCTGCCCATTCCAAACCCCAGTGGATGGCACCAAGGAAGGACAGAATCTAAGTTGATATGGTTAACATCGAATACGTGATGCGCGGCGTCTAGGGTATAATATGGCAACATACAACAGCACCATAACCAATCTGCAGTGGTTCAACCACATTCATCAGCGCCTCTGCCGTTTCACCAGAGATGAATCTACCACTGCCTGTGGTCAGAGCATTATTCATCTCCCAGGAGAGGTAGACGGTCTGAAGCGAAGTCGCCAGATATGGAACGACACCAGCCATGCCAAGGTACATGGCCTCCTTGGGGACATCCTTGAGGCTAAATGTTTCTTGGATAATTTTCTACATTTGCAACCACCATTGTTAACGATATACAACTCGATCATGCAAATATTGGCAACAATTTACCATGTCATTTCTCATGCCGGCCATCATGTCCACATCTGGGTCTTGAACGAGTTCTGTTCCAGGCTGCTTTCCGGTTGAAGCATATCGAACTAAAGCGGTGGTAACCGGCTTACGGGTAGCCAAGGCAAGAGTAGAGGGGCGAGGAAGGGGAGCTTGTCGCGCGGAAACCGTGAATTGTGACCTGAAAATGGTGCTTGTGAGAGCTGAGCGTGTTACTGAAGTATTGGCAGCAGATGGAGCCGCTCGGAAGAGTGAGCGGGCAGCGGTTGCTCGGTAAAACATGGTGGGTAGGGGATTGTGCGAGAAGTAGCCTGACCGGATGGGCTATTTGAGGGTAAAAAAAGGAGTGCTGGGTCAATTGGCCACAGCTATCCAAGGGAAAACTTTTAAGAGAGGGGAGATGGAAGGTAGGCGAACGCTGGGGCGGCGTCAGGCAGTTGGTCGTCAAGCAGACGTTGTCCGTGAATCGGTCAAAAGGTTTGACTGGCAGCTTATGTAACTAACCAACATGATTAACTAGTTATCTGCGCTAGTGGCCTCTGCAGCCAGCCTTGCCTCGGGTGTTGCAACGCAGCTCTCGGCGATAATGAGTTTGCCTCCATGTTGATCGGCTAGGGAAACCGAGAGAGCGGCTGGTCTTCCTATTGTCTGAGGAGAAAGAAGCAACGCAATAACGAAATGGTCCAAACATGTTATTGCGAGCAGAATGGCAATACTGTAAATTTTCCTTGAACTCCTCTTTCAGGGGGTGGGTTTAGATCATTGGGCAATCGCTACATTGTAGTTAAGTGCTGTGGCTCACCGTAGTTAGTGCTCCGTAGTGCCTTCTGAACTTGGCAGAGCTGAGATTTACGTCACCAAGGCAAGCTCGCCCAATTCGGGGATCATGCAACCCAGTTTGGGAAAATCAACATTTCAGCCATCAATCAGGCCTTTGTTTTCCTCACAGTCATAGGTGAAATCCTCTCTTTCTGTTGTCCTAGAACACCAACAGCATCTTTTTCTCACCTGTTCCATTCCTTTACGTGAAATTGTGTGCTCCAACAGTCGAACATGTGAGTGTTTAGGGTGGAGTTTGAATTATAGTTTCGCTGTCACCATTATGGTTTTATGCAAAAGGTGAATGATAATTTACCAATATTGGGAGCTGACTGCTTGGTTGTTAATGTAGAAGTGTTAATCAAACCCGATCTGCCTAACATTCCCCTCCATGGTTGTGCACTTGGAGTCAGAAACCCCCACATTTCCCCGGACGGCTCAATGATCAGTGCTCACGGCGCCGCCTAATCTTCCACGATGCTGGAAGGCCTTGTTGCGAACCTGTTGAACAGGTTCCTGGGCATGTATGTCAAGAACTTTGATGCAAAGCAGCTCAATGTTGGCATTTGGTCAGGCGACGTGAAGCTACGGAATCTTGAATTACGCCGCGAGGCTCTAGACCAGCTTCACCTCCCTCTCGATGTTATTGAAGGCCACCTTGGTCAACTTACACTGTCGATACCATGGTCAAACCTGAGAGGAAAGCCAGTCAAAATTGACATTGAAGATGTCTTCCTGTTGGCGGCACCCAAGGAGGACGCTAGTTACGATCCAGATGAGGAGAAGAGAAGAGAACACCAGATAAAGATGGAAAAGCTTGAAAGCGCCGAACTGCTCAAGGATCAGCGCGGGAATGGCATGAGCAAGGAAGATCAGCTAAAGAACCAGAGCTTCATGCAGAGCCTTGTCAATGCTATTGTTGACAACATACAAGTTGTCATAAAGAACGTGCACTTTCGGTATGAGGACGCGATTGCTGTTCCTGGACACCCGTTTGCCGCAGGAATTACACTCAAGGAACTTAGTGCAGTGAGTACAGACTCACAGTGGAAGCCTACTTTTATCCAGTCAACTTCCGAGACAAGCCACAAACTCGCAGTTTTAGGAGCCCTGGCAGTTTACTGGAACTCGGATGCGGAGCTGTTTAGCAAAGGATGTAGCACCGCTGACCAAGTCGATGCTGAAACTGTCTCTCATGAAGAACTGGCTGATAAATTTCGTAACGCAATTGACTCTGGGGATGGTGGCCAATATATACTGAAACCAGTCAGTGGAAAGGCTGGACTTGAGCTGGACAAAACATTAAGCGCCGAGCGACCCCGGGCGAAGGCAAGGTTGATTTTTGATGAACTCGGTTTTGTGCTCGACGATAGCCAATATCGCGATGTTTTGATGCTATTTGACCTTTTCCACTCGTTTATTCGGCACCGTGAATATAAAAGACTGCAACCTAAGTGCCGTCCAAAGGATGACCCTCGTGCTTGGTTTCAATTTGCTGGCAATGCTGTCCTTAGTAAAATCCATGAACGGAATCGGAGGTGGACGTGGGAATATGTTAAAGAACGAAGGGACGACCGCATAAAATATATCGAAATCTTCAAAAAGCAAAAGGGAAACACAGCTCTCACTCCCGAGGAAGCTGCAGATCTCAAGAAGCTGGAAGAGAAGTCATCATATGAGGATCTTCGATTCTGGCGCTCCTTAGGCCGTCATCAACTCAGAAAAGAACACGTCGTGGCTCCGAAACAACCCCAGACTCAAACATGGTCCGAATGGATTTGGGGCTCGAAAAAGGAGGCAGCTGATGATGAGAGTACAATGACAGATGAGCAACGTAAAGAGCTATATGATGCTATTGATTGGGATGAGAAGAAAGCAATCACCCAGTCTATCGACATACCTAGAGAATCTGTGAAATTTTTGGTTGAGTCTCGCCTTAGGGCCGGCAGCTTCACACTAAACAGGAATCGCAATGGTACAATTGAGGAGCTTTTGAGACTGGTATTTGATAATTTTAGTGCAAAGGCACTCCAGAGACCGGATTCGTTTCTTGCTCAGATTGATCTTGGAGGCCTGCGGTTGTTTGATAGCACGACGCCTGGCACACTTTTCCCTCAGATCGTTTGTGTGAAGGATGCCGTTTCTCAAAGCGACAGCGATAATTCGGAGTTGGAATTTTCAGAATCCGACTCAGAGGTCGATAGTGATGTGACGGAGACCAGCTTTTTCCATCTACAATTTGAAAACAATCCTCTAGATGGGTCAGCAGATTCGTCTCTCATCTTGAAACTTAAGAGTATTGAGGTGATCTACAATCCTGAGGTATTGGTTGAAATAGTCAGCTTTTTCCGACCTCCAGAACGACATATGGAATCTATTGGTGCACTTCTGGAAACTGCCGGTGCTACCGTCGAGGAACTTCGGCAGCAAACCCGCGCCGGGTTAGAATTTGCGCTGGAGGAGCACAAGACAATCAATGCGCAACTCGATATCCAAGCACCCGTCATCATAATCCCGGAAAGTATAAAAAATGAGAGCTCATTTTGCTTGATTTTGGATGCCGGAAATGTCTGTGTAAGCAGCGAGCTTGTCGATAAGGAGACAATGAAGATGATACAGGGGAAACATGGAGCAGAATATAGCGAAAAAGATTATGAACAGCTCCAAAGTCTGATGTACGACAGGTTTTTGCTAAAGTTGAACTCGACGCAAGTGTTGATCGGCCCCGGGATAGAAGCAACCAAAGCACAGTTGGACCCAGCCTCCGAACACAAACATTTCCATATAATTGATAGGATTAACGTGGATTTTGTCTTCGAGCTTTGCATTGTTCCCAAGTCAACGGACCTTACTAGGACACGTCTGTCTGGTCGCCTGCCAGAACTACATGCTTCAATGTCAGACGCAAAATATAGGAAGTTGATGAAGCTAATTGATATTGCAATTCCACGATTTGAGAATGATGATCAGGTGTCCAACGACGAGGTTCCTTTAAAGGGAGCCGTTGACACCCGTCCACGGTCAACCTCTGTACAGCTAAAAAATCAAGACATCACTATTGTCGAACACGACTCTGAATCGGATTCTGAGAGTAGTAGTGGCGAGTCGTCTCAAAAGCAGAAAAAGAAGCCAATCAATATTCAGCAGCGGATATTTGAATTTAATTTTACTGTCGACACGCTTAGGGGTTCACTCTATCGGTCAGACCCCAAAGATGAGAAGAATAACACCCTGCTGGTGGAACTTGTGGCCGAACATTTTCAATTGGATTATTATCTCCGTGCTTATGACATGGTTGCTGAGGTTGTTCTTAAGTCTCTTTCCGTGGATGATCATATTGAGCAAGATGCCTCTTCGGAATTCAAGAAAATTATTTCTTCAAAGGGATTTAATGCTACAGAGGGTAAAGATTTGTTCCAGCTCAAATTTATTCGAGTGAATCAGAAGTCACCTGAATTCCTGGAGGTTTACGATGGCACGGAAATGAACTTAGATCTTTCAGTCTCTACAATTAATCTCATAGTCACGAGGAGGACTCTTTTGACATTACTTGACTTTGTTCTCGTGACATTTACCAATCAAGGGCAGGATACTTCGCAACAAGTGTCAGATCAGAAGCAGCCAGAGTCAAGTGGTGAAGATAGTGCTCAAACAACTCGCAACTCAGGAAAAGTGCGCATCAAGTCCAAGCTGGAAAGCATTGCCTTAATTTTTAACGAAGATGGCGTTCGCCTGGCAACTCTCAGTCTCAATACGGCTGACGTTGGGGTATTTGTGGATGGCGATTCTCTTACCGTCACTGCTAGAATGGGGAGCCTCACGATGTTTGATGACATAAATGAGAACGGAACGAGGCTCTTAAGCATAGAGGGCGACGATTTTGCCGATTTCCGTTATCAGACATTTGATCCTCAACAACCTGACTACCCTGGTTTCAGCTCGGAGGTGATGCTTCGGTCCGGCTCAATCAAAATAAATTTTATTGAGGAACCATATCGAAGACTTCTTAACTTCCTTGTAAAGTTTGGAAAGATGCAGGCCATATTCAATGCCGCTCGTCAGGCCGCAGCGAACCAGGCTACCCAAATACAGGAAACTGCCTCTCTAATGCGATTCGACATAGTTGTCATGACACCCATCTTGGTATTTCCACGCATTACTGAAGATGGCGGCCCCAGAGACTTTATTACTGCACATTTAGGAGAGATATACGCCAAAAACAAATTTGAGCCTCTACAAGGAAACGAAATATCGGCCAATATCAACTGCATCTCTGCTGGCATTAGACACATCCGCTTGACATCTAATTTTTACTACTCGCCTGAACATTCTGAAGAGCTGCAGATGATTGAAGGGGTTGACCTAGATTTTAACATTCAATACTTAGCACATCAAGTGAATATCTCTAGACCTGATCTCAAGATTGGGGGTCAAATGTCACCCATCAACCTGAGAATATCTCAGACGCAGTTGAAGTTTCTACTTGAGCTCTCAAAAACAATCCCAGCAGCGTTAACTCCTGATAAAGATCAGCAAGAGCAGGAAGCTATTGAAGAGCTTCCCGACCTTGCTGGTGACGAGGCACAATCAGATAAGAAAATAGATGAAGCTCGACCTGACCAAAAAACGCCAGCAGGGTCTCCAGGGAATGGACAGAAGCCGGAAATTTGGACCCAGCTTGACTTGACATTCAAGGTTGATACACTTGGCCTTGAACTGATTCTTGCAAAAGAGAGCGAACCGCTTGGTTCCTTAGACAGTGCCAGTCTCTCGAAGTTTTTCCTTAGCAACACGAACGTTAAGTTACAGATGTTAAGTGACGGATCTCTGGAAAGCGAACTGATAATCTACTCATTTAATGTGCGAGACAGCCGCAGGAATGAGACTAACAAGTACCGAAAAATTATGTCATTAATCAATACTGACGTCCAACAGCAATTCATGGCTAGCATCTCCATGTCTGGTGGCACCGAACGGGCAGTCACTGCCGTGCTGACAATTGATAGTCCGCGTGTTATCTTTGCCCTGGACTATCTTTTTTCTCTGCAGTCATTTATTTCTGCAGCATTTACGTCTGAAGAGCCTGCAGGGGAATTGTCGGAGTTATCTGACGACGATATTCATGGTGCAGCTTTTTATGAGCCCGCAAAAGAATCTAACGATATATCTTCGAGCTCTCCGGCTATTAAAGATGTGGACAGCTCGATGCCAATTTCTTTCCGGCTTAACATCGTGGATGCTCAAGCAATTTTGGTGGCCGACCCAAGCATTGTCAACACTGAGGCTATTGTCCTCGGTACAAAGCAAATACTATTCTCTCAGCAAAATGCGTCCACTCTACAGATCTCTAAGGTCGGAATGTTCCTCTGCCGAATGGACAAGTTTGAGTCGAGTAGACTTAGAATTTTGGATGACTTCACTATAGAGATGTCTATGGATAGTCAGTCTAAAGGACGAGGCTGTATGATGACGATGATCGATGTGCATATTGATCCCTTAATCCTTCGCTTATCTCCGCGAGACATTGTCCTTGCCCTCCAGATCGTAAATAAAGCTTCTGAAATGACGAGTCCGTCTCCACCAGCAGAAAGCAATGAAAAGAAGCAGATAGCAGAAGGCAGCTCGAACACTTCCGCTAGGAGAAGGTCAAGAGGCCAGTCTATTAGCGCTGGTCAAGTGATTTCTCGCTCCAACTCTGCACCGAGTCAAATAATGCAACAGACAGCTATAATGAAGAAGGAGGAGATGTCCATTACGATTGATGGCATGCGAGTGGTTCTTATTGGTGATCTACATATGCTTCCTCTTGTTGACTGGAGGGTAAACCCATTCAGTATGAATATTCGTGACTGGTCTGGCAACCTGAGTGCAGACACATCATTCGACACCCTTGTTAATGTTTATAATTTCTCCAAATCCGCCTGGGAGCCATTAATTGAACCCTGGCAGCTTGGTTTCCATATGTCAAAGGAAGTATCTCCGAATGTGCTGTCTGTTGAGGCCTACTCACATAAGTCCATGGAGCTCACGGTCACTTCTGCCACCATTGCATTACTATCGAAGACATTACAATCAGTATCAACGGAAGAAGACGTACTTTCGAAGCCGCGAGGTACTGATGCTCCGTACAGAATTCAGAATCATACGGGCTTTGACCTGAGAGTTTGGGCAGACTTTGGCAATAACGAGGAAGGCCACGCTGCCCTGCTCACTGATGGCGAGGAACGTCCTTGGAGATTTGAGGACCCCAATACCATGCGAGAGAGCTTGGCTCCAGAGGGCAGAATTGGCATGGTTGGTATTAAATTAGAAGGCAGTGGGTTTGACAGTATCAATCAAATCCCACTGATCCGAGAAGGAGAGACTCTATACAATCTGAAACCGAAACAAGATAAAACTTTGCACAGACTCCTTGTCGAAATTAAGCTTGGGTCAGACTATGTCAAGTATATCACCTTCAGGTCACCGCTCTTAGTCGAGAATAAGACCCAAATACCACTCGAGATTGGAGTATACAGCCCAGAAGACGGGCACCTGTTGAAGATAGAAAAGATTGCTCCTGGTGATTCTCGGCCAGCTCCCGTTGGAGCCGCCTTCATGCGATCCCTCCTCGTTCGCCCCGACCAGGGTTTTGGCTACGACTGGTCGACTGAACGGCTCTTCTGGAAAGATCTTCTAAAATTACCAACCAAGACGCTGAAATGCAACAGCGAAAATGGACAGCAAGCGCCACCGTTTTATTTCCGGATGCATGCCACTTTTGACAAGAACGATCCTATCCATAATGTCTATCCGTACATGCGCATACGGCTTTCCGCACCTCTTGAGATTCAAAACTTGCTCCCGTATGATTTTAAGTATCGTATTTATGACAGAAACACACGAAAAGATTGGACGAATTTCCTTCGAAAAGGCGGTATCAGCCCTGTTCATGTTGTTGAGTTATCGCATCTTCTACTTCTCAGCATAGACATGCAAGATACAGAATTTCGTCAGTGCGAGTTCGCTATAATCAACAGTACCCCCCATGATGACTTTGGCAGGGAAAATACACTTTCAATCCAAGACGATGCAGGAGTCGAGCTTAAGCTAAAGCTCCACTACTTTGCAATTCCAGACAGCGGCGGATCGTTTAAAGTCTCCGTCTATAGTCCATATCTAATATTAAACAGAACAGGTTTAGATATCACCCTCCAGAGCAAGAGTATGTTTCAATCCTCAAGGGCCGGGGTAGGTAGATTTATCAAGACGGATTCGTCGAGTGGAGTTAGAAAAGCCGTTCCGTACATGTATTCATACCCAACGACGGATAGCAAAAATCGATCTATTATAAAAGCTGAAGGCTCTTCGTGGAGTAAGCCTCAAAGCTTTGAGGCTATCGGGAGCACATTCGAAGTTGTCTTGCCGGCCTCGGGTTCCAAAACGGAATATCATGCTGGAATATCTGTCGAAGAAGGCGTTGGTAAATATAAGATTTCAAAGGTCGTTACAATTGCACCCAGGTTCATTCTCAACAACAAGCTAGGGGAAGATCTCATTGCTCGCGAACCAGGCTCTTCCAATGTTATTAGATTAAAATCTGGTGACTTGGTTCCCCTGCATTTCTTACGACAGAATGCCCAGAAACAGCTTTGTCTTGCTTTCCCTGATCTCAACAACCAATGGGCATCCCCTTTCAACATCTCAGATGTTGGAATCATTTATGTCAAACTCGCAAAAGAGAACCAGAGACAGCGGCTTCTAAGGATTGAGATTCTTTTGGAATCTGCGACCATCTTTTTGCACATTAGCATGGAAACCCATCATTGGCCATTTTCAATGCGCAATGAAAGCGATTGCGAATTTCTTTTCTTTCAAGCGGTATGTTCAAGTACAACACAATGCGTTTGGCTGTATATCTAATATTTTATAGAACCCAAATGTTGCAGAAGATGAGGAGGACAGAGGGAGTGGCTGGAGACCAATCCGGTATCGCCTCCCGCCAAGGAGCGTTATGCCTTACGCCTGGGACTATCCAGCTTCAAAAAATAAGACACTTGTGCTTGTTTGTCGTGGAAAAGAAAGGTACATTAAGCTGGCAGAAATTGGAAACTTGATACCAATGAGGGTTCCCCCATTGCGGGAGGACGACCAACCGAAGATAATCGATCTGCGAAACGAGGCCGAAGGGCCAACCCAGATATTGGTTTTATCTAACTATAAGCCGTCGAAAAGTATATACCGCCAACAAACACCAACAACATCACAAAATAGCTCTACGGGATTTGAGGTTAAGGACGTCAATACTGATGTTACTTTCAAGGCACAGCTCCGACTAAGTGGGATTGGTATTTCATTGATCAATAGGAAGCTGAAGGAGCTTGTATATGTCACCTTCCGTGATATAGAAATCAACTTCAGTGAATCAAAACTTTATCAAACTATCGGTACTACTATAAAGTGGATTCAGGTCGACAATCAACTTTATGGCGGGATTTTCCCGATCTTGCTCTATCCCAGTGTTGTCCCAAAAACTGGAAGGGAAATGGAGACTCACCCAATCTTCAACGCGAGAATTACTCGGGTCAAGGACGATTCGTATGGAGTCCTCTATATAAAGTACGCTTCGGTGCTGTTACAGCAGATGACACTAGAGCTTGACGAAGATTTTATTTTTGCTGTTCTTGATTTCGTAAAAGTTCCAGATTTAACTTGGTCTGATGACACCGAGACGCACTTTGGGGAAGAGTTTGGCATCCCAGAACCTAAAGGCGAAGATCAAGGGACAGGCGTATACTTTGAACTGCTGCACATACAGCCGATGCAGCTCGATCTGTCTTTTGTGCGCACGGAGCGTGTGAACGTTGAAGACCCGGTTGAATCTTCTAATCCTCTCATGTTCTTCGTTAATGTGATGACAATGTCTATTGGGAACGTCAATGACGCCCCAGTCCGACTAAACGCCTTGATTCTGGAAAATGCCAGGGTATCAATTCCAATACTCATTACCAATGTTACTAGCCACTATACTCAGGATTTCTTGAGACAAGTGCATATAGTACTGGGCTCAGCTGATTTCCTAGGTAACCCAGTTGGATTGTTCAACACAGTGAGTTCAGGAGTTGTGGATATATTCTACGAACCGTACCAAGGACTAGTAGCCGACCGACCCAACGAACTTGGCTTGGGAATAGCCAAAGGCGCAACCTCTTTCGTCAAGAAGTCTGTGTTTGGTTTGACCGATAGCCTCACCAAGTTTACTGGAAGCGTTTCCAAAGGGCTTGCCGCCGCCACCTTAGACAAAGAGTTTCAGGATCAGAGAAGAATGTCGAAGGCTCGAAATAGACCTAAGCATGCTCTTTATGGCATCACTGCTGGTGGAAGTGCGTTTGCATCTAGCATGGCGAGTGGCATTGGAGGTCTGGCTCGCCATCCACTAGAAGGGGCAGAGAGAGAAGGGTTTCAGGGTTTTATGAAGGGCGTTGCAAAGGGTGTCTGGGGTCTAGCAACAAAGCCAGCAATTGGTGCTTTTGATCTTGCTTCAAGTAAGCTCTTACCATTATTACCTTGATGATTGCAATTGAAATGCTAACATATCATCATAGATCTTGCCGAAGGTGTTCGAAATACAACCACCGTTTTTGATCCGGAGGGTTTAGACCGCGTTCGGCTTACTCGTTTCGTTGGTATGGACGGAATTGTCCGGCCATATTCGCAGCGGGAGGCGCTGGGTCAATTTTGGCTGAAGACCACCGACGACGGCAAATACTTTAACGAAGATTATATCGCGCACCTAGAATTTACTGGCAAGGATATGCTCATTCTATTGACATACAGCCGCATCATGCTCGTCCGATCGAAAAAGTTGACAACAGAGTGGGATATCAAGTTGACTGACATACAAAAAATTTCGAAAGAGAGAACAGGGATGAGCATCACCTTGAAGGGTGGCGCAAACGGTCCATTTATTCCGATACAGGAGGAAAGCTCGAGGAACTGGTTATATAAACAAATTGCAATTGGTGAGTAACAGTCGAATTTAAGCGCAGCTCTTACTCTTACTAACGTGTTGTTTTTCCAGCTGTAAATGCTTTTAATGAAAAATACAGTGCCAAAGGATAGTTAAAATACCCCCTCTGCGCAAATAATCATTTAAGTGTATATATTTTTGATTGAAGGACATTGTTTTTGAATGACTTTCCATTGACTTGATATTGCTGTATGCTCTTCCAATAAAGGTATATTCTAGAAACCAATTTGATGATTTATGTTTGAATATATTCATATAAATGGTCATCACAGCCATTCAACATTGTTAATATTATTAGGTAACCGTGTTATATGCTGGTCCAAAAGATGTGCATGATTGCTTAGCCATTGTTTAGAATTGTAGTCTAATTATATACTTCATACATAGTGACATGAACATTAATGAGGCTACTTTCCCTCTGCTCTAGCAATAAGTCCTGAACCTAAACCAATTGGCTCCCAGACGTCCTTTGACTTCTTGTTCTGCGCCCAAATAACGTCCCCCTTTAGATATACCTGCACGCCGCCTTTGCCATTTACACTTGCAGTAAGCCGGAAGAGTGGCAGGCCGCTTTGAACGTGTGCTTCGCGTAGAGGAACCATAAGTATACCCTCGTCTGCGCACCATTCTTCAACAATGTCTTTGAAAGTGGCCTCTTCCCTTGGTCTACCTTTACTGGGAGCTTTGGGGGGCGGTTCTTTTGGGATGTGATGGTGCATCCCATGTATCTCTTTTTGTAAATCTTGCTGCTCTTTATTAGCAACGGGGGCTGGGAGCTCTGTCTTGGCCTTTTCTCCAAGATCAAGAGCGAGATTCATCATTTCAAGACCTCGGTTCCATTCCTTAGCAATATCATCCAAGGCATTGAGTTCTTCGGGTATTTGTGACTTCCACCATGTGAACCACTGACCCACTTCTTCGTAATTTGGATCCGATGTGAGCCATAGATGCAATGTAGCGTGCCATTTGGGAAAGAATTCTGCACATAATAGGAGAGCCATGACGTTTGACTTAAAATATGGCTTCCACTGCAGCGCGTTTTCGAATGCGGTGAGATCTTGATCCTGCGGGTTGACCTCAAAATTTTCCCGTAGATGCCTAGCAAGTCTGGGTAGCAAATGATTTCGAAGAGCAGTATCGAATTCAGGCCCGAGCACATCCTTCCACATATCAATACCGTTCATAATACCTTTATTGAGATTCAACTTATCCAAAACACTCCGAAATTTCCGCTTTGCATCAGAAAAAATACCAGTGGGCGCTGTTGGGTCGGTGTGTTGGTCATCCAAGTATGATAACCAATCGAACAAAAACCAGGGAAAATATTCTGATGAACCATTACTTCTTTTACTCTTTCTTGGTTTCCACTCCTTCAGCGCCGTACTCAGCTTTGGGACGATTACCTGATCCAAAACACTTGAGAGTACAAATTGAGGTATTACATCTTTCCAAGCTGCAATTAGGGAGGTTGCTGGCCCTGACTCTCGTACGTCCCAATCATTCAGAAGGACTGTACGTACACGTGGGAGCCACACTGTGTATATTAGAGTTTCATACGGCGTGGTAGTCTGTCGGACAACAAACTCTTCTTCTATCTCCGGCTTTTTCGGTGCCATAATGGCTTTGAGCCGTTTAAGGTGAGTTGTAAGATAATCCGGTTGACTCAATGGTTCCCATTGCTCCATGGATTGGCGGAATAGAGGATGTATGGCGGCGACAGCAATTTCAGATAATCCAAACTCTTCAGCGGCATCTTGATATTGAGTATATGTATCTTCTAATTGCTTTGTTGTCTGCTCCCATCGGGCATCAAGGCTGTCTTCAGGATCGATACCAGTCAAGCCTTGCACAGAAGAGTTGAATAGCGACAGTCGATCAATCTTCTTCTGTACGGTATCAATCTCCTCCACGATTTGGGCCTCCTCTAGCTCGGTGTACTTCTTCCTTTCCTGGAGGCCTTTCCATTCATCGGCAAAGCCCTCTAGATCATTTCGAGCTTTGCGGGCAAGCTTGAGAGCTTCACTCTCATCTGCATTCACAAACTCAACTTGTGTCATCAACCCAGCCGTTGATGTCAATAACTTGTGCTCCGTTCCTGTCGCATCAATCAACGATTTCAATACGTTGGGTATTTCTAAGCCCACCGTATCCGCTTCGATTTCTCGCGCAGTCCGGTACCTTGGCTTGGGCGGGCCTTTCGGCGTACTCGTTCCACTGCGGCTTCCACCCTCTAATCTCCTTTTCTCTTTACGTTTCTGGCGCGCTCTTCGTTCTTCGTCCGAACTGTCTTCCAGGACTTCGCCTCTCCTTGCGGCCTCACGTTTAGCTTCGTCCCTCGCTTGCTGGGACTTTTCTTTCACGGCCCCCAAGCCAATACCCTGCGGCCTCAAAACATGTTCCACGGGATTCAGAATGCCCTGGCCAGTTGACCCGAGACCCTGACCCTCCACATAGCCCATCTTCGCCATCATCCGGGCGGCGAAGGAGTTCCCGCTGGGCTTTGGAGACGACGTATTTTGATTGCGCCATGACGGGCGAGAGGCAGGGTTCATGGCAGCAGGCGGAGACGGCGAGCGGGAGGAGGCTCGGGCAAATTTCTGGGAGCCAAAAGCAGGTCGATAGCTCTCTTCTTCGAGGGATTCGGCGTCGCCGATTTTCCGTTTGTGGCCCGCAAACGAGGGACGATATGTCGACTCCATCGTCTGCCACGACGGCCAGCTAGCATCGATCAGAAGCAACGAACAAGGCAACGTGATGAGAGAGACAGTTCATCATCGCCGCTGTCTCCGCCAAGCATCAAAAACACGGCTCTCGGAGAATCAAATATCCGCGGAAAGCTAGCCCTGCTGACTAATCAATGGAGCAGACAAAATGACGTTTAGCGTAGATCCAGTTGGGTTTATTAGTAAACACGACGTCTGCTGCTCCAGGCCGGATTCCACGGCTGTGACTCGAATTGTTGCTCTGCTCGTGTAGTATAAAGAGCGTGTTCGTTCTCCCTGTTTCAACTGTTTTTCTATTTGTATTGATCTTTCTTGTCGCTGACCCAATTGGTAGCCAACAATCGTCGTTCCCTCCACCCGACTCTGCAAAATAATTTTCCTACACAGCTCTACTTCGTACATACGAACGATGGCAGCAGCAGCTCTTCGTCCCACATTCGCCAGCAATGCTGTGCGGGCCAGTGTTTCTATAAACCGCGTCAGCATGGCCCATCTTTCCGGCATCACCAGCTCCCGGTGCTTTGCCGCCAAAGCTACTTTACCCGACCTACCCTGTACGGTCCTCTTCTCGCAAAGACACCTTGAAGCCGGCTAATATCCAATCCCCAGATGACTACAGCGCCCTCGAACCCTCCATCTCCGGTAAAATCATGGAACTCCACCACAAGAAGCACCACCAGACCTACGTAAACTCCTACAACGACGCGGTGCAGAAGCTGGCCGAGGCGCAGGAAAAGGGCGACATCCAAAGTCAGGTCACTCTCCAGCAGCTGACCAACTTCCACGGCGGCGGGCATATCAACCACTCCCTCTTCTGGGAAAACCTCGCGCCGTCGAAGAACGGAGGCGGCGAACCGCCGTCCGGCCCGCTCGCCGCCGCCATCAACAAGTCGTACGGCAACTTGGATGAGTTCAAGAAGAAGTTCAACGCGGCGCTGGCCGGAATCCAGGGCAGCGGCTGGGGATGGCTGGTCAAGGACAAGCTCACCGGCGATATTGCTATCCAAACCTACGCGGTACGTCACCCCGGCGTCTGGGGTCGTTTGCCGAAACGTTTGCTAACTCAACATGTCTTTCACAGAACCAAAATCCCGTGGCGGGCCAATTCTCTCCTCTCCTGGGAATTGATGCCTGGGAACACGCATACTAGTCAGTTCATATCACACAACGATCCCTTGTGAGCATTGAGCTAATCTTGAGTTTGCTAGTCTCCAATACGAGAACCGCAAGGCGGAGTACTTTGGTGCCGTCTGGGACGTTGTGAACTGGAAGGAAGTGGAAAAGAGATTCACCCAAATCTAAGCTATAGTATCAAAAGATAGGGTATCGAGGGACTTATACCTGCTGTGTAACTTTATTTTCTCGGGATCGGAAGTGTGCATATGAGTTGTATATATGTTTTGTGAGGGACGGATAATGGGGAAAAAATAGGACCTGATAGAAGAATGCGAGACCCCGTATCTCAGATCTGTTTCACCAGACTAAGTCTGCTTTGTCTCCTATTTTATAGAGTACCAAACCTAAACCCATTTCCCATAGTATTATGGGTTCGTTCCATTTATGAACCTAGAAATGACACGGTGCAGAAAGTACATACATGCAGGAAAATACACAAGACATCTGATAAACCCGGGACACCTCATCACCTTACTTAGCAAACAAACATCCAAATCATCTTCACATTATAACATTATTGACCCTGGAAGAAAACACACCAGTGAAGCATGGGTATATCATGCAGTTTAAAAAACGATCAGAAAACATATAGAAGAAGGTAAAACAAGACCCATTTATACATGCCGGCAAAAAAAAAAAAAAAAGAGAAAAATGAAGCAGAAGCAAAATAAGGTATTACCAGCTTGGAAGTGCATACAACGCAGAAAAGAAAACAGAGATATCAATATAGAAAGAAGGAAAGAAAGAAAAACAGGGATAAAGATACATCGTCCATCGCAGGCATAATTCGTGCTCATAGTCTACATACTATAAAAAGTAATAAAGAAAAACAAATAATCGAATTTTGCCGTTAGAATAAGCGGGAAGGTAAACAAATTTCACGCCAGCTGGCCCGACAACGGATGCTGCTGCTGCTGCTGCTGCTGCGTCTTACCCTGCGCCGCCACGCTCTCCGCCGACCTATCCGCCAGCCGATAGCCCAGCGACGAGGCCTGGCGCGCGGGCGACGACGCCGGCGATGTCGAGTCGGGCGCAAAGTCCCACGCCGAGTGGGGGCGCGTCACGGGCTGCGACACGACGCGGGCCGCGGGGTTCTTCTCGAGCGTGGTGCCGGCCTTGGGCACCTTGAGCCAGCTGAACAGGCGGCCGCCGCCGCCGCCGCCGCTGGAGCCGCGGCGGGCGTGTTTGATGCTCTCTAGGCTGTTGGCGGCGCGAAGGTCGAGCGCGTGGGCTGGGCCGGGGATCGAGTAGGTGGATAGGGGCCGTGGGGCGGGGGTTCGCGGCGTCGTGGTGGTGGTGGTGGTGGAGGAGGGTTTGGCTTTCATGCTGCTGCGGCGGCGGAAAGGTAGGTTGTTGCTGGCGGTTTTGGGCGAGGAGGAGGAGGAGGAGGCTGCGGGAGGTTTGGCGCCGACGGGGTCGGAGGCCGGTGCGTTGTGGGCTTTGGAGCGGCTGAAGAGGCGGAAGCTCAGGCCGCGGCGGGCTGGGGCTTCTTGGGCATTGGGAGCTCTGCTGGCGCCGTGTCGAGCGGGAGTGATAGGTTGTGTGGGGAGCTCTGCTTCGGGCTGGTCAGGTTCATGCGGGTTGAGCTCGAGGGCCGGGTCGTTGACTTTGCGGATCGTGGGCTTGTCGCGAGTTTGTGCTGCAGTGGTGTCATTTGCGATGGGCAAGGCGGCGTCCAGCCAATCTTGCGGGGACAGGGCGTCTGAATTCGACGAGCTTCGGTTGTGAGATAAATCCGACAAGGCGCAAATCGAGGCCCGGTTCACAGGGCGCACTTTATAGGGACTGTCGTTTTCATCGGCCCAGAGTCTGTTGCTATCACCGGCGCCAGGCTCTGCTCGGTGTAAGTGGAAGATATCCGCCGGAGGCTCAGATGCGTGACGACCACGCCCAGCGCCGGGAAAGATGCTATGAAGATGCGCATTGCCGTTCGCACCGGCGTGGTGGCGATTCCACGGATCAGGGTCATCGTTCAGCGCAGTATCGCCAGTATTAGGACGAGTCGTCATGTTGCCAGCCGATGTAGGCCGAGCAAGAGACTCATCACTAGTGAGGGAGGTAAAAGCGCCGCCTCGGCCGTATCTGCTTCGTTCCTCGATAATGCTTGGGTTCGACCGGTTTCGCGGATCAATGAAAGACGTGCTCATGGTATCAGGGGTCGGCGGCAGCCGCGTGGCGTACGTAGGCCGGTTCCGGGGTTTCTCCAGCATCGAAGACTTGGTCGTGCGCCTGGCTTCAAAGGCAGCTCCGAGAATTGGCTTCTTTCGAGATATGGTCGGCGTGTCTGGGGTGTCATGCTCAGGCGTGATGCTTGCGTCGCGAATCGGCGCGCTCGACGGTATCCAGTCCTCGATGCGAGAAAACTTCCGGCCAATATCCTCGTCGGGAACAGCAGTCGGAAGATCAGGAGCCGGCATGCTAGCGCTCTCGTCATGAATAGAGTCAGATTCTTCTGGTCTGGTCGGCATCATGAGGCCAAAGGAGGTGTCCAAATCACTGCATTCGCTGAGAGCGCTGAGCCGCGGAGACTCCGGCTCTTCGGATTCATTCCCGGAGAAAATACTGAAGGCCTGCGACTTATTTGCGTCCTCGAGATACAGGCTGCGCAGGGCGCTCGTGCTCTCGCTCTGATCCTGGAGGAAAGACGGCTGCCGTCGCGTACGCCGGGGAAGCAGCACGCGCGAGCGGCGGGCTCTAGCCGACATTGTCCCTTTCCGCGACGACGATCGGTCTGGTACCTCGATCATTGGCGGGTGCGTGGGGGTGTGGACCTCATCAGGCTCCTCGATAGACGGCGATATATCTTCCTCGCAGTGGAAGCTCAGTTCCTCTATTTTGCGCTCCAGATCACATATCAGGCCCACCGCCTCCACCAGGCCTCGATTTCGCTTGTCAAGATCCTCCTGTAGTCTGTCGTTTGCGTCCTGTAGCTCCGATTCGGCGGCCTCGAGCTGTTTGATGCGTGTTTCTAGCTGGTCCATGCGCTCGAGCTTTCGTTTCATGACGTCGGCTTGTTTCGCGCGGTGCACGACTTCGAGCTTCAAGTCGAAGATTTCTTTGTTGATTTTCGATACATACTGCCACTGGTGTCAGAATGGAAGAAGATAACAGTAGCTGCAGCAAGAGTGCCCACCTGGTCCATTTCCCTCACGCCCATCTCCGTCGATTCCTTCAGGCCAGCCGCCAGGGCGGCGCGGAGCTTGCCATTCTTCTCGGACGCGGTCATGCTCTGCGCGTAGTCCACGGGCGTTGAGGGCTGGCTGCAATTGGCATCGCGGGCGGCGCGTTGTTCCTTGATCAGGTTCTGCAGCAGGGAGGAAGTTGGATTCACGGTATAGTGAGGCGTGGAGCACGTTCCTAGAAGGATCCCTGGTCAATTGGCATTCCCAAATAGAATTTTTCAGAAGAGGGATAGAGAGAGAGAGGGAGAGAGGGAGAGAGAAGAGAAAAGAGAAATGTGACTGATCATGGGCATGCTTACGATGCGGGGTGCTGGGCCTCCTGCCACCAGGCGACGACGAGTAGCCGTTGCTGGACATATCTCGCGAATCTGCAAATCCCACGTTTTTAGCTCTACCAAACAACAGCATAAAAAATATTGGGGGCGAGCTAGTACCTGGATAGAAAGCATTCACTCCGCCCTTGGAGACCTGCAGCGACGAGCGGCGCGGGCGGCGGGCAGAGCGCTCGGGGGTGGCAGGACGACGGCCTGCGCGAGCCCGCCGGTCGTCAGGTGCTGCTGCTGCTGCTGCTGTCGGGGACGGTTGGGCGGCGGCGCAGGCAGGATTCAGGGGCGCAATAATCATCTCACGGAATGGATCTCGTCGGGGCCCCATACTTGTTCCTGCTCCGGCTCCTTCTCCTTCTCCTGCGGCGGAAGACTTTAGAGGCGCAGCAGTAAGAGCTGCTGCAGGACCTCCGAAGCTGATATCAGACCGGCGGCGCGGTCTGTGCGAGGCCGCCATGGGGTTGAGCGGGTGTGTGTGTGCTGGCGCGAACGGGCGACGCGACGGAGCGGGCGCAAAGGAGCGGGCGAGTGAGGTGCACGACGACGGGGGTTGGCAGCAGGCGCCGGCATTCCGGTTGTTCGTTTGGGCGTGTGTGTGGTTGGAGGCACTGGAGGGCGGGGAGAGAGAGAGAGAGAGAGAGAAAAGAGGAGTAAGAAAGTGGCTGCCGGCTGGGCTGGGACGGGCAGAACCTGCGACAGCGCGCCGGGGAGCTAGCTAGTCTACCAAGGAGTGGAAATATGTCTAAACCTACGAGCCGGTGCGCTCGCTAGGCTCTTGGGTGGCTCCGCGAGTGTGCTCAGGGGCCCGCGCATCAGTTGGGTGGAAGATGATGATGTGCGGGCGGGCTGGGCCTAGTCACAGATGGCTGCCTGTCGCGAGCTGGAGAGTCACGATGTGACTACTACTACGGAGTACAGCGTAGTTGACTACATATTTATGATCTTTATTTCTGACAGCGCCAGCACCAGCCAGCATGGGACACGCCCGCCACGCCCAGCCACCGCATCCATCCTGTCAGGGGAGGGAGAGGCTCGAGCTGAAGCCGCTTGCATGGATGAGCTTGCGCTGCGGCTTGGCTGCCGCGAACTGTTTCCGCGTCCGTGTATCAGTGTGGTGGGCTCGCTTGTTAAGATGGAACGCGCTTGAAACGAGGAACTCGTCCAGCGCGATGGCTGTCATTATTGTCCATTCACTGCCTGTGCGCTCTAGTTTAACCATGTAATTATGCATCTACCAAACGCCCGCGTCCATCCTCATCAGTAGTCAGTCGTAGCGGTCATTTCTTCGCGGTCTCGCCGGTCCACACGCGCACTTCCTTGGCGCTGTCGTGGACGGCGCGGAACACTGGAGAGGCAGCAAGAGGTCAGCGAGAAGAAGAAGAAGAAGAAGAAGGAAAGAAAAGAGAGGAAGAAGAAAAGGAAAAAAGAAGAGGAGAAACAAAACAAGGGCTCACAGAGTCGCTCTGTTTCATCCAGGCCGCGCAGGAACTCCACGCCGCCGCCCAGGGCGCCGGTGGGATTATGCGCGTGGTCGGCAATCTGCACGGCGCGTTTCTTGAACGTCTGCAAGGAAGGGTTAGTAGAAACATAGACAGGCAGACAGACAGACACACGCACATCGCTGAGCAGGTCGACCATCTCGTCCTCGTCGAAGACCTGCAGGGTCTTGACGGCCAGGCGGTAGAAGTGGGCGGCCAGCGAGCGCACGTCGACGGAGCGCGGGTCGGCCTTGAGCGCGTTCAGCACGGGCTCGGACAGCGCCTGGGGCACGTCGAGGTTGATCAGCGCGGCGTTGCCGGCGCTCGTTCTGGGGAGTGGTTAGCAGGGGAGGTATGTGATAGAAAGAGGGAGGGAGTACCCCAGGGCCAGCATGATGGCCAGCCAGGCGGGAGCCTCCAGGCGCGTGCCGGCTTTGATCTAGGTGGGCGAGGAGCGGTCAGCCGGGGGTTTGGAGATAGTATTATACGGTCGGGGGAGTCTCACGTCCTCGCCGACATTGCCGTCGAGGAAGCCCAGGCCGGGCACGTCGAGCTCGAAGGTGCAGGGCAGTTTCTAGGCAGCGAGTGAGTGAGTCAGTACACCACAGACACAGAACAGACTGGACACCGACCTGGGCGTCGGTCAGGATCTCGTCGATGTCGTAGTAGGCCATGGCAGCGCGGCGGAGCGAGAGAAGGACGACAGTCAACCGGCTGGCTGGATAACTAACTAACTAGTCAGCAGCGCGATGCAACGCAATGAGCTTGATCACCGGCGCTTGGAGCTTCTCGAACGGACGGCAAGTTCGTTAGCTAGTTCTCTACGGAGTACACCTAGTCTTTACACCTAGTACTCTCCCGACGGGCTTCAGGTCTGCCACGCCGCGGCGGCGCTGGGCAGGCAGCGTCATCGTGTCTGCTTCGAGCTGCTCGAGCCGCGGGCGGCCTGGTCTGGACGGGTCACATTCCAGGATCGTTGTACATAATAATCATCCTGCCCGCGTGTCTCACTCGCCAGCCAGCCAGCCAGCGAACGCACAAACGAACGAACGAACTACCGAGCACGCGAAGGATGGCGCCCGCCGCCTACAGCGCCGTCTCGCAGACCGACCACGACCACGACACGCCCGACAACCACCACCGCCCGCGCGCCCTCTCCATCCGCTCGCTCCTCCGCGCGCCCAACGCCTCTCCCACCGCTCGCTATGCCATGCTGGACGACGACCACGACGACGACTTCGACTGTCCGCGGTCGCCCGCCCGCCGCCGAGCACCGCCCGCCCCCGTCCACGGCCATGTGAAAAACGCACTGATGGCGACGGGATCCGCTGCCCGTCCCGAGACGCCCCCTATTAATATTCTGCTTCCTCCTCCTCCTCCTCCGCCTCCTCTCAATACCCAACCCGCGCCGCCCCCCGACGCCCCCGACGAGCCGCTGCTGCACAGCCCGCCCTCCGCCGGCCCTGCCCTGTGCCATCCCACTCCCGACCTGCAGGCCCTGCAGGGTGCCTACGTGAGCAACGTCGAGCGTCTCGAGCAGACCGCCGAGCGCCTCAGTCTGGCCCTCGACCGTCGCCACGACAGCATCCGCAGCGGCATCGCCCGTCGCGCGCCGCCCCCCGACAGACCGCCCGCCCTGGGCTCGCCGCTGGGCTCCCTGCTGCTGGCCTCGCGACGCCCATCCTACAACAGTCCGGCCGCCGCCGCCGCCGAGCATACTCCCATCCGCCCCCGAGCTCCCGGCTACGCGTCCTCCATCCACTCGTCGTCCTCGCTGCGCCAGTCCGCGCACCCGTCCTTGTCCTCGCTGCCCAGAAGACCGTCGCTGCGATCCGGCTCCATGGCCTCGCGCCTGGCCCGCGTCGTCGAGCCGCCCGGAATGACCACCACCACCATCCCGCCGCAGCTGCCCGAGCTCCCGCTGTCGCCGCCGCACGACGCCATACTGGGGCCGCTCGTGGCCGACGGCCAGGAGGAGCTCGAGCCGCAGCAGCAGCAGCAGCAGCTCGAGCGGCCCGGCAGCGCTGGGTCCGGGGACACGTATCGCCAGGCCACCGAGCTGTTCAAGGACTTCGACGGCGTGCACTACACGCCGCACTCCGAGCCTTCACAGTCGCGACGTGTCTCGCTAGCCCACCCGCCGCTCCTCGCCGGCATGCCGAACGCCCATCAGATGCCCGCCCGCGGGGAGAATATGGTCTACTATCCCGCCCCCGTGCCCATGATGCTGAATCTCCCGCAGCGCCTGTCCAAGCGGCCCGTCGATCAGGAGAAGCGCCGAACCCAGGTTATGAGCTCCTTGCCGCCTGACAAGCGCAAATCCGCCATCTGGGCCAATCCTATTGACGGAGATGTCGACCCTGCTGCTCCGACTGCCGCTGCTGCGGCGGTGGCGGCGGCCCGTCAGAGCAAGAGGATCTCGCAAATGCCGCCCCAGCTGCGTGCGAGTGCCTTTTTTGAGGTGCCGCCCACGCAATTGGACATCACTGTGAAAGAGAATTCCGCTGTGGCCACGCTGGATAGCATTCTGGATGCCGCCGCCCTCGCCCCCGTGAGTGCATTTACTGACCACCCGATTGTGGGCCAGGCCGGCGCGGGGGTGTATGGCAAGGAAAGGGGGAAGAAGAAAGGCAAACTCGAGAAGAAGAAGCGGGATTCGGATATGCCAATTGCTGGCGAAGGACCAAACCAGAGCATCAGCACGCCGGATCCTCGCGCGAGCTTCGCGGAAGAAAACCAGGCCGTCGACGAACAAACGCCTTTCCGCAGCTCGAATGACCGTGACAGGGAAGACCCCGACCGGTATGTTGGCCCCGGCGAGCCAAAGAGCGATGATAGGGCGGAGAGCGACAACGACGAGAATGCAGACGACGACGACGAGGAGGACGAGGAGGACGCGTTTGTCGGCCCGCCCACGACGCTGCTGGCGGAGCTGCAGATGCGCAAGCAGGAGCAGAAGCAACGCAACCGCACGGCGGCCACGGCGTTCCCGAACGGCATGCACTCGACGCTGCTGGAGCTGGACGCGGTGGCGCAGCGGCAGCGCGACAACCGCGACCGGCGGCACGTCGTGCTGGCGTGGGAGGATCCCGCCCTGGCCGACCGGCGCGAGCCCGACGACGACGACGTGCCGCTGGCCCTGCTCTTCCCGGACAAGAACAAGCAGGCCGACGAGAACCGCCCGCTGGGCCTGATGGAGAAGCTCGAGCTGGACGAGAACGAGCCGCTGAGTCGCCGCCGCGCGCGCATCCGTGGCGAGCCCGCGCCGCTGCCGCGCCCGCTCACGACCGTCTATCCCCCGGCGCCGCAGCAGCACAACAACCACCACCACCACCACCACCGCGCCAGCACCGCCTTCACGCTCGACGTCCCCGGGCTCGAGGAGAGCGACGGCGACGACCACGAGCACGAAACGCTCGCGCAGCGCGTGCGCCGGCTCAAGACGCAGGACGAGAAAGGCGCCTCCCCCAGTGCTGCTGCTGCGGTTCCCGGCAGCTCGGATTTCGCCAGCGAGCTGCTCTCGCGCTTCGGCGACGAGCCGCCCGCCGACACCAAGCCGGCTTCGCCCGAGGAAGAGGAAACCCTCGGCCAGCGCCGCAAACGCCTGCAGGCCGAAGCCCAGGCCCAGGCGGGCGGCCATAAAGTGGCTGCTGCGCGCCGCAGCATGGCCAATATCCTGCACGCCAGCCCCGTGGGCATGCAACCGCCCGCGGCGGTTGGTAGTCGCCAGTCGCTGCCGGCCAGCGGCGCGGGCTACGCCAACAACAGCAACAACAACAACAACAACAACAACAATCCACGGCTATCTCGCACGCTGACGGGCGGCGGGCCGCCGCTGCTGAACTTCGGCCAGGACATGAGCCAAGGGCCGACGCCGTACTATCCCACGGGGCTGGTGGCGCCGGCGTTTGGCAACGGGCTGTCGGCGGTGAATCTGAATCCGCATTTCTACGCCGCACAGCACCAGCAACAGCACCAGCAGCAGATGATGATGATGATGCGGCGCGGGACCGAGGCGGAGCCGGTGATTGATCAGAGTCAGAGGGATATGATCGATCGGTGGAGGCTGGGGGTGCAGTGATGAGTCAAAGGGGATGGATGGGTTGACAGGCCTTTTCTCTTTTGGCCCTGAGATCCATTGTGCGTGTTGCGTTGCGTTTTGGTGCGGTTTTGCTTCGAACTGGCCGGTCTCGACGGACGTTTTCTTTGCTCTGCTTTGTTGTATTTTTTTGATATATTTCATTTATCTTGCTTTTTCACAGCCCCATCGCTAATCTCCGGCCACCATTTGCTATTATTTTGTTTACTTCCTGCCTGCATCTCTATATTTTCTTTTAATGCCCCGACCCCGACCCTGACCCCTCCGTATACTTCTGCCCCCTTGTTCTCTCAGCATAGCCCCCTGGCGTTCTGGATTGGGCCCGTCGCGTTCCTGCTTGCCTCTGCGCTGTTTTTCTTCTGTCTGGAAGATCGTTAGCTGTGAAGCCCAGCGAAGAGACAAGCTGTGTATGTACTAGGCATTTTATCTCAATAGACTCCGTTTCCCTTGCCGTCTCCTATAAATATCACACCGATACTCGCCGCGCGCCCAGCTTCGGCGTCGATAGCTCCAGCGCTAGTCGCCCGCGCCGGCCAGCCACGCAATGTAACGATTGGCCGCCCGCCCGACGAGCTGTCCGTCGAACGCGCCTCGCGGCTTTGGACCGCCAGTCAAAAAAATTATCTTTGTTATGAATTTCACTCCTTCATCTTCTTCACTCGTCAAAACAAAACTTCTCGCGCTTCCCGTTCCGTTCTGCGTCCCGTCGGCTTTTTTCCAAGGGGGTTCGGCCGCCCTGTCTACCATGGTCCCGTCTGTTCTTGTTTCGCCCCCCCGCGAGTTGACCTCCTGATACGGAGTACACACACATCCTACCTAACTACCTACATCTCCTGCGACTAACTAACTGCTGTGTGACGAACTGTGGATGTGCCCCGTCGGCCTGCGAGAGCACGCCCGCAATCCTGCCCGTATCGCGTGGCGCCGCACCCGCGCTGTCTCGCTGGCCGGCTGGTTGGCTGGTGGTGCGACCGCGGGCTGTCGAGACCTGGCCGGCCATCTAACTGAGCAGCAGCAGCAGCGACAGCGACAGCGGTAGCAGCTCTGACTCCCGGCCCACCAAAGAAACCATGCCGCCGTCCACCGTCTTCTCCTATCTCCGCCGCGACCACCGCCGCCTCAGCCCGTCGTCCGCCTCGCCCTCGCCCTCCGCGCAGACCCCGCCGCAATTGCCCGCTGCCACCACCGCCGCGACCATCACCAGCCCCAGGCTGACCGACGCGCTGTTCGACGCCGGCGCCTGGCCCGATCTGACCAGGGAGATCCCGCTCGACGACATCCCGGAGTTGACCAAGACGCCCGACGCCGAGCTCGCGCACAACCCGCTGCCGCCGTTACCGCCGCTCGCGTTCACTGACCCCAGACGACCGCATTCCAGCTCCGGCGAGAGCTCGGCGCCGTTTGCGAACTTGACCAATGTCCAGAGACCAGACCATCTCGATGGAGGACCGGGAGCTGGAGGGGTGGTGGTGCATCAGAAGGGCATATCGTCGTGGAAGCGCGGGTTCGGCGGACAACGCGCTGCTGCGGTGCCGGGCATCTCCGCCGGAGCCGCTACTAGCAAGGGCAAGATATCCGATGCTGCGACCATGGGCACGCTGATGGCGGGTGCGTCGTCGAGCGCACATCTTCGCGAGTTCAAACCGGAAAATGCGCCGGTTCGTCGTGACGAAGCTGCCGCTGCCGCTGCTGCGGGTGCTCCGGCGGGCTTCGATACCCTGACCGAACCGCCATCGTTCCGCGGTGGTGGTGGTGGTGGTGGTGGTGGTGGTGGGGGAAAGATGCGATTCCACCTGCTCAACCCCATGGCGCTGCTGGCTCGGCGGCGCTCGACGCAGTACAGCGTCAAGGCGGAGGACATCAACGTGAGCAAGCTCACGCTGCCGGCGCTGCCCGACGACTACGATCCTCGGATTCGGGGGAAGCTGTTCCATGATTTCTCCGCGCCGCGGCCGCGGCCCAGCCCGACCATGAACAATAACAATAACGCCGCCGCGGCCGCGGCGCAGAGGTACGGCGAGCCCGCGTTCCAGACGGACGAGGCGTATTTCTCGGATAGTTCGACGCCGACTGCGCGCAAGAGCAGAGGGTTTCGGCAGAGAACGGCGTTTCAGGAAGATTTCACGTCGGGGCGTGCGGCCAGAGGCCAGCATGGTGAGCAGCCCCAGCAGCAGCAACAGCAGCCTGGCCTGCGGACGGAGAAGATACCCCGGGCGGCGGCGGTTCCTGCTTTGGATCGCCCGCTCCCTCCCATTCTCCCCTCGCAGTTGCTGGAGCACGAGACGCCGCGGCCGGGGCCCCTGCGTGTTCCTGTTCCTGTTCCTGTTCCTGTTCCTGTGCCTGTGCCTGTCGCCGAGAAGCCGCTGCCGGCGATTCGCTCCAAGCCTTCGACTGTTCGAGACCGTTCGTCACAAACTCTCTCGGGGCTGCCTAAGCATCTATCAAGTACGGCATCGAGATTTAGTTTCGATATGGCTGGAGGCGGCTCCGCATCGCAAGAGCGGCTGCTGGAGGAGAAGCACAAGGAAAAAGAGGCGGCGAGGAAAGCAAAAGAGCAGGTCAATAAGTTTAACGATTTTGACTCTGAAGAATTTGATTATGATGCCATGATGGATGATGACGGTCTAGAAGAGAGGATTCCTGGAGTGAATGCGGATGCAGATGATTTTGCTTACGGTGATGAGTTCCAGTATGAAGACGCTGGAATGTTTAATGCTGCGAGTCCTCTCAAGTCGTTGCCCATTACCTCCTCATTTCTCCTAAGCCCTTCTAGCTCTGAAGGAGGACTTTCTCCCCGGTTCTCACAGATAGATGGGCGACTATCGGCACCTGAAAACCACTCACTTGCTCCAAAGACCAACAAGGCTCCAGCGTCGACAACACTTCCTTTATTAACCATAGACACGAACCAGCCGTTTCTACCATCGTCGCCAGCGAAGCAAGTGCCCCAGTCACATATTGATCCCGTACCATCTCACAGTATAGGGAATGATGATGATCTGTACTATGATGATGGGCTCTTTGAAGATCTCCCAGAAGATATGCAGGATGGTGATTTTGATGAGTCGATATTCGACAACGAAGCAAGCCATCTATATGAGCGAAGGAATGCTAATTTGAATAAAACACCGCCCGTCGGATCTGACAACCAACCCAAGACCAGTGAGCGGACAAGGAGCCTTGAGCAAGACCCCCCGGTCGAAGATACGAATGCAGCTTTTGATAGTCCAATTGCACCAGAATTGAATGAGCAAGCGGAAAAAGAACTTCGAAAGTCTCTGCAAGAACTGACACAAGGAAATCTTCAAGCGTACCATGGCGCCCTGGCGCAGGCAGCCAACTTCGCTGCTTTCGAGGGCAGATTCGAACGGAGCCCAAGTGGGAGCGAGCAGTCTTCCGATAACGACGCCTCCGAGACCGAAGAGTCTCATCCCGATTTGACGGCCGGCCAGAGTCGTCACACGAGCCAGAATGCCGAGAGCATGGCCTTTGAGGAGGTGTTTGATGACGACTTTAACTTCTACGATGCGGGTGACCTCGACGACGACCCGATGATCGCCGCCGCCAATGCAGAGGCGCTGGAGAACGACGACGAGGGCTTCTACGGGCAGGAATTCGGCTTCTACGCACACTCGCACCCGCACTGCGACGGCGAGCGCGTCCTCGGCGGCTACTTTGGCTCCCTGGGGCGGCCGGGTATCAAGCGAAACCACAGCGCGCGCGGCAACTTCCAGGAGAGCCTGACACCCATCACGGAGCGTAGCGAGTGGAGTACGCGGAACTCGATCATCTCGCTCGCGCCGCCGGGCCATTCGCTGCCGTCCAATCCGTCCGTCGCCAGCCCGCCGCTGTCGCAGCTGGTGGTCGACATGGCCGCGTTCGACGATGAGATGTCGTTCAGCGCGCTGATGCGCCTGCGCCGGGGCGCCTTCGGTGGCAGCAACGGCAGCCTGCGCAGCAATGCCACCAGCCAAACCGGCCAGTCCCCCCAGTCGCCCTCGCTGTCGCCCATGGCCAATTGTGGCCCGTTTTCGAGCTTCCACCACGTCCTCGCCGAGCAGCCCAGGCGTGCGGGCGAGCCTAACGCCCCCGCGCCGTTGAACCCGTTGCCGTTGGCCGGTAGTAGCCCTCCGGTTGCCAGACGGGGCGGCGACTCACCGCCGGCTGCTGCTGCCGCAGCAGCTGCTCGGAATGATCCCACTCCCAGGCCGATGCCAAGTGAGGCCGCGCCGCCCGTCGGCATGGAGTCCGCTCCAGCCAAGACAAGATCTCCAGACCTGATCCGACGACATGTCCGCAACAACAGCGGCGCGGAGAGCATCAGCTACGTGAAGGAGACCAGCCAGTCGGGCGCCAACTGCTGGGTGCTGGAGCGGCGGCGCACGGGAGACCACGGCGAGGACGAGCTTCTAGAAAGAGAGGTGATGAGCTCCGGCCGTATCTGATCTAGGGATATTGGATGGCTCTTCACACTTTGGTTCTTGCTCTCCGCCTATTTTTTTCTTGGTTTTTTTAATCCTTCGTCGTGGGCAAATTGTTTTATCACAACTTCCTTTAATTGTTTACATTTATGCCGAATTTCAGGCCTGTTCCACGGAGCATGTATACACTTTTCTTTTCTACTTTCTTACTGGGCTTTGGGCGATACGAACAAGCTATTGAAGCCTACTTTTTAAATTCTTCCCTTTTTTTTTGCTTTCTTGTTTTCTTCTTCCATGACGATTTTTCGTGATACCCAGTTTTGGCGCCACTGGTGGAAATGCCACCGTCAGTTCCGACTCGCTCTTCTCCTATGTTTCCCCCTCTTTCCGACAGCAGTTCCGTACGTATATAGCTGGCTCACTCACGTTCTCGTGCGTCCTAAAAAAAGCAACTTGAGAGCACCATCCGTTCAATATCGGAATCTTGATCCAACTTTGCATGCATGGGCACGCGGCCCGTTTCCGCGCTAAGCTTCGTTACCCGCAGGATTATCCTCCTGCCTCCCGCCTGACCGATCCTTTGGCTGCACACCAGCGGGTTTCTACACCCCATCCATACATAACTGCCAGCAGTTCTTGCAGGCGCGGCGCCCGCCCATGCCCTCCCTCGTGTGCCCTCCGTCTTATTTGTTAAAATTGGCCTTGCCGCCGCCGTCGCACCTTGCGGTCGCATCGCCCGGCGGTGAGCGGCAGAATTTGCGGCATTTATGTCACGTGCGGGGCAGCCGATCCAGACCGGCACAGCCAAGCTTGGCAAGTCCCCGCGGCCAGCCAATCGCGCGGTGGTTAGTCATCGCCGGGCCAGCCGCATTATGTAAGACCATGCCCAACATGCCCAACGCGCGACGTCATAGGGGTATTTTTCTTGCTGTCGAATTTCCAATCCGTTACGGGGCTTGGCGTGGAGGGCGCACGCCGGCCAGTCCCGTTCGGGCTAGCGCCGTGGGTGTTTTGCAGGCAGGATGCGCTCTCGGCCGGATCTCTAACGCGGATGCGGCTAGCGCGGCGTATTGTGCCGTCACGCTGGTACCGCCATACCGCCTATCCTTTCCCGCCACACCCCGGGGGGCAGGAAGTTGCGGCTGCACGGTTTCGTCCAATCTTAGTGGATTCTGCACGCCCGCTTGTTTGTCTGGCAGTTTCTGCAGAGAATAAGAATTGGATATCATGGGGGGGCCCCAGCGGAAAGTAAGAGGGGAAAGTGGTGATTATTATTGTCCAGCTGTCACGCGCCCGCCCACCAGCCTGCTGCTGATGTGTGCTGTGCGTCTGCATTAAACCTTTTAGGCGGGACTTCAGACAGGAGCTTGTTTTATGTGCAGATGTAGAGAACTCAGACTGGCACAGAGTGTGCATGCTGCGGCGTTCCTGGGAGAGACACGGCTCATCTCTTTGATGCTGCCCTTTATGAGACCTGCCTGTGCTTTGATGTAGTAGACCTTTGCTCTGTTAGCTACCTGCAGCAGCGGCACTTTCGCCTCTTCCAGAGAAGATCCCATACCTTCAGGTCCAGAGTTCGCCGGCAAGGTTGCCGCACGCCTGCCTGGCCGGGTGTTAGTTAGCTAGTTTGGTGGCAGTGTGGTGGCAGGTAATAATCAAACATACTTGCCGAGAAAAACAGCCCTGAAATTTTCTGGCTCCTCCCTATCAAAAACTTAGCCAACTCAAAAAAAAAGACAGCATCGTCGTCCTCCTCTCCACTCCCTCCTCTCTCTGCCTCGGACAAAAGAACACCTCACCACGCCCTCGCTCCCCCCAGTCCCCTCTGTGTTCTCGCCAGCGGGACTCTCTCATGACCACCAGACTGTGCGAGGCGGAACGACATAGTCGATAATTCCTGCCTCTTCTCCCAATCCTGTTCGCGGAAAAACTATTCCTTGTCGTTGTGCCTCATCCTATTTGCCCATCCCCGGCTCTAAAAAAATAATAAAAGAACCGACCGCCTTTTTTTTTCTCCCTGACCTCTTGTCCGATCAGCCCTACTTGCGCTTCTCTTTCCTTTGCTGTTTTTTCTTTTTCCTTTTTTTTTTTTTGCTTGCGTAGATCAAAAGAGAGGGTGTTGCAAAGCTCGTCTCTTCCACCCTGCGAAACATGTTGCGCGCTACCAGGTCGTTACCCTTGGCCGCTGAGGCCGCCGGTCTTGTGAGAAACGCTCCTTTCCTACGCAAGTCGAGATGCTTCGCCTCCGCGTCGAAACTGCTGTTGTTGTCGAATCGTACGAACCTGGGCGTTGCAACGACGCGCAGGCCGCTGGCGTTGGTTGGTGCTCGAGAAGCTTGGAGCCAGCGCAGACAATATGCCACTGCCACGGAGGAGACAAACAAGGGGGTGGTGAGTACCTGACGTGTCTTTTTCCCATTGCCTTCCTGTGGGCCTCTTGTTTTTTTCTTTGCTGGGATGATATGTGCTCAATTGAAGACTTATCGCCCAACATACCAAACGAAAGGGCAATTCGGCATTCCTATTGAACAGATGGATCGTTTGGGCATTCAAGACTAATTCACTGGCGCGTTTGCTTTTCGCACTTTTGCCGTATTCTAGGACCCCAATGACTCGTTTCTTCAAGGCAATACCGCCGACTACATCGACGAGATGTACATGGCCTGGAAAGAAGATCCCTCCAGCGTCCATGTCTCGTGGCGAACGTATTTCCATAACATGGAAGAAGGCAACATGCCCATCTCTCAGGCATTCCAGCCCCCACCGACTCTCGTCCCTACCCCGACCGGCGGTGTGCCGCAGCACATGCCTACCTCTCGCACCGCCGCCGGCACCGAAGTATCGAATCATTTAAAAGTTCAACTCCTCGTACGTGCGTACCAGGCACGAGGCCACCACAAGGCGAAGATCGATCCCTTAGGTATTCGAGGAGAAGCCGAAGCGTTCGGATACTCGAAACCCAAGGAGTTGGAGCTGTCGCATTATGGCTTCACGGAAGCGGATTTGGACCAGCAATTTGCGCTTGGTCCTGGTATCCTTCCTCGGTTTGAAACAGAGACGAGGAAGAAAATGACTCTCCGTGAAATCATTGATGCCTGCGAACAGATCTATTGCGGCTCTTTTGGCGTTGAGTACATCCACATTCCTGACCGCGAGCCCTGTGACTGGATTCGCGACCGTGTTGAGATCCCCCAACCGTACAAATACTCTGTTGACGAGAAGCGCCGAATTCTGGACCGTCTAATCTGGAGTACTTCCTTCGAATCTTTCCTCTCGACGAAATTCCCGAATGATAAACGATTTGGTCTGGAAGGTTGTGAATCTCTGGTTCCTGGTATGAAAGCTTTGATCGACCGAAGTGTCGACCATGGCGTCAAGGATATTGTTATTGGCATGCCCCATCGTGGTCGTTTGAACGTTCTAAGCAACGTCGTTCGAAAACCCAACGAGTCAATCTTCAGCGAGTTTACCGGTACTGCAGAACCTGGTGATGAAGGCTCCGGTGACGTGAAATACCATCTTGGAATGAACTTCGAACGTCCAACTCCTTCCGGCAAGCGTGTGCAGCTTTCACTGGTCGCGAACCCGTCCCATCTTGAGGCTGAAGATCCCGTTGTTCTTGGAAAAACCCGTGCCATTCAGCATTATAACAAAGATGAGAAGTCCTTCGATACCGCTATGGGTGTCCTACTCCATGGTGACGCTGCTTTTGCTGCTCAGGGTATTGTTTATGAGACCATGGGTTTCCATGCACTCCCGGCTTACTCCACCGGTGGTACGATTCATGTTGTGGTTAATAACCAGATTGGCTTCACCACCGACCCCCGGTTCGCTCGTTCGACCCCGTACTGCTCCGATATCGCGAAAGCGATTGAAGCTCCCGTTTTCCACGTTAATGCGGACGACGTGGAAGCCGTGAACTTTGTTTGCCAATTGGCTTCCGACTGGCGTGCTCAGTTCAAGACTGACGTCGTGATTGATATTGTATGCTACCGTAAATCAGGTCACAACGAAACAGACCAGCCTGCTTTCACCCAGCCCCTGATGTACAAGCGTATCGCGGGCCAGACAAGCCAATTGGAAAAGTATGTCGACAAGCTGCTCAAGGAGAACACTTTCAGCAAAGGGGACATCGAGGAGCACAAGAAGTGGGTCTGGGGAATGCTCAACGACAGTTTCGACCGCAGCAAGGATTACCAACCCACCAGCAGAGAATGGTTGACATCGGCGTGGAATGGGTTCAAGTCACCCAAGGAGCTTGCCACCGAAGTTCTTCCTCACCTCCCCACTGGCGTTTCTCACGAGGCGCTGACCGCGATTGGCAATACGATCGGCCAAGTACCTGAAGGCTTCCATGTCCACCGCAACCTCAAACGTATTCTAGCCAACCGAAAGAAGACCGTCGAGGAGGGCACAAACATCGATTGGGCTACCGCTGAAGCCCTTGCCTTTGGTACTCTCTGCTCTGAAGGCCATGATGTACGTGTTTCGGGACAGGATGTCGAGCGTGGTACTTTCTCTCAGCGTCATGCTGTCCTTCACGATCAGGAAAATGAGGAAACATATACCCCTTTGAAGCATCTTAGCGAGAAACAGGGCAGTTTCGTTATTTCCAACTCATCTCTCAGCGAGTTCGGCGTGTAAGTCATTCTGTTTATGTCCCCCTGAAAAATTCATTGTCTAACCTCGTCTTAGTCTTGGATTCGAATATGGTTACTCTTTAACCTCGCCAAATGCCCTCGTTATGTGGGAAGCTCAATTTGGTGACTTTGCCAACAACGCTCAGTGTATCATTGATCAGTTCATCGCCTCTGGTGAAGTGAAGTGGCTCCAACGATCTGGTTTGGTCATGTCTTTGCCTCACGGCTATGATGGACAAGGCCCTGAGCACTCGTCTGGCAGAATCGAACGTTATCTCCAGCTCTGCAACGAAGATCCTCGTGTATTCCCGTCTCCTGACAAGCTCGATCGTCAACATCAGGACTGTAACATGCAGGTTGCCTGCATGACTACGCCCTCTAACTTGTTCCATATCCTGCGTCGACAGATTAACCGCCAGTTTAGAAAACGTAAGCACTCATAGCTCTGAAACTATTCACGGATAACTAACCTGCCTTAGCACTCATCATTTTCTTCTCGAAATCTCTCTTGCGTCACCCACTCTGCCGATCTTCTATTGAAGAATTCACTGGGGATTCCCACTTCAACTGGATTATTCCCGAGACCGAGCACGGCAAGTCTATCGAAGAGCCCGAGAATATTGAGCGCGTGATTCTCTGTTCTGGTCAGGTCTGGGCTGCTTTGGTCAAACATCGTGAGACCAATGGCATCAAAAACACCGCGATCACGCGTATTGAACAGCTCAACCCCTTCCCATGGCAGCAGCTTAAGGACAACCTCGACAGCTACCCCAACGCCAAGGATATCGTCTGGTGTCAGGAGGAGCCCCTCAACGCCGGTGGCTGGAGCTTTGTTCAGCCGCGTATCGAAACGCTGTTGAACAATACTGAGCACCACAACCGTCGTCATGTCATGTATGCTGGTCGCAATCAAAGCGCCAGTGTCGCCACGGGTCTCAAAGCTAGCCATATCAAGGAAGAGCAGGATTTGTTGAATGATGCGTTCACTATCCACCAGGATAAGTTGAAGGGGGAGTAGATGCAGACATGATGTGATCGATGTCCCTTTGTTTTCCTCTTTTCTTTCACCCCTACTCTCTTACCGTCCGTATATTCTATCATGCATGTTTCCACTAACATTTCGGGGTGAAACTGGAGTTGACACTTGCACTTCCTTTCGATTCACCCTCGATTCACCTGTTATTCACCCTTGTCTGTGTTCATACTAATCACAACTACCCCTTGCCCAGTCCTCCAATACACTCGTTACCCAGTGACGAGTCTCCTTGTAGCATAAACACCCAGCATTATCTGTCTGTTTTTTGTTTTTTTTTCCTCTGTCTGTTTCCTTAGAAAAAGAACGATTCCGTCTTCAGTTTGTATTTTCCTCTTCGGGAAATATCCGCTATGCTTACATAACCAATGATATGATGACTAAGACCATCCGATAAAGTATGACGTACCTTTCTCGTGCTAGGGAAACACCGTAGGTGAAGTCTCAACGGGAGATTATCATACAAGAATATCAGCCAATGCTGAACTGGCCATGTTGAAATAAATTCCGGCGCGCCGTACGGAGTACTGCTACTCCTATCAGTTAGCGCCCCAGATTCTCCTCCGCGGACAGCCCGCATATCGGACCACAGCCATTATGTAATCACTGCTCGCGCCAAAAAAGCGGCTCTTTCCTTCACCTCCCGCGCGCTCCCTGACTTCACATCTTGCTCTCTACTATTACGCCTTCATCTGCTTCATTATATTGTGATCCACGGACTGTCACCATGCCTATTTTTACTTGATTCATTTTATTACCTTCAGAACTTCCACTGACAAGCTGTTTGGCCTGCAAGTCGCATCGCAGCTCCTCACTGTCACGTCAGAAGCGCAACCACTCTCTTTGGTTTTTGCTTGCTTCCTACATATGTTAAGCAGCTCTATATAGCTCTACCCTTCGTTTGAAACATTATGACAACCGCAAACCCTACTGTCACCACCATGCGCTCCTCCAACCTCCGCCAGACTCGCACGAACCCTAGCCGCCAATCCAAGACCGCCGGCCGGACCTCCATGATGCATCATGCCTCCACCGGCTCTTTCAGTCACGTTTATGGCCATGGTAGTGGATCTACAACTTATCCTGGTGGCCCTCAGTACCCCAACAACGCACAGTCACCGGGCTTGTATCCTGGCATTCACCACTTCACGGATGCCATCGATGCGCTCCCGAGAGAGTTCCGGAGGCATACATCGTTACTGAATGAGGTGGATGGGAAAGCTTTTGTTTTGGAAGCCCAGTTACCAATACTGCTGCAGAATGCAGCAGAGCTCCTTTCTTCGCCATTCCCAGTCATGAATGGACTTGAAGGAACGAGTCTTAAGGGGTTTCAGGAAGTGAGTCCCTTGTAATATCTTATCTATGCGACGATGTATAACTTATATTTCTCTTTTAGGATGTTTTGCGAACCGAACAACCCGAGAAATCGACCGCAAGAAGGCAAACGTTTCAGAACATCCGGAATACTTTAAATGACCTGCTTCCTACGATGGACGAAAAGAATCACGTTACTCGAAATGCATACCTTTCTCTTAGAAAAGACATGAACCGGTTGGAGATGATATACCCGTTCGTTGAAAAAGAAGTCTCCGACGAGGCTCGGCTTGGGAGCAGAACTCACTGGGCCTACTTGACCAAACCCGCTAAACCAACTGGGCCCAGCGGATCGGAGCGACCAAGGCGAGAAGTTGCGACAAGGGAACATCGAGATGCGGCTCAGGACGAAAGTACCCAACGTGAGACTAGGAGAGAAACTACCGGTGTCAGGAAACCCCGCCGTACCCAGGCTGAGATAGAGGCCGATGAATCTCGTTCCCGCAAGACCAATTATAATGCAAAGAGTCGTGCAGGGGCTCCCGCAGAATTCTCTCAGGTTGATCAAACCGCAATCATAGCTCCAGTGCCGAAAAGAAGACGAGTTGAAAAGCCACCTCCTACCCCAACATTCGCAGTTATGGAACGGTCTGCTAGTGTTGCGACAAATACCGGTGCTGGCAGATCTGGAGTAAAGGAGTCGCCCGCTCCTGAGTCTGGAAAAAGGAGAGCCCGTGCTCAGAATGCCGCTGCCTCACGAAAAAGGTACGAGCCCGTGTTTAGGTTAAAATTTCTATACCAAACTTCAACTAAACTTTTATGATCCAACAGAACAAACACAATCAATTCGGCTTTAGAATCCCCATCGCTCGCACCATCCCCTGTTGTTTCCTCTCTTAACCATCTTGGAAAAACTAGTACGCCTCCTCCGAATGCATCCAACCGGCCCCAGTCCGCCCGAATTCCGCAGTCAGCTACGGTATTAAGCAATGGACGCCAACGGCCATCCTCTTCTACATCTAACCGGAACCTAAATTCAAGTATGTTGTTCGAACTTCGGCCAATTCCTTTGTATCATGGTTCTAACACGAGTTCTATAGATAAAGGTATATTGGACTCCACGCTTTCCGCGACCCAGGATGCAACATGTGGCTCTAGAGTCGAACCCGTCCCTTATTCTCCTCCTGCTGCTCCTGATCCTCCTTCTGCTTCTGCTTCTGTCCCTGCTGCTGTTACTGCTACCTCTAAAGCCGAGGCCGTTCATGGTGACGAAATCAAAGCTGATTCCTTGATGATTACCCATCCAGGCGACCGTGGTTCTCAACGCCCGGTACCCATAACTGTAGGAACATCCGCTACTACCAAATTGGAACCCCAGGACACGGCTCTCAACCAATCCCCTGTTCCGCCTAGCGTAACTTCCAAGGGCCGTTCTTCCAAGACTTCTACCCCCGTTGCGTCTACTTTCCCAGAGTCACAAAGGTCTTCCAGGCCGTCGAGGTCCACTGCTATAGCTGCGGCCGAAGGATCTGCTGCCTCTAAACGCTCTCATAAAAAAGGTGTTGCTGTTACAGGAGCTGCGACAACTGCTAGGCAGCTAGCTCTAGCGGCTGCCGCAGCTGAAGACGAGGATTCCTCTAGGCATGGGGACGATGAGGATGATGAAGGGGAGCCAAGATACTGTTACTGCAATCAAGTCAGCTTTGGAGAGATGGTCGCATGTGATATGGATAATTGCCCCAGGGAATGGTTCCATTTATCATGTGTTGGGTTGACAAAGCCCCCTTCGAAGAGTGGTGAGTTCTGTCCATATTCCATGCTCTTTTGTGGACTGTACTAACAAGACTTTCGCTTTGTATAGTCAAATGGTACTGCAACGAATGTAAAGAGACAATGAAAAAGGGAAAATCGAATGGCAGGTAGACACGGCAGTGCCTACGTTGATTGAGATTAATTTATATAAGCGTTTGCTTCTTTTATAGCAATATTTTGCGCTTCAAGACACCTGGATAGACGACTCATAGTTTATTTTTGGCGAATCGATGAGTTCACTGAAACATACTCCCATGTCAGAAGACATCTGACAATCTGGAATTTACAAATTTTGTGCTGGAGAAAGTCTGCCATTATGTATGCTCATGTCCCCAAGACACAGAGTGGTTATTATATTGGATGTTGCTTCCCAGGATCTGTCCTTGTTTACAATAGAAACCATAGCTCCAATAGCCCCGAAGTCATCTTTTATCGTTTTTTTTTTTCTTCATAGGTTACTCAGGCATTTCCATTCATGCTGTGGCCGATGATCCATTTGCTTTAGCCTGATGTCTAGTTTTTCTTTGAATGCCAAAGTCTCATTATTTTATTGAATATGCTTCTTATCTTCTTTTCTAGGCTAATACCGCGATTTCTGCATCGATATATTCCCAACTCAGCTACTATACAGACCATATAAGGGACAGAAAACGTATAGTGCATAATTCATGCATGTGAGTATCGTCTACCTGACGATTCCAAAAAAAAAAAAAAAAAAAAAGGCTTTTAGCCCAGGAAACAAGAGAAGCACTTTGGGATACTGAAAATTCCACTAACGTCTCTTAAAATTTAAAATGCACCTCGAAAACGATCCAGTATTTGGCCTGCCAATGGCGCTCTTCTTTGTGTGTCGCCACCATCCACCCCACTCCCGCTTCCCTCTGACCTCGCAGCTTCGGCTGCGGCACGGGATTCCCCTTCCAGTCTTCGCCGTAGCCCTTCGTACCGTTCTACATCTGAACCTCGAGCCTCTGCGGCATATTGTCTTCGATCAAATGAGGTTTCCTGACCACCATACACCTTGTGAGGAATGCGCCATGCCGGAGAAGAAAACCGACCAGGTAGGAGCTCAGCACGCCAGGCGTATCCGATGATCCATCCTAGTAATGCGGGGAGTATGGTGTACGGGAATTGCGAGAGGGATAGTTGGAAGGCGAGGAAGTAGATTGTGGACTTGTCGCTAAGGTGGAAGGTAATTGACGAGTTGCTGGTACCTGTGGAGATGTTGTATTTGTATGTAGTAGGAATTGCGGCATGGTACTGAGCGAGGAGGGCGAAGAGGGTGGCAGTTGGGCCGGCGGGGAGGTAGTTCAGCGTGTTGAGGGAAAGGGGCCGGAGGATGAGCGCAAGGAGTAGCGGAGGGAGGAGGGTAGTGTACGGAAGTGTGGAAAGGACAAAGCTCTATGAAATGTCAGATATATGTAATATATTGCATCCAATTCAAAGCACGATCAGACATACAGCGAGCTTTCTCGATCCCCAGAGCCGTTCAACAACACGTAGGCTATATAGCACCATACACGCCTGAATGACTTCTGTTGAATTAACGTAGCATAGCTGAATGAACAAATAACAATTAGTACACAATTTCTTACGGAGTAGGTAGCCTAAACTGACCTGCCAGATCAATATCCTCCACCATTGTCGGTACTGCCACAGATGTGGCGTAACTTGGATATAGAAGAGGTACTTGGTGTCAACAAGGCTCACCGCAATTGATGATGCAATGACGAAGATGAGTGCATATTTCGTGACGGATGCGTTGGTAAAGCCGGACGTCAACATGGCAGCTTGGTGCTGAGAGTTGTTTGGTGGCCCGCCGTGAGAGGGACAACCTGTTATGGGTACGATGAAGCAAACACCGCAAACAGGGGGTATGGCGCTTGAGCATACATCTGGTTTGGTATTCACGAAGATTACCAGAAGCGACAAGTAGTATATGTATGAGACGATTCTTCCTTAACCATTCTGCCGCCTATTCGACCTTAATTTCGCTAATATGGGAGGTGTGGCGAGTGCTTATTGTAAACCCCATTGTGTAGCCTTTTAGTTCGAAATGTATGCTATAAGGCGCTTTGAGGCTACCATTGCCATGATACGCAATATATTCATTCATTAATACATTAGCCACAGAAGATGGCATCAGAGTACCGCTCTATATTACAAGAGCTGCATCCTTGCTTTGTTGTGCAAGAGCAGCTTGATATTCTGAAATTGCTTTCCCCAATGCATTCATTGTCGGCTTCATTAACTGGTTTACCACCTTCTGTCCACCTTCTATAGCTTTAAAATTCGGCCGTATATTCTTACCTGTCGCAGCCATGATTTCCCTAGCATGTTGTTTTAATTTTTCAACTTCGGCACGACGTTCAACTTCTGCCTCATCAGCAACAGCTTTAATCCGATCCATTGCACGATTAAGAGACTCTACCAAAGACTGTATCTCGCCAACCCGGTCTGGGTTTCCAGATAAAAACGCTTGCCAGAACTGGTGCAAAAATTCAGTTGTGGTAGCATGAGTAAGAGTCAGACGGTCAAATACCCCCTGCGACAGTCCACAGGTATCTGAGCCTGACGCCGAGTCAGCCTGGGTCTTACGCTCTCGAATGGCATCGAAGATCTGAGTCGATGCTCTTGCTAGACTGGCTTTTGAACCAACTAGTTCACTCTTTGTTTTGGATTTATCGTCGTCACTATCTTCTTCCGGTTCAACAAGGCGGCTCAGCGGAACCCCCTCGCCCGTTTCAGGATATGTTGTGATCAAGTCCTTTTGTATTGAGGCCAGAATTGTCTCTGGGTCCTGACGTGAAAAAATAAGAGCTTCTTCATTTTCCGTTTCCTTCGTAGCGGCAAAGAACCTACTTTGATCCTTAATGTTTAAAATGATTCTGTCTTGTTCCCTATCACCACGAAGATCCCGCAGTTGCAACTGGTTAAACGTTTCTTCATCCATGCCGACAGGGGCTGATGGGTCTCGATCAATTGGCGCCACGTTGGCCATTATCTTTTCACTCAAATTGTTCAGCGTCCTGATGATAGGAACTTTATCTAGAGTTGATGGTCTCATGTCAAAGTTTGGGCGATTTCCATGTCTCTTAACGTTATCTTCATTCGCTTCGAGATCAATCATATGAGGAACATTTGAATTTACGTGGCGATCTGCATATTCATCGGCTCTCAAATATTTATCAAGTAGCGCATCCGTAGCATCGGATTCTGTGATCCGCTCCCCTCTTAACTTTTTGAACAGCCTACTTTGGAAGAATCGCGACCAAAAGTCGTGCTCTGTCAGCTTCGGTACATTCTCATCATATACTTTCTTGACTAGCGGATGCTGATTAAATATCAGTTGTATTTGTTCTTTGCTGATATTTAATCTTGTCACGCTGTTTTCCACTCGTGGCTTTAATGAAGAGAGTACATTATATGACCCACGAGACTGGGATTTTTCAATTGCATGGGCGCGAAGTAGATGTATTCGCGAAGACCAAAATTGCGACATGAACTGCCCACTTGTAACAGAATCAGGTTTTGTCCGTAGCGACTCCATGAATACCCGTTGAAGATTAGAGTCCGATTTTAACAAAGACTGCTGCAGCTCCGCATCCACCTTCAGCTTGTTATCATCATGCCACACCGGCTTCCCATTAGCAGCGGAGGTAACGGCACTAGCTATTGCCATTGCTGCAGATTGGCCGCCGGGGGCCGGACTTTGGGCAGCTTTCACCGCCTGAATGCCGGCATTCAAAACATCCCTGATCGTATCGGCTTCGGCGCGCGCATTTGTTGATGAAGTAAAGGAAAAGACGAATTGCTCCGGAGCTCCAGGGGCGGCATTTTTGGCACCCGGTTGTTGCACAAAGATTTTGAGCATTACTTTCGGACTGGTGACGGGAGTCTGTTGGAGATCTGGTACACGGAAAAACCTAGGTCAGTATTACGGCTTCACCATTCTGCAACAATTCTTCATGTGTTTCTAGATTTGTCACTAAGAAATTCAGGCGATACGTACTGGTAATCTTTGCAACCTGGATTACGATCTCGCCCACTGTACCGTCAGCATTCTTCGGAGTCCACGAAACGGACTGCCCGTCCCTGGACATGGCCAACGTTCCATCTTTCTTCTTGTACGATGCAAGCGCGCTCACTGGAGTAGGTGCCATATCCCCACTGCATTCGGAACCTAACGACCACACAACTCGAGACTGTCTTGCAGGAAGACGATCGGTTCGCAGCGACCCATCCGAGGCAATGAGGTTTTTCACAAGGAGAACTCGGGAAGGATAAATAACAATTCCCCCGGTGCAAGAAGCATTTGGCGGGAGACCTTTAAGACAACCGCCTCACCACATGCTCTTCTTTTGCTTGAAGCTGAAGATCTAAAACTTGGGAACTGCGGCTCTTTGAACGATATCGCTGACTAATCAACTGACCTCATCCTAGGCTCCCGCCTCGGCTTAAGCTAACTAACTGAAAACAAGGAAAATCCGCAGTTTGACAGCTACCAGAAAAAGGCGTTTGGCTGCAGCAAGAGTTCTAGAGAACGCCACTTGCTGTTTAATATAGAGCGGATTTCTATGGAATTTAGGCTCTAGCCACGCCTTCCCACGTAGCCTAGGCATCCTCATTATCTATGTTTCCAATTATCACTTTCATCTGCGTGTCGTCTTCCCCCCATCCGTATTTGTTCCATATTTGTCGCCATATAGGAACAGGAACTGGCCTTTCTTCCCCAAGAACCCACTCTTTGCCCTCCATTATGCGTGCGGCTCTCTGCTCTTGATCTGACGGAAGAACGAACCTTCTCATTCTCGACGCAATCCGCGGGTCAAGAACTATATCGTCCAACCACTCTCGCTCCTTGATATCTGGGTTTTCAGAAGTCTTGTGTACTGATTTGTGCCATTCTTTCTCTTCATCTTCAAGAACGTGCTGTTGTTCGTAGTCCAGTGATGACGAAGACCCTGTGGGTGAATCGGTATGGTTATATTCTAAAGTTGATTTTTGGTGGTTATCTGAATAAGGTCTATACAAAGACGCCAGAACAATGGCCGCAACGTCCCTTCCCACGCTGTCAGCGAGGTACCGACGGGTAAGGAACCGTTTGATTCGGATAGGAGTATTTAAAAATCCTAAGATATGTGGGAATGCTATTGGCGACGAAGGTTGTAATTTATCCGGCAGGGAGCGGGGGAGCTCTTGGGCAGAATATGTAGGCGGGTAAAGGTAGGAAGGAGTAGGAATAGCTGGCTTCTTTGTTTCAGGTTTCTTCTCATCTGGTTTCTTCTCTTCTTTTTTCTCTTCTGTTGCTGAAAGTGCACCATCTTCGAACCCCGAAGCAGTTGTTTCACTCTCAGCTGGTATCTCGCTGGGAGGTGTAATGGGCTCGAATTCGGCCTCGGGGTCAACAGGAGCGGTCATGGGCCCGAGCCACCCTTCGTGTAGTCCGCGGATATATTCCCTCCATGTATGGCGGCCAATAACCACATCACCCTTGACACCTGGTTCATCATGTATACCAAAGAGTTCTTGAACCCGTTTTAAGGAGCTTGCGCGTTCGTCATCCTCTGCGATGGGGCCTTCGCCAGCTTTCTGCCTTCTCTCTCGAATCTTCTTGGCTAAGGCGGCTCTGATGTCGCCTTCTTTCCTTCCTTCCAAAACTTCGTAATCTATGGCCCCTGATACAAGAATGGGCTTTACGTATTCTCTAAAATGGTCTCTAGCACTCATTAGGCCATCTCCAGGGGGCGCAGAAAGAAAAATCGTAAGTTTTCGCCGTGATTCGTTTGTAGACAATGGTTCTTTAGCTATATGAGCGACTAGATTGGACCACTTTTCCTGGATGCGCTTCTTCTCCCGCCGATCGTATATTAATGCGCCGAAGAACGATCCCGTAACAGTGAGAAAGATCATCCAATTTCGGGAGGGGAGTCGGAAACGGAAGTTCGGGAGGCCTGAAATAGAAGCATTAGAATTCCATATACACGGCAATATTGGAGATCCAGGTGTAGTCACCAAGCATCCTAAGGGCAGGATTCTGCGGCTTTGGGGTGGCTTTTGGAGCACCATTCTGTGGGGGTGGCGCTGAAGCACCTGCATCGGCCATGGTAAGGTACAGGGCTTACGAATGCAATGATAGAGGGCGCAAATATTTCAGATAGGTGCGTGTCTGCGCTTGCAATGTATGCATCCCATTGCCTCTCGTCGCTCCTCTTCGAAAAGAAGTTTTAAGCTTTCGAAGCTTGAAGCCGGATCAATGCTATTCCGAGCATGGGACTGCAATAGCCCCCTGCACTTACATTGACAGGTTGTTGGGGGTGTGGTAGTCAAATGCGGCTAACCTCCTGTGGAATCATACCAAGCAGCTCTGATGCTGTCAAAACTGGCAGGTAGTGAGAAGAGGCTGAATGCCTAAGCAGAGGTATAGTCAACATATTTCTGGTTTGGAAGGATGCGTGCTCACTAATTCTGATTGCCAGTATACGGAGTACCTGTTAGTTCATACCACTGATTCACTTCCTATGCCACAGTCGCTAAGCTGGCCTGTGAGGTGCAGTCCTTCCAGCCAGTAACCGCCAGATCAGATCCTACATCCCCCTCGCCGTTCAGGCCGCCAGCTCACGTGCGACAAGGTTACGGCTGCTGCCGCCAAACTTTTTACTGTGGGCGAAAATCAAGCCAATACCGCTAAACCACAAGCAGACTGGCGCGGAGATGGCGGCCAGGGCCTGGAGGAGAACTGTTTCAGCGAGCTCCTTCACCACCCCGGGATTCTCTCCCTCTCTCGCTTGTTGACGCGTTCAACAACCCACCACATTCACTCTTCCATTAGACCTTGCGCTTGATGCCATCTCTTTAACCTGGTTTTTCGCTCCCTTTTGCGCAACCCTCAAGCACGCCGCCTTGTCCAAAAAGCTGGGCCTGTGTGCTTGGGCGTCTGTGCTCTGTTGCTCTGCACCCCCTGAGCCTCAACGCGGGCCTGGATTTTTTACTGTCGTTCTGTCAGGAGAAGCAGCAAAGACGCTGACAATCGTTTTCGGAAATGGACCCTAATAGTGGTAATAACGAAAATAATTACAATGATCGCTTCTATGGCTTCAACGATCGTCCCTACACCGCCGCCAATGCTCGGGCATACCCAACGACCCCCTCGACTTTTCCGCAGCCAATGTACCAAAATCAGGGTGGCCACGAGTATGCTACCGCTCAGAATGCACCGAATACGTATAACCAAGGGTATTTCGGCAACAACCCATACGCCCAGCAAGCCCCGCACCCGCAGCAGTTCATGCACCCAAACGTTGCACCCCCGCAGCCTGGCTACCAACCCCGTGCCGGTGGGTATCTGCCTAACGATGGAACTAGCGGCTTAATTCAGCAGTTCTCAAATCAGGATCTTGGTGGCTCTCCTCGCGGGGCCGCAGCTGCCCGTGTCCCTCCCCAAGGCCAACGCCCTCGTACAGCAGGGTCTCCCGCTCTTAACCAAGGCCCAGGACATTTGGCCCCTCCCATGTCCAGTCGTAGCCCAAAGCAGGCTACTGAAGAAGAAGAGTTGGTTAGATGCCCCGAGAAATATTCTGAGAACGTGCACAAAAGAGGAAAAGCAGCAAAGGAGTTGGTTAACGTTTTCTTCCGCGAGAATATCGAACGTGCGCGTGATCGTAACCTCCGGTATGTTCAAATCTGTTTCATGAAGCTGGCCGAATACTGATGACCGAGACATAGTGCCGTGAACCTGGACAAGGTCCTACAAAACAACACTGTCTCGGACGCAAGGAAACGCCATGAGGCAGAGACTGTTGCAAAAAAGGAATCCAATTTCTTGCGATTTATCCGAACCAGAGAAACTGTTTCAAATTTCCAAACTCTCAAGATTATTGGCAAAGGTGCTTTTGGTGAAGTGAAGCTTGTCCAGCGGAAATCAGATGGGAAGATCTATGCCTTAAAATCGCTGATTAAATCTGAAATGTTCAAAAAAGACCAACTTGCCCATGTCCGCGCTGAACGTGACATTTTGGCTGATTCGAAAGACAACCCCTGGCTTGTTAAACTTCATGCTTCGTTCCAGGATAAAGCCTATCTCTATCTACTAATGGAGTTCTTGCCTGGTGGCGATCTGATGACAATGTTGATTAAGTATGAAATCTTCTCTGAAGATATCACTCGGTTTTACATGGCAGAACTCGTGATGGCGATTGAGGCCGTTCATAAGCTTGGCTTCCTCCACCGGTGAGTAAACGTGGGTATGGTTTGGCAATTTGCTTGTGGTCTAATTGAGGTAATTCTAGTGATATAAAGCCGGATAACATTCTACTTGATCGTGGTGGTCATATCAAACTTACTGACTTTGGTTTGTCCACTGGCGGAAAGAAACAGCATGATAACTCATACTACCAACAGCTATTAAAAAACACTTCTGCTTCCAAAGACAAGAACCGAAACTCGGGATTTTTCAACGACGCTATCAATCTGACAGTTTCTAACCGTGGTCAAATCAACACCTGGCGAAAGTCTCGCCGTGCCATGGCTTACTCGACGGTTGGCACACCTGACTATATTGCCCCCGAAATCTTCAATGGGCAGGGCTACACCTACTTATGTGACTGGTGGTCTGTTGGAGCTATTATGTTTGAATGCTTGATCGGGTGGCCACCATTCTGCACCGAACAGCAAAATGACGTCTATCGAAAAATCCTCAATTGGAAAGAATGCCTTTATTTCCCCGAGGAAATGACCCTGTCTCGTGACTCGGAACATCTTATTAGAAGGTCAGTCTTCAGCCTTATTCATCTTAATTAGCTATTTGGAAAGAAAGCTGACTATTTGGCCCTAGTTTCCTGTGTGATCCTGAAGATCGTATTGGCCAAGAGGGCGGACAACATGGGGGGGCGAACCAAATTAAAAACCATCCGTTCTTCCGTGGCGTTGTCTGGGACCAGCTTCGCAAAATTCGTGCTCCGTTCGAGCCCAGACTTACGTCCAATGTTGATGTTTCTTACTTCCCCATTGATGAGATTCCTCAGGAGGATAATAGTGCACAATTACGCGCTCAAGCCCGTGCCATGCCGGAAGAGCACGAAGCCGAGATGAGTCTTCCGTTTATCGGTTACACTTACAAAGCTTTCAATGCTTTCCAGGCGAATTAGTGCTACCATGACGTAAGCATGATGCTGATTCTACTTCGAAGTCTGCATGAGGATTCACTGGATATGACAATGCTTTAATGACTTTGAAGAACACTTTCAATTGAGATTTACAAAAAAATGATTTTGAATTTCCTTTTGTTTCTGGGTGTTGGATGACCTATGGTCGCCTTGTTGTTAGGGTATCAGTTAGGCATAGCGAACGCCATAGTTATGTTCCAAGAAGGCTAGGCTTGATGCTTGATGCCTCTTTAACTCACCATATTGTTGTGGATTAATATAACTACTCATATCTCAACAGAACAAGTTCTTTTATATGTAGGCTATGAGAGTGCAGGCCATGTCACGTGCCAAACCCTACTCACAAGTTGATGCAAACGTCACGCCGCTTCAACACTCCAATCTTGGATGCCAGCCACCCGCACGAATTGACGGTTCTGGCTCGAGAATCTGTCGCTGATTTTAGGAACCTTGGGGCTCCACCGCCATCCCATCAGACGCGCGAGAATGGACGGACGCGCCGCACCGCCATTACACTCACCACAAGCAGCCACCGAACTCGAAGCCGCCACTGCCACCATCTCAAATGATCACGAATTTAGCGCTCTGCATCGAGAGCTGGAAACGGAACTTCACCATGGCGAAACGGCTACCAGGCACGATCCGTCAAGGGAGCCTAAAAGACGAAAGATACAAAGCGATCTTGACGGGGAGAGTGCTCCCCTGAAGGCGGGGGAAGAATGGGATCGGATCATGGCCGATGCGGGTAGCGCTGTGTCCGTGGCAGATGGTATTGCTACCGCTAGGGCTCTTACGGAAGCAGAGACAGAAAATATAGACATCGTTATCGACCCTGAGATCTCTGCCGGTACACTTCCGAACGATAGCATGCCCATTATATCTGCTGCGGCTTCGGCACAAGGAAATCATGGGCAGCCCAGCGCAAGCGACAATCCCTCTGGTTCACCTCAAGCGCAGGGTTTTGATCTTTTAGAGAGAAGTGAATCCCTCCACACGCCATCTCTTGTCCGAGGACTCCCGGCCCCTACAGAGTTCGCACATTCGCCGAACCATCTTAACCACCCGACTTCGCCATTCTCGACACCCAACATAACGCAGCATGCCTTTGCGCCGGGCATACCTTCAGAGCAGCAGCGAATATCAGAAAGTTTATTGCCTGATTTCGCAGAATCTATTCAAACAACGCCTGCGGGTGCTGATCAACAACCGCGAAATTCGAACCACTTTGATGGCATGAGGCTTATACCCGACCCCCCAAACCTTCAGCAGTGGAGAGAGAGACTTTTCAATGTCGAAGATACAATTGTCCTGAGCGAAGAAGAGTACGTACATATCATATTCCCCTCCACACAAGCTCTGCGGCGTACATTTATGCATTACCTGCTGACATACTGCATTTACAGGTTTCAAACATATTTCCCGCACGTTGACAATGTTTACTCCCACCGTTCAACTCAACGCTATAAGCGCAAACCTTTCATCTCCCATTATTGGGATTGTCGACTCAAAGGCAGGCCGCCAGGGACCCCAAAGTCCGTCGATCCAAATAAGAAGAAACGCAAACGAACCGCAAGAGAGAGAAATCTCTGCGACGTAAAAATCAAGATTACGGAATACTTCCCAGGGGCGATGACAAACCCTCCTGAAATAGACATGGGTATCACGGCACTAGCGGGTGCCGTAGAAGCGTTGTCTGGTGACTCTAGTGCTAATAGCGGACAGCCATTTGGCGTGTTGGCGCCGAGTACTATATTACCTGACGGACATCCTGGTGCAACTGGTGCAAGGTATTATACAATCCAACGGGTCAATGGAAATGGGGGTAATGGCAGATCAGACGCTGCCGGAGGACCGCATAGACATACTCTAGAGGAAAGTGACCGAATCAAGAAAAACAGTGTCCAGCGGTCATTGGTCAAAGACGAAAAGGAGAAGAAGAAGGCTATGGTGAGTTGATTACCCTTGCACAGAGACGGGCTGACGTCATCGCCTGTGCTTTCCCCCGTATAAACAAGTCCCGCGACAACCCTCGATTTTTTTGATTTACTATCTGCTTCCGCTTACCAGATAATGAGAAATACACTACTTCCAAGATTTCTAAGATATTCAAAAATTCCTCATGTCTAACCAAGATCAGGTTGCCCAGGTGAAAACATACCATAAAAAAGCATCCGGCTATGCCTGGTTAACTGTGAACAAACACAAGCGGGAAAGCGATTTGAAACTATATGGGAGTTGCTTTTGGTACGGTTGAAGCTCTGGCGTTACTAGTGACGCAAAGCCAGACTAATATTTCTATCCCGTCTCATAGTCCCTTCGTCCAACGGGTCTGGATTGCCCTCGAAGTGAAGGGAATACCATACCAGTATATTGAAGTCGATCCTTACAAGAAGCCACAATCATTGTTAGACGTGAACCCGCGAGGATTAGTCCCAGCAATTCGCCATGGCGACTGGGGATGCCATGAAAGCACCGTGTTGCTTGAATACGTAAGGACCATTCGTTCGGTGGTGAATCATAACATGCTCAATATTGATAGGTCGAGGAACTGGACACCCGAATATCCCTATTACCTCCACAACAACCGCAACTCCGAGCTCACTGTCGACTATGGGCTGATCATGTTGGTGTCTCTTTACTTTTTTTTAGGCAGCCGCTAACCCTGCAACAGATCAATCGCAATCTTATTCCATGCTTCTATCGTCTCCTTCAAGAGCAGGAGCTAGAGAAGCAGATTCGATATACCGAAGAATTGAAGGATCACATTGCAAAATTGGTTGATGCCTCTCACGCAACCGGGCCTTTTTTTCTTGGGCAGAGTATCTCCTTTGTTGACATCCAATTTGCCCCATGGATGCTCAGACTAAGCCGCGTATTAAAACCATACCGTGGGTGGCCGGACCCTGAAAAGGGGAGTCGCTGGGCGAAATGGGTGGATGCCATGGAGGCCGATGACCAGGTTATGGCGACAACCAGCTCCGATGAGCTTTACTTGGATAGTTATCAGAGATACGCTGGTACGTCTTTTGGAATGCTCCGCTGATGTGCTTGTCTTCTCGCCCGCCTTTGCTGATTGTGAAATACAGAGAATCGACCTGACACATCGATGCTTGCAACTGCGATTAACACTGGCCGACCATTGCCGTAGAGAGATATCCTCATTGTAGTTGTTTTTAAGACAATCATACGATATATGAGGACCCGCGCCCTTGTATAGTGCGGCCCTGGTCCAGAAATTGAACCATAGACTCCCGTCGTGGGCCTTTACTGAGCACCGGATTGCTTTTTGCTTGCTCTTATGCCGTTTATTCATGTGTGGCACTCTGAATATTTTATCCATGCAGCGCAGTATTACCCACGTTGAGCGAAACCAAATCCGCCCGGTCCGCTTTCCTCAGGACCTCTCGGACTTCGTATAGGTACTTGCGGTGGCGGTGACTGTGGTTGTGATTTTGTTTCTCTTCGTTTTCCGTTTGAAGCAGGTTTGGGCGACGAGTTTGGATCGAAAAGCTGTTTTCCCTTAGCATTTCTTGGTTCCCTTTTATCACCTCTATCTCTACAGTTCGCATTTGAGCGACCCTTGCCTTTCCATCTCCCTTCACTTGCATGCTGCTGTCGCGGTGGTGTTGTGCTACCCGGTGACGATGCACCAGAACCGGCATTAGAGCTACCAAACAATCGTTCTCTGGCCTCTTCGTACTTGCGTTGTTTCTCTTCTCGTTCTCGCTTCGCAATAACATGGCGTTCTTCTGCTGTGAGAGGTCTTTGGTTTTTACTTTCGCTATCAGAATCATCTCCATCCTCAGCCTCGTTCTGATTATTACCGTTGCTGGCAGGGCGCGGAGATATGGTCACTCGCTGAAATCCTATTGTCGCAGCGTCAACCCCAGACTGAGGGTTACGACTGAGGACTTTAACAGTAGGCTTATATTCTGTCCTTAATGGGATGGCGGATCGAGAGTCTAGGAAATGGGATATTTGAGTGGGTTCACTGGCGAATTGGCAGGACAATGTCAGTGTCAGTTTACGTTGATTCAGCGGTGAGCGCATGGAGACATACGCTTCTGCCTCGGCTTCCGCCCATAGCTGTCGATTAAACTCTGCATGCTGAGCGCGGAGTTGAGCTTTCTTTGCTCTCGACGAGAGTTTCTTTTCCGGTTCTTGCTGAGGGGCTGGTGGGGGAGAAGACGGATCTGGGCGTCGAGCCTGTAGTGTATCAGTGGCACGAGCAGATTCATCGTGTGACAAGAAAGTGAGCGCGTGAGGAATAGTTAAGGCAGAAAATGGCAATATATATTTAGAAAGGGAGAGTTGCGATAGTTAACCTACATCAATCTGATCCCAATCATCGTCCCATGCATCTGGTATGTCTTTCACGTCGCTCATCGCAAATAGTGACGGTGTGGTGCGTTTTGGGGTGCAATGGGAGTATTCAGGAGGAAGACGGATGGAGAACCGCAATAAAGAGCGTAGAGCAGCAGAAAGGTATGTAGTTGACGAGCTTTGTCTCTATTTTGGGACCGGCAAAGGTCGAGCCGCCCAACAATGAAAGAGAGTTTGAGCGAAGGCGGAGAAATCGGAAACTCATTTTTGTTAACCACGCCTCAGCGCTGTACTCGTATTTTATGTAGCTCTGGTATCAGCATGCAAGGCACGCACCTCGTTTTGAAGTCTGTGCCCCCTAACCCTACGCCCTTGTAACTAACTACATGACTATAGGTCTTGATTACGCTCCCGTTGGCCAGGGGCGTGGAGCAATCCTAAACCAACTACTCCGTACATAACACGGTATCCAAGTGGCTACAATGAGTAGAGGTGAATTCAGCTGCTTTCTATGCCTGTCTACGATCTGGAAGTATCTAAAATATGGACTTTGTGCTGGTGTTCCCAAGTTTCCCTACTAATACCATACTCCACCTCCCCCAGTTCGGTGCCGGGCAAAGGGTCATCGAAGTGCAAATGGAATGTCCGTTCAAGGCCCATTCCGCATTTTTCCATGACTCTTCTTGACTGATAATTGACAAACATTGTCTGTCCAAAGACCCTCTCCACAACAACGTCCTCCTGTTCGAATGCATATCGGAGAAGCGTTTTGCTCCCTTCCGTGGCCAAACCTGTACCCCAGAATTGACAACGTAGCCTGTACCCAAGCTCAAGAGTTAGTGGATTGCTCCCACTAACAGCCAAGGCAAACCAGCCCAAGAACTGGCCGCTGGCACGGCACAGCGCAATCCAGCGGCCAAAACAAGGCCAGCGAACGTAACTAGAGAGTATTCTCGCAACTTCATCACGCACCTCGCCTTCTTCTGGCGGAAAACGGTTCAAATACTTCATCACATCCTTGTCATGGTTTAGTAGATTCATCAGGGACTCGTCCGATAGTTGAAGGCGACGGAAAGCGATGCGGGGTGTCGGTGGGGGGGTTTGGTGTAGTGGATTCACCATTGTCACTAACATCCGATCGGGCTATGAGAGGGAGGTTTGGTAGTTATAGATACCATGTTGATGGGTAAAGGGTTGGCCTTCATGTTTGTATGTGCTACAATGGAATGTTTGTTTTATAAACAAAGATCTGGAGGTTGAGAGGCACTTCACGTGAGATAAGTAACTACATTTGAAACTACTGGAGATACTGTAAGCTTACACCTGAGCACGAAGGTCCAAGACATCAGTCGAGGCTGACAGTCAAGCAGCAAGCTCAAATAAACCGGCTTACTCGGGATCCAGAATAGAACCCAGCTAGACTTTTTTTTTCCGGGCTCCAAACAGCACAAAATGGGTCTGCTTGCTCCAACCCACCCCGCATCCCATGTAGACTCTAGCTCTCCAGCACTAACATATGAAAACACACCTAGACCGCGATGGTGACTCTGAAATGCTATCCTCTTCTGAATCCTCCGGATCCTCTGCTGCAATCAATCCCATCCCCCAGACACCCACAGACCTCGCACTCAACACCCCACAGGCGTCCCAGCAACATCAGCAGTCCACAGCAGCAGCAGCAATCGGCCTGGACGGCGGTCTCCCAACTCCAGGAGCTGGCGGCGTCGGCAGTGGTGGAAGCTCATCCATATATCCAATTACAGAGTCTACGAGTGCCGCCGCCGACGAAGCAGCCCCTTCAACAATGTCTGTTGATGACCAGTCCAGTCCCACACAAGCCAAAAGTGAAGAAGCCTTAATACTAGAGGGTGAACCGGGGGCGTCGTGGAATACAGCCAAAGCACAGGAAGAATACCAACAGATGATGACAATGGTTACTGATAGGGATTTCAGTCTAAGTCTGTTCTTGGGGTCCACTTAAAGTGTAGCCTGAATTCCTAACCACTATATAGATGAATTTGGCGATCCGTTTGACGACAGGGATATGGAGATGGGTGATAAGTTGATTTGATTGTTGCTTTAACTGTTGGTATTGTTGAGCATTTCAGGAGTACGAGGTGTCTAGGCGGGATCTATGATCGGATTCTCATTTCAAAAGCCAGGAGAAATATACTATGCATATGTTAGCCCTTTGCCGGTGATTAAAGGCTCCAAGGTATTGCGTAAACTGAGTTACTCTTTAGGTAAATACTCAGACATCATATGGTAGTTATATTGGAGCTAATGAGGAGTACAAAAAATGAAATGTGTGATAGCACAACAGCCAAGCGCAAGCATTTATAAGGGCAGGTATAAAGTCAGCATAAAGAAGAATAACGATGCAGAAGAAAAGAAGCAGACATACGCCACCAGTCATTGCTCCATGCTTATTTTCCACCATGAAATGCTGATCAAGTACATACCATACAATGCTAGGAACAGCGCTGGCTAAATAGACACATAAAAATACAATGCATAATCAATGACATCGTAAGAATTGAAATGTCGGAAGAAAACCCTCCTACCAGAGTAGAGTTTCTCGGTTGTGGTTGACGTTTTCCTGTAAAGCCTGTTGGGGAATCAGAAATCGCAATGAGGGTATGCCGAAAAAAAGTTCTTCAAGTTGGGTAGGTATCACTGATTGAACGAGTAATAAGCATGCAGGCCGCTAACAGTACCATCGCATACGGGGATTTTCCTCATTCCCCACCAGGTCACACCTAATTTCCACCACCGTCGCGTGCTGGGGCGCGGTAGTCCCAGCGGTGGTTGTCGAACATACCAAGTTCGCCTTCCTGGTTTGCTAACAGTCCAGCCGTTAGACGAGGGTCGACCGCGTAGGGGAGATACGACCCTCTCTGTCAACTCAATTACATGCAACGGAAAACTTTGTTCCGTGGCAAGCACGCATAGCCTCGTGTTAAGGAGCGTCGCTGTAGTAATATGCGGGTTTCGTGTAAGGTCCAGATAGCGCAATTTGGGATGAACCCATTCACTGTTGCTCTCGTTTCTGCTAGATGCAGGCTGGCGAATAAAGAATGAATTGATATCGTTGATGGTGATCTTCGCCGAATCAAGACCAAGCTCTTCAAGATGTTTGGACAGTTGAAGAAGCATGGGCATGTGGGCAGACGTGATTCTCGCTCCCCCGAGATTAAGAGATCGCAATGTTGGGGTGAGGTGAGGTAAGAGATTTACTACGTCCTCTTCCTCAAGAAGCCCGTGGGTGGAAACATCAGACATGAGATTCAAGTACACAAGTGTATCGGTTACTGCCGGATGGCTATTCAGAAAAGCAACAACTCCGGCCCCCCTCAGCCGCGTGCAGAGCGACAAATTCAAGTGCGTAATCCGGGCACTTTCCGGAATCAAGAGCAACGTACTGTTGGTTATTTGCGTATCAGCAACGTCAAGATGCGTCAAATTGACGAGGCGAGGAAACAGAGACCGAAATGCAGCATCGGGAAGACTGGCGCATTTGTGGAGAGAAACTCGCCGTAGGTTTGGGAGCTGTGTAGGAAAATCAGGATCTTCGGTGACTGCCTCCACGAAACCCGAAGAAAAAGTATAAGAGGAGCAGCCACAGAAATCAACGGCACGTAGGCTAGGCATGCCGGACATGACCTTCTTAAGAACGTCGGCATTCAGGTCATTTTCCACGTGCTCCTGCAACAGCAGCTCCTGAAGAATGGGCAACAAATCCAAGCACGCCAACAAAGTGGTTGAGGTCAGGTTCTGGATCTGGCTTATCATCCACTGGCTGCGGCCCGACCAAATGGAGGTAAAGGGGGAGAAATCGAGCCGCCTAACAAATGTCCCAAGGTACGGGTACTGCCTGATCTGAGTCAGTGCCTTGGCAAAGATGTTTGAGTGGTGGATGGTGATGGTTCGGTATAGGACACTCAATGTAGCAGAATGAAGTGCACGGGAAGTCAGAAGGCACGAGACCAAATCGGTATTCCGCGGCGTGCACCCATCTGGCGGGATGTCTACAACCAGATATGACATTATCTGGTCTGGGGGCTTTGGTTAGCACCGAAGAGAAGACTATAGCGGCTGATACGCACCGAGAATTTCAGCAGGCAGCATCTCGATCGGGGCGCCCTCCCGCTCCTCCAGGTCGAAGTTGACGGACATCCCAATACAGGCTACAAGAACGATCTGTCGGGGAGGGTGTCTGAAATCAGCTGAGAGCGCAGCAACATGGAATACTCCGGCCCCGATGCTTTCAAGACAGATCTTCTCAACTCTGGAAAGGACGAGCCCGGCGGGAGAAAGCTGGACCAGGTGCGGCACGTGACCGCTCCTTGCGGCGCATCGCGAACCTTAACCGCAGATCGCGACGGCCATGCAAACCGCCGGTGGCGTGTGCCCGCCGTCCGATGGTGTGGTAACAGACACGCCGCCGATGCGAGCCGCGGGATCGTCTTCTCCATCTGCGAGCCTACGCTATTGTCTGGACGGGGATGGGTGACAGTAGGGCATTGCGATTGCAACTGTGACCCTAGTCGATGCCCAGCATCGGCGCTGATATTGGCCGACAGCCCTTGAAGCTTCGCCCTCCGCGCATTCCTTCGTGGCGGCACAATCGGCTCAGGAGATCGATCACACGTTTGGTTTTATGGTTTCACTGCTACCTCTTGCATTGACCTCTCAAACAATATAGACAAACAACCGAAACCATCTGACACACTCACTCCCCACTCAGAAGTTTCCTGGTTGCATTGTCCCCTGTATCTGTCCCTCTGACCCTTGCTGCAGGTATGTATGTATGCAATTTGTAGGTAGGCACGGAGTACATATGTCCAAATCTGCCTCCTACCAGCTTAGTCGACCGATTAAACCATCCGCCCTCGAATCAAGCCTAGAATGTTCGAGAGCGATACCACTCTTCACATCCTCTTTTTTTCTTTTCTCTTTTTATCCGCCGTCGAGTTATCAAACGGAAATCCGCTCGTTCTCTTATCTGCCCCGGTCCGCCTGCTAATGCGACCCTGCGTACTCGCAAACAGCAAACACCACATACCAATTGCCGAAAGCCCGCCATAAGCCGCTATTGCAATCATAAATGCCACTCCGCCGCCCCAAACAACGAACGTGTAAGCATAGAATGCCGCTATAGCATGGAATATTGACGTGACTAGGAGCGTCGGTACAGCGTATGGGGCTTTGGGGTCAGATTCATCTGCGGAAATCGAGTAACTTGACGTTAGAGGGATGGTCCCTGTTAAGACGATGGACAGGATAGCGAGTGTAATGAGAGCGAAGCCAAATGAGCGCGCAAAGTAGATCTCAAGCTCTGGGTAGCATAATTTAGTGAGTACCGGCTGTCGTGCGTTTTGCGTATCAGCTACCAAAAAGAAGTGACTTACCCGACGGCTCGCGCGGCTTGTCAAGTAGTATAGCAACAATCATTTTTGGCGACGCAATAAGCGGCAAGGCTTGCAAGGACAGCCAGGCTCCTGTGCCATACGTGTACATGTAGAAGACCTGTGCAGGCAGCCTTAGCCTTATTATATGCGAACAAGGTAGAGAGGCTACTCACATCCATTGTTGATCGAAAAGGGTATACTGCAACGAAGGCGGTTTGAATCTCCGTCAACAAGAGTTGTTGTCACTTGTTTGTTTCTGGAAGCTTTGGAGTTGTCGCGTCTTGGTGGCAGATGATGTCATTTCCTTCATTGCGATGATCTGACCGCGCCCCACAATGAAGCTGAATCAATGTATTCTTACGCAGTTAATGGAATAAATCGTTTCTTGGTTGACTCTCCAGTCTGTCTCTCTCCTAGTTTATGTATGTACAGTGAGTTGACCTCCAATGCGGAATCCGCCGTCGCTGATTTTGCGACGCCTAACGCCAATTTCTTCATAATGATCCTAAGTAAAGCCATACAATCCTACGAGGATGAATGCCCTTCGTAAACTGGCTGCCAAAGGTGCGCCCATTATACATTGCCAGACCGTATATATCTGGTAAAACTCTCGTCCCGCTCGCCTCCTGGTGTTTCTGAGGACTCCAGGGCGGCCTTGTACCTCTGGGACAACCCGGCGTCATCTCGTTTGCCAGACGCTGGCTCCTCGTCAGCATCTTCATCTGTGTCGTCATCGTTGTCTTCTTCCTCAATGTCAGATACTGTCTGAGGGTCGCTGGTTTTTTTCCCCGTAGTAATGTTCATGTCCTTGAGTAACTTTCCAAGCTCAACATCCCTTCGAGTCTCCTTTTCTTTCTCTCGTTCAGATCTCTTCTTCTCCAACTCGGGTCTGTAGTCCCGCTCAAACTCTTTTCTCTTTTCCTCAACTGCGTCGAAAAACTCGTCAATGCCTTGACCAGTCATCGAGCTCACGCCCACCACGCTAAGGTGCCGGTAGAACTCTTCCAGCATCAGACTCATGCTATTTAGATAAGACCCCATGTAACCACTTCCACTGCCCATACCCCCCGCTCCGCCTTCAGCTCCACCAAATGCTCCCCCTTCCTCTTCTTCGCGCAGTGCCGCTTGAAATACCTCGAAGTCAGACATCCATTCCTTCGCAAATTCTGCATCCTTGACATCCGTCTTATTGAAAACCAGAATCATTGGAAGCTTCGTTTTGTAAAGTATACTGCATGCATATAACATATTGCTCATGAAAGTGCTGGTTGAGCAGGTCCTTGGCGTATCTATCACATAGGCTATGACAGTTGGAAATGAAGAGGCCAAAGACTCGAGTAAGATGCTTCCTGATGCACTCCATACAAATACTTCTATCTGCCCAGGCGTGTCAACGAGGATATGTTCGAATCGTTTGGCCGACGGGTTCTGGGCAGGATCCGCGAGTGTGCGCTTTTCGAGAATTGAGAGTATTTGATCAACCTTGGTAGCGAAAAGGTTAAGGGACGTTAGAATGCCTCCATTAGGCCCCAGATTGTACTGTTTCATGACTTCTTTGTAGTTTATGGAATCCCGAATATCAATGTTACTTTCGAAAGGGACTGAGTGGACTGCGGGGTCGAGGTTCAGGACATAAGGCGGCTGGTGTTTAGAGTAAAGATGGGAGTTAATGCGCTGCATGAAGGTGGTTTTACCAGAGCCTATATAAACATTCATATTAAGAATATGGCCAGAAGAGCGAGAGGTAAAATATGGTCGGGGAAGTATAGTACACACCTGCCATACCGACGCAGACAACCGCAACCGGTGGCTTTGCCATTTTTGAAAATTCGAATCACAAGTGTGATAATATTAAGAAGCGCTTAATATATAGTTGGCTCTAACCAGCCCTAATACCAATACTCCGTGTGGGTTGCGTGAAGTAGAGGATGCTCGAATATTTAGTTGAGGGGAAGAGAGAAAGAAATTTGAGTTTTGAAGCTTGAGACGTCATCCATGCTCGCCGTTCTTTCGAGCTTCTCGAGTTGCTGAACTCCTTGATCCCAAAATAAATTCGCAGAAGCACCCCAGCATGGCATTGGAAGATTTTGAGCGAGAATTGGCAGAGAGTCAACGAGAAAGGGAAAAGGAGGAGCGTGAGAGACACAAAGAACGCCGACATCGAGATCGCGATCGCGAGCGACATCGAGACAGACACAGTGAAAAGCACAGAGAAGGGGATAGGGATAAAGACCGAGACCGAGATAGAGATAGAGAACATTCTAAACACCATCGCGATAACCCTCGTCATCATCACGCCTCAAAGCACGATATCCACTCTGACGATGAACGCGCGCATCGACATAAACGGTCGCGACACCATTCTTCTAGTAATGGAGACGGGCGAAGCCACAAACGAAGACATAGGCATGAGTCTCAGGTTAAAGAAGACAACATTACAGCTCCAGTAGCCCAGGAAGAGCCCTCCAAAGTGCAACGCGATGCTTGGATGGAGGCGCCCTCTGCGCTTGAAGTGGACTACATTCACCGAAGGGCTCAGAAACCGCCATCTCCAAAACCAAAGATGTTACAGGCCGATTTTGAGCACAAGCTGCACGAGAAGGAGGTGAATAGGCATTTACACGATATCAGAGACCATGACGTTGAGCCTGCTGTTCTTGAGAAACCAGCAGAGCATGAGGTTGACTACACATTTGGGGACTTGGGTTCACAATGGCGAATGACAAAGTTGAAAGCAGTGTATAGACAAGCGAGGGAAAGTGGACGGACGGTTGAGGATGTTGCCATTGAAAGGTTTGGTGACTTGCGCTCATTCGATGATGCTCGAGAGGAAGAGGTTGAACTTGACCGGAGAGGACGGTATGGGCAAGACTATGTCGGAAAGATCAAACCGTCAGGAGAGTTGTATGAAGAACGGAAATTGAAAGTGGGCATAAGGCGAGAAGGAGATGCGGCTTCGCACGCCGAAGATATCGAGAGCTCTACCCTTGCTGACCCCACCGACGTCAATCCTCCCTCTCAGCAACAGAAACCTCTAGATTCTACGGCGTTAAATCGACTTAAAGCTCAGATGATGAAGGCTAAGCTACGAGGAGCTTCTAATGCCAATGAATTAGAGCAACAGTACAGTGCTGCGGTTGCCTTGGCTGCGAATACAAAAGAATCCGACGTTGTCGTTCTTGGGGTGATGGATAATCGGATGCTTGCTGGTGGCCAGAGGCCTGAGGTGAAGCCCGTGGAAAATAAACGAGGAAGAGAGAGGGGTCTCGTGGAAGCAAATGAGGATATGAGTATTGAAGATATGGTTCGGGAGGAACGTAGGACCAGGGGTCAAGCCGGAGGCGAAGGCATGCGATTTGCTGAAAGAATTGCGAAGGATGCTAAGTTTGATGTAAGTGCATACATACATCGATGCTTACCTTGTATCGGTGCTGATGGCTTGTTTTTCGCAGAATGACCTTGAATACATGGATGAGAACGCGGCGAAACTCGCGAAGCGTGTCCAACAATCCGAGTTGAACCTTCGAAATACGGCGATCAATGACTTTCAGAAAATGAATCGCATCCTGGACAATTGCCCCCTTTGCTATCGCGAAGACACAGAGACACCACCGATCGCACCTGTGGTGTCATTGGGTACTAGAACATATCTCACACTCCCTACCGAGCCGGAGCTGAGCGAAGGAGCGACATGCATCGTTCCGATCCAACATCGAACCAATCTCTTGGAATGCGACGATGACGAATGGGAAGAAATCCGAAATTTTATGAAGGCTCTGACCAGAATGTACCACGACCAAGGGCGAGACGTCATTTTCTATGAGAACGCTGCCCGACCGCACCAGAAGCGTCACGCTGCCATGGAGGTAGTGCCGCTACCATACAGCCTAGGGGAAACAGCCCCTGCATTTTTCAAAGAGGCGATTCTTTCGTCAGACGAGGAGTGGACCCAGCACAAAAAAGTGATCGATACTCTGGCTAAGTCTCGGCAGGGCCTTGGGAAAATGGCTTTCCGGCGGACTTTAGCGAAGGAAATGCCTTATTTCCATGTCTGGTTCGGGCTTGACGGCGGATTGGGCCACATTGTCGAGGACAGCAATCGCTGGCCACGTGGAGATTTGTTCGCGCGCGAAATCATTGGCGGGATGCTTGATTTAGAACCAGATGTCATCAAACGGCAGGGTAAATGGCAGAAAGGTGGAGATCGCAGAGTGGAGGGCTTCAAAAAACGCTGGCGCAAATTCGACTGGACAAGAATTTTAGCCGAAGGATGAGGAGTGCTCGGCTGATCGATCCGTGAATTGAATTTCGGGGGAGATGGGCCATTGCCTGTGAGACATGAGATTGGCCAATCGTCGAATCAAGGGCTGCAGGACAGCAAAGGTAAATAAATGCTACTTGTCAGCTTTTACGTGAATATCGGCTGTGCCTGTCGGGCGCGGACTAGGGTTATTTGGTTCAGACGAAGCCTGGGCTTGCATATCAACAGCATCGTCGGGTTTACACAAGCTGGATAGCGAGAAAAAAGCAAGGCATCGTACCACAGCAACAGGTGGTTACAGCGTTGGCTCTCGAGCTCGCCAGCGTCGTGCCAGCTGATGTATGTATATATACATTCACGCGTAGCTAGTAGGCGTCGTTTCCAGCCACAGGGAGAGCCGGGCGGGCCGGACACGCAACGCTCCTAAACAGCCTATCATCACTTGAGTTTGTGCGCTTTTCCATGGGCAGGATTTCATTCGAGGCCAACGGGATGCCCGTCCCGACCGAAGTTAGGCGGAACCCAGATGGCGCAGCAGAGCAGCTGAGCTAGGCGCACCTTTTGCCTGTCTCGTGGATCTCCATCCTCTGTCAATCATGCACAATGCGACCAGGCTCGACCCCATTACCACCGCCCTCGTCCTGGGCCGGTCGCAATGCGGTGCCAGAGCCCAAGACGGGTCGGCCGGGTTAGAGTTCGGGCGAGTTGGATATTCGCCCCATCGCGTGCGGGATGCTGAGACTCCAAAGGACGACTAGCTGGTTGACCAGACACCTTATCCCTTCTGGCCGGACCTGCTCTCCGGATACTTAAAAAAGCTTAGAAGCCCGTGGCCAGCAGCTAGTTATTAATAATAGTCGGCAATTTTCCGCTTTCCAGGTTGAATATCTTGTCGTCTGAGCTATACTACAGGGATATATTAAGTGACTCGTCGATATCTTTACCGAGCGTTGAAAAGACACACATAGCCGGCTGGCTTGATCTGACTATCTAAAAGCCGTTTTACCCGGCATATGCAAATAGACGCCAGTTCGCCTCTGGAGCTGTAGACAATATTGCGCTGAAAACATTTTGCTTGTGCTCACCAGACAATGGGATCCAACTGGCGGCCAAAAGTCCTACTGCTAGGCAAAATCGAACAGTACGTCCCTTTCATGCTGGCACAGTTAAACATTCAAATGGCAAATAGCAGAGCTTGTCTTTTATGTGACACCTGATGCCTGTCCCCGTTATGCTGCTACCCATGTCGGATTTTATTTTTGACTGACGTTACGGCCATCGCAGTGCGCATAATGCGTGGAATGCGCTCTCGGATGTCGCAGATCTGATAGAGCCTCAATCCACGAATCGACAGGACTTCGTTGAGGAGTGTCGCAGTGGCCGCCTCGATGGAGTTGTAGTGGCATATCGAACATTTGAGTCCGTGAGCATTACAGGCATAATCGACGATGCCTTGGTAAATGCACTTCCAAAGTCCATGAGATTTCTTGCGCACTGTGGTAGGTCATAATGAGCATTTTCGTTTTTTTTTTTTGCATTTTTAATGTTACAATCATATGGAAATGCCTTTTGTGTGCTTTCTCGATCCCTTTTCCGCCTGACTGTCCTATTTTTGGATGTTGGTCGTTACCCTCATTTTATGGCCAGAGCACTCAACATTATACCCCTAGGCTCGGGATATGACCAGGTCAACGTTCAAGCATGCAGTGCGCGGTCGCCCCCGCTCATGGTATCGAACGTTCCGACCGCCGTGGATGACGCCACCGCTGATGTGAACATGTTTCTAATCATCGGCGCACTACGAAATTTCAACACAGGTATGCAAGCCTTGCGAGAGGGAAAATGGAAAGGCAAGCCGCTCCCAGTCTTGGGCCATGACCCACAGGGCAAAACGCTGGGCATCCTTGGTATGGGCGGCATTGGACGAAATCTAAAGAGAAAGGCAGAAGTGTTCGGGATGAATGTTATCTATCATAACCGTAGACAGCTGACCGAGGAGCTTGCTGATGGCGCCCAATATGTTACATTCGACGAACTACTCTCACAGAGTGACGTATTGAGCCTGAACTTGCCCTTGAATGTAAGTTTTTTTCCTCCTCCCTCCTTCAGCAATTACTAACCACGCTAGAACAACACTCGCCATATCATCAGCACGGCCGAGTTTGCGAAAATGAAGGATGGCGTCGTCGTTATCAATACTGCGCGTGGTGCTGTCATGGACGAAGAAGCGCTAGTTCAAGCACTCGACACTGGCAAGGTATTCTCGGCAGGGCTTGACGTTTTCGAAGCGGAGCCGGAAGTGCACCCCGGGCTCCTACGCAACCCCAATGTCATGCTGGTCCCACACATGGGCACTTGGACAGTGGAAGTAAGTTATTCCCCGGGCCTCTCGGAGAAGCTTAATATCTAATCCCGCGTTTTTTGGCAGACACAAACAGCAATGGAAGAATGGGCTATCGGGAACATCCGACACGTGTTTGACACGGGTCGTTTGAAATCTCCCGTTCCTGAGCAAGCTGGGCTCCAAATTTAAGCCGAGAATCTCTCTTCTCTTGCTTTCTCCGCATTTCATTTCTAAAGGGATAGAATTTTGGCTAGAGGATCATTTGCAGAAGTTAATACAAGCAGTTCGGTTTTGAAAAAATGTACCTACCTGTACGATGGATGTTTTTACGGTTTTATTTTATTTTATTTTATTGCCAAACAATCTGCCGCATTGCGTACAGTACCCTCTTCCGTGCTAAGGGCAACCTGAATTTCAACATATGCTAATACGTCACCTCGTCCTTGCCTCCCCGCTTCCATCATTAATAATTAGTTATAGGGGTAGTCACAAAGTTGCGCGTCAATCCACACGCATTTATGTCTCATATATCATCTGAGACACAACGTCACAAATTAAAGGAATAAAGTATATTTCTATTACTGAGTTTGATGGGTGCAGATAGGGAACTAAACCAGCACTTATTGGGAATGCTGTAGACCATCATGGCTCTGGGTCTTCCGAAGTTATGTCTTCAATGTCTCTCTTTATTATTTTTTGTGTATGTGGTCTGCAAAGACATATCCATTGAACATCTTGAGCATTGTATTGGAAACTATCCAATTTTCTAACAGTCCTACATTCCGACTCCCCTCATTACCTCTCGGCAGCATCGACCATTTGCATTTCTCTTGTCAGACCCGATAAATACTATTTATTTGGCACAAATGCCTCCAAATTACAAGATACTCTGAGGAGCTGCGACACCGTCGTGCCCACCCATATAGAAACAGGTTCTCAAGAAATGTAAGCGAATCGACTAAACCCATCTCCAGGTTTTCTCCTTTTCCTACCAACATCTTCACAATCTTATCAAGGCCTATATCATTTGCTTTCGTGCCATTTGGGGCAGCTGCCATTAATAGAGTAACCCTATTAATGCTCCATGTATCAATAACTGTATTTTTAGAGCCACAATTTATAGAGGTTTCTGATTCTTATCGTTTATTGATTTAATGTCTCCACCATATTAAGTAAAATCGATCTAGTTAGCAGCGACCACCTGGAACAACACTTTAAAGTGGTGACTGATCCATGCAGTTTGTTGTGTGTTAATATTGCTGTAATACCATGATTATTTTTCTCTGAAGCAATCCAAAGCGGTTCTTGCTTCAAGCTATTTTCTGAGCGCGAAATGTGACAAATCACACAGCAGAAACTTGCTCAACAGGTGTATAATCATAAATCTCTTTATCTAGTCTAACTACTGACAGCATAAATACTGTCATAGCTGAAAATTACATATTGAGATAATTTCTTGCATCCAAAGTTGGAATAATTGATAATAAAGCCTTCTGTTCAGCTTAAACCCTGGGAACAAACGAATCTGTAATTTGATCCATTTTAGATAGAGAAGAAACCATGGAAGGATATTGTAGTTGTCTGTTCATCCTTGTTGTAAATGCATTGTTGGAACTTGGAACATAGCTTTATAGCCATAAATAGATTCTGAGCACATATCAATGATAACTAAGTCACAGGTTGTAGGCATAGCAAGACAAACAAGTCAGAACCTTGCCCTGAGTTTGTACATAAGAGGTACGGGATATACTTCGCAAATATCTTTCAGCTTCTGATATCTCCTGATATTTGAATGGGTCGTTATGTTGTGGAGATCAACACAGCTATCGTTGCTTAAGGCTCTGCATTTTCGACATGCCTTCACCACACCGTATCTTTTGAATGGACTCACGTAGTGATTGTTATGGGCGTTAAAAAAGTGTTTAAAACATGGACTGGGGAGTCATTGGACTGGCCAATCAAATCAAGCCGTTGGCGATTAACTTAGTTAGTTAACTAACTAGTTAACTACGGAGTACTAAACCATTTTTGTTGTCGGGGCCTTGCAACAACCCTCCGACTATAGTGCAATTCGGAGTACACTGTGGCATTTTATGCATGGGTATCAGTCATTTCTCGGAATAAGGTCTTAGCAGAGCGGGTGGCTGTCGTACGGGGTGAAAAGTCTTAACACTGTCGAGGGGTGCCGATTCGTTAACTAGTTAGCTCCAATGCGGGTTTATGCCCTGAACTTCTATAATCATCTGTCGTCTGGCTTGCAAAAACGCAGTTAATTCTACCACTTAGCCTACACCTATACCTAAATAACCACAGAGCGGCCCTGTTGCCCAACGTGATGGACGCTTCCTTCGTGGCGTCTTCTACCGACTTCCCCGCTATGCGCACAAACACACGGCTATCCTATGATAAAGCTCTGTGTACTGTTAGGTATGTAGGCGAAGTGCAAGGGACAAATGGCAGCTGGCTGGGCGTAGAATGGGATGATCCATCGAGGGGAAAGCATTCCGGCGAATATGGCGGAGTAAAGTATTTTCAATGTAGCCCTTCCTTCGTCTAGCCCAGCACTCCCTACAAAAGCTGATTTGTTCCTCAGGCAAGAGTAAATCTCCCACTGCAGGCTCATTTGTACGCCCTGGGAGACTAGTGGACAAACCACGAGGCTTTTTAGAAGCACTTCATGGGAAGTATGTTGACCCGAATGTGGTTGACCCTCCATCCGGACACGGCGCCTCGAAGGCCAGCGCTGCGGACCAACCAATTAAAATAAGCGGAAAAATTGTTGAAGAAGTCGGATTCGAAAAGATTCGAAAGCAGCTTGCCGCACTGCAAGAGCTCAAAATCGTCATCTTAGATGGTATGCGGATTCGAGGCGTGCTTGTAGAAGACCAGAGCGACACGTTACGTTCGGAAGAACTGCAAAACATTAAAGAAACCTGTCCAAAAATTATAGAGCTTGACCTCAGCCGTAACCTACTACAAGACTGGAAGGAAGTAGCAGATATATGCGAACAGCTAGACGAATTGCGATGCCTGAAGCTGAAGTAAGGCTATCTATTTCATATCCTGTCACTAGATGCTAATATCGTTATTAGTGGAAATCGTTTTGCCAGCATCGATAGCGAGACCTTACTACGAGGTGTAAGCGAATTATTTCTTGAAGGAACACTCTTGACGTGGGATGAGGTAAGTTTGATTGACCACTTCCCAATCTCTATGTATCTTGCTAACGTGTAGCAGATATCTAAGCTTTCGCATCAGGTTCCTAACCTGAGCAAGTTGTCCCTGTCTTCTAACCAACTGTCATGTATTTCTACACCGATATCAAACACGATCACGGAGTTGTCACTGGAGTCGAACGACTTTGACTCCTTACAAAGTCTCTCTCATCTGGCTTCTCTCCCACACATGAATCGCCTTTCTCTCCGTCGAAACAACATTAACAAAATTTACGACAACAAAGGTGATACTCCTATTCAATTTTCACCTACACTGACAACTTTGGACATATCTTTCAATCTAATTGATTCCTGGTCTTCTATTGATAATCTCCCTCTCCTTTTTCCTGGCTTGTTAAACCTTCGTGTGTCTGATAACCCTTTATATGAACGGCCACCCGCTCCGAAAAATATAACAGGCCAAACACAAAGATCTATGACGATTGATGAAGCGTACATGCTTACTCTTGCGAGGCTTCCCCATCTGCAAACATTAAACTACAGCAAAATAGCTCCTCAAGATAGAACTAACGGGGAGCTCTATTATCTTTCACTTATCCGGAAAGAATTGTCAGCCTTGCCGGCCAGCGAGGAAAAGCAAATAATATTGTCACACCCTCGATATATGAGCCTATGTGAAGTATATGGCACTCCAGAAATCATAAGAACCGAGAGTGATGGCAGCGCTCATCCTAATTCCTTGGCTGCCAAACTTGTGACATTTACTTTTTACAGGAAAGATCACAGTACATTTACCCTGGCGGACGAAAACGACAAGATCCGTTCTATACAAACGCCAGTAGAGCTGAAAAAAGAGATACCCAGAACATTTGACATATATCGCATCAAGGCAATCGTCGCCCGCCACTTTTCTCTTCCGCCCCTGGGTTTTCGATTGATATGGGAGACGGAAGAATGGGATCCCGTCGAAACCGGAACTGCAGAAGAAGATGAATGGGATAGTAGCGACGAAGGAGACAGCAAATTTGTCAAAGAAGGCGCGATTAAACGGTTCGTTCGTCGGGAAGAAGAATTTGTAGATTCCATGAGGGCAGTTGAGCATTGGTTGAGCCATGATACTCGTGAGGTTCATGTTAGAATAGAGATGCGCTAAAAACCACATTTCCTGATAGGCTAGCTATCAGACGACCAAGCAACTCGACTAAAAAGGTGACCACCTTAGAGGTCATTCAGCATTAGTCATTGTCTGTCTGTTCTAACACTAGCCCTTCCGGCCTTCCCTACAAAGGTCCTTTCCTCTCCGTCTTACGTCACATGTCCTGATGTAGGTATATATGACAAAATGGTATATGTGATAAAGTATTAGTTAGGCGGATTAGAATAATACCTATGCCCTAGGTAAGATGGATGGACTCTTGTTTTATATCCACCGTGTATGAATGGTCCGATCTTCGTTTAGAATTGTTTCATGATTCAAATGGCAAGGCATGCGAATATCCACGGTATTTGCTCCTCATCAAGGTATATTTAGCAAGGGGAAACGAAACGCTAAAGCGGATTAGATATACATCGTAGTGCTATCTTAAGATCAAGACAATTATGCGGCAGTCGATATAAGGAGCCAGTCATTTACTCCGTAATGTTGATCAATTCAATTTCTTAAGTCGATATTTTGAGTTAGGCAGAAATATCTCGTCAGATCCAGAAATTCCGTAGTAACAGAATGAGAAACTTCTTCTAGTAGGGATCCCGCGGCGCTCAGTATCATATCACAGCTCCGGAAGGGCCGTATGAAGTAAGGAGGAGGAGTTGTCAACGGCCATAGCGGACGTCTAGTCGGAGAAATATTAAGCCTTTTCCGGAACTTTAAATCGTCCAGCCGCTTTCAGATGTGACGGCGCAAGCTCAGGCGGCTGCGGGCTTGCAAAGTCGCCTGCTTTTACTAGTTATTTATTAACGGTCGATTTCTTAAATATCGTTTTTTTTTTTTTTTTTTGTCAATTTCAGTGTTATCTGACAAGAGCCGAGTTTGCCAGTATACTCTCGATGGGCTCGTAAATAGGTCTTGCAATGTCCGAGTATTGGAAATCGACAGTATGTTCGTCATTTCTAAAGGAGTTGGAGCTAACACATCTACTAACTCATCTCCTTCTAGCCAAAATATTGGTGTAAACACTGCAAAACCTATGTTCGTGATACGCCATATGAGCGCACTCAGCACGAAGCCACAGGCAAACACCAGGGAAGCTTAAAACGGTTTCTTCGCGACGTTCACCGCTCTCAAGATGCCGACCAAAAGCAATCGCAAAGAGCAAAAAATGAAGTTGACAGGCTAAAAGGTCTTGTTGCGTCTTCACTGGGTACTGGCACGCCAGAAAAACCAGCACCATGGAAACGTAGCAGCGTAGGCGCGAGTGGGACGTCGGCATCGGCCAGCGTAAATAAGGAACAAAGAAAAAAGCAAATGGAGCAGCTAGCTGGGATGGGTGTTGCGATACCTGAAGAATATCGACCAGAGATGGCTATGGTTGGTGAATGGACTACGGTTTCTGAGGCCCCCGTCTCGGATTCGATCGGTGCCAATTCTGTCTTGGTGAAGGGCGTGAAGAGAAGGAAAGTTGATGGCGAGGAGGAAGATGATGAAGAAAACCTTGGGCGCTCTGGATCTGAACGGGCGCGCCCAAGGAAGGCCTGGGGCTCTACCTTCAAAAGCCATACGGGCACTGGAGAAGATGATGATGGTGAGCTCGACGCTTTGCTCAGTATGACAACTCAAATAGGTAATAAGCGAACGAGAGTGAAGCCTGAGCCTCAGGACAGCCCTGTGAAGCAAGAGGAAATCAGAGAAGCAGACGAATCCGTCTCAATGCCTGAAGATGCAACTGTGAAGATTAAACAAGAGGATGATAGTGAGCACATTGTGCCAAAAGGTGGTACGCCGGATATTTCGGCGGGCCCCCCAGCCGAGTTTGTGGGAGAACCTACTCCAACGGTCATATTTAAAAAGCGTAAGCCAAAGCAGAATAAGAAATAGAACAACCAAGAAAGGTATTACGGCTACCATTGGACGTACTATCACGTTACCACAAAATTACCAGCCTAGGATCTAGCAGGTTTTGGCCGATTGAGGCGATGAGGTATCGATATCGACTTCACCGGTGAGCCTTGCTGTAAAATCGTATTGGGGTCATAGCTAATGCCGGTTTTAGAGTTGGCAAGGGGCTTCAGACAAGCACTCGCATTTCCAGCAATAGCGCAACATACGTGATGCTGGGGTTATTGCCCATCCGGTCCGCTCCCTAATACCAGGTAGCGCTCATTTGAGACAGCTTCTTTTTTCTGTGTATTTAGATGAGGCGCACGGAAACCGACGTCCGAGGAACGTTTGGCAAAATGTCATACAGAACAGCAAAGTCTGTACGATTTGCAGGTGAAAGTTGATGGCATGGTGTTTCTTGCTTCATACAGCAGCGCCTATGGACATGGAACACAGAATATACCATAACCAAGATGGGACTGAAGTTACAATATGTATTACCAGCTTGAACTGAGTGTTAAATATCTGCCCCAGCAGCTGCACTCAAGGGTCAATTTTCAATCTAATTATATCTATGAATCCTCAATTTTTTTTAAGCATATCATGCATAGACCATCATCTAGAACTTATTTATTATTTATTGCATATCTTTCATTTGATGCTGCTGCTTACATGACTGGCATGATTCACACAACTACCATATAATTTTGACTTTCACTTAAGTTTTGATCTCAACTCTGTTCTCACTACGTCGTTCACTCGGTGAATGCTGGTAGCTTGGCATCAATCACCACTTGCATTTTTGCCAGCCGTTCTGGTCTATCCTTCTATAAGAACTCGCACTTGTACAGCACCTTTATATATTTCAGGCTTTAGGGCTATTTTTTGTTCTTTATCAAAATTTTCTTCTTCTTCTTCTTTTCTTCTTTCCCGTTTTTATTTCTCCTGCTGTGTACCTTACTGGCTGTGCTGTTTGAGAATTTGATATGACCTTAGCACAAAAATACCACTGATCTGGTGAGTTTGACCTTTCAAAAATATGCTTTTTTTAATAAATGCACATGGTTGAAGCTTTAGACAAACTTGTGGGGACTGTAGGAGGCTGTGAAGCTGTCCACTGCAGCTACTTATCTTCTCCTCACCTGCGACAGATTGGTTATGTTTTCGCGCTCAGTGCAAATACCTTCTATCCTTGCATTTCCTACTTACATAGCTTCTTTGAATTGGCTGTTGTTTTCTCATGTTCATTTTTTATCACCTGACAACTTCCGTTCTGGCCTACTTCGCTCTGATCCGCTGCATTCTAATCTATTCTATTACTGTCTATTTCACTCTAATATATTGCGCTATGGCTAACGATAGCTTGCTAACGGTTGCAGTTCTGGATTCCTCTTTTCTTCTCTGCCTGAGATTGCCAATATCGCACTGTGACCCTACCTTACGACCTCTGCCCCCAATATCCCCTCAATTGAAGGAATGCCGTGTGGCACCCATACCCGATTTCAGATAAAACCGTTTACCGTGCGGTAAAATCGGCAGAACTGGGAAGGTATAAATAACTTGTGCTGTTCACGATGGCGGACTCGGGTCTTTCGACGACGTTCAAAACGGATGCTTCGCAAGATATTGAAATGGCAGATGGTCCCATGGCATCGCTGCTATTGCAATCTACTGCTGCAGACCAAACCACTCCAGCACAGGCTTCTTCTATTCCCGCTCCCGTAGGCACATCATCCGGAATGAATTCCCAAACCTATCCGGCTCTTCCTGCGATTTCCCAGTCGGCGACTGCCTTCGCGGCACAAATAAATATCCAGCAATCAGTCGGCAATGCGCTCCAGCAAATACCCACCTCGTCTGCTCCCACCTCGAACGACCTGTCTCAGGCAAGTCAGCCACAGCTCCTTCCAGCCAGCCAGCCCAGTAACCCGTCCCCGGCGCCACCGGCACCGTCCAATCCGCAGATGCACATGGGCACCATATCTATGGCTATACCATCGCAGCAGATAGCCGGATATTATTCAGAAATGCCGTCAAATCCGCAAAACTCCGACGGGTATGAGCTGATCAGCGATGGCGGAGGTGCGGCGGCTGGGGGCCGCATGGGGAAAAAAGACGTGAAGCGGCGGACGAAGACAGGCTGCCTGACGTGCAGAAAACGTAGAATCAAGGTAAGCAGACCCTTTACGTTGGCCAGCGCTGGTGAGAGTCGCGTTGTGTTTTGGGCGTTAAGCGCTGGGCGATGTTGCCGCGTCCTACTCGCTTAATCGCTTATGCAGCGGGGACGGGCTGGCTTGCCCCTCCACCAACCGCCAGCCCAGCAGTTCATCATCTCGATCGCAACTGCTGGGCTTCCTCTGGACACTCGTATTTTGTTTCTGTTTGTTGCGCATTTGCCTGTATGTTCGCGCTAGAATCGCATTTCGCTGAAGCTTACTTTGCTCGCCGGCCTTAGTGCGACGAGCGGCATCCCATTTGTCGAAATTGCGAGAAGAGCAAACGTGAATGCCTGGGCTACGACCCCGTCTTCAGAGCACAGCCAGGCCCGTCGGTCATCCAGCCGGCTCCGTCGCAGCAGACTACATTCCCCGTCGCCGCGCCGCAAATCCCTCCGCCGGTCGCTCCCCCATCTAATCCTGTCCATCTTGTATCAGCACCCCCGTCAAATTCCCCATCGATACCCGCCACACTTCCGACGGTACCTCCCGCTCCTCCGGCACCGGCCGCAGCGCCTCAGCGGCCCGAGCAGCGTAGTCAAGCTACAAGTGTAAGCTCGACTCCTGCAGCAGCACCATCGCCTAGTGTTCCCCCAGCGCCCGAAAATTTTGAGCATTTACTCATGGCAAACGCCATCAGTGAATGCCGCAATCTTGAATGTAAGCATTCTATACTCTTCCCTTGACATATTGCCGCTGATCTGCGTTGGTAGTGCACCATATCAATATTGATGACTTGCTGACTGTGAGCGGTCGACTGGAGCCGCTCCCGGAGGGTTTAGAGCTGTCAGCCACACGTGTGGAGGAGTGCGCTAAGTTTGTTGGAGCCTACTTAACATGTATAGATGTCTTTCTGGAGACCCATTGGTACGAAACTGGAGCTCGCCCATTCTTCCTTGCCAACAAGAACCTTCTCGCCCATGTTTCTATTTTCTTAGACTATGTTCTTGAAAGAAGATGGAACGTGGACCCTGATTGTGTACCATTGATGGAAAGTCGGGAAGCTCGCTTTATTTGGGATGCAATGGCGCTATGCCTAGAAGCACGAGCGCAAAATAAGGGTGCTGATGGCAAGCCTAAGCCAGAAGATCCGGAGCTAACCCTCGCTATAAATCGTTTCAAAGTCGTGGAAGCTCTGCTCACTGGTAAAATATTAACAACGAACCCTACCTCGGCGCCCGAATATGGCGGGGATGACTCTGCCTGGCTGTCAGTTGGGCTAGGAGTCCAGCTCAAACGTCGCCAAATGAAATTCTGGGATGCCATGGGGCAGTATCTTGTCATTGCGGACGATATGCCTGAATGCAATGTTTTGCGCGACCTTGCATTGATGGATGCCCGATCCTATTTAGACACGTTTGAGGGCCGTGACACTGTCTACTCGATTGCAGTTATCCGGCACATCTCCCGCTTCCAGCCTCGAAAGGTTAAGAATCTTCCACCTTCAACGGATGAGAAGGATGTCTCAGCAAAACTATATGTTGCGACCAAATTCATCGAAGAAGAAAAAGATGCTAAAGGGACCAGCCAAGTGGTACGGCGGCTTTGTGGCCAGCTCTTTAGATGGTGGGAAAAACCAGAAAACTTGTGATATATTACTCTTTCTCTTTGTACGTTTTCAGGGCATTTTTTATAGAGACATTGGCCTTAGCCTTTCCTACACGATTGATGATAATAGGGCCTTACGAAAGGATAGCATTAACGGTGAGGACGGAGAACTTCTTGGATGTTTTGACTATTGGCGAGGCAAATATATTGTGTATCATTTCCCTTTATGTTAACATCTTGTAATTCTAATTCTATTCTTATTTTCTATGGAGCAATACAGATAATTTCAACCCTTCACGGTGCCAAGCAAAAAAAAGAATGACTAAGCAATCTGGTTGATAACTTTCAGGTTTCTGAGGGAGGGTTATCAGAGACGTCCAATACCAGCACCATGGATTTTCAAGTAAGTAGCAAATGCTATCCCATACATTGAAGCTTGTATTGACCACAAATTCAACTCCATCTAGAATCGAGCGGGCTCCAAATTCGGAGGAGGAGGCGTGGCCTCTCACTCTGCGACCAATGCCGACCGACGAGAACGTCTTCGAAAACTAGCCTTGGAACGCATCGACCTCGACAAAGACCCATACTTCTTCAAGAATCATGTCGGCAGCTTCGAATGCCGACTCTGCCTCACGGTGCATCAAAACGATGGCTCGTACCTCGCCCACACCCAAGGCCGCAAGCACCAGACCAACCTCGCACGACGCGCCGCGCGCGAGCAGAAAGAGGGCAAGACCCAAGTCGCGGATGGCAGCTTACTGCCCGCAGGCATGGGCGGCGTGCAGGTCAAGCGCAATACGGTAAAAATCGGACGGCCGGGCTACAAGATTACCAAGATCCGCGACCCGCTGACACGTCAGCACGGGCTTCTCTTCCAGCTGCAGTACCAAGAGATTACGCCGGGCGTCTTGCCGCGCGTGCGGTTCATGTCTGCGTTTGAGCAGAAGGTAGACGATCCGCCTGATAAGAATTTCCAGTATTTGTTGGTCGCCGCGGAGCCGTATCAGACGTGTGCGTTCAAGCTGCAAGCGCGCGAGGTTGATCGGAGAGAGGGCAAATTTTGGACGTGGTTTGATGAGGATAGCAAGGAGTTTTGGGTACAAATATTGTTCAAGACGGAGCGAGAGGAGAGGTACTCTGGCGTGCCTGGTTTAGCACCTAATTTGCCCCGGCGGTGAAAGTCTCGGGCCTGTCGGAATGGTCTCTTATTGATCCGGGCTTCTTTTTGTTATCATGGAGTTTGGTGTTGGCTTGCATAGTAAATCGTCACGCGGTGGGCCTTTTATATCAAAATGTAACAATCTATGGAGTGTACATACGTGCACTTTGGACAGTGTGGGTATTTCAGTATGGCAGTGCTTTGAAGCCCCGTTCATATTGTTATTCACAATGCATTCAACCCAATTTATACATTGCTTCTCCACAGATAATGGTGTCCTCGTCACCTCAATTACTTCTCATACATGATCGGGCGAATGGAGATCGGAACGGGGATAAGAACAGCCGACTTGGCACATCATAGAAAGTTTCGATTTGGAAAAAGCTTATATAATGGAGGCCGCTTATGTAAGGTATCTAGATGACCTCAGACTCGGGCCGGAACAAGAGCATTCCCAACGCTCCGCGATTCTAGCGGTCAGCATGTGAATCGTTACCCGGAGCACATCCGGCCAGACAAGAGTCAGATCCGCGGCTCCCCCGCATCGAAACCGAACGACAGTGGTGAAGCAATATGAAATCACTTGGGGGCCCACGGTGGGGCCGACTCAACCGGCGAAAACAGGGCTGGGTAAGAACCAAGGAAGGCGGTCAAGCGGACGGGCCAATCAGAGGAAGTTTGTTTATCTATGGGCTGCTGTCGTCATAATGGTCACAGGCCGTTTCTCGAGGCCGATTGTGAATCCAAGCGAACACGACTTGCAGGCGGGATCTGTTAGTGATGGCTCCGATTGCTGTCGAGCGGTGACTGCTCATCAGCCAGAATTTTCGTGTTGTTCCAGCCAGGCAGGCGCCGGGGGGGCCGGCAGCAAACTAGGCAGGGGAAGATCTGTTTTTCCGTCTGACGTAAGGCGGCGCGACATGATTGGCTGCAGGGGGCCCGACTCCACCCGAACCTCGGAACAACGTGGTGATCTTGGCAGCGGCTAGCTGGGTGAGGTAAGGCGCGCCTGATAAGAGATCAGCCCCTTGCATGCGAAACGATCTTGCGGCGAATTTGCAGCCAATCAGCCGCGCCCGGTTACAGGGAGAGCTGTGTGAGCTATTTTCCCGCCGCAGCCTGGCGCAGGGCACTCCTGCGCACACCAGTCGTGCTGTACGCGACAGTATTGATGCCCGATGGCTGGCCTACGACGCACGACGAGGCCTGCGCGAGGGCGCTGAAATGCCCGGGCATGCTCCTTCTACATATATACGCGCAATAAGATTGGGCTTTTTTCGTGGTGTGGGATTGCCAAGCCGTGCCTGGCCGCCTGTAATTCCCCCCGCCAGCGATAAGCACACCCGATAAGCCTATCACTGCGGCCCATTGCTTATCAGGGTTTGGGGGACCATTGGGTGTGGGCATTACCGTCACAAACCACCCGGCGGGCCTGAGACACCTGCCACACAAGCTGGCGGTTGCCAGGTGCATGTGCGCCACACCCACGCTGGTGAAATGCACACACTCACTGCAGTGACACCGCCCTTGTGTGACGGCTGTTCCCTGCAGTGCAACCTGGTCCACCTCGCTGTGACGCCCTCGTCTGTGGACTTCCTGCCGGCCGCAGCCGTCGCGGCGTAATTACGTACCGCGCGTGTATCAGCCACATCAATCACGTGATCAATACTGCTATTTCAGGCGCTGCACCGCCTCGCCTGCGCTGAGGGATTTATCCTTAGCGCAGCCGCTAGTACGCGCAGTACCTGTATTGGTATGAAAAAAACCGGGCAGGCACGCCAGCGCCGCCGCACATTCTGATAAAATCTGCTGCTCCTCCTTCTCTGCTCACTGTTTCTCACTTCCCACACTCCTCGTCGTTCACTGTGCTATTGGCCTGCTATCTGCTGTCTGCTACATCTTTATCAAGCTCCTATCTATATCCCTGGTGCAATTTTGCGTTTGCAATCGCTGCTATTCCTTTACAATCCTTATTTGTGAGAAACCGCCACAGTGCAGTCGTCAACGCCGCTTCGCTCATCTACACCTCTCACCATGGTATGCTCTTGTTCACTGTCTCTCAGATGCTCAATGGACGCTTTGTGAACTGACTTTTCTTTCTTTCAGGCTCCTAACACTCATATCTCCAATGCGGAGAATGTGCGTTATCCTCTGCTTTGGCTTGGTCATGCCCTGACCAGCTCAACTAACTGGCACCACAGTTAAAAAAATACATGGAACTTGACCAACGGGGTAAGGTCATGGCGGAATACATTTGGATTGATGCCTCAGGTGGTGTTCGTTCGAAAACTAAGGTATGTTGCTGTTTGTGGGAATGTCGTCCTGGCAACCACCACTGACCCCGCCTTCGCTCTAGACCGTCGACAAGATCATCAACTCGCCCACCGACCTCTCATATTGGAACTTCGACGGTTCGTCAACAGGTCAAGCCCCCGCTGGCAACTCAGATATTGAGCTCAGACCCGTCGCCATCTTCCCTGACCCGTTCCGCCGAGGAGACAACATCTTGGTTTTATGTGAGACCTTCGACTCAGATGGTTCCCCCAACCAATATAACTACAGATATGAGGCTGCCCGGTTAATGCGAGCCAACGAGCATGAACACTTCTGGTTTGGCTTAGAACAAGAATACACTCTTCTTGGTCCTGATGGTTGGCCATATGGCTGGCCTAAGGGTGGCTTCCCAGGTGCCCAGGGCCCATACTATTGCGGTGTTGGTACTGGAAAGGTGCACTGCCGTGACATTGTTGAGGCTCATTACAGGGCTTGTCTTTTTGCCAAGATCAACATCTCCGGTATCAACGCCGAGGTCATGCCCGCCCAGTGGGAGTACCAAGTTGGTCCTTGTGAGGGTATCGCACGTGAGTTATTGATCATAACCTCAGCTATAATCCAGTGACAACTAACCATGAATCCCCTTTTTAGTTGGTGACCAACTCTGGATGTCCCGTTTTATCTTAAGCCGTGTTGCTGAAGAATTCGGTGCCATCATCTCGTTTGCTCCCAAGCCTATTCCTGGTGACTGGAACGGTGCTGGTCTTCACACCAATGTCTCGACAGAGGCCATGCGTGCTGAAGGTGGCATTAAAGTCATTGAAGCCGCTATGAACAAGCTTGAAGCACGCCATTTCGAACACATTGCTGTCTACGGTGAAGGCAATGAAGACCGCTTGACTGGCCGCCATGAAACCGGCAGCATCGACAAGTTCAGCTGGGGTGTTGCAGACCGTGGTGGCAGCATCCGTATCCCCCGTCAAGTTGCCAAAGACCGCAAGGGCTACTTTGAAGACCGACGACCCGCCAGCAATGCCGATCCTTACCAAATCACCGGCATTATCGTCAAAACTGTGAGTTGATTTCTTCTCCTACCCTAAATCAATAATATACTGATATGAGTGTCCGTAGCTTTGCGGTTCTTCGTAACTTTTATCTTCATTTTCCTTACGTACGACTGGCATAAAATTCGGAAAATGGCGGCTCGGCAAGAATCACACTTTTAGATTCCTTTTGATTTTATTTTGCTACCACTTTACATTTTTTATTGACGTTTTGTCTCCTATCTGGGGACATTGATAACCCTTCGTGTTACCATCCCCCTTTATTTATCCCCTTAATGATGTTTCCCTACCCTCTTTGTGCCCCTGCATAGACTCGGTTCTTGATTTACACTGCTTGTTTTTATTGTTGTTACTGCGCTCGATTGAGGCTTTGCCGGTCCTGTTCAGTTTGGGGTTACTTCAGCGAGCCATGCGACTACGTGGAAACTTATTCATTCCTTTGGCTGTCACGGCGATTGGGAATTCAAAAGCTTACAAGGGTAACTGAACTTTGCTAGAGCAGTGCCAAACTTGCAATCACTTTCGGTGGGAATTTCACTTTCTATCCACGAGTATTGCTGGTAATTATCTAGTAAAATTGCGGGGCTCCCAAGTAAGGCATGCATGCTGAATTCAGCTCCAGACGAGACGGTCGGTGCCATTCCTTTGGCATCTCGGCTATGTTGGACGCTTTGTATATATATTGTGCATTGGGTTGGTGTATCTACAGGTTGTATTGCATTGACACAGCCGTGGCTGACGAGAATGATGGAAAGACGATGGAATCAATTGATTCAATGCGATCGAACCCTTATTATATTATATTTTTTTCCCTTCAATGCAAGGAGATTATCATCCAATTACTTATTGCCCAGCTTTCATGATGGTCAGTGCTTCCTCCATCGCATAAACCACACGCCTTCCAGCCCGCGCTGCTTCACCTCCCTTTTTGCTGCGCCGTCGCCGTCCTCACCACTCGCTTTGCCTCCATCCACCACCCTCACCAGTACCGCCAATACCACCGCAGCCAATACACTGCCCATCAGCATCCCCACCATAACCCAATTACTCTTGCGATACTGCTTCCCGCCCTTCGCCAACCGGTCGCTATCCCACCCGGCATATAGCGCGTACGTGGTCACAATACTTCCCAGGTTGCCTAGACCAGACACCAGCGCGGATGCCGCGGCCACGCCCACCTCGCCGTGGCGTGGCTGAAATATCTCGTTTGTCCAGGTCATGGTGATGGGAACCGTGGGCCCTAGGCCGAAGCCGACGATGAGCAGGCCGGCATAGCGTGGCCACGGGTTGGTCACAGTGTTGCCCGCGTAGGTGGTGAGCAGGAGGCCGAGGATTTGCAGCGTCGCTGGGAACGAGAAGAACAGCGCGCGGTGGTGGTGGAAGCGGTCGGACAGAGGCGTGATGAGCAGGATGGCGAGGAGGTCGCTCTGTTTACAGACACATAGGTTAGGGCAAAGCAAAGAGGTTTTTAGAGGGCTCTCAGGTACGTACGATCCAAATGGGCGCGAAGAGTAGACTGAGCTCGACGCTGCTGAGCTTCGGGTTCGTTGAACGGATGATAACCGTGCCATAATTCTGTACCCCGATGCCGACGCCTACGACGCCAAAGTACATGAGCAGTAGCGGCCACAGACGCCAGTCTATCAGCACCCGCCCCAGGTCCCTGAACGTCCAGTGTCCTTGGTGATATACACGCTTCAGATCGCGATAGTGGATTTCTGCGTCTCGTCCTGTCAGCGCCGGTGGAGTACGCGGTAGCCAGTTCAGAAGACTTGTCTTTCCGCCTTTCCCCTGCTGTGATTCTTCGCCAGGAGGTAAAGGCCGCTCTGGAAGCCACCATAGCAGTGCTACGCCCGTCACCACGCCGCACAGCCCGTAGACGAGGAACATCCACCGGAAGCCGACCAGGCCACGGGCGCCATCCATTTTCTGGAAGCCAGCAGATACAAGGCCAACGACAGCAGCAGATACTTGTGCGGCTGTGAAGTAGAGCCCGATGCGTTTGCCGGTGCGGGATGGCGGGTAGAACAGCGTCAGATAGTATGCCATGCCGGGCCAGAGACCAGCCATAACGACCCCAAGGAGAAGCCGCAGGAGGCTAGGTTTTCAGTGAGTCAATACTCTTATCAAACTGGGGCGCGAGATACATACTACAGGGACCAGGCGGCTTTCACTGCTGCCATACAGCTCCCAATGATGCCAACGCCCAGGACAATCCGGCTCATCCACACACGGGGGCTCATCCGGGTCATGATGAGATTTGACGGCAAGTCAAACACCACGTAGCACACATAAAACAGCGCCAGACTGGTTGATATCTGGCGCGGCGTCATGTGCAGCACAGATCCCAGGTCGTGCTTCTGGGCAAGATTCATGGTCTGCGCCAGGCCGACGGTAGAGCGGATGGAGGCACATAGGAAATAGAGCACCCAGAAAGGCGGGATGATGCGCCAGTCGAGTTTTCTGGGGTTTTTTGTTTGCTCAGTACGGCTTCATTCGAATCTGAGAGGGAATTTACCTATAGATGCGCTCGATCTCGGCCGGGCTGGGCTCATCACCCACCTCAGTATCGGTAGTTTTGAGAGACATATCACTGCCTCCAGTGTTTTTGGGCTCAGAGGCCGCGGGCTTCACAGTTTGCGACATGTTTGCGTGGATTGATGCTCTATTTCAATTCATCCCGAGCGGCGGCTGGGCACCGGAGCTTTGTGGAAGGGAACGGTAGGCCAGAAATTTTAAGCTTCTTGAAGCTTCAGAGTGGCCTAAATTTAACTACTAGTTAACAATGCAAGAAAGAAGGTCAGTTCGCGAACTTAAATGAGTCCGTGATATTTAGCAATGCTGGAACTGGAGCCCATCGCGCGAGTGTCAAAATGCTGCAACGTGATATAGCAAGCCCATTGCCCAGCAGTTCCGCGACCATCGATCTACCACAGCCTAGCACACGACCCTGGTTCCCTTTCGTCCGATTCTTCAGAGAATACGGGTGCCGGATGACTGCAACCCCGGCCCGCCTGCTTAGCCGTGAAAACCGCTTGATCAAGCCTGTTGCGTGATTTTGCTGCTGCTTTTTCTTTTTCCTGTGGCGGACACGCGATGCCGCATCCCTGCGACGGCAATTTTGTTGAGGGAAACCTGCGTGGGGGGGCTATGAGAAGCCCGCTTCTACACTCTCGTGCACCCCGACACAACCCCTGAGGCAGCCCCCAAACTACCCCCTAGTCCCGCCCCTAAGCAACGCCCTGGGGTTGTCTCCCCAGGGCCCCCTATTCCGGACCACCCTAGTCCCGAGATAGCCTGAGGATAGCTACATATCACGAAGGCGACCCAATATCATCCTTTTTATGTATGGATGCAAATGTCCGGTTGCTCGTGTTTTCGGTGCCATAATCAAAACCATGACTTTGTGATGATCTGCTCTTCGCTTCGAAGCGGCCTCGAAAGCAACACGCCTCCCAAAACGTTTCCTTACGATATCTATTCTTTCCATTTACATCTGCACGGCATATATATATAATATGGCACCTGAACACGCTGATACAAGTAGAAGCCCAGATGGAAGATGCCGATGATACCAATAGACTTGAAGGACGGAGTAGTTACCGAAGTCGTCTTACTCGTACCCTAAAGGACGCTCAGCGATTTACAAGATCCAGGCGATGTTCTATTAATGTGACTTTCATTGGTGACTTTGAATCCATAGAAGAATAATAACTGCAGGTAGAATCGTTGGTAGCTCTCCACTAGGCGTCACCTAGATAGTTATGGAGCAGAGGACTCAAGGCTTACAGCCCAGAAGAGCTCCCAGACAGCCAGCTTTCGTGACGAAGCCCCTTCCTACCTATGACTCCCCTTTTGATGACTCAAAGATGTTTGTAGGTTGGCTATACACACTATGGAACAGCGTAGTTTAATGAAGAGTGGCATCATATTTCATTAGACATCATCATTCTATAGCAGAATGCACATGGAATCATCTAGTATGCGAGCAATGCAGTCCTTAATCTATCTATATCAAAGCCTAGCTTTCTGCTTCTTCTCAGCCAGTGCTTTAGTAACCAGCGCTGCCGCCTCTGCACAGCATCCAAACGACGCTTGGTACCCAAATCCGCCATGGCCATAATTATGCACAACAGACACGCCATTAATGGTATCGCGCTCCACTCTTGTTCCCCCTTCTCGCAGGGGCCGTAGGCCAACTCCGTGGCGAATAATGTCAATCGCTTCTATGCCTCTCTGGTTGCCACTGGCGTCCTTGCCAACCAGATCGGGACACATTGCTACTGCCCGTTTCATGATTCTCACTGCAAGGTTGGGGTCCGGCTGGCTTTCGTAGCAATGTCGCTGGTAGCACCCACCGAGAATGGTACCGCCACCTACATCCAAGAAGTTAATTAATTCCTCAGCTTCGTTCAAAATTGCTTTCAATAGCTGATTCATGAAGAGGGTAATGGATGGACGATGTTCCTCTGTTGTAAGACCTACCAGCAGCCCTCATCATGATATAACCAGCTTCATCGGGGCCATCGTCAGTCCCTGAGACTGAGACCATTGCTGGTGCTTCATTGCGAACAACAACAACCTGCCCTCGAGCAGGATACATCTTCGCATCTTCCACACCACCAAGGTACTTCGATGCCAGCCCAGTACAGTTCACTACAACATCAGCTCGCTGACCCGAGTGGTGGGCGCTTGCCGCGTCCACGATGTGCTTGAACACTGCCCGTTTAAACACCACGCCGTTCTTGCGGCACTGGGAGACAAGCCAGGCAAGATAGACAGGCGCATTCAGACAAACCGATGTAAAGCAGGACCCGTTGTCGTATCCGTGAGGCAACTGCTCTTTGGGGAGCGAGCGAAACTAAAAAGTGACTCATGTCAACAAAATATGTTAGAGAAACGCGCCGGTCTGGCACCGGCGCACACAAAGAAGGAACTAAAGAGGCTAACAAACATCTGGTACGATATCCTTATACCATGGTTCCGGTTTAATAAGCTCCTTGAACCACACACCAGTGTCTGAGCTCGCATCCTTCAGACGGTTATAGATAATAGAATCTTTCGTAATATCAGCTGATAGCATTGCGCGATATCCTACGTATTTGGGGAAATTACCTTGGAAATGGATACCAGCTTCAGGATTATTCCGGGCGAGCTCTTCGAACACGGGCCAGGTGTTCGTCTCCCATCGCGCATGAGCGCTCCCAGGCGCGCCGACGCTGTCAACATGGCATTAGCCCAGGGCTGTTCAGAAGCCAGTTTCACGATACTGTGAAGCTGGAGTCGCTCGGAACTCACGGCAAGAAGTTGGCACCGGCCCATGGGGAACAGTATTCTACATCATAGTCGCCCGGCATATGTTTAGCCGCGACAGTTATGTCATTCATTTTGTTCTTTGACAGAAGGTATGCCGTCGTCAGCCCGATGACGCCGCCTCTAGGAAACAGGTGAGCGAGAGGATAAATCCAAGTTTCCGCTTTGGGACAGCCTACCCGATAACGACGACCTTATGGGAAGCCATGGTGGCGAGATCCGAGACCGGCAACTTCGATTAAGGTAATTATGCACAACGCAAGCTGAAATAGGCATAAACGTTTGAAAGCCAGAAGACGTAGGGGAGAAGTCGCGGTCAAGAGGGGACGTTGGAGCAGCAGAGGTAAGAAGTGGTGGTAACTTACGATGGTCGTGGCTGGGCTGGTGCGAGGCCGACTGCCGGCGCCCGCGTGGCGCTTGCCAGGCGCTTGCGGAGCCCAAAGCTTGTGCACGGGTGCCGAAGTCAACCAACATAACAACAAAGAAACAACACCACAGCTGCCTACTATTCAACGCTGCTGACGTGTATCTGAGTAGATTTTGCATAGCAGATCCGTAGAGTTCAGACCACCAGTAAATCACGGCTCGTCGTCATGCAAATGGGTGGGCCAACATCCTTTGAGCTGCCATGCTTTGAGCTGGGGCGAGGACTCCGGTTTCCAGCATTCATCAAACTCTTGCCTGTTCAGAGCAGCTGGAAAACTGGTAGAAAGAAACGAGAATTCTAGGACTCCTCGCCCCTCCCCCCAGAATACCACGTAGAAAGAGCAGTCCTGCTGCACGAAAGCTTGCTGGCCCAGTCTATAAATTCCTCCCTTCCCTCTCCCTCTCTCCCTCTCTTCCTTTTTTTTTCACCCTCTAAGATTCTGTCACTGAAGTTATCTATACTCTCATACTGTGTACCTAACTTCTTCTACTTCTTCAGCCCTTCCAGAATCTTTCTACTTCCTATCAACAAACGCCAAGAACACTAACCCTCTTTAACCCTAGCGTCGGCTCAGCGGTTAAACGGCGTTTGTTTCCCCTCCGATTGGCCTGTCTGAGAACTCCAGCTGCCAATCCCCGCTTCAGTATCATCTTTATTCCGGCTCCCGGCTTAGTAAGTTTCCCCAGTCCTCCCCCCCCTGCAAACACGCCAAACGCCCGCCCAACCCGCGTTCCCTGCGCGGCTTTGCCCTTTTTTCATTCCCTTCTTTTGCTGCTGCGAGCCTCCTACCCACCCTTAGCATTACGTCTCCTGCCTGCTGCATGGGAGGCTTCACCCTGCCCTTTCTCCTCCCCTCTTTGTCCCTCTTGCTCTGTCCTTTCTTTCCCTGTCCCTACCCTCCTCCTTCCCCCTATTTCTCTTCCTGCCTTATCTTCTTCACATCCCTTTACATATAAACCTCTGAGGGAGCCTCATTCCTCCCTCAGTTTTCACCCTATCCCAATGCCGGCACTACAGGCCGCAATATTTCAATCATGGCTAATCCCACCGTCCTTCCCGTCGCCAGGATTGTACCCATTATGGTTCGTTCAACGGGTGCCACACCGTCCGCGGGCCGGAATATCGATGCTGCGGAGCGTCGTCTGAAGGCACGCCTTCAGAAGTTAAACTGCTATGCGGCTGAGACCCGAGGGGATGGTAAGCCTGTCATTTATGCTTAATCCTCCTCCAGGAGTCAATGACATCATCTTGCTGACTGCCTGTTTAGGAAATTGCCTGTTCTACTCCCTGTCGGACCAGCTGTACGGCACGCCCAAGCGGCACGACGAAGTTCGTCGGCGCTTGGTAACCCACATACGCGAGCACCGGGACGCGTTCATCCATTTCATCGATGTCGGTCCCGACCGCGCTCGTTCCACACGAGGGGCCTCTCGACAAGCGAGCAGGTCCTTCTCCGGAGTTGGCTCCATGCCTAGCACGGACAAGGTGAGAGCAAAGTTTGACGATATGCTCTCGAGGATGGGCCAGCTCCAGGAGTGGGGAGGGGCGCTCGAACTCCAGGCCTTCTGCCAGGCGTACGTCAGAGACGTCGTCGTGTACCAGGCAGACAACGTGCAGGAGTTCACGAGCAACCTCCACGATGTGGATTCTGGACGGAAGACTGTCCATATCGCTTTCCACGTATGTTTTCACTCTTAGTTCTTATGCATCGAGCTCTATGACTGACTTTACTCTAGGAGTACCAGCATTACTCGTCCGTCAGAAGTTTGGATGGCCCTCGCGAAGGGCACCCATGCCTCCCGAGGCGACTCGAAGAGAGAGCCGCGGGCTCTCTAGAGGTCAAAGAGGTCAAGCAGGAGAAAGAGGACAGCAAAGCTGTCAATGTCAAATGGCAGCCGGTTGCCCCCCAGACCAAAGCTTACACCTCCATCGAGGGTCATGGGGACACCGACTCTGCCTTCGCTCGCCTCCTCGATGGTGACAATTCGTCGCCATCTAAGTCGTCGGGCATGCCGACCACCGACGACTCGGAGAATTCAAGCACTTTGGGGGCCTCGTCAACGGGTCTTAACCCCGCCACGCGGGCGTTGGGTTCGTCGTCCCGCTCATCTTCCCGTCATAGCACGGGCAGCAAGCGAGCCGCCGATCCCAGCGACTCCGAAGACGAGGACCCGATTCGCCCTGCCGTCCGCCGCCGCCGCCCTGGTAGAGATTACAAGCGCCGCATCCTACCAGATGTGACTGTTGGACTGTCAGTCAGCAGCGGCCAGGACATCGACGACGTCATCTCCATTCGGTTGAGGGTCGACTCTGAGGCCGCTATCGAACCCCCACAGCGGCGGCCTCTAACCCCGCCAGAAGATGACGATGGCAGTGACGAAGAGAATTCTCCGGAGGCAACGCGTGAGACCTCTGCGACCTTGGCCGGCACTTCGAGTGACGACGATGCTTCGAGTGATGACGGAGCTTCGAGTGATGGGTACGAGCCGACGGACTCGGAAAGCGAATGAGATTGACGACCTCCAGCAAGTTTGCTTGTTTTTTTCTTTTTTTTTCTTTTAGCGAATTGATATACTTTGCCGCCGCGTTTTACTGATTGGCATAGCAAGGTGTTATATGGTGTTCCTGGCATTTGGGATTTACGAAAACACGCCTACATTGGGTTTTGCATAGCATTATTTGGGTTGGAGAGGCAGGCTCATAAACAGCATAGCCATGCATCAGCGTTTGATCTGTATTTACTAGCATAACCACCATAGTGGTTTGAGGAATTACATCTGGCATATTTTTCAATGGTCAAAACTAATTTATGGCATACTCTAAATTGCTCGAAGGAGTGGCCCACGGAGTACGTTGTGAAACATTATATGGAAAGTGCATACTGGTAAGATGCTGGTATAATAGTAGTAGGTGGTGTTTATGTACTGGACGAAACATCTATCCCTTCGCCAGTCTAAGAAGCAGGAATTCATCCATCGTGCCAGGCCCGGTTTGATACATTTGGAATACAAAAGGCTCGATTATCAATGCACGGATGACGTCACGTCATAAACTTCGTCTCTCCGCCGCTTTTTCTCTTTTTTTGGGGGCAGAAGCTATTGCAAAACAAAAGATGACCGTACTCTAACCCTGGTGCTTCTTGATAGCAGCCTCGATGGCAGGAGGGACGGCACCGAGCACCTCATCGACCTTCTCACCGTTCTTGAAGAAAACGAAGGTGGGCATGGCGCGGACACCAAGCTCCTGGGCGACATCGGGCACGTCGTCCACGTCGACTTTGTAGAAGGCCACGTCGGAGTATTGTTCGCTGAACTGGGCGACCTTGGGCGCGATGGCATTGCAGGGCCCGCACCAGGTCGCGAAGCAGTCGATGACGACGAGTTTGCTGGAGCCGGAGGCGGTGGTGGCGGGCTTGATGGCGTCGTCGTATTCGGCGCGGCTGGCAGAGAATATGGGTTAGCTGTGATAGACTGGAGTGGGGGTATAGTGGTCCGAGTGCTGGTTTGTTTATCTTCACGGTTCTGGTCAGGGACCAGGGCGGGGCAGCAGCAGCAGCAACATCAACAACAACAGGCACAACTCACGTCTTTAGGGCGTTGACAACCATGGTTGCAGGAGTGTTTTGGAACTGGGGACAGAAGGTCTGAGTGAAGGCGCGTGTCTGAGAGCGTACGGCAAGCTGGACAGGCGGGCGTGTAGTGGTGAAGCGGAGGAGGGGCTGCAGGCGGGGAGAGCCGTATTTAAGGAGCGGCGGCCGGGATGACGTTATTGCGCGCAGGGCTCTAGCCGGCGGCATTATTAATCACCGTCGGGGGGTGTTGGGGGGAGGCAGCACGGGAACGGCGTGAAGGACGGCGGGGGAGCAGACAGCCGCAGCTCAACCAGGGTAGGTGAGCTGGCCAGTGAGGTCACTGATTATGTGGTGCGAGGTGGTTCTACGGGTCAGCGTGGCGGGCGTGCTGGTCGACGGCGATATGTCGATGCTGAAGCAAAAAAGCGAAGTTCTCAGCTTGATCGATCAGCCGGCCGGCGCTAAACCGCTTCGGGCGCGACGCTCACCGCCAGCGTTTCATCGCGCTCGATCGTCGTCGCCGGCTTGCGGGACAGCCGACGCCTGGGCGGTGGAGTGCGAAACGGCTCTTCACAGCCAAGAGCCGCAGCTAGTATTGCTTAGCTGCCTTTGCGGCGAGCTTGCCGGCCCCGTCGAGCCTGCGGCATCGGCTGATGTCCGAGGCGCATGGGTCATGCCACACACGCATGCCGTGTCAATCCAACGTTAAGAACCAAGGTGTGGACTTTTATATCTCTCTATTCTCTGATGGTGGTGCTGAATCGAAAGGCGCAACTGTTGCAGCCCCATTTCTAGGGACAATTGCATTATTTCAGCACATATCCAGGCGCATATACGGAGTACTCCGTACATCAGCATCAAGCCTTTTACAAAGGGGTTTACCAGGAATTTTTAACAAGTTGACTTGTTTGACGGGCCACAGAGGCATCCAGATTTCAGAAAATCTATCTAAGTAAAGATAGACTGACACTGACCTTTGTTCTTTTATATTGATCTATGAAACGTCTCGGGTACAGGAATTGTTTCATTTTTTAATAACGACAGGGGTTGTAACTAATTGACTTTCCCTAAATAACCGCCAACTACGTTTTGGACAGCTTTCGATCATGAAAATCTGCAGCTGGGAATTTATATATATATATACATCTTGGGTAGATTGATAGGAAGTGGAGGCTATCAAGGATAACTATACCCACAGACTTATTGAAAATGCTTTGAAGACTTTCTCTTGAAGGAAATATTGCGATACCAAACCATCGAAATTCTCCTCGTAAAATCCAGGGAGAGTAACGCTGTCATGGCTCCCGTGCATTTCCAGATCATGTCTGATCTTCATCTGGAAGCTCATCCAGCCTACGACTTCAACTTCACCCAAACAGCCCCTTATCTAGCTCTGCTTGGAGATACCGGGCACCTTGTAGACGACGGCTTCTTTGAGTATCTGGAAACGCAAACCCGGCGTTACTCAGCCGTTTTCTTCCTCCTGGGAAACCATGAGCCAAGAGGGATGTCTTTTACCTCTGCCAAAGCCAGAGTGCGGGCCTTTGCAGAGAGAATGGAGGCTGCACGGCTGCAGTCCTCCATTGGCCGGTTTATCTTTCTCGATCAAACGCGTTATGATATCTCGGATACCCTGACCATATTGGGTTGCACACTCTTCTCTCATATTCCAGCCGAGAAGGAAGAGGCTGTAACCAACCGCCTCGCTGATTTCAAAACAATATCCGATTGGGGTGTACCGGACCACAATGCTGCCCACCAGTCTGATCTGAACTGGTTGAATTCACAGGTCTCTGAGATATCGGATAAGGAGCCGCAGCGACAGATTATGATTTTCTCGCATCATAGCCCCTGCACGGAGGATAGGGCCGTGGACGCCAGACATAGGGGAAGTCAGGCCATGTCAGGATTTGCTACGGACCTGCGGGAGGAACTATGTTGGAAGAGCCCTGCAGTTCGAGTCTGGGCGTTTGGACATACGCATTTTAACGTCTCCTTTACAGATGAGCGTGGCCTGGAGGTCATAGCAAACCAGAAGGGCTATTCCATCATTCCAAAGGGGACATTTAATCCCGATCGTGTATACACTATCGGCAGCTAACTTGTATTTGACCATGGGGGTAGGGGCCGTGGTAGCTCGACTTAACCGTTCCACGCTGTAGAGAGCAAATTATCCTTCAAAGCCTTGCATATAACGTCGCCTTGGGCATTAACATGCTCCCTACCGAAGCATACTGTGTACATACATTAATGGAACCATCTGATAGGTATCTGTGTCAATTCACAGTCGGCCAGAAATCATTCTAGCAACGTTGAATATGTGCTTTCAAAGGCTCGCGAAACATATAATCAAATCCATTGTCAAATTAGCTCTTATTCCCAGACAAATTCCTTGCCATTTCAGTGTGGATGTCAGCTGCAATGCCAAAAATGTGAAGTCTACTCTTCATATTGTAGAATAATTTGTGGTGACAACCAAATTGCTCCATCAGTTTCAGCCAGTCGATATCGCACACCCCATACGGATCTAGTTCGTAGATGGCTTTGCAGGGGGTGCGTTGCTTTAGGTAACCGTCAGGTATCTGCCATCCAAACGCGCGGATCGCATTCACGATGTCCATATTATCTGTCAGGGCATCAAGAATCTCCAGGTGAAGCTCCAGTGGTAGTTTGTTTATGGGTGATCTGACGTTCTTTCTCGGTTCGTCTCCACTCACTGTCAAGTTATTGGATATTTTGCACCATTCAATTGCAGCCTCAAGGCCAGGAATTTGTATTGGTGATCGCATTGTTAATGGATCATCTGCCTTTGCGAAGCAGGCTGCTGCATAATTCATCCAAGAACAATGCGTTGTTAGGTCGGGCACGCACACCGTTTCTGAGTGGCCCAGATGCCAGTCTGCCAGGCAGATTGATGATGCTTGCCACACCTGGTCGATGCTTTTCAGGCCGACGTCAAGATTTTCGGAGGCGAGAGGCCCTGCAACCCTTTCCAAAACACTCCAGCAGTAGGCATGGATTTTATAACCATGCTGTCGAAGGTGACATTTACTAGTAGGGGTGCATGTACAGCCCAATAGGTGAGCCATATTGCGATCTTGCCCATCACCCAGTATAGCGTTTCCTGCCTGACAGCTTTCTTGTGCATCACTTGGTAGAGGCTCCGGGGACAGCCCATCCACAGTATAATAGATCTGGGAGACTTCAAAGCTTGAGGCAGGATCATTCAGACGGGGGACTGGCCACTCGCGTCAGTCGCGAAACATGCTGCGTATAAACAAATGGAAAACTGGCAGGAGAAACACGTACTGATTCGGCAGAAGCTCCACCACTTTATTTGGTCGTAGATCACCGGTGTGGGACCCGACGATCGGAAATGCGTGCCGATCGGGGCCTGGCAAACGCAGCAAAAACTATATTTGGGCATTTTGAAGAATGTCAAAGAGGAAAATTTGAGATAGAGACTTTTTTTTGGTTTGTTTTTGTGAGAAGGGTTTCATCTTCCCGTTAACGTAATGTAATGGTGAAGTTGGCTGACATATCGGGGGTCGTGGTATTTGACAACGCCATAGAAAGTCCCAGCCATTCTGAACCCAATATAGGGAGGGAGGCAGCCTTGAGCCGGTATTGCACAGAGTTCTGACTGTTATCCAACTTACTTTAAGAAAACCGGAATCTTCTACTGGTAGAGGAAAATTCGCCACTTGGATCTGCTTTTCCTGAAATCCTGAAAGGACTAAAATGCACCGAAAACAGTGGAAGAAAGGGGCAAAACGTCATGTTCTCCCACGTTTCCGCGAAGGAGGCAAAAATTTCATGGTCTGATGCTAGATAAGTCTGAGTAGAAAGCCAGCAAGCAAACAAGCATGATTACAAAGGGTATTGAAAAAAGGGACCAACACACAAGGCAGGCCAAGTGGGTATCCGCAGAGCAATATGGAAGAACAATAGGGCAGATAGACAAGGCGCATAGTACCTGCAAGGAAGCAGAGACAGTCGGTAAGAAGGCGCTGAATGCTGTGCATAGGCCTGATGGGCTGGCGGCAGGTAGTTGCTTGGATGAATCAGCAATATGGCCGAGCCCACAGTCCATAAATTGCACGCAGATAACTTTTTCCTCTCTTCATCTCACAGCCTGTCGCCATTGTTCTGCCAGGCTCTGGGTGCTGGTTAACCAGAGGTCTTCGCTGTGGAAACGCCAAAAAAGGAAATCTGAAACGCCTTTTGCCTTTTAAAAGAAAACATGCAAGAATAGAATCAGAATCAGAAGATATAAACTCGCTGGGGTATGTATCCGTGGCCTCCACAGAACGCCGTGATTTTGGGGGGTTTCTTGAGGAAAACAGAAAATGCACGCATTGATCCGTCCTCCCTAGCATGACCCGAAACAACCAAATTCAAACCAAATAAACAGAAAGTACAGGATGCGGCATGTCGACAGCTGCAAACTGAGAAACACATGAGGAATCCAGAACATGGGAAGTACACCCCCTCCAGCTGAATATGACAGGTAAGATGCCCATCTAACATTGCGGCGAATGCCACTGACATTAATGGTCATATTACTTGAAGCCATTACTTGTTCCGACATTTAGACAAAGGAAAAAATTAGGGTAAGGAGCGTGAGCCGTGAGTTCGACAAGGCGAGTTCGGCAGAACATATAGCACAAATTGAAACGAAGGAAAGGAAATAGATGGAATGAGTGGACGTCAGATATGGTAAAGCATCAATTGTGGCGGGCATTGTTGTTCAGCGTTTCTAGGCTGGGGCTGAGGGAAGGACGCCGCTGCTCATAGTTCCTGTGCTGATTCTTCGGTCACTCACAGATCGAGAAGGTATATCCAATAGTTTGGCGCTTCCGGCACTAATGCGACGTGCGTGACATTTTCCAAAATCTACGCTGGTAGCCCGTTGGACTTCCGCGTCGCCTTCCATTTCAAAGGGGGTTTCACTTTCGGGCTCCTGGAGATCAGAAGCAGTCTCTAGGAATTCCGTGAACAGCCCCTCCTTGGATTTAGCTCTCGTCCCAGGACTGACGAGGCGGACTCGCTTTTCAAGGCTTCCATGCCAGGTGGTTGCTTCGCCACACTCAGGTATGACGGCGTCTTTTTCAATTATCTCAACATCTTCCTCCTCTTCTGCAGGGACACCAAGTCGCTTGAAAGGTTCCTCACTGGGAGTCCAGACTTCAGGCGAGTCTACCGGATCGTCCAATTTTTCTTTGGATTCAGTGTTGACACGGTATTGGGTAGGTCGTATTTGGGAGAGGCGGCGAGATGGTTTACCTGACAGCCAGCTGCCTTCCGAATCTATCGAAGCTAGAGATTGGGCTAAAAACATGCTATTTGGGCGGGTATCTGGACTATTAGCTCCTGAGGCACGGAAGCATTCTTGGGCCTCTGTGGTGGCTGCTGTTGTCATAGTCCCCCGGCCTGTGCAGACACTCATTCGGTTTGACGTGGGATATATATCAATCGCGCTGGTGGAACGGATATTATCCGGGGATACAAGATCGTCAAAGTGTTCAGTGAACTTTGACCGCGTTGACTGGCCGTCAAAACGGAGACTACTCTTTTTCGGGAGGCTTGGTGGCCGCCCTATTGCCTCAGTGTGAGAAATCTTAGAAAAAGATTCTCGTGATGGGACTGAAAAACTAGGGCCTTCGCTTGGTGGGCTTCGAGGACCACGCGTAAAGCGGGAACCGCGACGAAAAAGGGATGATAAAGAACGGCCAATTCGCCCAGCATTTGAGGATATACTTCTTTGGCGTGGTGACATATCCTGCCCAGCATGTTGACAAAGGGTGTCGGGCATACAATTAGCCGCGTCGGAAACGGAGATATTGACAAAAGACTTCTCATCATCTGCAATCAGCTCAGCGTCTTGAGGTGTTCTCTTCGCTACAATAGGGTCCAATATTTTTCCACCAGTGGAAAGGCTCTCCTTGGAAGCGTCTTTAAGCCATGACAAGGAGCGATTTAGTGTTTTCGATGAATCGACATTATCGGCCTTTCGATGGATAGAAGAGTGGTATATGGTATTTAAATCGGGTTGAGCCGGCTCGGTGGGTTCAATTGCGGTTCGTCGGGGTGATGCTGGATCCTTGCGAAGCAAAAGACCTTGTTCGGCACTTCGCCTGGCTTCTCTTCTACGACGGTCTCTATCCATGAGTTCTCTGAGAGTCCCTGCATCCATATCATCGGCGAGTTCGTTGATTTTGTTTTTTCCATCGAGCTGTTGCAGCCTGAATGCCTTTCCCTTGCCCTTGGATAGGGATGACGGAGGTTCCGAAACCGTCCAATATCGGGAGTGTTCTGTATAGCGCAGAAGCGGACGAGGGGTTAAAGCGTCAAAGGCATTAAGTTTATACGCAAAGGAGTCTGGGGACATCGACCGTGGACGGATATAAGTGGAGCTCACGCCTCCCGGCTTGGCATATGTTTTAGAGGAAGGTAAATCCCAATTGCTCGAAGACATGTTCCTTATCTCTTGTTCTCTGGCCGAATCCTGTCTCTTGCGCTTACTTGACTTGCGGCGTATTAAGCCGGGTTCTGCAGAGCTTCGTTTGTTGCGCAAGGTGGGGACGTCTGTTATACCACGCAGCAAGCTACTCTGGGACATGTTGCTTCCGAGCTGTGACTTGGACATCGAAAATGCACGAGGTAGAAGCGATTCAACAGGTGCGGAGCGATTGAAACCTGGAGACCGGACGGCTGAGCTTGTATCCAGCTCCATCAGAGGGAGCCGTGACGGGGTGAGGATCTGATGAGGAGGGAGACAAGAATCTTCATTTCCGAGAACACTTTCATCACGGCCATTTTTTCTTCGTTTGCTGTCTCGACGGACAGTCTTGTTGGCGGAGGCGGAGGTGTCACCGTTGGGAATTGAGGTTTCTGATTTGCCAGGGCGAAAGAGAGAGCCAGCTATCTGGCCGGACGACGAGCTAGACGCGCCCTCGCCTCGCTTCCGGGCACGGTTCTTCCGTCGACCAAAAGGCCAGAGAGCCATGGCGAGAGACTGGAATGAGGATGCCAGTGCAGCAATTTGCACTGGCAGCTCACCACGCCAGCTCAGCCAAGGGAGGGCGAAATGACGTGGTTAGCAGTCGTGGGACATGGGTGGACGGGGCGGTCAGGAGCAACGGAAACGAGAGTAGACGGTGCGATTGCGAGAGTGCAGCAGCAGCCCGATAGACATGAGAGAGCACATGGACGAGAGAGACGATTGTGGCAGCGGGCGGTGGTGATGGGTTGCTTGTGTTCCAGAGCCCGCGCAGACCAGCCGCTTCGTTTTTTTGCGTTGGAGCCAGCGCCGCTCTCGGCCTAGCGCTCCCGCTAGCCTGAATGCGGCGTAGCGTCGGGCCCCAAATCGGGCAGCGGTCGGGGTCGGATTATCCTATTTTCCAGTCCGCCTCGCCTCAGGCCGGTCGCGCTGGCGATGCGTCGACTCTGGTTGCTGGGTTGGCGGGCCGCATGCTTGAGTGAGGCTGTTCTGGCATGGCCCAAGTTATATATTTGACGGCTTGACAACGTGCACTTCCTCACACGTACAACTCAACGAACAAATGGCACCTTAAAACGGCAACTTATTAATAGAAACAGCGCCTTGTTAAGTGGGTTCCTTGGCCGTTATCAACTTTCAAAACCGTCTCTTGTACGACAGAACTATTGAGTGACTCCGTGCGACGCTTGTCAGTACTCAGCCCAGTCAGCACTTGGGTTTAAAATGGGGCCTTTTCCCAAATAATATGGGCATGTGTTGCGGACGCCACCCCAAAGATTCCAAGGCATGTCCTTCTCTCTGGATTGGGCTTATTTCACAAGACTAGGGCCTGTCTCGTCACTAGGTGTCGATTTTGGGTTGGGGAGGGGGGGGATATTTGAGAATGACCTGACAAAGATATTTTGGTAGGCTGACATGCTTGCAAAAACGCGAGAGTGGTCGAAAACAGTAGCCAGAGGTCCTTGGTTGGGTTTCATCATTGCGGCGCTTAATGTATGTTTAGCGCTCCATATGACACCCATTCAGCTTGCTGCACTATTCACAACTGTGTCTACATACATACAAGAACCTGTGCTGGTAACGGTACAGTGTATGCCCAGCCTGTTTCAAGACCCCAGCATGTCAACAGTTTTCTATTCACTTAGCGGGTTTGACTACCCGCCGTGAACAAAACGGAACCACGACAGAGGCTAGGTAGGATTAGAAATTTCCAATATTTAAGCGCTTACTTTATTGAGAGGCTTTCTCCTATTGGAGGATGTAGCTATCTAAAACGAAAAAAAAAATCCAACCGAAGACGACGAAGCAAGCAAACCCACTAATCCGTGGAGGATTGCTAGATACGAGGGTCTAGGTGATACACTATGCTATTCGCCTTATTTTTAGTGGACACTAAATGGTATATTTTATATCTGTCGGTGGCTCCTGAGCCAATCCAGGGGAACGCGCGGCGTAAAGCAATGGCCTTTTGCAACAGAATTCAACTCACAGAATGGAACGATTCATCAGCATTGATTCCCAGAAGTTTTCGTAGCCGCTTAACTTGTATTAGTAGAAAACACTCAATGAAGAGGGTAAGAATAAATTATTTAAACTCTTCTGGCCCATGTGAAGAGTATATTCTATCCAGTTTGTACTGTCTATTTTGTCCATTCAAATCAAGATCAAATTCATAAAACTTGCATTGGACAGAGGTTAGAAACGGAGTGGGAAGGCGGGCGAGATGAGTAAGTCATCTTTATATCTGAATTTTAGCGTATAGTCCTGACACTGTTTAGAGCACCACTCCCGACACAAGCGTAGAAGTAGGCCTGGACGCGTTACGGTATCTTTTGGTTGGTCGGGAATAAGAGTGGAGGCAGACTTTGGCAACCCCCACAGACGGTATAGTAGTTTTCATGGTCTTAGAAAACTCCCAAGCTCAAAGGCACTAACCAGGCTTTAGCCGAAGGTCACATTGGAGCAAAAAAGATGGACGAGTAGAAGAGGGAAGAGAGTATAATGGGGTTGGGGAAGCAAAGAGAGATGAAATGGAAGTGGACTCTAAGGAGCGCAGGTATGGTGACAGCCGCCCCCATCAATAGGCACAAAATTTTGGGGTACTGATCGACCCTTAGCCTTGTTATATATACGTCGAATCGAAGCGTGGGTGGAGAAGAACAAAGGGAGAAAAAAGATCACATATCAGAGGAAAGAGCAGAAAGCAGCAGCGCAGAGGACGACTCCAAGAGATGTAGTAAGCCGTAGGTAGCGTCCATCACCACCTGAAACCCGGAATAATACTGACCAGATTTCAAAGAAGCCGCAAGTCGCATCACAGCCCAAGAGAAGAAAAAGGAGATAAGCAGAACAGTGGGCACAACAGCGAAGCAGGTTTCAAATGGCCTGGTAGACGGTATTTTGGAATCTATACTCGTTTGGAAAATCAAAACTCGCGCAGGTACTAACTGTGCTTATAGTAGCCGGAGATCACATCGAAGCAAACGGGGTGGTAAAGAAAAAGAACGCCGCCACGTAGAAAAGGATCCAGAAGCTGTGAGTGAAAGAAGCTCAGCAACCGAAAGGAGAGAACGAAGAAGACGAGAAAGAAGAGAAGCAGGGTCCGACAGAGCCGGCAACGACAGAACCAATGGCAGAATAAGAAGAGAACGAGGCAGAGAGTCAGAGTATAGAAGAAAACGAGCTAGGGAGAGCAGTGGCTTTATGTCTATACTTAAAGAAACATTAGGAAAATGGTAAGTCAGACGGCAGCATACGGCATCTCGACCCAGGGGAGCAAGAGAGTCCCCGCCAGCCTCTGTTTGCCAGAGAACGTCGGGAGCCAAGAGAGAAGGTGAATATATATATGCATATCTTGCCGGTTTTGGCCCTCAATCCGCAAAAAAAGTAGTTTCATCCTAAAACGCATATTGCGATAGTAGAATTATGGGTAGCTGTCAATGCTATTTGCATGGTCTTTTTTACCTTATGATAATCGGATTGGAAGCCTTGATCGATTAATGAATACTGTTGAATAATCATACTTACAGACAAGATGTTCTGTTGACCCTTTTTGCATGTCTAATAGTCATAATATCATGGCGAATTGAGAAGTTCCTGACGAAGCGGGAGCTCTTTTTGAGATATGACAAAGGTAGAAACAAGATCGAGGAGCTTAGGGTATATCTGTGATAAGTGGCCTGTGTATTTGGAGGTTTCTATCAGCCTTGAGAGAATCACTGGGCAGGCGGGTTATCACAGCTGCAGTTATAACACAGATGAAGTTATTGTCAGTCATAAATGAGATGGGCATTGATTGGATAGGGTGAATTGTCGACATTGTGAAATAGTAGCCAAGAGCCCAGAATCTGAGTATGCCACCTGTGTGTATATCGGTCGTACCGAATGGTAGGCGCTCTCGTAAACAAACATGCACTCTTTCCTGTAAACAAGTTTTGAGATTCAGTATACTTTAATATTTGTGTTCTTTTGAAGCTGAGTACGTAAGTGAAGTCCTCATAAGTCGGCCAACTTCCAGGAACTGCAGTAAATATAAAGGCCGGTAAAGGAGAGAACTAAACAGTGTAAGTTAACTTCAAGCTCTAAAAATTCTTTTTCAGTTATATTGAGTCCTGGTTGATGTGACTTGAAGCCGAGACTCGAGCCAACATGTGAGGTCCATTGCTAATATTGGGGGAAGGATCTTCAACAGTATTGTTTGTGCATAGATTGCATAACCAAGTCAAAGATGAAAGAGCTCATCGCTCGACGAGGGCGCTGGTTCGACCCCCGTTCTGTCCAAGAGGTAGAGCTGGGGAAGAATGCGGCATCCTTCACTCAACGGGGTCTGTTGGCAGTTCTATTGAGTCTGCTGGTAGCCCTGAACTAGAAGCAGTGGATGCGGACCTTTTTGCGGCTCGGCTTTTCATCAGCTTTTCATCTTCTCTCTCTTTGTTTGCATGCCTGTTTTATTGATTCTGCTGCACGCATGTTTGGTTATGTCTTGCTGAAACAATAACTACACATTAGGTAGGTGCACCTGATTAAGTAAGTATGGGATCACCTCCATCTTAAAAGTAGCAAAGAGCACCAACTATTGTTCTGTTGATGAATGAAATTATGACAGCAATAAGGAACAAAAATTGCAAATTAATCTCTATTAATTTACTCATCCCACCAAAGATAGGGGGGCGTAAGGGGAATCCCCCAGAAATGAATTGCCCCAGGCAGATCTCCTGATAACAAGCCATGATTGTCCTTCAAATCCGAGCCTACATGTTATGAGCTTTTAGTGAATAGGAACAGAAGAATGTTTCTTAAAAAAAATTGGGGGTTCCACAAATAATTGTTGAAGATTAGAGGAGCTGGGAAGTACTTGGATCAATTAAAAAGAATACCATGGTGTTTTTGAGACGTTTCTTTTCAAAAATTACCTCCTTTTCCTTGCCTATCTGCCCTCACCCCCACCACCAATAAGCAACAACAGCAATATTGGAAGAGCCCACCAATACCTGCGGAGATAGCTCCATTAGCCCGGCCCAAACGAGACTTTGAAGCACTTACTTTTGGATGAGTGTCTTTTCGGGCTCTGGCTCGTTCCCCTTTCCGTCCTCATTTATCACAATGGGTCGATTCAAGTGAGGTGTTGGTGCCGGGGTCGACCGGATTATCTCAACATTGATACTCGAAGCCTTCTCTACTTCAATTGATGATAACGCAGAGACTGAGACACTGTAGACTTCATTCTCTGGACCAAGGTATAAATTCAAGGACGAGCTGTTATTCAACGCCGCAAAGGAAGTTAAACTTCCAACCCAGTTTCGCTGGGCGGTGTCGGTGAACAGGCCAATTCGAAGTAAACCGTCATTTTTCGACACAGGGGGGGTATATGATAAAACAGAAGGTTGATATGTGGTCGGATCGTAGGAGACTCGGGCTAATTGGGCGGCTTGAGAAGAGGATGCAGGGAGAGGCCGGTAGAAGATGTCAATGATTTGGGGGGATGAGGGAGAGGCGGAAACAGGAGAGAGGAGAGAAAATAAAGAGAGAAGGATGAGTGATATCAATGTCGCTGCGGCCATCCTGTTGAAGAAGGATAAATACCGTAGCCAAACTGGCTTCCATTTCATCTATTGGAAGGTGAAGTCACATTTGGTCGCGCTAATCCATAAAAGGTTAGTTAGTTAGTTAGTTAGCTAAGTAGTCAAGGGAAACTGTCCCGACTTATCTCCTGCCCAGCCCTACGGAGCACACCGTGAGATTGACTATTCCTATTATGTACGTCTAAAAAGGCCATGTCTCATCCTCCAAGAGAGTCCAGGAACGGAGCTACGAGGAGACCATACAGCTGGTAAGGCCGGCTAGCTCCTGCTAGATAACTATGCCCAGCCGAAAAATGGCTCAGCAAAGCATGGTCTACACTGACCCTTCAGAGAAGAAAGCGCAGGATTGTTCAAAAGGAACGTTGCGACTTAAAGTTAACTACAAATCAGAACGATGAAAATATCTTGAAAGAGCCCGGTATTATTGACGAGGTTCAAACCTCAACGTCTAACTACGTCGGTGGGTTTTCAAAAACTGGAGAGCCATATATGCAGTATACTCTGGCTATGGGAGAGTGCAGGATAAACTGTTAGCCCATAAAAGTCATGCTCCTTGTGTACGCATAACTGGTCGCTGTGCTGAAGATGAGAGGAAAGAGAAGACCAAGCAAGCCGTAAATTGCAGGTAGGCGGGCAGCTCTGGTGTATCATTTACTCCCATAAAAATGGTCGTGTGGAATGACAATAATACATCCTTTCATATAATATTTATCCGCTCATGGTTCATATCCCCACCGAAAACGCCCCGGGCACCATGCGCCTAATCTTGGCCTTGAGCTGGAAAACACTGGTCCCTGGAAGCGTCCGCCGATAAGCGCTGGGGGGTGGGATTCACTTTTCAACAACAACGATAAAACAATATAAGAGTATGGATGGGCCATCGACGCCATAGCCTCTCCACCCGATTGTTATCAAGAGCTTTGTGACCCTCCACCTCCTCCCCCTACTTCAGCGCCGATTCAAGCCAGGCACTTCAGAGGTGTAACGCGTGCTAACCATCAACGAGTGATAAATGAGCTTCAGGCAAGAATGAATCTCGTTCGAATTTGAAGTGGAATATGTCTGTATTTATGGTACATACAAATAAACACATCTCATACAGTCGCAGAGACGGCGGTGGTCATAGCTGAAATGGCTCTATATGGGATCAATACCCAAGCGGAGTAGATCAAAGCTACCGGCATATTTGCGGCCGCAGGGGCACAGTGAGAAAAACGAGGCCTGGGCTCCTACCGCGCTTCCGGATCAGACAATTCAACATATCTACCTCGGCCAGGGCGGCCATGCCCGCCGTAAACAGATCTGATCGAATCCTTTCGGTGGAGTGCTATTTTTAGGTTTTGGCCAATCCTTTTTGACTTTGAGACTACATAACTATGTAAGTCAGTTTGGCCGTCCGCGAAGTTTCAAACCTCTATTCTCATCGGAGCTAGACTGTTTTATACTCCAAGTATAAGAGCCGCAGGGAACACTAATTTATCTTTCGCGTCATACCTAAGCACCACGGCGTGGGTCTCAGACTGTTGTGATATTCGTTAATAGCACGCTTTTCAGCCCGTCGTAGAGGAGGAATCGTGCTCATTATCAAGGACCTTGGCACAGTCTGTGGTGATGATAGAATGACAAACTGCCCGCGCCACAACGCCGTAGACCCGCAGACAACAGATTCACGACCCGGTGGCGTGGGAATCATAGTTCAGTACATCGGTACTCCATACTAATACTAATAGGAATTACTCAAGGTAACTGGGCATGGCGCCACGTCCTGGGCAATTTCTGGGAACATCGCCTCCACTAACACCACCCAAATTGCGAAGGCTTCCTATGAAGGCCCCCTTTCTTGAATGTGGTGGGTAATCTTCACCGGTCTCTTTTCGACTTTGTGCCACAACATGGTATAGCCCGTTACGCTCCTCTCCCAGCGATGCAATACCCAGGTCCAGGCTGTAAGCGGACGACCGGAAAGCGTTGGAGCTTGGCTACGGCCCAAGGTACCTGAACCTGAGCCTTTCCGGAGAAATTTTTAATTTTTCAAACCCATCTTAAATTCGGAACCGTACGGAGTACAGCATCAAAAATTACCTTATACTATTGATATCCACTGCTACACATTTCCAGGATATGCACGGCGGCATCCGTTGTTGAACGAGTCACCGGTACGGAGTAAAATATGCCTATAGACGCCTCTCACTTACTATGGGGCTTTTTTCAGGATTATGGAGTCCATTGTGGCAAGGTATTTTGCGGGTCCAGCGGCCTTAGGGACGAACAGAAAAATCATAGTTATATCTGTATAAAGAGCTTGATCCCTTCTCTTTATATCTATTTCGTTTATCAATCACACGTCTCCGTGTCCGTCTTGCCCAAGGCAGTATAGTGGAAAACCTCAGTGATCATGGCGCCAAGTACAAGCCGACTGGCTCAGGCCGTTGTTGGGCTGTTATTATTCCAGGTACCTCTATCTTTTAGTTCACCTACTACTCCTCAGGAGCCCTGTGCTCTCGTCGCCGCCGCGCAAAAGAAGAGGTTAGAAAGTTCATCTGGTAAGCCATTTCTCTGAACTTTAAACCTATTAATTTAGAAGAAAATGTATTTACTTATGGTCTGAACAGTTAAGCAATTCACTGTCACAGCGGAGCTTGCCACTCTATGTCTGAACAGTGTTCCATTCAATTCTAAAAGAGCTGTGGAATATCTAGATGCGTTGGATTATTATTTCGATTGGCAGTCCACTAAGAAGTGGCTAAAAAACCCCCCTCAGGGGTACATGAGCCCGTCTACTGACCTCGACGGGCGCTTAAAAAAAATTCGAAACAAAGCTTCCCGTAACAAATATACAGGAGAGTATCAGTTCCAGATGGAGGTAGAAAAATTAATCCGATCCGCATACGATGGTCACTTTACTGCTCCTATGGATCTATTGTCAATCTTCAAGTTCGAACGAGATCAAGTGGGCCCCCTTGTATCCTTATCAGATAATGGCAGAGATTTACCAAAGGTTTACTTATTATGTATGCCCCCGCGTTTCCTTTCTTTTTTATTTTATTTTATTTTTTTGTTTGGAATACGAAAAAAGATTCACAGTTCTGCCCTGCTAACATGGTTATGAAGACGACGTGCGGAAGAAAATCAACGAAATATCCGCCATCCAAACAATCGATGGTGAAACCGCAGCAAAATGGCTGAACAAATTATCCAAAGAAGATTATACCTCACACGATCCAGACGCCCGCCACAATGGACTTTATTACAATATCCCGCGTGGCGTGTCTGGCTATAGCGGTACGTTTCTGAAGAGCGGAGTTCTTAACCCCGGTAATAAGATCACGATTGGGTTCGAAAATGGAACGACCAAAGAATTCGAAAATTCCGCCACCTCATCTGCCGACTGGACTGCAGTAACAGACGGCCCCTCGTTCTACAACAAGTTCTGCGGTGGTGAATCGGCTCCATTGACTTCAAGAGCGATATCAGAATTCAACGAAACCGCCCCATCGTTGCATGAGCAGGAGCTGCCGATAGATACACCGTATAACACCTTTGCTACGCGTAACACTGGTGGGTCGGATTTAAAACCAGTTGTCAAGTCTTCTAGCGATGAGATGTTCGGCTACTTTCTCGAGAATTCAAATGTTGCTGTGCTTCGCCTCACGTCTTTCGACGCAAAAAAAAACAGGTATCTTATAGAAAATTACAGCCACTCAATCACCAAGTTTTTGACAGAATGTCGAAAGGCTGGAAAGGAAAAACTCATTGTTGATGTAAGCGGCAATGGAGGCGGTATTGGCTTCCTTGGATTTGACACATTCATTCAGGCAAGTTATTCTCTCCCCACAGCTCCTAGAAGATATAATCTAATAAGTCCATAAACAGATTGCTCCAAATGGCAAACTACAAAGCCCAATAGAAATTGCTGCAACTGAGCAGTTTGATCTCCTCGGTGGAACTATCAATCGTCTCCTTGCCGATGACACGCTACCAAAAGCCATGGCCGCAAGATTTGAAAAAGATAAATTGTTCGACATAAATTCTTACGTCGATAATAACGGTCAGAAGTTCAAGTCGTGGAAGGAGTTTTTTGGTCCACGGGATGGTTTTACCAACCTCTTTAATTGGGATTTTAATAATCTCAAGGCGTCTGGTAGTGTCGGTGGCCTTGTTATTACTGGGCACGGTAGCCGCGCCCCCGTTGCCCCTCTATTCCAAAAGGAGAATATCGTGTTGGTGACGGATGGTATCTGTGCCTCTACCTGTGCAATTCTGGCTGACTTGATGCGACGCCATGGGATCAAAAGCATTGCTGTGGGAGGGCGACCCAAACGTGGCCCCATGCAAGCCGTTGGTGGTGTCAAAGGCGAGCAGGTCATCAGCTTCGGTAACCTCTTTTTCAAAGCTAAGCAGGTGTATGACAACTTCTTGACCCCAGAAGAGAAGAAACAGCATGAGAATTCCCGACTAGCCATGATGGCCACTAAGGGAAACGCTGTGCTGAACCGACTCCCTAATTTTGGAGACGATTCCATTATTAACTATCGTAACAAAGTATACGCTGAAGACCAAAGCCGCACGCCGCGTCAGTTCGTGAACGAGCCGGCTGACTGCAAAATATGGCGGACAAAGGACGCACTTTTTGATAAGAACAAGTGGTGGACTACCATAGCAGACTCCTGGTGGGGCAATAAGGATATCTGCATCGAAGGCAGTCGCCCATCCAGTGGGTGAATACATTCTCGCTAGGCGGATGTGAAGAATTTGCTGCTCCTCATGTAAGATATTTGCTTTCTGGATGGTGTTCTCGGCACCATGTTCATCTCTTGAGCGTTTTATTTCTTTCTTATTTCTTTCTAGGTCAGATGCCCTATTTAACATAGAGATTATATTCAGAAAATATACAGATTTTCTTGATAGATGTGGGAATTCTCTGTAAGGAATTTGTCACCAGCAATTTCAGAGGCCATTCTCAGGGTCCTGAGACATAAAGCACTACTCCATACTCGTCTGTCGTTCACCGGCTGATAGTTCAAGTGAGGGAGGGACTCGCCAAGAAGTCCTTTCCTGAGAGTGCTCGTTGACATCTTGTGAACTTAGCGCTATTTCTGTTGATGTGCCAGATTGTTGAAGTCTTGAAGGCCAGACAATTCAGATAGGCTATTAGGTTGGTACCCCAGAGCTGCCAGGCTAGCCTTTCCTTTCCACTGTGATCATAACTGCTGCTGTTGCTTCGGAGACATGGGGGATAGTTGGATACTGTTACAAAGTGCTTAAGGATGATAGACAAGATGAGAAGGAGATTAAAATTATCCTTTTTGTTCTATTTTCATTTTTATCGGGGAGGAGACGAGGGCATACATAATTAACTACATATTCTTGATGCATATGTCAAATTAACATTAGCGCTCCAAAACGCAAATGACTTTTAGGCCTAGGGCTAGGGCATGCATCCCGGCGGAGACCCCTATGCCCAGGCCTCAGCACGCCTAAACTGCGGGCGGGCCAACAGGGAAGATCTCTGTTGGGAAATCACCGGAACCGGATAAACAATACCTCCTACTCACATTAGCTGGAAGGTTTTATTAGTATTTGTATGTGCTCTGTCCGGAGCACAGAGTAATGACTTCTTCTTAAACAGGCCCGGCCCGGCCGCCTGCAACACGAAGATCAGCAAACTGCGACTGGTTGTGCTTAGTTGGCCCTGCCTGAGCTCCTCTTTTTGCCTCATATTCCCACCCCTGGACCATCTGGAAGTGCTTTCGCCGCCGATCGCTTGACATGTCTGGATGCGACGGTGGAGAAGTCCACAGTGGACTTGCGACAAGCTTGGAGTTAGAGTCCGAAGAACAGTTGATACGATGGAGTTCCTGCCAGGATGGCTAACCAACCATTAAGCGTGGGCCTCGAAACCTATCGTGTGCTCAATGACGCTGGTCTCGGCGTCGGGACGCGAATGCCGTGCGATGCCGTGACAAGCCTGCTTCATGATTGGGACTGGAGTTTCGGCCCAGCTGAACTTCCTGGCGAATTTCAGAGGAGCTACCTGTAAGGCGCAGTGTTCGGCAGGCAATGCACATAGTAGGCTAGCCGAATGTTAAGCTTTGGCCGCTGGGCTGCTACTCCCCAGCGGCCATGTACTGCACAACTCGAGAGCAAGCAGATGCAAATTCCTCTCGTTGAATAGGCGGAGGTTGTGCAATTGAACGGCCTGGAACGAACTTCCTGGGACTCTGGCCGTGTCTGAGAACCTGCATTTAAAGCAGCACTGACAGTGATATAGTTAGTGACCCCTCATCTGGATGAAATAGTATCGGGCCGTGTCCTTTGGCCCTCAGTGGAGTTTAGAAAGGAGGAACTGAAGAGTAGACTTGCCCGCTCGAGGTATGTTAAACAAACCACCGTCTTCCTTACCATCAGCTATCACCGATTCTGGTTCGTGGCAGTCTGTGTCTAACAATTGAACCGCAATCTAGGTCAACTTGGCATCGAGCGTGCAACACGACCACCATTCCATCTCAAACTTCCACAACCGTGCTCGCCAGCCCAATCACCGACCAGGACGCTGCTTCAAGCTCCTGGCTCGCCACCTCCCTTAAAATATGTCAACTCGCCCCTCCAGACAGGCTTCAAGACAGGCAAGCATGGATCCTCGAAACGAAATTACTGTCCAGAAAGACCATTTTATCGGCGTTGATGTGGGCACTGGAAGTGCGAGGGCCTGTATTATTGATGATAAGGGCGATATCGTTGGCTTAGCCTCGGAGAACATTGGCTTGTGGCAGCCACAACAGGGATACTATGTAGGTGCTCCCATAAGCAGCCTGGATTGTACTCAATCCGCCCTTTGCTTTTCCTGGCCATAACTCTACAACATGGACGTACTAACTTTCAACATTCAGGAGCAATCTACAACCGATATATGGCGGTGTATTTGCCTTTCTGTACAACGTGCAATCAGTCAACATAATGTAAATCCGTCATCTATCAAGGGAATTGGTTTTGATGCTACATGCTCCCTAGCTGTATTTGCTGAAGACAGTGACGAACCTGTATCTGTCACTGGACCAAGTTTTGACACTGATCGGAATATAATTCTCTGGCTCGATCACCGACCTGTGGAAGAAACGGAAAAGATCAATGCTACGGGTCATAATTTACTTCGTTATGTTGGGGGGAAAATGTCCATTGAAATGGAGATTCCAAAAGTTCTTTGGCTGAAGAATAATATGCCGAAGGAGCTCTTTGACAGGTGCAAGTTTTATGACTTAGCAGATGCCTTGACGCATTTAGCTACTGGAAATGAAAAAAGGAGTTTTTGCAGCGTCGTTTGCAAACAGGGATATGTCCCAGTGGGCGTTGATGGTAGCGTTAAAGGTTGGCAGCCAGACTTTTTGCGTAATATTGGATTAGAAGAACTTGCAGATGAGAATTTTAAAAGGATGGGCGGTGTCAATGGTCAAGTGAGTACTTTGTACCTGTTTCTTTAAAATCGACGAATTGGACCTGACGCCTGTATAGAATGGGGAATATTTAAGTGCTGGTGAACTTGTTGGTACTCTTTGTGAAAAAGCCGCTGGAGAACTTGGCCTTCCTGTTGGAATTGCGGTTGGAAGCGGTGTGATCGACGCATATGCAGGGTGGATTGGCACCGTTGGTGCTAAAGTGCAATTGAGTGACGAATTACTCAGCTCCGATACGGCGAAGAATGATAAATCGCAAGCGTTTACTAGACTGGCGGCTGTAGCGGGCACTTCTACCTGCCATCTTGCCATGTCGCCTGATCCTGTCTTCGTACCGGGAGTTTGGGGTCCATATCGCGATACAATTATTCCGGGCTACTGGATGGCTGAGGGCGGACAGTCAGCAACCGGCGAACTGCTTAAACACGTCATCGAAACGCACCCTGCCTTTAACCAGGCGCACTCAATCGCCGAGTCTTACAATACAAACATCTACGAGTACCTAAATGAGCACCTTAAAGAACTGGTTTCTGAGTTCAATGCACCCGCCATTTCTTACCTGGGCAAACATTTCTTTTTCTATGGTGACTTGTTCGGAAACCGTTCACCCATCGCAGATCCAAATATGTCTGGGTCTGTCATTGGGCTTTCGAGTGACAAATCTGTGAGCGGGCTCGCTCTCTACTATTACGCCACTCTCGAGTTCATCGCCTTGCAAACACGTCAGATTGTAGAGGCCATGAACAAAGCGGGCCACCACCTCACGTCCATATTCATGTCAGGCTCCCAGTGCCAGAATGATATCCTTATGTCTCTTATCGCGTCAGCATGTGACATGCCGGTTTTGATCCCTCGATACGTGCACGCCGCCGTATGCCATGGTGCAGCAATGCTAGGCGCCAAAGCTGCTAGTGCAGACCCGGAGGGAAAGACTGAAGACCTATGGGATATTATGGATCGGATGAGCAAACCAGGTAAAGCAGTTCATCCGACCAAGGATAAGTTTGAGAAGGCGCTTCTGGATATGAAGTACAACGTATTTCTTGAGCAGTGTCATCAGCAGCAGGAATATAGAAAGAATGTGGATGAGGTAATTCGAGGCTGGGGCTCGTAAGTTTCTAATCTTATCTCGCTCGCTGACGGCTATCTCCTATATGGTCAGAAAGAACATAGATGTGAAAGAGGCGTGCCATGTCACGAAATTCCAGAATAAACGTAGTATTAAATGACGCCACCTTATGCCTGAGAGAAAGTATGGATGTTCACATATATATTACAACGCCCAGCACAGTATATTCAGATCATCTCCTTCTAATACACCCCCACACTATTCAAACGATCATTTACACTCTCCCACCTATCTTGGAAGTCAGTAAGATACTTCCGTCTCCCAAAGCCAAGGTATCGAATCGGTCGACACCATTAGTGTCTAATGTATTGTATTTCGTTAAAAAGAAGCCCATCACCACAAATAAGTAGGTTAGTAGTAAAATAGAGCCCTTAAAATAGTTACTCTTGCCTTCTCCATAAACGTAGGAAAGCAAGAAAACGCAAAGGATTGTAGTGATCATATCCCATTGAGGGAAGATTAGGCTGTTTTGGTGGTATATAGTGTTAGACAAGTTAATTACTTGAGTGGATAAATAATGGAGGACATACTTAAAGCTATGGCTAAGAAGGTCAGCTGGGTCAACGTAGAGTTGACTATGTATCGCACTGAATAAAACAACGGCCGGTATCTGCAGAAGGCAGACCTGAAGAGCGTACGCAGAGCCTATTTCCATAGACAAAGCAATATTGCCATTCATAGCAAAGGATATAGCATTCTAAATAGCATGTTAGATAAATTCTTAGTAGAGAAGACCTGTCAGTGTTGAGAAGAACGTGGACTTACCAGGAATTCGGTCGTATTAGGGACAAGAGCAAAAAGGGTAATTCCCAAGAATTTTTCGTCAATATCGACGCTTTCCAGAACCACATCCACGGTATTCACCAGAATTTCTGCAATAATAGCATACAGGATAGTGGCACCGAGAAGAATTACTGTACTTTTCAGTTTACTCCAGTTTGGCGCGTCATGTCCACCTGGTTGGGCATGAGATTCAGTAAACACGGCACCCTCATTGGCCTCTTCAGTGACGCCTCCCGGTGTTCCAATAGTTGATGTTTTCCCATGCGTACCGACCATATGGGCAGTAACAGACGGTTTTCTTGGCTGGCGAGCTGCATCACGAGCAGCCACGGTGGCGGCTGTGGCGGCCACTTCAGTCACCTGGCGGACAAACATTTCGTTCTCCTCCTCAGATAGGCCTGGTAATCTCAAGTTCAACGCTTGGGTCTGGCTTTTTGGTGGGACAACATGTGGAGTAAGAGAGGGCTCCTCTGCAGGGGCTTTTTGCTTGGATTGTTCCGAGAGGTCATCGTTGACCATAGAAGATAGACCCACTTGTTTCAAAGATTGCCCCAGAATGCGGGCATATTGCTGGGACTCTCGTATAGATCCTTTGGCGTGGCAGGCTTGCGTCAGTTGACGTCCATTGATAGAATGATTCTTCTGTGCTTGGAGCGTTGATGTTAGATCCGAATGCTGAAGCTGAGGTGGATGCTTCTTCTCGTCTAGTTCAGTGGACCAGATAATGGCGGCATGTGTACGCAAAGTGAACCAGAGTCCAATCACATAACAGAGAAATAATAAGGATGCCGCAAACCAAGAATATGGCTGTACTGCCTTTACAAAGAACTTGTTCTTCAAAGATGGTGTATCGGAGAAATAGCATCGACGGCAATCTTTGCCATTGGGCAAAGCTTTCGATGAACACGGATGACAGTACAGCTCATGCTGAGGAATTTTAGTCTCGTCGCATCACTAAATGGAATGTGGAAACTTACACTGCCGTATACCTGGTAAAACAGCGTTGGCCCAAATGCAGCAACAGTGGCAAATAAAAGCATAGTTGAAGTAACTCCAGCGGATTTGACATTGAATCGTTGAGTCTTCCTTTTAATGGCTCCAAAACACATGGACAGTCCAGGGAGAAAGAGTATACCAGCAAAGATGCTGCCAATGATACTACCCTCCACAAGTCGAGCTTTACCTTCGGTTAGAGCAACGCAATAGAGGTATACCTCAACTACTGTGGAGAAAAAGGCGTTGATAGCAGCACCTAGGCCCATGGATGATTGAGCCGAGATGGATGCCACTGCCTGTCCAATAAAGTAGGCAAGTGGGATAATCGAAATAAGAGCAAGAGCAAATATTAGACCATTGTTTGCTATCCAAGAGTCAAGTTGTAACGTTCGGTGCAATACCCAGTAATCCAGGATAGTAAAGGCAACGACCCCGAGAAGATTGATAAAGAAGATGTTTGTCCCATCAACTGTGTATTTCCAGTACTTGAGACCAGCGGCGCGATATGTGCAAAGTAGGATCGACGAAGGTTTGCAACTAGGTCCTCTGGCATGTGAGGTGTCAAGATGGAAAGATAGGGCGAGGGGGTGTCGGCGGAGATGATGCAGCAGGATAACAACCACACGGCCCATTGGTATCCAGAAGACCAGCATCCAGCAAATAAATGATGCGAGAAGCATCAAAGGGCCGACGAAGAAATAGAAGAGACAGTAAAACATGACTCGTCCAATCGTCCACTCTCCTCGGCCGAAGAACCGTCTTTTGTTCCTAGGTATAGGGCTGTCCGATCTATGAGCCCTACCAGCACGGCCTAGTAAGCTTTCGTATTCACCAGCTGAGTCCAGGCTATTTCTCCTACGACCGACCAAGGAACGGGGGCCAAAGAAGAGTCGTCCGTGTTCCAAGTCTCCGCTCTGCCATTGTTCATATTCACTGATGCTTCGTCCTTCACCTTCATCCTCCTCAGCGTAGTTTTCATCAGATTGAAGACGAACAAAAGAGCCAAAAGGGTATAGAAGATAGCCGGCAAGACCGAAAAATACTTTGCCGTAGGCGACCGCATCGGGGAGGAATCCAACGAAAAAGCAGGCACATGCTCCTAATAAAGCAGCCAAAGCCAGCCACCATCCAAAGAATAAGGTCCATAGAAAGTTGACTACAAAAAGGAACTTGTCGACCCTCTCTCCGGGCACGGAGTGAATATCCCCCTCTGCTGTCTTTTCGACGGAGCGAAGTTTCTTATATAAAGCAGGCTTCCAGATTCTAATACCGAAGGGATGAGTTTGATTAATCGCCTGCTGGCGATCCTTGAGAGTAAAACTTTCCGCATCGCTAGTATTTTCTTCCTCATCATCATTAACATCATCCACGACGTCACTATCATGGGGCTCTGCTTCGTCAAGTCCATGGGGTTCACCCGGAGGATCTTCATCAGCAGAGTCCACACGTTGCAAGGTAGGCGGTTGTGCATTAAACCTTCTTCGTAACGTCCCATGCGACCTGGCACCAGATCGTGTGGCTGAGGCAACATGTTTCAGCGCATTGTCTTCTTCATACTCGGAAACATCATCGTCCACAGAGAATTCTTGTCCACGATAAGGCTTAGATGAAACACGTCGTACCGTTGGGGGCTTTTTGGGAGTCCTTTCAGGGATCTGATAGCTAGGGGCAGGACTCCGGGGGAGGTCGTGGAAGCTCGAAGACGCGTGCAAGCTTTGTCGTTCCGACGAGCTCTCTATTCGTGATGGGAGCTCGCTTGACTCGATGGTACCTGCATGCAATTTATTAGTTAAGACATGTTAAGTATCATATAAGCATGTGTATATAACCCCCACCATATGTAGTTGCAGGGAGGGATGCTGAAACCGGTTCATTGGATGAACCACTTTGATCTCCGCTTCCAGTTCTAGTAATAGACATGTATTGCTTTGCGGGGGAGGTAGGTGAGCTTCCATACGACCCAGACTCGGGTGCACGGTCGCCATCGTGGGAGGTCATTGTCCTGGGGGCGCTCACCCCGAGTTGTTTTAACCGGGATGAGGAACAGTGGTTATCTCGGTCCGTGGGCTGCAGGACGAAACGCTTAATCCGTACGGAACCTTAGAGCTATGCATATCAGGACTAATAACAGTGGCACAGAGCCAAATTCCCGGAAATTGAATTTCAAACGCTTATTTTTGGAAGCTGATAGTGGTCCGTATGTCAACTTCTCCCAACCAGGTGTACTCGCTGTTCATCACACTTCGTAACGGCGGAAGGTGCGTCGCCGTGGTTAACAGGCAGCAGGAGAAAAACAGAGAGGAGGGAAGAAAATAGGCGGCAATTAAAGCCTTGCGTTATGGCCGCCGTGAAGAATAATGTCGCCTGACCTGGCTGGAGGTCATGGCCAACTCTTCAGCCATCGACAAACGCGACAAACACGGCGGGAGCTCCATGCTATCCTTGGCACGCTAATCCACATACAGCATAACGCCATTATATGCCAAGACACTTTGTCAATGCCAAGGATCAGATGACTAATCACGATGAAGCTTCCAGCGACGACGGACTGAGAGCAGCGAGCAGAACGCCAGCGCGCTCTGTTTAAGCTCTCAGCTTTGCATGCCTATCGAAGCTCTACGCAACCTGCACAATAGTTTTCAAGATTGTGAAATCATTTCTATTTGTCGTATTTTTTAGCATTTTGATCGATACCCATTCCACACCCGTGCATCAACGTCAAGATGGCGCTTGATAATTACTTTCGCAACAAGATAGAGAGCATGAAGCTCGAGATAATCAAGGGACAAGCTGTGTTGAGACGACTGGAGGCACAAAGAAATGATTACAATTCGAGAGTACGGCTGCTACGTGAGGAATTGGGCCTATTGCAGCAGCCTGGCTCTTATGTCGGCGAAGTCGTGAAAGTAATGTCGACAAAAAAAGTGCTTGTTAAAGTTCATCCAGAGGGGAAATATGGTAAACTTGACTACTCCTTGATTATCAAGCTACGTATAACTAACATTATACCTCTATAGTCGTTGATGTTGCCGATGGCGTCGATATCGCAAAACTAACGGTTGGTAAACGCGTATCCTTGATGTCGGACTCATATAAACTGGAGAAAATGCTGCCTTCGTCGGTCGATCCTCTCGTATCTCTTATGATGGTGGAGAAAGTACCGGATAGTACGTACGACATGATTGGTGGTCTCGATCAGCAGATCAAGGAAATCAAAGAGGTGATCGAACTTGGGTTGAAACACCCCGAGCTCTTTGAATCTCTGGGCATCGCCCAACCGAAAGGTGTTCTGCTATATGGCCCTCCAGGAACAGGAAAGACGTTATTGGCTCGAGCTGTTGCCCATCACACAGACTGCAAATTCATTCGCGTCAGTGGATCGGAGCTAGTGCAAAAGTATATTGGTGAAGGCAGTAGGATGGTTCGAGAATTGTTCGTTATGGCGCGTGAACATGCGCCAAGCATTATTTTTATGGACGAAATTGACAGTATTGGATCCAGCCGCGTGGAGGGAAGCAGTGGTGGTGATTCTGAAGTACAGCGAACAATGTTGGAACTTCTTAATCAACTGGATGGTTTTGAGCCAACAAAAAATATCAAAGTCATCATGGCTACGAATCGTCTCGATATTCTCGACCCTGCCCTCCTTCGACCTGGCCGTATCGACAGAAAGATTGAGTTCCCTCCCCCAAGGTTCGTTTATTTGTCATCGATCGCCTTATCTCACATTTATTAACCACTTCTGTGTTTTTTGTAGTGTTGAAGCGCGGGCAGATATTCTTCGCATTCACTCTCGATCGATGAACTTGACCCGTGGAATAAATTTGACGAAGATAGCAGAGAAAATGAACGGATGCTCAGGTGCGGAACTCAAAGGCGTTTGCACTGAAGCAGGCATGTATGCCTTGCGAGAGCGGCGTGTCCATGTTACACAGGAGGACTTCGACCTTGCAACAGCTAAGATCCTGAACAAGCACGATGACAAAGAGGTCAGTCTTGGGAAGCTCTGGAAGTAAATGGTTTGAGTGGTATCGCACGCGGGGAGCTGTTTTTGGAATTGTTATCAAAGCCACTCGCGCTACTGCTATTTTGATATCAACTAAGAGGCGTCAAACTATAATGCTCTTACTGCAACGAAGGTCGGGGTGAACTAGGATGCATGTTCTTCACCTCACGCTACGAATCTGCGGGGTAGACTTTTCACTGTACATTACAGCATCGTACACATGGCGCTTCTAGAGTTCAGGAAAATATAATGGACAGCATCAAGCGATTTAGGTTCTCACTGGTTATAAGCGGGTTTGCTACTCCGTTTCCTTGTAGGCGGGTTATGCCAGTTTTATGTATGGAGGATAACATTTTGGACTGAGGTGTGGGTATCAGTTCACACCTGTTGAGACCAACGCTTTCATCAGCTGGGGGGACGATTGGGAGGGTACATCAAATCATCAACGGCGTTAGGCATGTGGCCGAGTTCGCTCCGATGGCCATGTAGCAATCCGAGGTGGGAACAGGGAGACGTCTTGTCCATGTCGACGATGCAAGCAGGAGGGAAGTATCCATAATTACTCGTAATTCGTTCCAAACCCCATCGGTTGATTATCATTCCCGACCTGCCGTCTCGTCCCTCGAAAAGGAGGGGAAATGGATCGAGACCCAACCTCGACAAAGGCCAACGGGAAGCCAGCTGGAGACCTCATGTGCGATGAACACATTAGTCTAAAGCTCCCAATGGGGGCAGAGTTCTTTTTAGAAATAATAGCTCAAGGCCCGAAGTTCCGCTGTACTTGCAGAGTACAGCCAGCTTCATTGGTCGCTGCAAAAAATGGCTTGGAGAACAAGAGCAATACTTAACTATGAATGCGGTTTTTATACTTTGAGGTAACTTTGTAAAGGCTGAGCTCTAACTTATGCATTTCTCATCTCATAGGGAGATATACATTCCTTGATGCCAGCAAGACCGTATAGGTCGCCCGTATTCCTGTAGACATCGTGTAATATCAAAACATGAACGATTCTGAAGTTGGGTTATCAGTACGGAGTATCAAAGTCAACCTCCTGTTACTCCATACTCCATACTCATATTCCAGGGAATTCTAGAGTGCCAACGCAACCTGGAGTAGCCTGGGCGCCATGGACAGGCAGTTGGCCAGAAGCAACTGATAATCTGTTTATCATTGGCAATACGGAGTAGACAAGCCAGGATTTACAGAATATGACTCGCAGAATCCCACCCAGTAGTTATTTATGAGCCGGATTCGCACACATAAACATCTCCAACACCACCATCCTAGGCAAAAGTGCTCAAGCCTTACGACGCCCAAGCTTTGGACCGCCAAATCGGCCAAGTCATACGCTGGCGAAAGCTCGTTTACCCCGTCGTAATACTGCATAGTACTTTCGAAGTCCCACAGCTTCCCCTGACATGATCTGAAAATCCCCTTTACGTCCTGCTACAGTACTCCGTACTCCATACAGGTAGTTAGGCTTGCAAGCAACTCCACAGCAGGTGATGTGATCACGATCAGCGGATGATGTGCTCTGTAATTGCTCGCCGGCTGTCTGGGGATAGATGGGTGGTTTCATTGCGTGAGTCGGCGGCCATAACGCCGCGCCAACCCTCAACCAGCATGCAAAGGAGTGGAACAGCTGCAGTGCTGCGGGTATCCTGCCAGGTTCATTTGGCTCGGCATGTCTTATTAGGCTGCGGGAGACGGAGCCCGCCGAGAGCAGCTAAACAAGCCGTCGCAATTCCTTTCCGCCGTAATACCCAAAAGAAAAAAAGGAAGCCAACCTGCGTTTCGCCTCTCCGTTGACTAGTGACCTTGCTGGTGCAGCGCGCGGGCTTGAACCTAATGGGCCTGATAATGCACTCCCGCAGGCGGGCTGCAGGCCTGGGCGGCTCGCCTCATGTTTAGAATTCGGAGAGCTGCGTCTGAAACCTTTCCCCCAGTAGTTAGCTAGCTAGCTCGCCAGTTAGCCTGGCGACATGTCCGGGCCCCCAGCCGGCACCCCTAGTTGACTGACTAGCTGGAGCTCCCTTGGTGTGAGATCCCACGTTGCTTCTTCTGCGTGTTCCCACCTGATCCCTGGCGCCGACAGTGCTTCCTTTTGGCCTCACCGCAATGCCGCGTCCAATCGCGATGGCGCTACCCAGAGGGGCCTCCGTTCTCCCCCCAAAAAAAGGCTGAGATATAACCACCACCCGCGTTCATAAAATACGAAGCAGATCGCTTGACACGTTGGTATTACCCTTATCATCGGCCCAAGCTTTATTTTTCTTTTTCTCCCGGAGCCAGGTTGCTTTGTCCCCAGATCTCCCTCGTTTAATATCTCGCCGCCACCTGACTCCTCGCCGGAATCCTCTTTCTCCGTCGTCACTTTCCTTCATGCCGGCGATTCTCCTCGATTTTCCCTCTTGATAAACCCCTTCTGGCTGCCTCTCTTCGCCGACGACACCGGTCTTTCGCATTGCTGGCCTGGCGCCAAATCCAACGACGTCAACATCGAATCCCAAAACTTGCTTTATTTCCACGTGACGGAGTCGACTTCCGCTGACCAGACAGTCGCAGTCGACTGCAATATCAACGCCTCTCGCTTTTCTAGCCGCTTTCCTGTCCTGCTTCCTTGCTTAAGGGTGTGATATGGCACAGGGGGAGCTATGGGCTACTCTACTGACGGCTATTAACCCCATCAATGCCAGCGCCATGCCGGTCGCGCTGCAGTCGACCATCGACCTGCTCGAGACCGAACTGGCAAAGGCAAGGGCTGCACTACAACAAATCCAGGCTGCACCCCAAGCTATCGTTGCTGAGGATGTCACCACCGGTGCCATGGAAGCTTACAAGATCCACTTGGTAGGATCCGCCTCGTCGCGTACACAGAGCAGCCATACCTTCCTGCCTCTGATAGACGAGTCTTTTGTGCGCTATAGCACCACGGCCGGCCCCAAGCCGTCACGGCAACGCACCACCTTGTCAGACCTCCTGCTGAACTCCCTCGTGATTGAGCATCTGGCGCCATACATGTCCGTCGCCTCGCTACTTTCCCTGGCATCGACCAATAAGACAATGAGGTCTCTTATCATGGACACACCATATGTGTTCCGCCATTTGGACCTGGTACCGTGTCGCGGCGCGCAAGTTTCGCCCAGCCGCGCAGCAAACCACCGGGCTGGCGACGCCTGGACAAATGGCGAGACAAACGACCCTATGACCGAAGACGAATTTTACTCGCAGGCGCTCAGGGGCATCTTCGACGATCTGGGACGACGATCCGTGCTGCAAGATGTGCGCACCCTGGTGCTGGACGGCCTCTCGGTGCCCGCGGATCTAGTAGCGGAGATTCTGCTGAACGAACGCTTCAACGTGACCATCTTGTCGATCCGCGGCTGTCTGCACCTCAACGAACGCAAGCTGATGCAGGCGCTGCAATTCGCGGTACGCCCGGGGCGCGCCAAGGGAATGCCAAGGGTGAAGGGCGTCTACCACTTCAGCGCCAAGGACTCCGACGCCCAGCCCCGGCCCGACCAGCCTCCGATCAGCCCGCGCGGCCAATATGACGACCTGCAGCGCCGGCACGAATGGTACCGCGCATCCGGCCAGGTGCTCCCAGGCCCCGTCTGCAGCGAGTGGGCGCAGACGCTCCAGCTGTGCGAGAGGATCATCTCGTTCGACGCTGTGCTCTGCCGCGGCCCCAGGCACCATCCGGAGTCGTATATGGGCGACCACCCCAAGCAGATAGGCTCCTACCTGCCACCTGCAATTGCCACTGTCGCACTGGGCCCAAGAGGCTGCGAGGGCTGCGGTACGACGCCCGAAGGCCCTGCCGTCTGGGGCTACTCGCCCGACGAATGCTTCCCACTACTGTCGCCTCCCCCGTTACACTCTTCCCGCGTCTCTGTCGCCAAGAATCCCGCGGTGCACAAGAACGAGTCGCCGACGCTGATCATGCAATGCGAAGACTGCATCCGGAACCGCTGCTGCCGTCGATGTCGTCGGTGGTGGTGCTCCGATTGTTTGCAGGACCCCGAAATGATCAGGGAACCCGACACCGCCTACCAACCACCGGGCATGTTTGCTGGCATGGGCCATGTGAAGGGACACCAATTAAAGGTATTTAACGGTCTTTGCATTATATGTCGGAACTGCCTTGTCGACCCGTGACCGATATTTGGAAGATCTGTCCTGTTTTCCTTTCCTCCCAGGATCCTTCCACGTAAGTGGAGATGAAGAGTATGCCTCGCTGCCCTTTGCTGAGTGCTACTTCTACATTTCTCATGTCACGCTGCCCTTGCTGTATTACCTTGACCGTGGCAGATTAAACACCTTCATCTACCTCAATGTATCAAAAGGAACAACTTTAGCTAACAACCTGTCTAGAATCCCAGACAATGTGTCGCCCGAGACTGCTGGGAGTGTGGACCCACGGTAAGCTATTTGGAATTTATAATAACATCAACTCCATGTTGCTAACACAGATTCTTCCCAGTGCACCCGCTGCATGCTTGAGATCATCCGCACCTGCGATAGCTGCCAAGGGGAATTCTGCTTGGACCACAACGAAGGTTGTTCCCAGACAAAGGTAAATAAAATCCAGATACTCCGTACTCCAGCCCCGTCCAACCCTCAGCTCTGCCGAGGGATCAACATGCAATACTGACATGGGTATCGCAGTGCGATTGGTGTAATACCACGCCAAGACGCGCCGGAATGAGCCGATCATAACGCGCCGGCGCCATCTATCTCCGAGAACTCCTTCTAGTCGGTTTCTCCTGCGACGGCTATTCGTTACTGCATGTTACACGGCGTCTGCTTTGTACGGCCCAGTCGAAATTCTTATCTGGACGCCATACAGAGCAGAACACTCGCCCTAGAATCTCGGTAGGGCGAGATCCACTGTCAGTTCTAGGCTCCTCTGGGGAAAAAGAATTATAGCGCTTTACACTAGGACTTCAAGCACTTTCTCTATCCGCTCACCGTGTCAGTTCTTCTCACCTCTACTCCGTACGGAGTATTCGTACCGAGTATCATTTTCCTTTTCTCTTTTCCGGCTTTTGACTCCACTCCACTTCCGGCTTATTATGACGATATCCTTTTCTCTACTCTGGCAAGCATTACATTAAACTAATATCTTAATTAACGACTCTCATATGTCTTATTGCGCGCATGGGATCTTTATTCGGGGATTCGGGAGTTAAATATTTTCCACTTTTACGTTAGGCGGAGAGCGATACAGCATGCGATATTCTGGCGGTGTCTTTTGGGGCAGGCGATTCCTAGCCGCTTTCCTGTTATGGCTCTTGGGGTCTGCTTTTATTTATATTTGGCGAATATGGTTAAAGGTACTCTACTGCGGAATGGCATTGGTATCTACTTCGCTCAGTCAAACGAATCAATAAAAAAAAAAAAACAAATAGATAACTGGCTTATCGTTGTTTGTTTTTTGCTTCTACTCTGCTGTATGAGTTTCTTAGATAGCAGGCTTCCAATACTTATGCCTGTTCAAATGAAAAAGCTCAACATTTCACCAGGCTTAGGGTTTTGTGTTCCTGGTTCTATTGCCTGTTTTCGCGTGACTCCCTACGCTAGATTCATCTAGAGCGTGCTCGACATAGCTACCCACGATTACGTCATCCCATTGCTTCTGAGTGACAAATCCATCAAGAGCACCGAGTACTCCGCAGCTCAAATAAATTCTATTTTCTTGAAGCTCAAGACAGATAGCGATGTGTGAGTGCTAACCTTTTGAATACCTACTGCTGTTTATTTCTGGGAAGCGCATTTCTGCGGATATCAACTCATGGAAAACCCTCTGAAATGGTCGTCCACATACACCGTCACGCCGCCAAACCGCACATCCAAGAAGCTCTACGGTGATAAGATCTGCCTCCCACAGTCAGCACTTGAAGGGATTCTGAATGCCTTCTCACCATCAGCTGATACCCTAGGCTATACCGCTTCTTTCTCTGGAAACCGCAACCGCAACCGCTACCCTCCCGTCACAGCCCTCTCCGCATTGGACGATGAAGGTCGAGACCGACGGCGAGAGCTCCCATATCCTCTTACCTTCCGCATTATCAACCGCAAATCGGGACGAATCGTTCACGCCGGAATACTCGAGTTTTCAGCTGAAGAGAATGAGGTCTCGTTAAGCCCGCTTTTGCTGCAGAGCCTCGGAATACAAGATTCTGACTTTGAAAATCGGGAAGAGGTTTCGTTTGAAAGTGGGACAGATCACAGCCACACAACACTGATTGTTCACGCTGTTGAGATTCCAAAAGGGACGTATGTTCGGCTGCGGCCGCTAGAACCTGGATATGACACCGAGGATTGGAAGGCTCTGCTGGAACAATATCTGCGGACGAATTTTACAACCCTAACTGTTGGGGAAACATTTCCAGTACGCGGAGCCCCAGATGAGGTCTTCCAATTTCTGGTTGATAAAGTGGAACCGGAAGGTGACGCTATTTGTATTGTGGATACAGATCTGGAAGTCGACATTGAACCGTTAGATGAGGAACAAGCCCGAGAGTCGGATAGAAGACGCAAGGAAAAACTGAACAAAAAAGCTCTTGCTAAAGGTGGTGAGCTGCGATCTGGAAAGCAGGTTTCCGAAGAGATCCCCGTGGGGCAATACGTCGACTACGAACTACGGGACTGGAACCGCTCAGAAGTCCTAGAGATAGAACTGAATGCAGAAGATACTGCGGACATTGATGTATTTGCTAGTCCATTTTCGGCCAGGCAGAGAAATCGGCCTCGTCTAAGTGAGCATGTTTTCAGTGACTGCTCCAGCGAATTTCCTAAAATCATTCGGGTTCAGCCCACCAACGTCGAGCTCCAGGACGTTGAAGCGATATATATATCAATACATGCCCGTCCATCGGAAGGAGGAGATACCAATGAAGGCTTCACCTGGCCCTTTTCGCTCCGTGCTAGCACACCAGCAAAGAATGACGTACATGGGCAATCTAATGGTCTTGTATCTTCGCAAAATGCTGATGAAGAGCAATGCAGTAATTGCCATCAATGGATCCCAAAAAGAACACTAGTATTACATGAGAATTTCTGCCTTCGAAATAACATCTCTTGTCCGAAATGTGAAAAGGTTTTCCAAAAGCGTTCCTCAGAATGGCAGAATCATTGGCACTGCCCGCACGACGAAATGCATGGCAATGATTCTTATAGTAAATCGAAGCATGATAGCATATTCCACACGGAGCAGACTTGCAAAAGCTGTCTTTACCAGGCTCGAAATATACCTGATCTCGCTCAACACCGTACCACCGTTTGCCCAGAGAAACTCATTCTTTGCCAGTTCTGCCATCTAATTCTTCCCCAAAAGGGCGATTCTGACCCTGATGTCCTTGACCCAGAAGTTCTTCTATCAGGTCTCACACCCCACGAATTCGTCGACGGCACGCGCACTACCGAATGCCATCTGTGCAGCCGCATAATTCGTCTTCGCGACATGACCACCCACCTCCGTCACCATGACCTTGACCGCCTCTCCCGTCCGCCTCCTCAAATATGCAACAATCCCAACTGCTGCACCCCTCTGGAAGACCCGACTCGAGGTGGCAGAGCGACAAGCAATGGTCTGGGCCTATGCAGTGTTTGCTTCGGCCCTTTGTATGTCGATGTTTATGATCCAGAGGGCAAGGCTTTGCGGCGTCGCATCGAGCGCCGATACTTGTCCCAGATGCTGACTGGCTGTGGGAATTCCTGGTGTCGTAACGAATATTGCAAGACTGGCCGAACGACGTTGGGTATTGGGTCTGTTTCCTCAAAGGATGCTTTGACGCTTGCGAGACCCCTTGTCAGTGCTGTTGCCATTTCGTGCTCGGCGCAGCAAGTTGAGAATACAGCACCGTTGTATTTTTGCACGGATGAAAATAATCAAACGAGGAGGAAACTGGCAGAGCTGCTTGCAGCGGAGGCGGGTTATGAATTGGGTTGGTGCATTGCGGCGGTTCAAGATGGTGCTGGGGATATGGATAAGGCGAAGGACTGGTTGAAAAATTGGGCGCCAAAGAAGGGTGAGAAATTTGGGGATACAAAATAATTTAGCGATTTGGGGTGCATATCATGAAGGGTGTTTGGCATTTATTTTAGCATATCATCTGGTGGTTCAGACATGATGGAGTGTAGATTAATCTAGATTTTTGAAGGTAAAAAGATCTATGATTCTGAGTATAGATTAAACCGCTCCATTTTTTTGGTTCTTATTATAGAGTACAACTTGAATATATCATCAGTAACCAACCCAATAAACATTGCCTGGATATACATGCAGTCAGGTAAACAAGAAAAGATATGTGTTTGTACTCTGACCCCTGTTGACCTCCCAATATTTGCGCGAAGTTCCCATTCCCTTGTTGCCCATGACCAATATGTTGCCAGTCATAAATAGTCAGACCTCTGTCGTGATATATGGCGGGCGTTGTCTGCCAAAGTTAAGATAGAATAACATTGCTCTATAGCACGATTCTTATGTCGAGGGTAGATTAACCGTCTCCATTAACCATACCCTCCGCTTTGAAGTCGCATAGCCGAGAAAAATCTATGTCACGAATTAAACCCAACTTTCTCACGTCGCAGTCGTTTTGGCGGCCAAAGTGCCGCTTCCTCTCGAGGAAAAGATGCCCATGATTCCAAATACAACGTAAAACAGGGCCAAGGGGTAAGCAACGAGCGCTCTCATGCCTCTCATTCTCGCCACGGCGCAAAACATCCCTGAACTGCTGTACGTGCACCAGCCTACGGCGGCGGTGGTGAGGAGGTATCCGAACATCGTGTCCATGGGGAGAAGAATGCCGACCAAACTGGTGAGCACAAGTGGGAGGAAACAGTAGCCCAGTACGCTGGCTGAGCGAGGGAAGGTCAGTGTAGCGGAGAAGTGGCCTGCGTTGCTTGATTTATGGTGCGGGTGGTAGGAGCTAGGATCGCCGGACGAAACGTCGGCGGAGCTGGTGGAGGTGGTGTCGAGAGTGGGAGACATGAGGCTGAGGATGACGTGAAGAGCTACGGTGCCGAAGACAGCTACGCCGTAGATGTAGCCGTAGAATACTTTGCCGGAGAGAAGGAGGAATGTGCCGTAGAGGATAATGTACAAGAGGGCGCCGTACAGGTCGCTGTCGTCCATTAGGTGCTGGTCGATGCGGGCAAAGGGATTTAGAACGGAGAGCGTCTAGACAGCCAGATAACATGGTCAGTAAAGAGATCGAAATGAAGCCAAAGTAATGAGGCCAGCAGCTCATATGCCAGCGGCCTGCAGGAGATCCGCAAGAAACGCACCTTCATCCGTATATGCTCAAAATTCACCCCCAACTCTTCCAGCAGCGGCGGCTCGCCATCATAGCCCTCCGTGCCAAACGCCGCCAGCCACCCGGTCCTCAACCCGCCCTGCTCACCCATCCTCCCACTCACGCCGCCCGCCGCCGAACCACCGTACCCGCCGGAGCCACCGCCCGCACCGCCGGCGCCGACACCAAACGCTGCGCTGGAGCTGGACGGCATGCCATAGCTGCCGTAGACGGCCTGCGAGGGCGTCGTGTGCCCGGACACGGACGAGTATGAGGACGGGTAGAACTGGAGGTTTTGGGAGGATTGCTGGGGGGGCACGCCGTAGGGCGACTGCTGGGATTGCTGGGAGTAGAATTGGGCCATTGCGGCCGAATTTGAGGGGGCAACGCTCGCGAGATTTGAAGGGAAGGGAGAGAGGGTCGTTGTAGAGATTGGGGGATGATGGTCGTTTGGGTTGGTGATGTGGTGGTGGGTTGGGCGAGGGCGGTTTGAAGTGAAATGAAGCTGGAGATGTTGTCGTGAGTGGTGGTGATGATGTGTGCCACCGTGGAATCTTGCTAGGTGGCTGCAGAACAACCTCAAGCGGCTGCCTAGCCGGGCCAAACAGCGAAAACAGCTCCAGCTTTCTTGTGAGATTTACCTTGATCGGCTCTTTTCTGTAAAAGAGTAAATTTTTCTACTTTAACAAAGAATACTAATGCGAAGTACCTCCATGCTCAAGAAACTCCTTGTTTGTCTGTCCAAATATAAAAGAAAGTCGAAGTCTAGATATTCTACAAGAAGCTGATCCCAACGCCAAACTGCAACCCCTTGCGGCCCTCCTCGCCCTTCCGTAGCACAAGTGGCAACGAGAAGTTCAGCTCAAACCGCGCCACCGGATGCGCATACACCAGTCCGATACCAGCCGCCGTGCTAGGTAGCCCGTTCGCCAGCTCCGAGACCGTGTGCACGACGCTGTCGTTCGCCTGCGCCATGGTCTGGGGCGCATCGCCGTTGGGCATCTTCAATGGTAGCAGCCGTCCGGAGTTGATGAAGGCCTGCAGCCGCAGCGGCGTGTCGCGTCCGACGCGTGGAAGAGGGAAGAAGAGATTGGCGCTGCCGGCGGCGTAGACGTCGCCGCCCAGAGCGTCTCCGCCCTCATGGGGACCGAGGCCGGAGAGTTTGAATCCGCGTACGTCTGTAGGCCCGCCGAGCTGGAATCGATCGTTGATCCTAGGCCTTCGCGTCATGGAGGAATCAAATCCAAGTGGGTAGAGGAGGCCGGCACGGAAGCTTGATGTAAACGTAATGCCGGTGTCGCCTTTCGGTCCGGGAATCGGCAGCACTGCCTGGGTCTCAAATTCTGATTTCAAGAAGGAAACGTCGCTCTTCAGTGGGCCGTAGCCGGCGAGTTCGTTTATTGTTTTAACGTAGTGACCGCGAGAGGGCAGGATGGGGTTATCCCGTTGATCGTGGGTCCAGGTATGTGAGATACTCGTTTTCATACTATGACCCGCATCCGCACGAACAGCCGGGGAGACATTCATGCCGTTGGCGGCAGTCTGGCGCCAGAACCCGTTCAGCCCTACTTCATGACGGTTTCCGCGATCGTTTAACCAGTGCAACCTCGCCCAGGCTCCCCTAATGGTCTCTTCATAGCTCGCCCATGGCTTCAGGCTATCGCTTTTGACGCCGCCGAGCTCGAAGCGGAAATCAGGGTTGCCGAAGAGAGGAGTCTGGAAGACGCCTTGGTATGCAGACTGTGTTCGAGTACCTTTGGAGAAATTGACGTTGAATGATTCTGCGCCGCCGAAGATATTACGCCACTGGGCATTCGCGTAGGCAGAGCCCTCTCCGTTTCCTAGATCGGTGCCGGTTTTCAAGATGAATCGAGAGCGTTCTTTTACGGAGAGATAGACGTCTAGATCGGTGGGGGTGGTCGAGGGTTCGGTCTGCGAGGGTTTGTCTAGGTACACGGAGATCGGCTGCTCAAATATGTCTATTCTTTCAGTTATTTTGTGTCCAGTGTAAAAAGGGACAAGGAAGAAGTCTCAACATACCGAACCGGTGGAGTTTGTCTGTACACTTGCTGACCTCCTGCAGGACTTCGGCCAGGGTGTACGGACGGTCCATATTGGAGCTCAACAGCGGACTCAGCACAGTGTGCAGGAAGCTTCTTCGGGTGCGGGTGGCATTGAGCACCTGGATGGACGAGATGGTGCATGGCAGCGTGGTGTTATCATCAATCTACCTCAACGTCAGGACATCTTATTGCCTAGACCGTAGCACCGCAATTTCAAAGGAATCACCCACCAGCTCGCCCAGACGAGTCTGCGCCTTCTCGTAGATAGAATGGATGCGCTCATTCACAGCCTTCTGGCGCTCCTCCAGCACTTTCGGGTCCTCCCGCTGTTGCTGAAGGCGATCGAATATCTAAGTCATTTGGTGAGCAATTGAAGAAAAGAACCCGGGTTCAAGCAGCGTACGCTTTCATCGTCGGTAGGAGAAGCCATCGCAGCTACGTCAGAGGGTCAATCGCACGGCAACGGTGGTGCCGACGGCGGTTGTCGTCCGTCGCTGCGGTCGAGAAAGCTTGCGGCAAGAATTGGAGTGCCGTCACGTGCGCGCGGCCTGGAAAGCCTAGGAAAGCGATTTGGCGGATCCAAGTCGGGGGCAACGCCGCAAGTCCGACCAGCACCGCGCTTTTTGGCAGCCTGCTTGTTTCTGTGCTTCATCATTTCTGCCACTGGGTTTTTCAGCACTGTTACGTCGACGGCAGCACCTGCGTTGCAGAGTCACTCGCATCGCCACCTGACCGTTCTTGCACGATGGCCACCAAGGCTGCCACCAAACGGGTGAGTTGAGATCGCATGACATCCTGAGGACGACAATGACCCTAACATGTGTGGCGTCTAGTTAACCCGTGAATACCAAAATATCCAAAAGAACCCTCCTCCGTTCATCATTGCCCACCCGTCAGAGTCGAATATTCTAGAGTGAGTCACTTGGCATCTGTGATACATCGCCTGAAGAAGCTCTGCTAACGCAGCTACGACATTCTTAGATGGCACTACGTCCTCACGGGCCCTCCACAGACGCCATATGAGAATGGGCAGTACTGGGGCACGCTCATCTTCCCTCCGGACTACCCCTTTGCGCCGCCGGCGATCCGCATGCACACGCCCAGCGGACGCTTCCAGCCGTCGTCCCGGCTGTGTCTCAGCATCAGCGACTTCCACCCCAAGTCCTTCAACCCGGCGTGGGAGGTGTCGACGATCCTCATCGGGCTGATGTCGTTCATGACCAGCGAGGAGATGACGACGGGCAGCGTCAGCGCGTCGGACGCCGAGCGGCGGTTGCTGGCGGCGCGGTCGCGCTGGTGGAACTCGACGGGCGGCGGCTCGCACGGGCGAGCGGTGCCGGGCGTGACCACGACCATCAAGGGCATCGGCAATGTCAAGGCCGGCGACGGCGGGCGCAAGTTCCGCGCGGAGTGGCCGGAGCTCGACGACGAGAACTGGACGTGGATGCGCGACCACCGCATCGACGCGGTCACGGGCCAGGTGCAGCCCGACCCCAGCCCGGCGGCGGCGTCGTCCGCGTCACAGACGGCATCTGCCAGCTGCTCGCCCGAGACGGCGGCGCTGCGACGGCGGCCGGCAGGCAGCACGGTGGGACTGGGGGCGGTGGTCGAGGGTGGGCATGTTGTGGCGCGCGACGTCGGGCAGAGCTGGCTGCGGCGGCACAAGGTGTGGATCGGGGTGCTGATGGTGCTGGGCTACGCGCTGCTGACGCGGCTGTTCGATGATATCCGGGTGTGAGGGACATCTGTCTGTGGCTCACAGGGGCGGGCGTTTAAAATGACGGCCACTCCTGGGACTTGACGTCTTGGAGGGGGGGTTGTGGGGATGCCAGGAGTGTGTGTGTGTGTGTGTGTGTGTGTGTGTGTGTGTGTGTGTGTGTGTGTGTGTGTGTGTGTGCGACATACACGTACATACTGGGCGACGATGGGGCGGGGACTGGGATGGAATGCTTTGACTTCACAGCGGTCGGCGGGGGCTCCGGTGCATCTGGCGTTCGGGAATGCGACCGCATTGGCAGCGGGCTTTACTTTGAGATCAGGGGCGGGCGCGGACGAGGATCGCCACGGCGCAATGTCTGTACGAATAGTATAATTCAGCACGCTGTTCGTCGCCTGCTTGCTGGGTTGCTAGATAGATAGTTAGTGTTTACTATACGATACTATGTTGTTACTATTATGGAGCCATCCGGCGACGCAGCGACGACTAGTCGAAGCTTCGCGGTGACGAGCTGCAACGGTAGCCACCGGGCGGGCCGCCGCGCTTCGACGGGCACCCTGGTCCGGTGAGCTCCGCGTGGGATGTCGAGGGCGATGCGGTGGGTAGTTGGTCCTGGGATGCCCCGATCGGGCAAATGGTGGAAAAGCCTGGCGATGCTGGGCGGGCGGGCCCGCGCGGGCTCAGCAACGACGGACGACCAGCGCGGCGGGCCGGCGGCTGTGCGGGCGGAGCAGGTGAGTGAGTTAGTTGAGACTACATACATAGACGCCGTCGTCGCTGTCTTCTGCTGCTGCTGCCTCTTCTGCGTCTTCGCCCGCCCGCGCTCGGGTCGCCCGCGATGGCGCGCGCCGGGCGTGGCGACGACGACGACGACGACGACGGCCGCCAAATCCGCACCCGCGCGATCTTCGTCCCAACAACGACCTCGCCCACTGCCCTCGCCCACGCCGCACCACCCCGTCGTCCACGCACGCCGGCCTCGTCCGTTTGCGGCTGTGCTCACCCCAGCGTCTCGCCCACCCACCTGCTAGTCGTGTCGCTCTCCCGCCGCCGTCGCCCCCATCGTGCCCTTCCCCCCACATGGCCGGCTGACCCAGCCATCGCAGGCCTCCCGCTGCCCCCCTACCCCCCTTGGCTGCCGTTGCTCGCGCCGTGATACATCAGAACTAGTTGATGGAGCTGCCCGGCCAGGCGTGCCGGAGCGCTGCCACGCCGCAGATGCTGCCGTGTACGTGGATGCTGCCCTCCCTGCCCCAGCCTGGCCCTCCGCCCCCCCCCCCTTTTTTTTTTGCTGTGCGCTGTGCCTATCCCGCTGCGTGACGGAGCATGCTCGCCCGTATCCAGTCCTGCTGGCTGCTCCGTATAGCCCCCGCTGTCCGGCGTGCCGGAGTCTGGCCTGCCCTGGCCGAGCCGCCAATCGCCCTGCAGCCGCTGCGCTCAGACGGTGATGCTCCTGATTTGCCCGCAGCTAAAATCCCAGGTCCCCGGATCGCAGCACGCTTTTGCTTTTTCGCTGCATTCTTGCTCTATTATTTCTTTCTTTCTTTCTTTCGTTCGTGACGCTTTGACGCTGACCGCTGCGTGGACGGGGGGCGCCATCTAGACTCCAAAAAGCCCGTTCCGGTCAACGATCGCCCGTCCTTCACCTTCATCGACCATGACAACAACCTGGCATCGAAGCGCGTCAAGGACGCCTCCGCCCGCAAGGCCATCCGCTCCCATGTCATGCGCGACGTGCGCCGCCGCGAGCGCCTCGCCGGCCTCAAGCGCGTCTCCAAGCGCGACAAGAAGGGCAAGACAAGCCCCGCCCACCACCCATCGCCGGATGCGGCCGTCCCGCCGCCCACCGCTGCCACGGCCACGGCCACGGCCACAGACACCGCAGATCCGCCCGCCTCGTCGTGCCGCGCCCTGACGCTGCCCACTCGCTTCAAGTCGCCGCCCTCGTGGAACTCGCCCGCTGGCTACCAGCGCCTGCCGCACCTGTTCGTGCAGCCTGCCGGCTGCGACTACGACCCCTTCTCTACCTTGCCCCTGAGCGACGATACCAGGCCGTTCATCCAGAGCCTGATGGGATACAGTAAGCCATCGACCCTCTTCCTCTTCTTAGCGTTCCCGCGACCCCACCCCGTTCGTCCCGGTGTATTGTCTTCTCCTTGATTTCAGACGTATCCCCCATCCGTAGTATGATCCTATGCTTACAAAGAGAAAAGTGGCCGCCGTCATGCTGCCCATGACGTTCCCCGTCGAAATGAAAAACCCCAAGGAAGGCCAATTCAGAATTAATATGATGGTCAAAAGCGCGATTTCGGACCCCGGTCCGTTTTTCGCCTACATGAGTCTGGCTGCCGCCCACCGGGCCATCATGCAGTCCGAAAACAACCTTAACCTGGACGAGATGGATGCCAGGAGCATTCGCAATCCAGACCTGTATGCTATGAAAGCCCAGTGCATGTCCGAAATGAATAAAAAGTTGCAGAAGCAGGAAACTGCGGCGGATGAGTCGGCGTTTGAAACTATTATGTTTTTGATTTCTGCTGCTGTGAGTAATAAACTACGCTTACCTTGCTCCGCTGTCGTTTTAGGGCCTGATTTGCTTATCGCCACGTTCTCCTAGGTGACTTGTGGGTTTTTTACTGAAGCTCGGATACATTTCGAAGGCGTAAAGAACATGGTCAAGCTCAGGGGGGGTATCACCTCCCCCAGCTTTGAGGCCAGTCGGGCTTTGGGAGGCGTTGTATTGTGAGTGGTCCTGGTCCTGTTGAAATTTCATCCAGTGCAACGTCTGACAGCAGATGGCAGGTGTGATGTGAAAATTGCATACGGGCAGCTGAGCCGTCCATTTTATCCAATAGCATGGGAGTCATTCCCGGTCCCGCCTCCAATGGCCGCTCGGATATTCCCTCCCAAATCCTCCCCCCTAAACATAATCACATCCAGGCTGGCAAACAGTCCATACCTCAGCGACACGCTAAAAGTTGCAATAAACAAGATCAGAGAACTGATATTTTTTGAACACTTTAACCGCGAAGAGACCAACTGCCTGACCAGCGACGAAAATGAATTTTTCCGCGTTCGCGTCCACGAACTAGAACATGAACTGCTAGACTACCCCTATCGAATCTTCAAAAAGAAACCCGTCTCCAAGGCCGCCGCCAAAGGCACCCCGGACGAACTCGCCCTCCCGCCCATCGAAAACGTCACCCGCCTCGCCTGCCTCGGCTACATCAGCCACAACTGCGTCTTCGCGCCGTCCACGTCGGGCGTCGGCCGCGCCGTCACCCTGCACATCGCCACCGCGCTCTCCAAGTGCCCGCCGGACGAGCCCACGCGCCTGGCCGACGACCTGCTCGACCTCCTCGCCTGGGCCGCCTTCGTCGGCGTGCAGTCTGAAGGCATCCACCTCAAGCGCCCGTGGTTCCTGCTCAAAATCCGCCAGGTCGCGGCACTGCGGCGCTGGACGGCCTGGAAGGAGGTCGAGGCCGCCCTGCTGGGCTTTCTGTATGTGCCGAGCTTCCATGCCGCGTCGTGGGAGATGATCTGGAATAATGCGATGCGTGTTTCGACGGTGACGGAGGAGAGTTGAGATATAAAAGATATTTATATGTTTATATGCGGTGTCAGTTTTATACCCGTTTTGACAGATCGCGGAGCTGAATGTCTTTTTTTTGGGGGGACCATTTTTTCTCTTTTTCGGAATCTCTTTGCCTTTTCTTTTCTTTATATATATATTATTTTTTACTGAAGGTCGGAGTCTGATGGAATCCCCTATCTCGGAGTCTTTCTTATGAAGGAATTAGATATAGCTGGCCTACGGCTATATGGAGGGCCAAAGCAACACTTTGGCTGGGATATTTCTAGTGAATTTCATTTTTTTCCCTACTTGCCTAGCAACCTCATGGCTGTACCATGCCCAGAGCTTAGCTGGAATTGTAATGGATATTTTCTTCAATCTGGCCAGTATATAGTCCAACCTAGCCTTGGGAAGGAATGATATTGACAGAGGCGTTGAGAGCGGTTAACTATATGTTTGAAACGAGGGACTGGGACTAAGTTATGATTATTTACGAGCATGCTACGTAGAACTGAGAGCCTCAAGAGCACTCAGGCTGAATTGAACGGATCTATTGAGCATCTCTTGGATGAGATATCAAAGAGCAGAGATAGGCCCCGGAGAAAATAGTCTCCGATTTCCGCCGTCTGCCATTCTTGGCACACGCAATGCTGGCGTTTTTTTTTTTTCATCGCAAGACCCGGACACTCGAGCTTTCATCAACAGAAAGGCAGAAAAGGCAACGCTGCGCGATTTATACGTGCTACCGCGATTGTGTTGCCATGGGATGGTTTTGGGCTTCTCCTGCGGGCGGGAACGCTCCCGCTGCCACCCCGAATCAAGCATCCTCCCCTAATCCGCGCCAGGTAGGCCCAGTGTCTATTCACATCTTTCAGACTAGATTAACTGACAGAAATGTCATTTTTAGTCTACATGCCCTGTCATGCATGATGCCTCGCCATCATCGCCATCCCAGACAGCCTGCCCCGTCCGATCCACTGACTCCCCATTCTACATTCCTCCATCCACACAGCCTGCCGCTGCTCCTTCCGCTCTTCCCGCTGAGGAGCATCAATCGACCTTCTCACGACTAAACCCTCTTAATTATATGTTTTCAAGCATCTCACAAGCCCGCGCCGCGAACCAGACGGTAGACCTGCCCGTCGACCGCGAACCGTCCTCGATCCCGCGCGCCAGCGGCGAGGGCGGCAACTGGGAGTACCCCTCGCCGCAGCAGATGTACAACGCGATGCTGCGGAAGGGATACACCGACACGCCGCAGGACGCGGTGGAGTCGATGGTCGCGGTGCACAATTTCCTGAACGAGGGCGCGTGGAATGAGATCGTGCAGTGGGAGAGCACGTTCGCCCGCGGCCTGAAGAGCGGGTGGGAGAAATGTCGGCGCGGATCGGAGAATTTGGAACTGGCGTTGGAGAGGGAGAGGGTGGCCGGCAGCGGCTCGATTGAGCAGCCGAAGCTGGTCAAGTTCATGGGGCGGCCGCAGGAGCGGACGCCCAAGGCGTCGATGCTGCAGGTGTTGGCCTGGATGCATCCGGCAAAATTCGGGTAAGGCCTCGTCTCGTGCCTTTGAAGGGCGTTAAACTGAGCCAGAGCGTGTTTGTTAGAACTCCGCCGCCGTTCGATCGCCACGACTGGTATGTCCTGCGACAGACGTCATCAGGGCCCAAGGAAGTCCGCTACGTTATTGATTTCTACTCCGGCGAACCCGAGCCAACGGGCGAACCGGTCTTCTATCTCGATATCCGGCCCGCGCTTGACACACCCACCGCTGCTGTTGAGCGCCTGATGAAATGGGGCGGAGATGTGTGGTGGAAGGCTAGCGGGGGGTCCGTACGAGACCCCAGTTAGGAACGAAGACCGTATACATATCAGAAGAACGAATAAACGACATGCATATGTGGCTTATTGTTTGGGAGGCACATCAGCATGCAAAAGGGTACTTAAATACCCCCTTTGTGGATCCCCTTTCTAGACTGGGATCGGACTTTTCTTCAAACACTGTTTTAATAACTAACTACGGGGCGTGGAATCGGGGAATAGCTCTTCGTGGGTGCATCTGACTGGCTTTGTTTACTTTGGTCTTTACTTTTTCTGTCCTCCATTCTCTTACATATACGGCTGTGATCAGTCTTAATGGCCTCCGCCGCGTCCCACAGTTCCATTATCCTGGCGCATCGGTTCGGTTTGGATTCGCTCCACTCATTGCTTCATGAATCATAATAATGCTCCGCATTTCAAACCCCTCCGTACAAGCAGAGCTTGTGTCCATCTAATTCCCCCCATCCGAACACCTAGCAAGGTTCTTCGTGTATGTCTGTGACAGAGCCGGCCTAGTTCTCTCGTCGCCACAGTCGCATTCAATAGTTAACGGGTCATTTGGCGGGTGCCCGTGCGGTTGTGCGCCACTTGGTTGGCGGGTCGGTTCAGCTCTCAGACAAGAGCAAAGCCACCCCAGCGCCAAGTGCCCACAGATATCCGTCCAGCGCTGCAGTTGCACGGCTTTTGACTCGGATGCTCCGAAAAGAAGCCAGAATGCCCGTGTGGTACTCCGTAGGTCCAGCCCTACGCCTTCCATGTGCGCATGACTCGAATAGACGCTTCAAAATACCCTTGTTTATTTACCCTTCACTGAACAAATGCACTCATAAACCACCCGCGTGCCTCCTCGCTACTTCATATTTTTATTTTTATTTTAATTTATATATATATATCTTTTTTAAGTAATCTGGTTCCTCGGTAGCGCTTTTTCGCTTTCTAGTCTCTGGCTTCCTGAAACGGTCGCATTCTTCCTGGCCCACAAGCAGCAACTCCAACCCGCAATTGGCAATAAAGACGGGGTCGTGTGACTGGTAGGAAAGACAATGCCGGAGTCTCCCTCACCATCCAAAACAGGCACAGCGAAGCAGCGCAGAGTATGCTTTATCCCTGAGCAACTGGACAAAGAGGCACTTACAAGTCCACCTACGTCTCGAGACACCCCGCTTGCCTTGGTGAGCCGAGATGTGAGAACACTTTTCTCGGTGATATATCTCCTTCCAAAGCTTTTCCTACCGCTATCCACGGGAAAGCCTAGCGATGAGTTGAACTTCCAGGGCAAGACTGCGATCAATCTGACTGCTTTGATCACAGTTACGGTCGTAGAGGTTGTTCTGTTTATCTTGATGGGCGTTTCGCTATTGTCGCTTCCAGGACTGCTAAATATTCCTGTATCTCTACTCATACTGGGAACAATATGGTTGATGTGCGTTCCGCTTCGCGGTTCGAGTATGATAGTATACTCTAGCCCAGAAGGAGACCACGTACCCAAGACGGAAAAGCAGGGAAATGAGCGATGGGTGTTTGTCAATGGAGTTCTTCAATCGTGAGTTGTTTTCTAGGCTGCGATTGAGTGAAAAGCCGCTGACAGAATGTTAGACATTATAATCTTAAGCAAAACTGTGATCATATTGCGCACATTTTTGGTCGGCCTATTATCGGAATCCATAACCCCACGTATGGTTTGATCGGTGACCTTCTTGAATGCATATTCCAACGGTCTTTTTCATTCAATGATGAAAGTGTCCGGTTTACATATGACAAAGTGAAGGAGTATCTGATAAACCCGAGCATTGAAAAGGTTGTCCTAATGGGACATTCTCAAGGGGGAATCGTGGTTTCCATGGCGCTGGATCTGCTATTCGTGGATCTCCCTGCAGAAAACATAGCAAAGCTGGAGGTGTACACGTTTGGGTCAGCGGCATCGCATTTTAACAACCCTCTTCGTGCTATTGACCCGTTCTCTAATAAAGCTCGACCTGTAATCCCTTATATCGAGCACTATGTCAACAGTGAAGATATGGTGACTAGATGGGGCGTGGTGTATAATGTGGAGAAAACTATCGAAAACAAGTTTGCTGGCAAGGTATTTATCCGTATGAACGCGCCAGGCCATATGTTAAACCAGCACTATCTTGATCAGATGTTTCCTCTGCCAAAGAACCCACAGGGTAGCGAGGATACAGGCTTCTTGGATGAAGTTGTTGAAATCGACGAGACAGTGTCCGAGGCTCGAGACCAGTTTGTCCATGAGAAATCAAACGACTCGGATAAAGCCAACAGGCGGCGAATTTCGATTAACAAAGACATGAACCGCAGCGTGTTAGGTGCTACCAAAACTGTAAGAGAGCTTAGCAGGCTGTGGAGGTATATGGGAGGTAACAACCCAGATGATTTTGGACAGTCGGGAAACCATTCAGTAAAGACCAGTCAGTGAGTCAGAAGTACGCGTACTTTTGGGCGAGCGCTCTTCTTGTATATACACAGCACAAAATTCATTGCTTTTGGCATATATTGAAGCTTCATGTTTGAACTGTTTGGCTCACCCCAAGGCCGCGGCCTAGCGGTGTTTTTGGACTTCACATACTGCCTGGCTAGATGTTTACAACCCGACACCCAGCGAACTTCATCAAGTCTGCACGTATGCAGCAGTGTACTTCGTACTCCGCATTTCATCATGAAACGGTGCCCAGGGTCTTACCCGGCCCGCCACCCCGCGCGAAGGCCTCACGCCATGACAACACCCAGGAACTGGTGTCGAAGATCCAGGAGACGTCGGCTCGCTAACGAGACGCAAACAGACTCATTTTGGAGCAAATTGATGGAGATCTCTATATATCTTATGCGAATGCCCCTGGTGGTCGTATGAACATCACCTCGTGGCCAAAACAAGACGAAACCAAGTCTTCGCTCCCACTCTACATCCCGTCGCTCGTTGGCCTATTATTACCTGAGCAAATTATCGAAATTTGCTCACAGGGCTGAAAACGCCAAAATTATCGCGGGGTTTCCGTCTTAAACGGGCACGTTCTTGATGAACGGTTTCTCTAACCTTGGGGTCTGTGGATGGATTAAGTGCAAAGAGAGCTCCTAGAGGTGAGTGTTGTTCACGTCTTTGGTGCGAGTACTGTCTGGGGCTAACATGGTCTAGACATTTAACCTCACACGCATATTAGGATCCGCTGCTACTGTATATTTCTCGTGATAATATGCCTTATTGGGCCGATCTTATCAATGCACAGACCCCCTAAGAACCAATAATAGCAAACTTATTACCTGCTCGCAGACAGGATATGAATGGTGGCAATTACTCGGGAATCTTGCACTCTCCTTGGGGGATTCTTTTTTGCCATGCGAACGCGGTCGGTTGCAATGCGATTTCGCCAACATCTGTCAAGTGATCACAATTGCTTTTGTGGCTAGATGCAAGTAGGTATACACCGATACACAACCTAACGAGGCGCCTCTCACGTTGCCTCCAGAGACCTTTGGGATACAGCCGCTAAAATGGAACGATGTTGGACGTGCATTATCCTTTTTCGCCATTTCGCTTCCAACAACCTCCAACCAGCATGCACGAATGTACATGTACTATATTTCGTGAAAAGCCCTTGATATTTGTGGCGTGTTGGGGATATTTTAACCATGGAAAAAGGTAGTTCGTACTCCGGATATCTGCTTCTCTACGGAGTACCTTTGCTAGGATACCCTCTTCAAGTCCGCCCGGGGTACATACCTATTTTCTTGCCCAAGACCTTCGATCTTGCCCTTTTCTGGTCCCTTAATTTTAACTTGCCATCCTGGTCAACTCGCCTATGGGTGTATGCGACCAGTAACCACTTTGCTGAAAAAAGGATGACCGGCTGTCGCGTTCGATGACCTTATGGGCCGTTTTAGTTTGATACTTTCCTAATCCCTCAATCCACCTCTCGAATATCAGGCTTTTCTCAAGTGCGGCACGGAATGCCGCCGTCAGTGTATCCAAACTGGCTGCATCCACAGCGTTCGCTTATGAGCACGAATTATGTTCCTTTCCAGCGTTGTGGAGACCATTTGTCCCCGGGCGGCCTGGTATGTCGCGCAAATAAGGTGGCTTCTTGCATCTTACAGCCTGAGATAACAAGTTGCTAAAAAGCCCTCGCCCGTAGGTTCACAAGTCTGGTAGTAGCCCAGGGGACGGCACCTGTCACATTTTACTGCGAGGTTCCCCTTCGGCGACTTAAGCTACTCGGGTATCTGATAATACTCATGATCCTATTTAGCGGTGAAGACCAATTGCATCCCATCTTGTTAGAGGAGCCACTCAGCATGCGCCAAAATTTGCAGAAGAAGCTAGCATTCGGGGAAATTTTTCACAGGAAGCTAGCGCACGCGATAGTTGATGTTTATTTTCCAGGAGAAACAACTGAAGGCTGTCAATTCTTTTGCTCTACGGACTGCTCCACGAATAATATCCAGAATGGTCAAGGTTTCCCCAAAGGATCCATAACATTTCATATTTAAGTTTAATCTCGTATATTTCACACAGCTTAGATTGGGCGATCCTGGAAATCCTGGATCTTATTTTCATCTCCGAGGCTTTCGTTGGACTTGACACACGTTTTCGGGGACAGCAGGACCCTGCCGACCCCGGAACAAACCGCGTCAAATACCCGTCTCCTCTCCCTGTACATTTCGAGACAAGATGTTTAATATATATAGACACCCCTGATATACACCCATTTTTGGAACCATTGGGTTCATTTGCACTGGCCCGGATGCTACTCAGCTGTCGGCGGAATGGGACTTTGGAGGTATTAACCGCAACCGCGCCTGTTTTCCCGGCACCTCATGGCTCATCCCGGAAAGGCAAGTCTTTTAGAGTTGAAGCTTGGACCCACTGAGCAAATTATCTTATCTGATCAATCTAGGCCAGCCCATCACGTGGAAAGACGAATCCTTCAAGCGATAAAGGCGTTTTATCCTCTGTCCGGCCCAAAAATTCTGTTCAATTTTATAAAAGTCTTTTTTACTCTGCACTTTTGCAAGCCTCGTGGCTGGCCATGGGCGCCCCCTCGCTTTCTTCGAAGCTTGATGGCAAAGAAGCACTTTGGGACATCTCCACTATCACAACTGAGTTTCAGGCCAGCAAAGCCAACTGTTCCTCTAAGCCAACATCAGCTTTACAGAACATTTTCGCCATCCGGCTCTACCCTGCGAGGTCAACGCAGTAGTGCGGCCGCCCGATGAGGCGGCCTGGCAATGAAACCTTTAAACGAGCAGCCGCCTCGGGGCCCAACATCCGAGGATCGTGCCATCTGATAAGATTAGATAATCTCGCAAGCGTTTGTCTAACAAACTTTATCTGCGACAAGCTTCAAAGTCAAACCCACGGGTCAACAGCAACACCTGCCGCTCATCGAAACAACTGCTGGGCCTCATCCCGGGAATTTTCAAAATGCGGAGTTTCGCCGAGAAAATTCGTGAGCATGTGGGTCCAAAAGTGAACCGGTTTTATCCTGTACCGTTTGGTTTGTACTTTACATTATTCGACGAATGCGAATTTTCTGTCCCCGCCTCGTATGGCGGATGCACCAGATTCTCGTGTCTGGAATTTTGGAGAGTTCGGGAAGGTATCGGCGTTTCCTTTGCTTGGAAACGCAAGACGGTACCTTTTTTTATAAGAAGGATGCTTGCCGGGTTCTTAAACATTGCCTGGCTGTGACAAGATTATATACTTCCTGCTTTTTATATCTTTCACTATGTTGCTCATCAGAGTCTTTCTGGGAGCTATCTTGTGTCACTTAGCATGGGCCCGTTCTTCGCTTTCAAAAGACCAACTCTGCCTTAACTCTATATACCGAGGCTTGCGTGCTGTCTCGTTTGCGGATGTGACATCTGAGGACCGCTGGCAAGCAACATGTCAGAGTCGTCTCAGAGCAGCGTCGATATACGCAACTGCAAAACTATATTGCACTCCGGCTGAGATTAAAGCGGGTGACAAGGTCCTACAAGAATATTGTGTTACTTATGGCAATGTGGAATTTCTTCCGATGTCGGCAGTTGCCGCCAACCTCACAGACGAGCGTATCAAAACATACAAAACAGTTAATCAGAAAGATATTAAACTCATCAAAAAGAGCAAGGAGCCAGTTGTTATGTCAAAGCCCTATTATGACCTTGCTTATCGGACAATTGTAAGCTTTTCCTTTCCATGTTTGTATATTGCAGCCTCTAACGTCTGATAGTACGAAAGCAACCGCCAAAGCACACTTCATCATACTTACGGGTACCAGTCCACCAATCCTTATTAGCTATGTATAAATACTAACCGCCTTATTATTATAGTTTTGCGATGTATGGGTTTTGGGGTGGTATCGTATTCTTTGGCATAGTATACCGGCTTTATATTGTTTTTTTCAACATAAAACGCAGTCGATTTGGTGTTGATGAAGAAGGAAATGGGAGCAATAAACATTCGCTGCTCCCCCGCCCTTTAGCTAAAATTTCCCACTGGTTCCAAACGACGTTGGTCATCCCCGGTGCGATTAAGCCATACCACCAGAGGCCTTTTTATTGGTGTGCGATACCTACCAGACTAGAAGGACTGGTTATTGGCGGATTTTGGTTAATCAGTTTTGTCCTATGTGCTGTCAACTACCGAGTATTTGAGGGAAATATTTAGTGAGCTTACCAACAGCATTTCTCACTATCATTACTGACTATTTTCATCTAGTTGGGCTACAGTAGGCCCGCAGTATGCGGCGTATATTGCTGACCGGACTGGAATTATTACTTACTACAATCTTCCCATTGTCTGGATTTTTGGTATCCGCAACAACATCTTTTTGTGGGCAACTGGCTGGAGTTTTCGAACCTTTAACCTGTTCCATCGGCATGTCGCAAGGATCGCGACATTGGAAGGCATTGTTCACTCCATTGCATATACCGTGTATTATTTTATAAGAGGTAAGTAGGCATGCTTTGCTGTTGCTATATACCCCTAACTTTTTATTTAATTTCCAGGAGGAGCTGCCACCTACAAGGAAAACTTTACAGAAGTATGGTTTGCTATGGGCGCTGTGGTTAGTCCAACATCCCTAGCAACTAACATCGTGGAATATATGCTAACATATAATTCGAAGGCAACCGTCGTCATGAGTTTTCTGCTAATTTTCTCGAGCATCTGGCTCAGAATGAAATCTTACGAGGTATTTTTGCTATTACATATTGCCCTATCAATTGTCACAATTGTAGCATTGTTTCAGTAAGGAAACCTAGCCTTTGCTTGAAAAACGTGAAACTAAGTGCTAATGCTATTGGATCAGCCACACTTGGGTTTTCAAGACCCGCGAATACGACGCCTACCTTTGGCCCCTGGTAGCCATTTGGGTGTTTGACAGAACCCTCCGTATTATTCGTCTGGTATACTGCAATCTTCGTGTCCGTCTCGGCTCAAAATTCCTCCAGAATACGGAAACGGTCGCCATATACGACAAGGACTCCGATGTCATTCGGCTTGAGGTTACTCCAGCTTCTACTAGTCTTAAGTTAAGACCTGGTCAGCACTACTATCTATATCAACCATTTAGGTGGACAGGATATGAAAACCACCCTTTTACTTTGGGAGCGTGGGCGAACATTGACAGCCAGCCATCTCAATCGACCACTCCTGGCACTGCAATTAGTAGCAGCGATGCATCTCCCGTGGCTAGTTTGAAGGGATTGGATACCAGTATGCAACGTGCAAGCCCTCGCTCTGAGGTATCCACGAAGCGCACCACGCAGGCCATTTTTTGGATTAGGCCCTTGGATGGCTGGACTAATCATCTTCGCAAGCAATGTGAAAAGGCTAAAGATGGAAGGTTTACAACCACCTTACTCATGGAAGGGCCTTACGGGGAGTGTGAGCCATTATCGACGTTTGAGTATGTGCTCTTGATTGTTGGAGGAACCGGCGTTGCCTCTGCTGTGCCATATATCCAAGACCATATTGAGCGCACTTCGGCACAAAACGAAGCTTCGAGCAAGAAAAACACGCGCACGCGTGATATGAAGCTGGTATGGGCTGCTAGAGAACCGGCATTTATGCAACAAGTTGCGTCGAGAGAGTTACACCCAGCGCTTGTCCGTAATGACTTCAGTGCCACCTTCTACTCGACGTCAAAGAGTACCCTGCCGTCACAGACCATCAACTCCGAAAAAGTCCTCGAAGATGATATCAAGCCACAGGAGAAAGACTGCACGACTCTCAATCTCCAGTACGGACGTCCGGATATCAAGTCGATGATACTAAACAGTGCTGCTGAAACAGCTGCGTCGAATTCTAGCATGGCTGTTCTAGTCTGCGGACCGCCAGGTCTAGCAGACGAGGCGAGAGATGCCGTGCATGCTGCTATGCGCCAGGGCCATCAGCATGTCAAATATTTCGAAGAAGCCTTTGGGTGGTAAACTAGTAAGCCTTGCGCTTAAAAAAATGGAATTGGGCATCGGTGTTCGGGTGTAGAGATGGTTGTGATGGTGCTTGTTAGAACTGGTGAATTACCAGAGCTTCCACCCTTTTCGTTTAAAAAGTTGCTTTCCTACACTCTTTAATGGTAACTACCAGGATCGACATTAGGTAGCGATAGATAGATTTTGATTTATGTACATACAGCTGTCTGTGTGACGTCCCCTGTCTATATCCATATCCTAGGCAAAAAAAATTTGAAATGTTCTTTCAAATTCGAATTTTAAAATCTTCAGTAATCGTTCTTAGGGCAGGCATGCAAGTATATACATGCTCCTTAGAACTCCTAACACCACTGTATGATTAATATTAACTTCTTTTGGTGCGTGTAAATTCTGCATTGCTGGTAGGCCGCGAAAAAGACGCAACTCGCCGAGGCCACCGAAACTCGAACCCGCGTCTGCCACCAGCCACATGCACGTGCCAGGCGAAGTCTGCCGAAGGACGTCATAATTTGCGACTTGAGCCGAAAAGGCTTCGACGGCCGTCCAGAATCTTGCAGCCTTTATGCCAGCCTTTGCTATGTTGCCGCTGCCTCAATGATCACAGGTTACAGCCGTTCCGGGATAATATGAAAACGGCCCTCCTCGTTGGCCGTTTCTGCATTCGTCGCCCTTATTGCGAAAGCGTCCCTCAGGCTGCTTCGCGCTACTATAGATCGTTCCATTCCCTGTCCGGCCGGTTCTCCCGCGTGCCCTTTTCGCCCTCCTCGTCGTCTTATTGGAGATCCACATGGAGATGGCGCTGGAATCGCTCGCCGGTTGTAGGCGCAGTTCTACTCGCCTCCTTGACACCGGTTGCATTTCTCGAACTTGCAAAGAACGGGAATGGCGATGACGACACAACGGGGGAATTGGAAATGCTTGCGGCATCTCGCGATGAGATTCGGAAATCCATTCCGAATGATGGGAATATATTAGTGAAGAAATTTTGGCATATATATTTATTTTTGGATAAATATGTGTTTGAAGTAGTCGCTACAGGAATGCGCTTTTTGCACCTAGCGGCAATATTTGTACCAGTCATTGTCACTGTGCCAGTAATATGGTTTGGTAGGAGGGTGAAACATCGCGATAATGAGAAATCCGGTACGCTGTGGTGGTACCAGTTCCTGGTGTCGTCGATGGAGCGTGCTGGGCCTGCTTTTATAAAGGTAAGAAAGTTGAGTCAACGCGACGTTCCATGCTTTTTAGAGTCGCTGTTATTTCGGGACTTGTGTTGATTTACTCCTCGGTGCTCAGTTAGGACAATGGGCGGCATCAAGATCCGATATATTCCCTCCCGAGTTGTGTACATTAATGTCAGCTCTGCATTCACACGCACCGGCACATTCATTCCACGTAACTAAGCGTACCATCCGAAAAGCATTCAATGGACTTCCCTTTGAAGATATTTTTGAGGAATTCGACAAGGAACCCCTTGGTGTAGGCGCCATTGCCCAGGTCTACAAGGCTAAACTTCGACCTGATCTCGCCGTACTGAATGAGAGCAACGTGGCCAACGAGCCCTATAACTTACGGGATAAGGTTCGCAAGAATGTCGACATTCTAGTAAAAAGTACTCCACAGCGGGTTCCTTCTTCCTACGTCGCGGTCAAAGTGCTTCATCCTCGAGTTGACCGGATAGTTCGACGAGATTTACAGATAATGATGTTTTTTGCTTGTATCATCAACGTTGTACCAACTATGGAATGGCTGTCACTACCAGATGAAGTGCAAAAATTTGGAGAAATGATGAAATTGCAATTAGACCTGAGAATTGAAGCAACGAATTTATCTCTATTTCGACAAAACTTCAAATCACGAACTACAGCTTGGTTCCCCTATCCATATACCGAATACACTACAAGAGAAGTGCTAGTAGAGGAATTTGCGCAAGGCATTCCCCTAACAACGTTTTTGAAAAATGGCGGAGGCGCTTTTGATCGTGAAATTTCACGAGAAGGTCTTGATGCATTCTTACATATGCTTCTTATTGACAATTTCGTTCACGCCGATCTACACCCAGGGAATATCATGGTTCGGTTCTATAAGCCTGGACAGTTGGACTTATCTTTGGGAGGCCACCAGCTAAACCCGCTTTCCACAGATCAGATTGACAGGGACGTCCCTGAAAAGGTTATTTCGAGACTTGTAGCAGTTGACAATAAACCTGAAGCATGGAGACATGAGCTTTCGAAGGTCGACGCCGAGGGCTTTCGGCCGCAGCTCATATTCATTGACACTGGTCTGGTAACCGAGCTAAATAGCACAAATCGCCGCAACTTCCTAGATCTCTTCCGAGCTATTGCTGAATTTGATGGATATAAGGCAGGGCATCTCATGGTTGAGCGCTCAAGGCAACCTGATGCGGTGCTTGATCCAGAGATATTCGCCTTGAAAATACAGCATCTTGTTCTCGGTGTCAAGGGCCGCACTTTCGCTCTGGGAAACGTTAAAATAGGAGATGTTCTAAGCGAGGTTTTGTATCTGGTACGAGGGCATCATGTACGACTTGAAGGCGATTTTGTGAACGTCGTGATATCTATATTGCTGCTCGAAGGTATTGGAAGAAGCCTGGATCCTGACCTTGATTTGTTCAAGAGGTACGTACTGCTGCATTCCATTTCAATGCTTCTCATTAACTGTTCCCCTCAACTAGTGCACTTCCAATACTTCGTCAACTTGGGTCTGGTACAACTCTCCTAAAGTCTGTTCGCGAAGGCGACACTTCGATGCTTCTTGTTTGGGTTGGCCTTGAAGCCAGAAGCTTCCTCCAGGCAAGCATCAGTAGCGTGGAGTGGTGTGTTAAGTACGACCAGCTATCTCCAAATCTATGAAGTGTGGTCAGTCTGTGATAGCATAGGTAATTATTCCCCCTTCTCCGAACAACACTTGACTTTCCTTGCGATAAAGATTTAAGCGCACTGTATTTTTTCCTAGGTCTCTAGAGTTTCACTTGAGCTTTATTCTTGCGCTCTATAGAGTTGGCGGGTATATTTTGGTTTATTTTGCTTACATGGAGGGCCATAATGCTGTACATATAATATAAATCGCTTCTGCAGTTGGTAAGATAATCTAATTAGGTTGAATGGCATCTCTACTTAAAGGAAAGCATATACAGAGTACAGGCAACACCTTTTTTGAGAATCAGCCAGTTAGGCACTCAGGTATCTTGCCAGTCCTCTAAGCTTGCATGTTGGATGGAGAATTTATAGCAGCAGTACTCCGTAGGAGGATAAAGTACAAGACTATATATAGATTTCAATTCTTCTTGGGCCCAAGAGTTAGTTAGTTCTGCGAGGATCAGCAGCCAATGGATGCTTTGTTGGAGAAAGGCTGTTGTGGCTGACAGGCTCTCGTCCATCTAACAATTACGACGTCCTCCATATAGAATAAGTAACTAACTACTTCATAATTCGTGTCATAATTGATTCCTCCGACTGTCCCTACACCTCAATGCTGAGGAGTCTCTTAAGTCTTTAGCAGTGGCCACGTGAAGGTATATAACCATGCAGGAGTCGGACATCATCGCCGACGCGGCCGAATTTTCCCTCAGGATCTCAATCACAAGAATAATACGGATGTGATCAACGACAAATCCTTGACCGCCACCTTGGGGCTGATTAATAGCTTGGCTCAAAGCGCGCCGCTTCCCTCAAAAGGACAGACCTCGATAAGTTAGCCCGCCCGCGACTCAATACCGATGGCGATGCAGGGACTATCTCCCGACATCATCAATCAACAATCCGGCAGGCGAGATTCTGCCGAGCCAGGGGCTAGCACTCAAAGATCCGCACTGGCGAGATAGAAAATAATAACGGCAAGAAGAATCCCCAATCACTAATATACTTGCTGGCACGAACTTACGCCTTATCAGAGTTACACCCGGCCGTGCGAGAGTTTTAGCGGATGGGCCCTTGGTTGTCTCGAAACGCTTTTTGACTGGAGACTGGATCAAAGAAGCCAAAAAGACGCGGCGAACCAAGGTTTTCTCTGCAGGATTAGATTTAGCTTCTCCACGATGGAAAAATTTCGAGCTTATCTTGGGTCCCTGGCTGCGGGGGCGACATATGTATCGCGTGCGCCCTCGATTCCTGACCCTAGCCTTGGTAGCTCGTCCTCTCGTTCGCATGGGCTTCTGGCCTCTCGATATTCTCTCCACGATTTGGCTGTATAGTGTATCTCGATAATGATTTGACGTTTTGTTTTATTTCTAAAGTTTGCTGTCATACTGCTAGCGACGCAGTTTACCACTTTTGTTCTCGAAGGAAACGCAACGCAGCTATCATTTGGATATCATGGGAGGCTGGGTGGATCGCATTAACAATGCAGTCGCAAAGACGCGCTTTGGCTACCGGTTTCGCCTGGAAGGCTCCGGTCATGTAAGAAGAGCTCCCTGAACTACCATTTACTTTTTTCGTGGATTTTTTTTTCCATTCTTTGAGATGAAATTTTCTGACAATGCCTAATCATACATAGCGGCTGGAACGAAAGGATTCGAGATTTTCGACGGAGATTCGTGCTGGTCTCACTACATTTTTTGCAATGGCATATATCATTTCCGTCAATGCAACCATCCTGACTGATTCTGGGGGCACATGTGTATGCAACGATCGTGAAGACCCCAAGTGCACAAATAACATCGAGTATAAACTATGTCTGAATGTGATCAGACGAGATCTCATCACGGCTACCGCGGCGATTTCGGCCCTGTCGTCGTTTTGTTTGGGGCTGTTTTCGAATATGCCAATTGCATTGGCACCGGGAAGTAGGTCAATTCAGTTCAATTTCTATAAGGGAGTTCAGGGGCTGACATGCCGGTTAGTGGGTTTAAACGCCTACTTTGCATATAATGTCGTGGGCTTCCATGGTACGGGAACCGTCAGTTATCGACTTGCGTTGACCGCGGTGTTTGTCGAAGGTTTTGTCTTCGTTGGATTATCTCTGCTTGGTCTACGCCAGTGGCTGGCTAGGGCGATTCCAAGGTCTATCAAGCTCGCATCAGGTGCTGGTATTGGATTATATTTAAGTATGCCGTTGCACACCCTGGCTTATTGACTATTTACTTACTCATCAACCCAGCTCTTATTGGATTGACCTATAGTGCTGGTATTGGTGCAATTACAGGAGACCAAAGCACCCCCCTAACACTGGCTGGCTGTGTCCCAGGTATGATGGGTAGTGACAAAACCTGTCCATCCGGGGCGAAAATGCGTAATCCCACCATGTGGATCGGGATCTTCTGCGGTGGTTTTGTAACGGCCATCCTTTTAATGTATCGCGTCAAAGGAGCATTCATTGCCGGCATTCTTTTAGTTTCAATTATTTCATGGCCCCGATCGACAGACGTCACTTACTTCCCTTATACCCAGCAGGGCGATGATTCGTTTAATTTCTTCAAAAGGGTGGTTACATTCCATAAGATCGAAAAGACTCTCGCCGTTCAAGACTGGGATCTTAGTAATGCCGGCGGTCAGTTTGTTCTTGCCCTGGTCACATTCCTATATGTCGATATCTTAGATATGACTGGGACCATGTACTCAATGGCTCGTTACTGTGGCGCCATTGACGAAAGGACGCAGGACTTTGAGGGCTCAGCAATGGCATACATCGTCGATGCCCTCAGTATTTCTATCGGCTCGCTTTTCGGCTGTTCCCCAGTAACAGCATTTGTCGAATCTGGCGCCGGTATATCTGAAGGTGGTGCTACCGGTATTACTGCCATGGTCACGGGCCTTTGCTTCTTTATTTCCATATTTTTCGCCCCTATTTTTGCATCCATACCTCCTTGGGCAACAGGATGTACGCTCATCCTCGTGGGTTGTATGATGACCAAAGTCGCGGCGGACATCAATTGGAAGTACATGGGCGACGCTATACCAGCTTTCATCTGCCTTGCTACTATGCCTTTCACATATTCAATTGCATATGGGTTAATAGCTGGCATATTGACTTACATCCTTCTGAATACGCTGATTTGGATCCTCGAAACAATATCCAGGGGAAGGTTGATACCAGAAAACAAGACATTTAAAGAGCCCTGGACATACAAGATTGAAGGAGGGATATTGCCCGGGTGGCTAGTCAGGTTATCTAAAGGGTTAGTTGTATCATTACTCTGGATTGTGCAGGAAAGAAGTGTTTACTGACTACTTGTAATAGAAAGAAAGATTTCTGGCGCGAAGAAGTCTTGGATACATCTACTCCAGAATCTTCATCGTTCAAACAAGTTGATGAACCTGTTGTTCCTGTCGATAAAAATATTATTCCCCCTCAGCAAGTGAAAAATAACACCTCTGAGAAACATGATTAGTACTGATAAGTCAAGAACCGCAATACTATGAAATATTTTGTATGCTCCTAAACATAATGTTTTAGGTATATATACCTTGAGCCTTTTAAGCTTATAGGATGTCAAACTCCTCACAGTTGATACCGCATTGAAAAATTATTACTGTACGTCAACTTTTCACGACTTCTGGGAAAGATGATGTTAGAGTAGCCTTTCACTTTGCGTCCCATAATATCGCCCCTGGCATCCAAAAAGCTTTACGGAAAGGGGGATCATGCAACATATTAAAACTACTTTTGCCACGTTTAGTTGCTTTGAGAGCTGTGACCATACCTCCCAAATTCCAGCAATGCGCAAGCAAAACTTGAAAGCAGTCCAAATCGGGTGGCCAAATTAGGAATAAAGTTCTTCCGGTGAATATTGCTAACCGTTTTAGAGATAGCGCGACACAGGCACCTTCTTGAACCTTCTAGAATAGTTAAACCTTAAGGAGCTTAATTTTCCGCAGTTTCGGGAATACTCTCCATGTTTCGAGAATCACCCACAACACACCAACGCCATCGCGAATTGCCCAGCTACTTAGATCTCGATTTGAAATCATAATCTTCTTGACTGTGCCAGTAGATTCTAGTTTCTTACCCCCAGTTATAAAAGGCCTCAACTCTCACCATGGGCCGCACTTTTCGATCAAGACAGACAGCAAGCAACTTTCAAAGACCAAGCCTTTTATGCGATCAAGCAGAAATCTTCTTTCCAACTTGAAAACTCTCCCAGTTACCAAAGTGAGAACTTCGAAAAGACCAACGGCTCTATCCGCTCAACGTCAACTTCATAACATGGCATTCTTTCCTCGTCTCACTGCTGGGGATTTCACCCCTCTCTTCCACCTCTTGGATGACTATGACAACCATCGAGCATCCGCTTGCCGCGGTAACGCCATGCCATCTCTAAGAAACTTCACGCCTAAGTTCGATGTTCGTGAAGTTAATGATTCTTACCATCTGGACGGCGAACTCCCTGGAATCAACCAGAAGGACATCGAGATCGAATTCACCGATGATCATACTCTAGTTGTCAAAGGCCATTCTAAACGCGAATATACGGCTACAAACGACACTCAGTCTGATAATGAAGCTGTCTCTGAAGACGCCGCCTCTGTCAAGAGTTCCCACCAGCCTACTGTTGAAGACGAGGGTGCTCCCTCCACGCCAGTCGAAGCATCAGCTATAACCAAGCAACATGCCAGCTCCAAATCCGTGACCAAGAAGCCCGGCCACAAATATTGGGTCAGCGAACGTTCCATCGGTGAATTTCAGCGAACATTCTCCTTCCCAACCCGTGTGAATCAAGAACTTGTCCGCGCCAACTTGAAAGATGGAATTTTGCATATCATCGTTCCCAAAGCAGCGGCACCAACATCGAAGCGTATTCGCATCGACTAAACGATACTATCTCTCGTTCTTTAATGGCGCTCCCTGAATTGATTTCAACACGCGATGATGCTATGAAACTTTAATTACACTTTCTGCTTTTGACTGAGTCTTCCTTATCGTGAATATATTTGGTAGCTTGTCTCCTGTTTTGCTTCATGCCCATGTACAATAGCTTTTAAGAATTGCAATAAATGAAGAAGATTAACCAAACTCATTGATTTGAAACTGAGAGTAGTTTACTTTGTACGGAGCACAATAACTAGAAACGTAGTTGAAATACCACTTTATTTGTAAGCCCGGCAGATGCATTTTGTGCTTGCAGCCTTGAACTAACTAATGTATGTACTATTAATATATTGTGTGCTTTGTAGAGACAAAATATTTGGGGCCTGGAAACCAAGGTCACCACGTGATCTCTTCACGGCCAAAAATGGTGGGTCCTTGCACGTTCTCAACCAACATCCTCACAATTCAATGCTCGGAATACCTGGAGATGTATTTACTTCACTGAGAATTCGAATTAACAATGGCACAGGAAGCAGGATTAATTCCCCCACCACCCCACTTATCGGATCCGCGATTCACACTTGAACTCGAGTTCGTTCTGTCGCTCGCAAACCCCTACTACATCTCCCACCTCGCCGTAACGTATCCACACCTACTAGGCATCTCCTCTCAGTCTGCAACGCGCTCGGAAAGTGATAATCCATCGACATCGCCTGAAGCTCAAGCGTTTGCAGCATATCTTGCCTATCTTTACGATTACTGGAAGCGGCCTGAGTATGTTCAGTTCTTGACTCATCCCCAGGCCACCCTGAGGACTTTGCGGCTGCTACAGGAGGAGTCGTTTCGTGTTGCGGTGATTAGGCCGCAGGTTATCGAAACCCTTCTTGGTACGCCACCCGACGTTGCCGTGCAGGTTGAAGAGGGAGACAATGGGAAGAAGGGCATAGAAAGTGGGACAGAGAGCAAAGACACCGCTACTATTTGAGACCACTATGAATTTGCCCTCAAGATGATATACCAGATCGAGTCGCACGTCGGCCACTTCAACCGGCGTTTTTTGTGCCTCCTTGATTGGCCCCGTGAGCTCATTGTTGACACCCATTTGATTGGCCAGAGTTGTTAATGACGTTACTTTCTCTTCCACCGAGTTGGAGTAACTACAGGGATGTATTATCGCCGTGAAAACCAACGTTTTCTTTCGCCGAGGAATCCAGGATTGTCCCGGCCTAACGGCGGTGTGCGTTATAGGAGCTGGGAGTACTCCATTTTAACTCAAGCTTGAGCCATTACTTGATTACAATAAGGATGGAGATCCTTTGAGCTGTGGATGGATCTATACCGTCCCTTCATTACAGCGGAACTATTTGCGTCGCACGCAGCATCACGGCCCCAGACCAAGTCCAACCTTTGGCTGGGCAAAGATGACCCCAACATCGACGGCGTGTATCATGATATGCTCTCCCAGTACTGTACCGTTATATCCTTTCTACTTTAGGAATGGTCGATACCTGTTTTGTGGAGACCCGTGCCCTAACTGCCTCTTGGCAGTGTAACAAATCCGTAATGTGCTCGTAAGCTATGTGTGTGTATAATTTTAGCCACGACCCGGTTAGACAAGTAAATCGCAGAATAAATCGGAAAAGCCACGCATCGCAAGTTACCAAACGGCACTTCTTCTATGGCATCTATCACATGCGCGATCGGCACCTTCTGTCAACAAGTCTGTCTAGCTGGGCCCTGAGGGACGCTGGCATCTCGGCCTCCTTCCGCCCCTGAAGACCGCAATTGACTTCTTTCATGACAACATCAGCATTCTGAACCACCTCCTCCGTCAACCAGCCGCGCCTCAACCCCAGACTTTGCTGTCCAATCTGTGATTTGCTTCTCGACAGCGAACTATAGTCGTTTGGAGCTGACCTTTAGGCCCTATCCTGACCTTTCGGGGCGGCGTCCCCTTAACTTCCCTTCCACCCCTTTACCACTACGCTCCACACTGGAAAGCGATTTCTCGCACACATGAATTCCGTCCGCCAGTCATGTCGCCCCAAACACCAAGTCCTGATCCTCAAATGCTATCCGCGGTTTCAGAAAGGCGTGCAGTCTGTCAAACCCAATTCGTCGGAACTCAGCTATCTACTCTATTATGCTAGCACGCGGCGAAGTAAACTCCAGAAGGTGGGAGCGTTTCTGGAAAAAAGGGCTGCCAGGGATGTTTGGCGGGGTAAAATTGGGTATGAAGAAACCGGGGGGATGGCCATTTGCGGTCATGTTGTACTATAATGTCACCATATTGACCTTTTTTTTTTAGGAACGTTCAGGTGACTCTCCAGATTCTCGCCGCTCTTATTGAGAAAGTTCCGAAAGAGTTGGCCCTCTATGCACGATCCGTTCTCACTGTCCTTGATATCGTTCTACGCTCCCGTGAAATATCGATGGTGGAAGAAACTGTGCCAACATTCGAACTATTCTGTCGTCACCAAGATAGTGCAATGCTTACGGCGGACCATGAATATATTATTCCTTATCGAGATATTGTGCAGACATACGCAAGCTTCGCATCTACAGACACACCCGCCGCCACAAAATCTCCTTTGAGCCCTCAGGCTGTGTTAAGATGGAGAACAGTGGGTTTGAAGGCAATCAAATGTATTGTGACTTCCGAACTACTGTCCACGGATGGCCCCAAACAGTTATCCATTGTACTTCCTGTGATTCTGGAGAATTTATATGCCAACGGGGACCCTGGTTTATCTCCTTTGCAGGAAAAGGCAAAGAGCTCGGAACGGCTGGAACGAGAACAGTTACGTCGTCGTCGCATGAGCATCTCGACGGTACAAACTGTTGACACTGTTGAAGGCAACGGCCACCGGGAGACTGCGTCTAGCTCTGCGGCGGATGCCGATAAGATGGCAGAGGTCGAAGCCCGTGTCCTGGCGTTACGGTGCCTAGAAAAAGTATTTGCTGGAACAAATAGAGTACAGATCCGGCTGGCCACCTCGCTGGTGCTAACCTTTATTGCTCGGCGGCCTCCACCCAGATACGAAAAAGGTGAACGAAATACCGGGGCAAGGGGGAAAGAAAATTGGGCTACCAATTTATTAGATGTCATTGCCAACTGGACTCCAGTACAGGATCGTTTTGTCATTCTTGTGACTTTATTGGAAGCCTTAACAGATCGCCCCATCGTTGACGGAAATTTTGAGCCTCATCTTACATTGGCTTCCATGATGGATTGGTTACTCAGCTCTTCTATCAGCTTAATTGGCCTTAGCGTAATGGATGTGCTAATCGGGCTGGTGCAGTTTTTGCAATCGCTTTTTCTTGCCCAGGATACTGGAAACCTGAAGTTGCAATCGCCGCCACAAACCGAGAAGTCTACACCCGCATCGCCAACGAATGACAATGAAATCGGCTATTTGCATCCTTTATGGGCTGAATTGCTTGAATTAACTGAGAAATGCGTTGGTAATTTGGCGACACATATTTACTACGGAGACCAAGTTTCGGATATGATTCGAGCCATAGTAACACGCATAAAACCGTGTCCAGTTGAACAATGTTCTGATAATGAGTTGGAAACAGATAATGGGAACACCAAACAAAACAATTCTCGCGCGGATCATAATACTGAGAGCTACTTTTCGTCCCCAATAGCGAGAGTCACTGCATTGCGAGCGACAAAAGACATTCTGATAGTGGCCAACCTACGAGGCTCGGTTTCAGGAGCTGGTTCGAGGAATCGCGTTCCACTGCATGTATGGGAAGGTACCCAATGGCTACTTCGAGATCCTAACAACAAAGTCCGCAATACTTATGCTGCAGCCTTGATTTCCTGGCTAAAACTGGAGACAAATAAGACTGACCTCAGAGTTCCGGCAGATCAGACGAGATTGTCAAGAATACTTAATCGACGGGACGTATCCGACAACTCAGAAAGGCTTTCGAGAAGGGTTGTATCGAGCGCCTCCCAACGAGAAAATGCCGTAATGAATCATGCTTCAACGTTTCTGCAGCTCCTCCATTTGACTTTGTTTGATGTTTTTTCGGAATTACCCACCACTGAATCTGATGTCCTCCTTTATCATCTTCTTCTGGTTAACCTGGTCGAACATATGGGAGTTAACTCCGTCAGGTACACCCTACCTGTGCTTATGAAGCTTCAAGCCTCCTTTTTTTCTTCGGGGTGTTCTGTACATGCTTCAAAGATGCTCCAGGTCGGCAGTCTTGTTCACGGCTATCTTCTAACATTGGTGGAAAAGTTCAACCTAGAAGGAACGAAAGTCGGTAACGAAATTATTCAAGAAATATGCAAAAGGAAAACCTACGGCGTTTGGCTTAACAAGGTTCAGCTTCCACCGCAACCATTACAGCACATCCCTTCTCCCAGCCTGGCCGATAAAGCCCCGTCGCGTCAAGAACCGGACAAGGAATTTTATTCACCTTTCACATCACTGGACGACCTTGTATCTCAAATCGAGATTTCGTACAATTCATCTTATATATCTCCTCCTAGCAGTCCAGCGAACTCTCCTGGGCGCTCCTTTTCAATCTCTTCCCTAGGACCCAACACCCAAAACTTCTCACATTCGATTGGAGGCTCTCAATTGCCTTTATATGTCAAGGAGCAAATGCTGGCACCTTGGTCGAGAGAAGCTTGCTTGACTGCAATTGAAAAAGAGAAAGCAAAAGAATCTTCCCTTAGTGGCTCTCGAACGGCCACAGGCGCTCTCCCTATTAGTATCACAGCTCCTGTCGGAAGTCGTCAAGATCGCCCCATTTCTACCACCCTTCCCGCGGTTTGTTTGGTGGGTGTCGAGAACGCCAGGCGACAAAGCGTTGTTGAGCAACAGACATCTCCTACAGCATCTAGCCGAGACTCGACAGTACGGGTACATGAGTTACGGCGTGTTCTGTCTGTAATTGGAACGGCAAAGGTTCGCCAGCCAAGTCCGCTACGTGGTCGTCAAAGGGTAGACAGTACTGCTTCCAGCATTGAAAGCATGCTTAGTGACGATTTATCTATATCTGATGCTGGAACAGCTGCTGTGACAGACAGGCCGCTTTCCGCTCGGGAGAATTTAGGTTCTGCTCGAGATTTTAACACTCAGCCCAACGGCAATCGAGCGCCAGATCAATCTAACAATCGCCTGGATGCTGAATGCATTCCCCCAGTGCCGCCTCTGCCATCTTCACTAGCTATCCCTGGTTGTTTTCCTTCCGGCTCCCGCAGCGCATCGGCTTCCAACTCTACGTCGCCGTCACCGATTGCTGCAGATAGGCCTTCCACGGCCCCTGGTCGTCAGGCTAGGGCTCCATCGAAGAGTCAGGGCAGCAGCACGGCCACTCTCCGCCAAAGTAAATCCCTGACAAGGAAAAAGTCTTTGAACGCGAGCATACATGAGCGGAAGGGCTCCGAACCTAATGGAATTCTCGACGAGAATCTCCATAATTACAGTTTAGATTGCAACAACATCGGTATTGCTATTACCGCTGATACTACGGAAACGGCACCTCCAGCTCAGGATTGTCATGGGACGGGCAGCGATTGGTCGAGGCAGGAAGCATCAAGAACCTTGAGCTCAGGCCAACCTGTGGATGTAGATAAGCTGCTCCAGGGGCTTGCAATCCGGAATGAGATGCAGCCAAATGGCGTTGGCGGTGACGCTGTCTCTGCAGAATCTTCCCATAGAGTGGCCGAAAGTCGCCGTTCCGTTCATAAAGGAAAGCAAGCGCACCTACGTCCTTCGACTGCTGATTTCAACCCGGCTCACTCTCGCAAAGCCGATTTTCTTTCTCCCAGGTCCGCTTCCTGGAATCGAGCAACAGGTGACACTCGGGGGGGTATTGGCCCACCCCCTTACTGAGCAGTTTTCTGCCCTTTTCTCCTGTTTCCTCTGCCCCATCCTGCATTTTACAATGCCAATGTACAATTTCTTGTATTTTGTTACTGATAATTGTAGTGATAGGCGTACTCTGCTTTTACTTTTCAGCAAGCGTTTCTTTATTCTTGTTCAGCATGTTTAGATGGCTGCTTTGTGATGTAAAGATAGTATCTATCCAAAATCATTGTAAAAATGTTTCTCCCTACAGAAGGCCACAATTGTTACCAGTCATAATCAAGCATGGAGAAAGCCGCTTGGGTGCTCTCTGGTGTCAGTCAATCGTGTTTCCCGCCTACCAATCAACCCTTTGTGTTTGCGGCGAGCTTCCCCTTGCTTAGTCATCCATAAGATATTCACTCTTGGAAGCATCCAACTTCGCCCTGACGGCCAGCAACTCCGCAATGCACCTCCAGCCTTACTGCTGATATGAGCGGCGACATGGGCGACCTACTCTTAGGCCCATCTAGTGGCGAGGAGAAGAAGGAGGCGTCCAGCGTCAAGGTCGAGGAGCCCTCCCTTAACGGCGCCCCTCCCACGGCCAACGTGACCACCGATTTTCCAACCCCGAAAAAAATCGTCGACCTAAAGCAAGAGTCCGTCTCGCGAGCTTCGTCTGCTGAAATATTCTCTCCCGCCCCGTCGCTGAAGACTACTCCACCTGTTCTGAAAAAAGAAACGGTGCGCAAGCCAGTCGCGAAAAAGCGCAAACTCAACGATGCCGATAGCATTGATAGCAATGCGGGATCCCGTCGAAATTCAGCAACGCCCACATCCGCGCGCGCCAAATCCTCCACCCAGCGAAACTTGAAGCAGCCCTCTGTTTCGGTTGCCGGATCGCCGGCACCCGAGCCGAAACGCCGCGGCAGACCTCGAAAGCACAATAAGGATGTGGATGGTGAGGATGTGGACCCGTCAGAGCTATTTTGCATCTGTCGTAAGCCTGACAACCATACGTGGATGATTGCCTGCGATGGCGGCTGTGAAGATTGGTTCCATGGAAAATGCGTCAATATGAAGCAGGCTGACGCTGATCTTATTGATAAATATATTTGTAAGTGGGCCATTCATACATGACAGTTGGCGTGGTTTTATGTGATGAGTAACTGAATCGTAAAGGTCCCAATTGTGAGGAGAAACAAGGTATCCGCACTACATGGAAACGAATGTGTAGGCTCCCCGGTTGTCGTAAACCTGCACGGGTATTAATGAAACCCCCAAGCAAATACTGTTCAGACGACCATGGTTTGGAGTTTATGATGCGTAAAATCAACGCAGATGTACGTCGTTCTGTTTCCGCTGTCCGCGACCTGGATCCTACAAGCCGTGCCTCATCCGCTCCGACGAACAAAGGCCGCCTACTAGATTTTGATCGTGTCTCTATAGACAGGGGAACACTGCACTCTAACGAAGCGGAAGACGCAGATGAAGAATATCAGGATACAGAAACTAAAGCTGAAGGAATCGGAGAACACTGCAAAGGAGGGATACTCACACCGGAAGAAGTGAAAGCGATGGCAGACGGAGTAAGTTCTGCAGAGGAGTTCCGAAATCTAGGAAACAATCTCCTTTCAGCCGAAGCGCAGGAACTCGATTCGCTCCGTAAGATTGCTGAGTCATTCCGCTCGAGAAACGAAGAACCCAACGAAGATATCGACCTTGATGCTCTTTCCGACAAGATAGACTGGACCCCAGAAGAGAGAAGGCAAATGGGCATCCTCAAAAAACAAAAGGATTCGTTAGTAAAGCGTTCAAATATCCTTCGTGACCGTGATAAGTTTATCAATCTGGTGCGTCAGCATGGGAGGACCGCCTTGGAGCGTTTACGACAAATTGATGCCAAAGGCTGGAAAGACATCTGCGGGTTTGACAACCGACTATCTTGGTCTGATGAAGAATTCGACGATTGGAGACAATCTGAAGCTGGCCAAACGGCACTGAAAGACGGCGACCTTTATCCAGATCAGCCAACGGATGATTCTGGTGATACGGCCATGACCGGTGTCGCTGAAGCTAGTGATCTTGATAAAATCATTAAAGGCGTGTGTAGCAAAAAGCGATGTGAACAGCATAGGCAGTGGATCAAGGTCCAGCAACAAGACATGCTCTTTGAGCAGTCAATGCTGAGGAGCCAGCTCGCGAAGTGTGAGAAAAGCGCTACTGAGGTTATCGAGGGCATTGTTTTAAGGGCGTATGGAGATCGTGATAACAGCATGGGCGGTAAGGACTGAAATTACAACAAGGTGCATCACAAGGTGTTTTGATCATTTTCCTCGGCGTTGACGATATCCGACTTTCTACTATACTTTATATTTTATTCCTGATACTCTTTTCATTTTTTTATATTTTGTATTCTTATCATTGAATTTTTGACTATGATACTGTAGTTTCAACCAACAACATACAAGAATTTTTCTAGCAGAATCCTACATAAAACTTTTATAGTTGGTGTCCCAAGTTGGTTTAAATTCCGGTACATACAGAGTAGTAACTGGAGTCAGATTTCTGTTCTAAAAAAAAAATGTTTGTCCCGCAGCCAAGTAAGACTCGGTATGTAAGGCTGAGCTATAATGCATGCCATCTTCCTAGGCTGTCGCCTACTCGATCCTTTGCAACTTCAATGATCATTTTCGTTCCTTTCTTTGAAACAAGTAGGTGAGTATCAAAGCCGTGATCAAGGGAGCGAGATACAGAGGAAGAGTATAGCGATACAGGCTTCCGTCCTTGACTTGTCGCTGTTGGCAAGTATTTTTGCTGCTGATATTGCATTTGTTCTCGGGAAAATACCGAGCGAAGAGATAGATAACTGTCCCAAGGCCCAGATTGATCTGCATATGCCTCGTCCTTCTCCTTATTAGGGGGGTTGCCTAGATGTTGTTTGGCTATGTAATCCCAAGCCGAAAAGTATGATGAAGACGGGATCAGAGTTGAATTCACCACTACCACGGTGAGATGGCTGGAGTATGTTCGAGAAAGGACACTAAGGGTGCGTAGGAACGGCACAAGTCGTGCTTGTGCAGCCAGATTGCTAGAAGCACGTCGAATTTCTGCAAGTGACTGATCCAGACCTTGCAGCAGAAGAAGTGTGCTTGAAGGAACCTCTTGGTCTTTTTCTTGGGAATGCAGGGTGCTTGAGACATTGGATATCGCTTCAAGAAACTCCTTGAAATCAAAGGCACGGAATATAGTCACATTATCAAGAATCGACTGAATAGATTCCACTGTGTAATCTGGAAGCTTTTGCTGCAAAGATTGGAATAGGTATTCTAGTGTGTAAAGGCGGAATTCGTAAAACTGCACAACGAACACTTGTGGCAGTTTTGAGGTGTCTGTACTGCGATCATATGGTAGTGAATGCAGTGATAAAGAGGGCAAATGTGCCCTTGTTAGCAGAGTAATGAGGATATGCGTAGAGAACTAGAATACGACATCAGTCTCCTGTTCAGATATCTGAAACGAAACCGAGAACAAGGGAAAAACATTTTGACTGGAGGCAAAGGTGTTGATACACCCACCCACCTCAGATACCCAATTTTGCACTATCGAATGATCTCCATCCCCCTGCTGCTGTTGTTGCACTACACCGGGCTGTAGTCCCGTCACTCCCACAACCCGGCCTGGCGCAAACACTGATCTCTCTCCAGGAAGAATTGGGATACCTTTTTCAATATCGGATGCCAGACTCCAGCTGGAGCTTTTAGAGTAGTCTTGGTCTTCCCCGCCTGCTTGGAGAAGCGAAGACGCGAGGATTGGCAGAGCAGCCTCATGCAGAGACGTGCGGCGCGCCGCCATCAACGGTCTTTCAATCGATCAAACGAGATCGTCAGCTGTGAATGATGGGCGAAGCCGACCATGATGTTGCCTGGGCTCAAGGCTTGTGTTGGTGGCGCCGCGGGCTTAACTCCATGGCTGTGTCATCTCTTGCTAATCAAAACAACATCCTGGAGTTGGTTTTAGAGGAGAAGACGCTTGGGATGAAAGAGAGATGCAATAATGGGGGTCGGCAATGACTCTGTACGTCGATCGGGCAATCTCGGGCTGAAATAACTAACTATGTACGGAGTAGTTACATAACTACGTTCGTCCGTCGGTACATACTTGAATGCTCCCTGAGCAGCCACGCAATTGTCTCTTCGACACCCTAAACTACTCCGTACGTTCAGAACATACAGTCAGAGAGCTGTGAAGTTGCCCAACGATCCGTTGAAGACCAGCAAGGAAGCTGTTCCAGCTGGTTGGAAACAACAGACGATCATATGTACCGCCTGGCATGGACCCCAAGGGCAGACAGCATGGACAGGGACTAGCTGGCCTCGTGTGCTATGGACGGATCGGCTGCGGATTCCGTGCGGCCAGCGAATCGTCGACGTTCTTTGCTGCCAATAGAGCTGCAGGGCACACGAAGTGCTGCGGCCGGATGCTTTGATCGGCATGGTGGGCGCTGTCATACGCTTCGTGATGCCGATTCCAGCGTCTGATGCGCCGTCTATTAATATTCCCCGCCCTGGCCGTTCTTTAAGTAGCCAGCAATGGCCACCCTCGTTTTCTGTTCCACGGAACTATAAATTCACGTCTCAAACCTGCGTGAAGTTACCTATGAGACGGCCATGACGGCCAAAGACAACTCCGGCAACCCCGATGGCGAGAATGGATCAAATAGCAGAGCCCTATTGCTGTTTGTGGACGAGAGCAATCCTGATCAGACAGCCATTAAACGACATGTGATGCAGAACCATGTCCGGAAGAAACGAGGTCTCGCCAAATCCCAGGCTCAAAAAGCCGTTCGAGTTACCAAGAAACGTCCCGACAATCGCCTGAGCCGAAGCACATTGGTCGCGCCGCTCCACAAAAGCGCTAAAGGAGAGACGCGCTCTTTGGTTTTGATGGAGCGCAATGACGATTCCTCTTCAAGTATATCTAGTGGACAAATACGTCGAACTAATACCACGGCTTTAGCCATAAGTACGGAATCCTCCAGGCCGTTGAACGCCGATAGTAGCCACGACATTGATTTGGAATTGATTGAAACTATTGAACGTGACTCTACTAGCTTAGACAACTATACATTACTAGACGTGGTGGACCTAGCATCCCAAAGCAATGATGAGAAAAGCCTTTCAAAGCAGGGTGCGAATCATTCTCGAATGACAAGCTATCCTGAATCTTCGGACTGCTCCTACAGCTTATCAACTGTCTTTCCTTCTTCAGCTTCACGATCACCGTCTCCACAGACGCTGCTTAGTGCGGCATGGAAAGATCCTTTTAACGTCCTGCCCATGAAGCTAACCGATAGAGAGGAGGAACTGTTCCATTTTTACGTTACTTATATGCCTGCCTGCTCCTATGGATTCAATGTTCTTCCGCGAAAGGCACATAACTGGTATAATGAAGTGTTCGTTCCTGAAGCAATGAAAGGGGCTATGGCCTTCCAAAACACTATTCTCGTCCACGCTTCAAGCTCGCAAGCCTGGGTATGCGGACTAGACGAGACGGCCGAATCTATAGCCCATCGCGATAAGGGACTCAAGGCCTTAATCAAGCATCGCTCCATATATCCGAACGACTTCTCTGACGCCTTAATTTCTGCGACCCTAAGTGCTGCTGCCGTAGAGGATTTCGATCAGAGAAACGACCGTAAAGAGCCAAGTTGGTGGCACATGCGCGGCGCAATGGAGATGATAGCGAGGAGAGGCGGTACGGCAGCATTCAGACAGAGCCGGCGAATGGCAATGTTAATCAATTGGTCTGATTATATTTTTTCAGGGTTTTCTACCCACCCGCAAAAATCATCCTTCTACTTCGAACCAAGTTCGGAGTTTTCAGGCTCGGTATCGTCTTCCTCAAGTCAGGCTAGCTCTTCTCAATACCCTAGCCCATCTCCGTTATCTGATTTTAATCCTATGACCGAAATAGAGACGCAGTGTGAAGCGTTTCTCGAATTTCTCCGTCGATCGGAGCGTCTTGCCTTCGATACCGCATCCTCGTCGTCTGAAAAGACTACCACTCCACGGCGTAATCTGTCATTTGCAACGGATACTCTCCTATATAAAATCCTATCCTCTGGACCAGGTGCACGCTTTGCCACAGCAGGCACCCGAAAGCAAATCATATCCCGTTTGGCGTCTCTCCTGATGATCAACGCCGCATTATGGGACTACCGCCTTCTCCCGGAGAAACGAGATAGATTTCTCAAAGCCTTGTCTATGAAACTGGTAGACAAGGAAGTCGACTTGAATGAATCTGTCGAAGCATTGTTGCAAATTCTCCTCGCTTATGACGACACGTTTGGTATCCGTGATCTAGAGAAGGAGGAATATAACGAAAACCTCCGCAACCACCTCGTATTCAACCATGAAACTGGCGAGAGCTTAACAGTGCGAGCTATTAAATCCGGCATTGACCCCTATCAACGACCCTGGCTTGTCGGACGCCTGCTCAAAATTGCCAAGAGGCTGTGCTGGGTCTCCTGGATGTCCCTGAACGAGATGCTATTCTCCTTCCTGACTCTTCATTTGCAGTGGCCTAGAATGGCACTCTGGGAGGATTCATTGAGAAAAGAAATTCTATCAGCACCATTGACGAAGTATGTCATGCCAATCCCACGAAGCTAAGCGCTGTACTATGGCGTTTTTTTCCCTCCTGGGTACCCATGTCTTTAAAACGGAACCCGTCCACTATTTGGAGCGAAGGCCTTTGTTGTTGGAAAAGGGGATTTGTCGCAAGGAAATTCGTATAGGAGGACATTTATCCCCGAACGATTCCTAACGGACTCTTTGGTTATTACTTTAAAACTGAATAATTTCAATATATTGATGAACAGGGAGCTGTTGCCACTTCACGTTTAAGCGGGCTCGATTGTTTTGCTCTCAGACCTAGTTTCAATACTGGGTTTTTCGGCTGAAGCATAGCCAGAGGAAGATGGCGTATTGTTCTTAAGCTTGGGTTCGAACACGCCATCCAGCTCTTCCAACGTTTTCCCCAAAGTTTCGGGAAAAAATGCCCACACCAAAATTGCTCCCGCCCAGTTAAATGTCACGAAAAAGTAAAAGTACTTATATCCTAGTCGCGATAATGCAATTGGCGAACACTGGGCAAAAACCAAATTCAAGCTCCAGTTAACAACAGTCGCCACGGATGTACCTCGCGCTCTAATCGCCGTGGGGAAAATTTCAGACGGGTAGATCCACGAGATGACGCCTAGCGATGTGAAACACAGCGTGAACACGAAGTACATAGCAACCTGTGCCCGCAGCGCGTTATCATTTTGCGATGTCCGGGGATCAAAGGCCTGGAAGAGAGCTACTTCGACGCAGAGTGTTGCACCCATGCCGATAAAGGATGGAATTAAGAGTTTTCGTCGACCGACATGATCCAGAATAAACAAGCAAAGAGTGTTCCAGGTCCATGCCAATGCGCCGGATATCCCAATGATCATTAGGGATTGAGACGTGGAGAACCCAAGGCCAGCATATATTCGTGGGCCATAATAGGCTATTACGTTGATGCCAGAGCATTGTGTTAAGGCTTGGATCCCGGCACCGAGAAATACCCGACGGCGTTTGGCTGGGCAGCGAAAAAACTCAGCCCACGATTTTGCAGAGGAAAGTCGTTCCTGTGAGATGGCCTTTTGGATTTCGCAGAATTCTTGGTCTATGGACTTTTGATTAAGGTGGGCATGCGTCCCGCGAAGGCGACATAGCACTTGACGACCGTTATCTGGTTTGTTGTGCTCAATAAGCCAACGAGGACTCTCTGGGAGAAATAGGGCGCCCGCCGCTAAGACAATAGCTGGTGCTACTTGAAGCGATAGTGGCAATCTCCAGGAGAGAATGCCGGGAAGAAGGGAGCAGCCGTAGCCAACCCATTGCTAAAGGAAGCGATTTAGTGCGAGATATGGAGGTTTACATGTGACGGAAAACTCACTGCGACAACGAACCCTAGCCCTATCATCCACTGCTGCATTCCGGCTAGAAAGCCTCGGGTTTGAAACGGTGCGACCTCAGACTAGCTCAACTGAATCAGCATCTCCGCTTCCGAGCGCTCTAGCCAAGTGATATCAGAAGTCGGGAATTTACACAGTATACAGGAACTGTCGCCGACATAATTCCGATTGCCACACCTGCTGTGAATCTTCCTACGATTAACATTCCAACCGCTGTGGCTCCACCTTGGAAAGCGGCTCCAGACGCAGCCAATATGCCGCCAATGAACAAGGCGATTCTTCGTCCGTAGATATCAGATAGGTATGACGCGAAAACCGACCCAAGGATGGCGCCGCCTGCAAAACTGTTTCAGAATGACGCCCGTCCAGAGCCAAGATGATGAGAAACAGAAGCCTTCTTACCTGTGAAGGAAGAGACGATCCCGCCTATAGATGAGTCAGTCAGATCATGTTCAAAGCGCTGTTTAAACTCCTCTTGCGCAATGCTGGACGATATTATGGAGGAGTCATAGCCAAAAAGGAATGAACCCAACGCCGAGAATGCGCAGCAAAGTACCACCAGCATGGTTGTCATATCGAGTTCTAAATTTTTCTTTCTTGCTTGGCAGATTTATTCCAGAACTTCGAGCTCTGTCGTCCTCAAAAACTTGCAGATACACCAATATAAATCAATTAAATTGCTTGAGTTAAGCAAGAGGTCACATGCGGCATTATCCTCCGTAGCACGAAACCTAAGCTCAGCTCTTGCTTAACAACCCACGAGTAATACAGTCGTAAGGTCCAGGGGTTCAATATAACGGGGGCGCTCCCATTAAGGTTGGTCGCTCTGTGCTAGTGATTCCCCAGTGAAAATCTCATACTTGGGTTTAGAAATGACAATAGACGGGCTGTCTGGGGAGTAGATTACACCAATCAGGCGCTGCGTTAGTGCAATGGTACATATTTGTGCGAATGTGCGGGAGACACGGCATCATCCCCAAGTATATTTATATACTGTATTCCGTGCCCCGCGGGCATGTACTGTTTTCGTAGAGGTGCCGAAGGTTTACCTAGAATAAAGACAATCCAAGCAGCGATCATTGTCAACACAACCGCTGCCCCAGAATAGGAAAGGCGGGGTTGTCGATGGACCAGTTCTAGAGCAGACAAGGGGTGCAAGACTTCCGCACAAAGCCACAAAGAACGCAATATACACGTCACAGGTCTAGGTGCTGCATCTTCAAGTTGCTCAAGGTGGATAAAGAGAAGGGAACCTGCAGAATACTGTGACGTTGGACAAGTAACAGCAGGGGTGTCCAGAGCGTGAGCCGTAAGTGTATATGTAGATACATACGGAGTACATGTTCACATACAAATTGAATCATGACGTATGTCAGCCCTCAGCAATTGGCCATAAAGGGATTCGTATATGCATCAGATATTGCTCGGGTCCGGGATTTGGAATCAGCTAGATATGGACATGCATTGTCATCTACACAGCCTTAAAAGGACTTGGGCCGTGCGGTTTTGAATAAGGATGAGAGCTTGGATCTTTGTGCAGTCATTACGCTGAGGCCACAAGGATTGAGCCTCGTCGCGCCGCGAAGTGAAAACAAGACGAAGGACGACCTCGCCTGGTGGTTTGGAGGTGCTCGGATTTTCATTCCGCCGATGCCGTCAAGGATAGTTGTCAAATCTCTTTCAGGAAAGGAAATATACAACCTGACATAACAATCAAGCACTATTTCAAATGATGCATTGGTAGAAATATGTAGATCCTGCAAACTTCTCGCATATCCTGGTTTGAAGCATGCAATTATTGCGCTTTCGCCATCGCTTCAGGGTCCATATGAGCAGCGTTAGGCAGCAGGCCATACAAGCGGAATTCTAAAAAATAACGCAGGTCAAAGGCTTAATTACAATCAAAGCTTGTTCGGCGTCACAGGTATTCAAGCGTCGCATGTATCTCTGGTCGCTTCACATCGGAGTTCCTCTGAATTCTGGTTATTTTTAGGATAGGACGCCCCTTGAATAACCGAATTCAACATAGCTCTGATAGATCAATGCTTGTATCGTGAAAGGCAATGCAGGATTACACTCTTGGAGGAACACTATGGATGAACACCGGCGTGGAGAGAAATGGCCTAATATGCAACTATGCTACCACAAAAGCAGATTTGTGGGTGCAAAAAGGTATGATATGCGTGAGAGGGAATCCGCCGTGACTGTAGGTCAGGGCAGCTTCTGGATTTGCTCGAAGTAAAGGCATGGCATAGGTATGTGCGCTGCAGGGCGTGCAGGGCCATACTGTCGATGCATGCATTGGAAGGAACACCGTTCGTCAACAGGTGCGCAAGCTGAGGCTTGAGATGCAACATGTGGCGCCTCTGGAGCGGTGCCAAGCCGCAAGCGCTTACTCAGGGTGGCACACGGGTGCATTACATAAGACATTCTAGAAAGCTTGTTGGCTTCCAGGCCAATCAGCACGCGGAAACCCCACGCTAGCCGAGCCCGCGGTGGCGAAATTGTGGCGTCATTGCTGATTAATGCACGCCCTAGTTGGCTGATTAATCACCGGAGAGTGCCGTTTAGCGGGGTTTCTGTCGCGCGAGAGAGCGAGTGCAGCACACGGTCGGGCTTTTCGCGCGCAGAAAAGCGTGAGTACACGGCAGGCAAGGAGGCCGAGGGCAATGCGAGCTTTGCGGGTGTGCCAGGCGATCATGTGCGGCGTGGCAGGGATAAGGCTGCAACCGATGTTCGGACTTAAGCTGGCCGCGCTAGTCGTCGCGCACTGACATTGATAGCGTCGGCTGAGAGATCATCGGCGTCTTGTCCCATCACATCGTATCGCTGCTGTTACTCATCGCTCTTCGAGGCAATAAGAGCGCCCCCCATCCTCGACCGTTAGTTCTCCCACAGAGTGTCGGCGAAGAGTCTGTTCCGTACGGGTTGGGTGTTGCGGTTTCGGAGGCCACTGCCAATCTTATCGCGCGGATCCGCCGCCCGCCAATCCCCCATTGCTCATTTTTATCTCGACATTGTCGCGAAATCCCCTTGCTGTTCCGGCCGCCAGACCAGACTTTCCGACTGGAAGAAGCAATTCCGGGCGTACAAAGCGTTCTAGTATTACCCTGGTAAGCCTGGTGTCCGGCCGCGTCGTTGCTTTTTAATTTTTTCTGCCCTTCATAGCCCCGCCAGCGGCTGTGGAACTCCGTCTAAGCCTCAGTGTTTATCGTCAGCTGCATACTGATATGCAACCAGACGCCGCGGCGGTTCATAGCCATTGATCCCTCAAAGCGAATGCGCCGGAGTTGTGCGACTGAGAGCCCATAAACCCTTTTGGCCTTGGCCCGGACATGTCCCATCTTGAAGGTGGCTGCAGCACTGACGACGAAGAGCCTATCCATACGACCTCATTTCCTTGTTTCATCGCTCCGATGAGCCTGGGTATTCGGCACCAGCGCTCGCAAAATGGACTCGCAAGACAATATCACTACTCCCGCCGCCCAGGCCTCAGAAGACAAGGGTGAACAGCCTGCGCCGGGTGAATCAAAGGACGGCGCCTCCAAGGACCCTGGCTGCAAAAAGCCGCCCAGCACACACTCTGACTCAGCTGAAGGCAGTCCTGCACCAGATACAGATCAAGTAAAGTCGGCCATACCGGTGCAGAAGCGACGGCGAGTCACAAGAGCATGTGACGAATGCCGCCGTAAAAAAATCAAATGTGATGGCAAACAGCCATGTACTCACTGCACCGTATACAGCTACGGTACGCTACTGGCGATATGTCCTTCCTCCTTTGTGGCTACGTTTGCCTTTTACTAACATCTAATTCAATATTTGTAGCTTGTACGTATGACCAGCCATCAAACAGGAGAAGAAACCCTGCGCCACAGTACATTGAGGCACTAGAAGCTCGATTGCAAAGGGCAGAGGCCTTGTTGCGCGCAGTGCTTCCAGAGGTCGATTTAGACGATTCATCGATTGATACTAATAAGGTTGATGATTTCATTTCTACCATCAAGAAGAAGCGCAAGAATGAAGTGAAGACTGAGCCCGACACAAAGGAGCTGAGTACCTCTTCTGAGCATTGCGATGAGTCTCTTCTGGAGTCAATGGTAGAGAATACTGGTTCTCTAGACCTGGATGACCAGGGTCACTGGGATTATCACGGTCAGTCTTCTGGTCTCATGTTCGTCCGCCACCTGCGGAAACAGTTCGGAGGTCTTGTACCCGAGCGGGCTCCGTCCAAATTCCAGCAGATTTCTCAGATCTTGGAAGGCGCGAAGTCATCATCAGATTCCCCAATCGATACATATATGTCTTTGGCTCATGACTTGCCCCCGCGAGACATCGCACGGAACCTTTGTGACAATGCTCTCGATGAAGCGTGTATTGTGCTACGGTTCATGCACAAACCTACTTTCAATTCCATGTTCAATCGAATATACGATATTCCTGCTGAGAAATATACAAATAAGGAGAACACATTTTTGCCATTACTGTATCTTGCACTTGCTGTTGGTTGCCTGTTTCGAGGTGTGGGTGATTGTACTCTAGATAAATCCGGGTATGAACCTGCAGTGGACCAGGGGTAAGATATATATCCACTTATTCAACATGCAACGCCTGACTAACATTGAACCAGCTTCCAATACTTCAAGGCAGGGAGACTGCTTCTCGATATCACGGAATGCCGTGATCTCACATCCCTACAAGCTATTTGTTTTATGATTCTATTTCTTCAATCATCCGCTAACGTTAGCACTTGCTATTCGTATATTGGCATTGCGCTCCGGGCATCACTTCGCCTCGGCCTACATCGTTCCGTGTCAGCGAACTTCAGCCCAGTAGAATTGGAAACGCGCAAGCGTGTATTTTGGGTTGTCCGCAGTATGGATGTCCATGTTAGCACCATTCTTGGTCTTCCATGGATGCTCAGCGCAGACGATATTGATCAAGAGCTGCCCCTGGGAATTGAAGATGAATACATCGCCCCAGAGGGTATCTTGCCCGTACCGTCAGGCTCCGTCTCCTTGATGGCTGGAGTAAACGCACATATACGACTGTCTCAAATTCTATTGAAGGTGACGAAGTATATATATCCTGTAAAGGCGGCCAATCTGAGCTCCGGTCATACATACATGGTCAGCCACTCTAAAATCCGCGAGATTGAGCGGGATCTCCAACTATGGAAGGAAGATCTTCCCGAGGCATTTAAACCTGGCGGCGACGCACCCCCCAACGTCGACAGGTAAGTAATCTGTATCTGTTAGGCCCCCCAGTGCCGGTCTGACAGCCCTTCTAGACTGAGACAGCTGCTACGAATCAGCTACGCGCACGTGCAGATGGTAATGTATCGACCGTTTTTACACTATGTTAGCGGAGGTTCTCAAGATCGTGGGATTGATAAACGTTCGTATGCTTGCGCTGCAGCATGTGTAAGTGTGGCGAGAAACGTGGTCCATATCACAGCAGAAATGAAGAAGAAACAGCTTCTGAACGGCTCGTATTGGTTCACCATGTATACGACCTATTTTGCCATTCTCTCCTTGCTATTTTTTATTCTGGAGAACCCAGACTCAGCAACTGCCAAGGACGGCATCTTGAAGGATGCACTTGAAGGCAAAAACACACTGGCAGGCCTTGCGAAGAGAAGCATGGCGGCAGATAGGTGTACTCAAAGTCTTAATGTTCGTATTTACCCACCCTTTGTTTTTTCTTTTTTTTTTCTCTCTTTTCTTTTTCAAAGCTCTTCCCAGCTAATATCGACTGTGAAGTCTATATTCAAGCACTTACCAGAGCGGCTACGCAATCGTCGTGGAAACGTACCGGCCCCTGTAAACAGGAAACGCCCTCAGCCGACGCCCTCTCACTCCGTTTCAATGCCACTTCCAACTGGAACGCGTACGCCTCCAGGAATGTTGAAGGATAATGATGGAATCCCACCAGATGCAGTAAAACGATCACATACCTTTCCAACCCAGATGACAGCCGGTTCAATCTTGGCACCACAGCAAAAAGCTCCTCAGAGCAACGGAGCTACTGTAAATGGAGGTCATGGCGCGCCGCCGCTCTCGGGTTTGAGTCAATCTCCAACAATGATGTCGCAGGCTACGTCAACGTTAGCTTCGATTTCAGACATGGATGCCACCCAGATATCCAGCCCATCATCACCAATGTCCGTTTCACAACAATACCATTCAACACCCCTGAAACACCCACATTCGTTTTCTCCGCCGTTTGATAACCCCAGCCGTCTTCCGGACCTCATGCCAATGATGTTTCCTTCAGATGACCCGTTTGCATATCCAAACCAGCCTCTGTCAACGCTGGAAGACGGAGCATTCAAGCAGGAATCCATGGACATCTCGAGACCATTTCCATACCGGCCGGGTCCGCAGCAAATATCCACGGCCATGGACGCCGGCACTCCAACTCGCACAACGGCGTCTTCACCCGCAAACTTCATCAACAACCCCAACTTCTCCACCTTCTCCAACCCCGACCCGTCGACCGCCCTCGCAGGCATGAACCCACGCACAAAGGGCCTGGGGAGGTATCTCACCCACCACGCACGCAAAGCGTCCGAGTCCACGACCGCCGACCCCACGAGCCCCGGGTACATGGAGAACCCGGACCTCGTGACGATGCCGGGGCAGGCGTTCCTGTGGCAAAGCCTGGCCACGCAGGACGGCACCGGAGGCAATTTCTTCCCCAACGCGGCCGTGCCCGAGGATTCGTTCCAGGACATCATGGGCGATATGAACCTGCCCATGGACATGGGTGGTCTGCCTGGGTTCGGCGGGCTGGGTATGGACATGGGGCTGGACGCGCCGACGACGGCCACGGCGACGACGACGACGGGTATGGATTATGAGCACGGGTTCGAGAGTGCGGGGGTGGACGGCGCATCGTCGAGTATGAACCCCGAATGGACGCAATGGACGGCATGGAATATGGGAGCTTAGTGAAGCTTAGGTGTAAAGGTCTATAAGTTTTTTTTCCCCCTGCATTTGGGTTGTTGGGAGAAACGAAAAAAAAGAAGAAAGGGCATTGTTTTTGCGGTGAGTCACATAATATTCTGTTTGTAAGACTCTCTCTTTGTCTTTTTTTTTTTTTCATTTTCGAGTGTTTCTCATTGATTTTCACGACTTTTCAAAAAATTTCAAAGTGTTCGCGACGTATTCGAGATATGCTGTCGCTTTTCATTCATATTTTTCGTTTTCTTTTTCTTTTTTTATTTTATTTTTATTTTTTTCCATTTTTATAGATTGAGCGGAGCACCTCCGCTAGCACGCCATCAAGAGTGTGATTAAGTTCGTTTTCCGCAATAGCAGGAAAGTGTATCCGTTTTCATCTCTCCCCTAATAGTTGTTCAAAGCAAGCTGTCCCAAAAAGCCTGGGGAATTCTCTTTGTTTTGAATCTTGTGTATAGCCCCACCCCCTTGCTGTGATGTCGAGACGATGCGGATGTATACATATTTTTCCTTGGTGTGAATTCAGGGGTATCGATGATCTGGGCCTATGAAAGTGTATTAGAGAACGCCTGCTTTCACGACGTATATATTTTGGTTAGCTGAATAAATTGGAAAACGGTTGATAGCCGCGCTCTATCATCTGCTGTGTGCACGGAGTAATATTGACCCCCCTGTTTAGACCCCCCTCGATCAGATCTCGAAAAAAGCTTGCCGCCCCCGGGTATCGCTGCCGAAGCCGCCTAGTTAGTTAACTAGTCCTCTCGGCCGGCACCCGCTCTCGCAAAATACAGCGTACCACACACATCAAAACAGTATTATTTTTTTTTTATTTGCGCTGAAGTTGAAGCCACATCGTGAGTCTTGGCGCCACATCCGGGCGGCCATTGGTCAGTTCAAGGCTAGCTGTTCGAGATTCTCGTATCGCCCAGGCTGCCCCCCGTTGCGTTTGTCGCACGCCAGAGAGAGAGATAATAGTAATAGCTTTTTGAGTAAACGCCTTGCCGATTCGGCTTACCGTGGAACAGGGGTCTGCCACTAGCAACGTCCGTCGTCGACGACGACGACATGTCATGATGTATCATCCCCTCCTTGTTCGCGAAACCACGTCTGCCGATGCAGCAGCGGCGGCTGGCGAAGGGAACGCTCGCTGTGATGTCCTGGCGGCGTGCTGGCAAAAAAAAATGGGGGTGTTGGAGGGGTATTGCACCGCTGGATCATCGGGGTATGGCCTTGCTGTGATCTGGCTGCCCTGCAATGATATGCCTGGCTCTTGTGCGCCTGAGCACAGCAAAACACCTTTCAGCAGCGTCTTGAGCCTGGAGGGCCAAGACATCGGGGGGTATCTCAAGCCAGAAAACACAACAGGGTGTTTGAGCGGGGAGGGGAGGGAGTAATGCATTCGCTCACCTGGGAGCCGCCAAGTGAGTGTCGACCGTTTCTGCTCTGGATTAAACAAAAGCACGGCACTGACCTGTGAACAGATGATCTCCTCAAAATGATCTACGCGGCGTGAATGTCCGTCCGCCTGGCTCGATCACCACCGCACCACCGGCCCCCAAACTCGCCCCATCATGCCGTCACCGCTCCCACGCCCTCTCTTCGCTGTCCAGAACCATACGCCTCACCAGATGGCACTTGAAACGGAATGTACTACACCCATGTACGTACATCCTATCACTGTTCCTATTTTCTTTGTACTCTGCCCGGGGAGGAAAAAAAAAACAAAAGGCGTCTGCACTCCACCTCCTTGCGCCTAATTGGGGTGGTATAACACATCCATCTTATTGTTATTGTTATTATTATTCCCGGGCCTCCGCGCCGGCAGACTCTCGGAACAGCCCGCGACGAGTCTGGATCTCTCGCAAGTCCGAAAAAAATGACTGAGCACATGCTCAGTGGTGCGTTGCGACTGCTCGACTTGGCCCGAGAAGTGTGACACGTTAGGGGAGGGGGGGTTTGGATGCCTGTATGGCCTTCGAGCCCTTTTTTTCTTTTGGTCCCGCGTGTGGACGAGTAAGCACGGCAGCAAAAATAGGAACGTCGACGATATTAACTGCGTCAGCTCGGGCTCGGGGCGGGGGGGAGGGACGCGGCGATGGCTAGACCGCCATCAAGCTTCGGCGTTCGATGGGATGGATCTCGGGGCCTTTTCGGTCGTGTGGGACCTGTGATGGTGCGGCGGGTGGTGACGGGTGCACGCGTGTTCTCCAGCGGCACTATTTGCCTCGGAGGGTGCCTGGCACGCTGGACCAGACCAGACCAGCCATCGGGTTCCAGTACTGGTAGTCTGGCGGATGCGGGAGTTCGAGGCGACGTAGGCGAGCGAGCGAGCGACCAACCAACCAACCCCGAGCTAGCGGGGAGAGAAACGAAAGCGAGGGCCACCGGCACCAGCACCATTATTCCAACCACGCTCAAGCAGGGAGATGTGGACATCATCATCATCATCGAAGAACAGCTCAGACGTCCGAACGGACATGTCTCAGCAAAACGTGCAAGATCCGTACCAAGATCCGAGGGCCGGTGTCCACACCATGGGATTTGCGTGACAGAGAGAGAACAACCCGACGGCCAGAAGGGCGCTGCGCCAATCAGACACTTTCGCGCGCGGGGAACGAAAACGCACGGGGTGGAGCGGCGCAGAATAATAATATGCACGCAGGCAGGCAGGCAAGGCTGCTGAGCGTATCGGGAGGATCAGGAATCTCCCAGGTTAATAATACTACTGAGAAATAAAATTGACGGACGGGGGCCGACGGGCGTCGACGGCCGGCCGGCCGGGCGGGTGCGGGACAAGACACCGCGCAGAAGCAAATAATAATAATAACGATGATGGGGGGAAAAAAGGACGCCATGCCGTTGTCGACACGGCGAAAAAAAAAACAAACCCAAAAAAAAAAAAGAAGAAAACTGGGCAACGAAGAGAAGAGATGCAGAGAAGAGATTGTATCACGACCAGGGGGGGACCCGGGAGATCTCGACTGATCTATGGCCCATCTCCGCAGAAGCCTGGCACATACTACTATTCTGTTTTGATTATGAGTATTATTGGGTTGGGCAGCAAAAACCTTAGCCAAGGGGGGGAGGGGACCCTCTCTATTGCTTGCATGATTGTTTTTCTTTTGCGTGTTCATCTCTCTCCTCCCCTTTCATTTTGAGGCTGGCTGGCTGGCTGACTGCCGCTGACTGACTGATTGGCCTGGCTGGCCTTCCCCGCCCTCCCCGGTCGCCCGCCCCCGAAGCAAAAAAGCCAAGTTTGGCGAAGAAGCTGGACGGTAATCTCAAAAAAAAAGAAAAAGAAAAGGGGAAGCATGTGCGCGCGCATGCATTGTTCCTCCAGCCAGTCAGGACCAGCCTGCAAGCAGCAGCAGCAGCAGCATCACAACGCCTCAGGGTTGCCGGGGGGAAGAGAGTACGGAGTAGTGAGGGGAGGACCACGTCGACGAGGCTGGCGAATAATACAATATCCGGAATACGGAGTTCGGAGAACATGTGGTGCGGGCATAGCTGAGGAGGGGAAGATGATGGTTTTTTGCAAGGATGGGCTGGTGGGCAAAAGTGAGCATGAAATGGACGAACGACAGGAGGAGGTTTGGATTGCCTGGATGGATTCAAACGGTGCTGATGGTCTGTTGGGGCTAAAAACGCTCGCTGCGACGGCGTACGGAGAACAGCCGCTCCCGCTACTGCTAGTACTACTGCTGCTGCTGCTGCTGCTGCTGCTGGGGGGGGGAGGGACAAGGGGAGGCCCATGGTGGCCTGAGATCACCGAACACACGCCGATCGATGGGCAAAAAAGAAAAAGAAAACACCCGGCCAGCTACGGATTTCCTTGGTCTTGGGCTCGTAAGGGTATATTTTTGGGTTATACTTTTCCTGCGAACAACCCTTTTTCAGAGTTCCCTGGCCGGGCGTCGAAGGTCAGCGAGGGAGGGGGGGGGGGGGTCAGGGACCAGGGCCGGAAAAGCGGGCAGCGCAGCGGGCGGGGCGCGGAAAAAGAAAAGAACGGGCGCGCGCGCTGGCTGAAAAGGGGAAAAGGGCAAAAGCTTCGTGGGCAGGCGAAGTGGGTTGATTGATTGATTGATTGCCTGACAGCGAGCTACGGAGTTGTCTATCATATGATATCTTCTATCGAGAAACGAAGGTACGGTACGGAGTACTCCGGACGCGGCAAGAAAAATACCACTACTGCTACTGGCTGCACACTCAACGCCCCCGTTTGGACTGGACGACGACGAATGGGCGGCGTGGATTACACGACGAGCACGGCTCGGGGCTGGTCCAGACCGGCGTGTGTGTGTGTGTGACAGAGAGTCTGTGCTAAGGGAAGCGTGTCTTTGTCTGCCACGCCTAAACAGGACAGCCGGACGGGATTGTGGTTTGAGGCTAAAATGGGCTATTTTTTTTTTTATTTTTTTGTTGGGGCGTGCAGGCCCCGGAGTGGATGCAGCACGGCTGGAAACCCGTGCAGGAACAACACAATGCCGGCGCGTGGTTGAGGGCGGGCAGAGCGGTAGGTGGTGGTGATGCAAGACAAACAAGCACCTGAAAAAGGAGAATGCTAGAGAATGCGACATACTAACCGCGTGCTAGTGTGGCTCTCCTCCGTACTCCGGACTCTGGGCTCCAATGGGCGGCCACAGCCAAGTGGTGGCCCGGCTGGGAGTTGTCTGTGTGGATGGGTGCATGCCCTGCCAGCACCGGATATCCGCGTGCTTCGGCTTTTTTTTTTTGTTGGATTTTTCTTGATTCTCTTGCTTGTCCTGATCTTTGCTTTTGGCGCGCATTGCTTCTACTCTGCAGTGCGGCCTTGGAGGCGTGAGACTACTCCGTACCCCGTGCAGAAATCGTTTGGCTGCTGGCTCTCTCTCTCTGCCCTGTCTGGCTGGGGAGCCACTCTTCGCCACCCCAAGAAACCGGGTTGCGTGGTCCTTCGGCGCATTGATGCAACTAGCGGGCATTCCTCCTCCCCCCCCCTTTTTTTTTGCTTTCTCTGGCTGGCGGTGGAGCCGGCGTGCGCCCGGCTCGCACGCTCCCTTAATATTATTCTTCTTCCCAGTGGCGGGCCCTGATTTGGCGGGCTGGCCGCCGCCGCCGGCCGGCTACCCCCCCTGGCACCACGGGAGGCGTCAGCCCTACTACTGTGGGCGGTGAGCAGGATGCAGCGTCGTAGCGTGGTGGTTGGTATATCTGTAATGGCATGTATGATTTATTATTATAATTTCAGGATGGGGTGGGGTTGGGATGGAGATCAGTTGGATCCCACGCGGCCAGGGACGGGCATGGGACACGACAGATAAGAAACGTCGCGGGCGACGGGCTGGGACGGATTTCTTGATTTACGTGCGGAGCTAGCTAGCGCCAGAGGAGCAGCTCAACAGCAGCAGCAGCAGCGGCAGCGGCAGCGGTAGCAGGTGTGGCGGTGGGCTCAGCCACCCTGACTGCCTGGCGGCGACGGCGCGGCGATAACTCGGCGGTCGGCCGGGGGCTGGGCGGCCGGGGCAGGCTGGGCGGCGGGGCTTGGCGGCTGGGGGGGGCGGCGCGCGCGTATAAAGAGCGGCGGCGCCCTCAGGCCAGCGCCCGCTTGGCGGCCTTGTCCCTCCCCCAAGACTTTCCTCTCGCTCTGCCCAGCACGCCCAGCCCGCCGTACCAGCAACCACCCAGCCTACGGCGTACCGCTCACTCGCTCGCTCGCCACGTCAAATTCGCTCTCTCGCCGGCGCGACAAGACCCGCGCTGCTTGGCGCCCTGCCTGATGGCTTCCACCGACCCCCAAGACTCCTCCTCCGCCCTCCTGCACCACCCACCACCACCACCACCACCACCGCCCGCCCAGCCCTCCTCCCTCCACCACCACCTCCCTCTCCAACACCACCACCAACAACAACCACCACAACCACCACCACCAACACCACCGCAATCTCTGCAGCCGCTCGCGCAGCACTCTCTCTCTCCTCCTCCTCCTCCCCCTCCTCCCCAGTCTGCATCGCAGCCGTTGTCCATGCAGGCTCAGCAACAGCAACAGCAGCAGCAGCAGTCGCTCGCCCAGCAACTCCAGTCCGCCGCCGTCGTTCCGCCGCCCGTCCAGCAGCAACAGGCTCAGCAGCAGCAGCAGCAGGCTCTCGCCGCTGCCCCTGCCGCCGCCCAACAAGCCGTCGCCGTGGCCGCCGCCGCCGCCTCTGCCGTGCCCATTGCCTCTGCTCAGGACGCAGCAGGGTCCAATGCGGCCGCCCAACAGCAGCAGCAACAGCAGCAACAACAACAGCAAGCTCAACAGCAGCAACAACAGGCTCCGCAGCCCTCTGACCTGACCTGCCAGTGGACTGGCTGTCGCGAGGTCTGCCCGACGCCCGAGGCCCTCTATGTACGTTGTCTTGTCTTGCCCCCGTCTTCCTAACCCGTGAGCTCGCGTTTCGAGTAGCAGTCGCTTGTTTTGGTCGCGTCCTCGTTTTTGTCGTCGATCTTTTCTTTTTCTTTTTTTTTTTTATCGTTTTATTTTATTTTATTTTTTCTTTGTCGTCGAACAGATGAGACAGTCGCCTTGCCGGCGAGAGCGTTGGGCGCCATTGTTGTTTGTTGTCGCAGGACGCGACAGAGCCAAGCGAAGCATCCAAGATGCCCCCCGTTCATCGCTCCCCACGGCTAACCTCGCTCTCGCGCCCACAGGAACACGTCTGCGAGCGCCATGTCGGCCGCAAGAGCACCAACAACCTCAACCTGACCTGCTCCTGGGGCAACTGTCGCACCACCACCGTCAAACGCGACCACATCACCTCGCACATCCGCGTCCACGTCCCCCTGAAACCGCACAAATGCGACTTCTGCGGCAAGGCCTTCAAGCGGCCCCAGGACCTCAAGAAGCACGTCAAGACCCATGCCGACGACTCCGTCCTCGTGCGATCGCCCGAGCCCGGCCACGGCGCCCGGCCCCCCAACGGCATGTTCGGCGTCACCATGGGCCCGGATGGGAAAAGTATGCTCCGTTCGTTCTCTCTCTCCCTCTCGCTGCACCCCTTGTTGTTCGCGGCTTTTTCCCTGGCCTGCTCCGCCGCCATCTGCTAACCCTTTTCTCCCTGTAGCCGGCCACTACTTCGAGAGCGCCCTGGGCCACGTCCCCGGCGCCCCCTACGGCCACCCCCATGCGCCCTTCTACCACCCGCAGCAGCAGCACCCGCAGCACCCGCAGCATCCCCAACATCCCGCGAACCCGTCGTACGGGAACGTCTATTATGCCGTGGGCAGCGATGCCACCCACCAGGCTTCGTATGAATCGAAGAAACGGGGATACGATGCCCTCAATGAGTTTTTCGGTGATTTAAAACGACGTCAGTTCGACCCTACCTCCTATGCCGCGATAGGCCAACGCCTCTTGAATTTGCACGGATTGCCTCTCCCCTTGGTTCACGCTGCCGCAGTGCCTGAATACCAGCCAATGCCTGCGATGGTCGCTGTTGGTGGTCATGGAGGTTATCATGCTGGCCCAATCCCTGCCCAGTCCTACCACTTGCCTCCGATGGGGAATCTTCGCACCAAGACTGACTTGATGAATATTGATCAGTTCCTGGAGCAAATGCAAACCACCGTTTATGAGAGCGATGAAAATGTCGCCGCCGCTGGCGTCGCTCAGCCCGGCGCACATTTCGTCCACGGGGCCTTGAGTTATCGCACTACCAACTCCCCCCCCACGGCCTCGCATCTGCCCTCCAGCCATGCCAATGCTCCAGCTGCTGCTGCTGCTGCTACCCCTCAAGTCCTGCCCGCCTCTGCCAGATCCCCGCACAGTGTGACTCCCTCCTTGACCCCTCCCTCCAGTGCCCAGTCGTACACTTCTGGTCGTTCGCCCGTCTCCCTGGCCTCGACTCACCACATCCCGCCGTCCTCGCACGCCGCCTCGCTCCCGCAGTCCAGCGCCAGCATGTATCCCACCCTGCCGACGTCCTCCGCCCAAGAATCCGCCGCCGCCGGCTATCCTAATGTCTCGGGCACCGCGCCGCCCTCCACGCTCAGCAGCATGTTCGACAACGACGACCGTCGCCGGTACACCGGCGGCATGCTGCAGCGCTCGCGCATGGACTACACCGACGCCATGGACATGTCGACGAACGGCAGCAACAGCCCCAACTCGACTGTGAGCCATCATGACAAAGTCTCTGACAGTATGATCGACCCGTTCCTCCGTCGTGCGTCCAGCGATCGCCGCTCGTCCACCCCCACTGCCCGACGCAGCAGCGGCTCGGGCAGCAGCCCAGACTCCAGCGATACTCCTCGCAACAACACCACTACCTCCCGTTCCGCGGAGGACATGTGGGTGGAGAACGTGCGTCTGCTGCAGCGTCTGCGCGACTACATCCGCGATCGCCTCTACCAGGGCGATTTCGAGCAGGAAAATCGGCGGTCTCCCAGCTATTCTCAGGACGGAGGGTTAAGTGCGGGCGAGATGCAAGGCATGCAGGCGGTAGCGGCGGCGACGGCGGCGGATGATGATCGGGACGAGGCACGCAGGAACGAGGGGAGTGGTGGCGAGCTGAAGACGGAGAGCTTGTACCCGGTGCTGAAACTGGACGGTGATGACGACGGTGATGCGAAGATGAAAATGGATGAATGATATCCGATTGTTTTTTTGCTATTTTTTTGATTCTTTCTTTTTTGTTGTTGATGTTATCGTTGTTGCTGCTCTTTTTTTTTTTTTTTTCTCTTTTTTTATTGAGTTGAGAATCTCTCTTGTGTTCGTTCAAACTGGTGGATGGAAATATCACTTCTTATTCTTTTTTCTCGACTTCTTTTTTTTTTTGTGCCAACGTTGCCAATGCCCGCCGCCTATACTCGTTGCTATCTTTGATGACCGCCAAGTGATGCCTATGTTCCTCCGGGTCTACCTTTTTACTTTTACTCCTGCCCTTTAACATATATCAGGTTTCCTTTTTCTTTCTCTTACAAAGTCCCCAGAAGTCTCACGGGCTCTTGCTGTCTAGTTTGATTTTTAAACTGCTTCGGATGACGACTTGTCTCCCAGACTCTCGACTTTTTTTGTGATGATGATATGCTTGAATGCGTACTTCGTGACTTTTTTTTTCTTCCTACAAGGCGCTGGTGCGAGCGATGATGCGTGCGTGGTGAATGCCTTCAATACCCCTTTATATTACTACACAGGCGCGCGCGCACGCCTCTCTCGCTCGCACTGCGGTGACGTCCTGCGTTCTGCCTTTTTTTTTTCCATGCTGGACCCCTAAGTAGCGGTCCGCGTGCTCTGCTATATCTGTACATACGCCCCGTAGTCTTCTCTCTCGCTCTTATCTCTCTGGTTCTTGCTTCTGAAAAACAAATGAATCTCATCTATCAGAAATCATTATTCCTTCGTAAATACCAATACAGCCCGGTCCGGTTTCGCCCCCACCGTACTACGTCTGCTAGTCCGCAAGTAGCCTAGTGCCTACTCCCTGATTGGCCGGTCGTCCTGACGAAATGAAAAAAATTTCGTTACCAGTCCTCAACCCCCCCCACTATTTGCCGGTTACGGCAGTCTTGGAACGCGTTCTCGAAAGCTTGGCGTGCGCGAGCACGCTGAGTCAGCAAGTTTCTGTTCTGTCTGTGTGATCTTCGCCTGCCTTGCCGCGCCGCCGGAACTCTGCGATAAAATGCAATTATTAACAAACATCGAGTTTTTTTTTGCCATTATTATTCCACCCATTCCTGCCTGGACCGCTTTCGGCAGTGTGTTTTGCTTTGCTTTGCTTTGCCTTGCTTGCTTGCTCTGGTATGGATCTCGCACACGCGAGTCGCAACGTCACGCACACAGCAGACTAGTACTAGCATGCTGTATCTACTGACTAAGTAGTTAGTTAGAGTGCCCTTGCTGTTGTTATCGACGCGCAGCATCGTGATCTCACTATTTATTTTTCTTTACCTAACCACCACCACAACCACCATCCTCCACCCGCCACCTCTACCGACTTACGTACAAACCTCATCCTCCTCCTCTTTTTCGCCTCGCCCGTCCTACGAACATACCGAAGTCTCCCGCATCCGCACCGCCCCCGTTGGAAAAAAGCCAAAAAAAGAAACTGGGCTCGAACCGGACAAACAAACGGCTTGTCGCGATAAGAGAACTATTTTTTTTCTTCGTGCCCTCGTTCGGCGAAGGAAGGGAAACGGGCCTCTCGCAAGCCAACAAACACATACACGCGCTGCGCGCGTGAACCCTTTTTTTTATCGCGCGTCATCGTCATCGTCGTTGTCGGCTACTTCGTTCTCTCGGCCCGGACGCGCATTACATACAAGAGAAATTCCGCGATAAGATTCGACTCGTTTGTTTGAAAGTATTTTCCTGCGACAACTCGCTGCAGCGGTTTGATATTATTATTATCCTCCTCCTCGGGGGGAAGTGGACGCTGAAGTCATACCTTGCTCACGCAAAACAAATACATAGTTACAACCTATTTTTCTGCCTCGCGACCCTTCTTACCAACCACCCGCCCGGTAGTTAAAACGTCTTCGCCTCTCCGCCGCCGCACGCGAGCTTTTTTTTTTTTTTTTGACCCTCGATTATTGACTCCGTACAACTTACTAAAGAACAACAAAAAAAAAAAACACAACACATATAACGTCACCAGCTTGGCACTGACGGGTGTTGCTCATAAAGTTTTTTTTTTCCTTCCCTTACACAGAGAAGGGAACAAAGAGAGTTTTACCGACCGGTCTTCGGGTCTGGGTGGCAAGTGAAAAAAGGCGCCCCCGGGGCAAGTACAAACATCAAAACTACTTTTTTTACTAACTTGGTCCTTGCTCTCCTTGTTTTCTTTTCTTTTCGGCTTTCTCTACCTCCTCACTTCCTAAGTGCTCTTCGATTTCGCTGTGCTTCGAAAGAGAGAAAACTTGCGTCTTGTCGTTTGGAAGCTATCTTTTTTCTCGAAAAACCCCACGCTTTGGAGAAGGACGGAGATAAGATAAGGGCGAGATTTTCTTTGTAGCTGTTGCCTTGTTTGTGTTTTTTCTTCAACCTGTGAGCTTCACACATCTTCTTCTCGGGTTTGGTTCTCTCAGTCTGATCTTGCTTGCTGAACTTACTGCCGAGCCTTTTCTTTTTTTGGCATCTACTTGTCAATAAAGTGGGGAAATAGGGCTGAAGGTGCCCTGGGTAAACAACAACACAACAGCAACAACTGTGCGATCATGCCACCTTCTACCAGGCGACGCAACAACCGTCGCCGGGAAGCTGTCCTGCAGGAGGCTCCTGATACTGATGCTCTGGACTCATCACCCAGTCGGCGATCTGTGAAGAAAAGAAAGGTACGCCTCCACTTAACCTGCTTGCTATGGTTCTGGTGGTTTGCTTGTGTGAACCATACATAGTCTGTGAGGCAGCTTCGCTCATGGTTCTTGTTTTTTTTTTTTTCTCTTACTAGATCGACCACAAAGCCGATACAGAGCACGAAGAGACCGCTGTTTCCGACCAGAGCTCCGATGAGGGTTCTTCCAGGGAGAACGATGCTACTATAGACCAAGACCTGGTGGACTCCGTGATTTCCTGCCTCAATGTAGCCCCCGAATACGTCGCTGTTCAGCATGAATTTTCGAATGCCAAAAACAGGGAGGAAAATCCTGAGAGTGTCAGGGCCTATGCGAAGATTGCCGGGCGAGACTGGACTTACTATATGAAGGAGCTCCACATCAACATCGGCCGCCCGCCGGATCGCGACCAGAAGTTCGATGCGCAGTCCAGCCCCGTCGCTGTCGCCGCTCAGGCGCTGCCACCGGTCCATATCGACTTGGGCCCCAGTAAAATCGTCTCGCGTCTGCACGCCGAGGTCTTCTACGAAGTTGCCGCTGAAGCATGGCGGTTTCGAGTCAACGGCCGCAATAGCGCGCGGCTGAACAACGCGGTTCTCAAGCGTGGCTTCAGCTCTCCCCTCAAGAGCGGCGACGTCATCGACGTCGCCGGCACTCAGATGATGTTCGTCACGCCCGGCGATCGAGCCGAAATCCACCCCACGTTTGTCAACAGGCTGCGTGCCATACAGGAGGTCCAGCAGCTCCAGGACCGCCCGGGCATCTGGTCTGGGTTTAGACACTCGCATCCTCAAGCCCCGTCGTCGACACCGCGTGGGCCGTCTGATTCGCAGGCCGCGCAGCGGGAGGATGCTCGGAATGGCGGTGCGGCGGCTGCGACTGTGACGCCGTCGAAGCGCCTGGCGACGCCTGCCACGGCGAGACCGAAGTCCAGAGCGGGCGATTCGGCCGTCAAGCCCTCGCCGCTGTATAATCGCGGGATGATGATGGAGAGCACGGGGGACATTGATTATAGTAGTGAGTCGGCCAAGGATTTGAAGCCGCCGTTTAGCTATGCGACGATGATCGGGCAGGCGATCTTTTCGACGGAGGAGGAGCAGTTGTCTTTGAGTAATATCTACAAGTTTATTATGGAGAAGTATGCGTTTTATAGGTATACGAGCTCTGGGTGGCAGGTGAGTTGTCTTCGGCCTTGGTTTTGTTTAGGGGGTTGGGTTTGTGCTGATGTGATTGCTAGAATTCTATTCGCCATAACTTGTCTTTGAATAAGGCATTTAATAAGGTCCCTCGTCGCACTGATGAGCCGGGAAAAGGCATGAAGTGGCAGATTGCTGCTGAACACCGGGAAGAGTATTGGAAGAAGGCCCATAAGGGCATTCAGTCATCAGCGCCATCTTCGCCAATCGGAAAGGAGAGTCCTAGTTTCCACAAGATCAATGGGGATAACAGCTCTTTTGAGAAACGACAAGAAAAATCTCAGCCTGCTGCCAGGCCCTCCCAGGCTACTTCGCCGGGCTACCATTCGTTCTCCGTTGCTCCAATTGAGGCTTTCACGCCAGATCGTGGCTCTCGCGCCGGCCGTCGTCCCGACATGCACAACCCCGCAGAGACTCCGCTGCCTGTACGCCCGCGAAACGGTGAAGGAACGCGCGCCATCGGGCTCTCCGACAACGTCACCGGCTCTCCGCCCGTTCTCTCCTCCTCATATTACGACGACGCCGCGTCGTCCATGATCACGCCCGCGCCGCTGCGCCAGCAACCGCGTCTCGCGCCCCCCAGCACAGCCCAGGTGCCGTCGAGATTCATGCCCATGAGCTCGCCGGCGCAGTTCTGGAAATTCGCCGATATCGGGAGCACGCCCGCCCGGCCCAACGACATCAGCCCCCTGAAGCCCAGTGAGCCGAATAATCGCTGGGACGGAAATGCCATGCCGAGCAGTAGCCCGCCGCCGCCGAATCTGGGCAGCCCGAGCAGACCCAGTGGTCCGGCTGGCGCGCGCCCGCGGTTTGGAACTGCTGCTCCGCAGCAACAGCAACAGCAGCCGCAGCAGCAGCAGAAGCAGCGTGAGAAGCGTGAGAAGCGGCGCTGGCAGGATGATGATGAGGAGGAGGAAGATGAGGATGAGAATGAAGAGGCGGAGGGGTTTGACCTCGCTAGGTATGTATTCCTCAGCGTGGTGGCTGGTTCTTAGTGTTTTTATGAATTTGTGGTGTGTTCTGACTGTTCTGATAAAGGGGCTTCCAACCCATCGGATCGTACCATCGACAGATGAGCAATGCCACCAGAGCAAGTGCTACGTCGACCTAATAATTTCTGGGTCAGTTGTTTTCATATGAGATGGTAATCATATCCTCCTCTTTGCGTGGGCGGACGAGATCACATACTTGTCTTAATCTCTTCGACAACATTTGTTCAAGAATAGCATCTTTTGTTTTTGCTGTTCTTCTTGCATCCGAAAGAAAGACACGAAAGGAAAAAAAAAAACCGAAACAACCGGATCGAAAACAAGCATTTTTACGCCGCTACAGATAATTTCTTCGACCCTTTCCAGCTGTTGCTGCTTCTACTGCTGCCGCTGTTGATTCGATTCTCCTATTCTGAATTCTTCTGTCGAACATAACCTTACCCGCACAACAACAAGTTATGGTCTGCCGTTGTATTACCTTCTTCTCTTCTTCACCTTGTCGTTTTTACTTTATCTAATTTTTAATTTTTACCATTTGCCTATGGGTTCAAACACATCTAGCATTTTAACACTTCTTGCCTCCGATTATTCGCATCTCACATACGAAGCACCGCAGACAGCAACAATAACAGCGCATCTCCCCACGAACAAACACGACACATCCTGTCATGACCCTCGCTTATGTCATTTTTAACGATTGTTGCATTTGTATTGTGCATTTTTTCCTGTCCTTTTGAGCAATCACCATTGTCTCTCATTCTTATTGTCCCCATTATTATGGTACAACATCTCACTGAGACTGTATCTTTTCTCGTGGTTTTTTCTATGATGGGTGATGATTTGGGGATGGCGTTCCTGATTTTTTTTCTGTTTGCTTGTATGTAGTTATGTGTGTACCTTACCTCGTCTTCCGCATGCCTTAATGGGTGAAGAACAAAAAGTTGGGAGGGGAGGAGAAAGAGGGTTTTATCATGTTGGTGCAAAGATGGGTGGAATTTAGTACGGCGCCAATGTTTACTCTTGTGTTTTTTTCTTATAATTATTGATTTTGTACTTTTATGGCGGAGGAATGGAAGACGGTACATACACGATGCGACGCAATGCGATGTGATGTGCACCTTCGGTAGCTGGTAGAGTCTCTCTCTTTCTACTGTTGAAATGCAAAACTATTCTGCTCGACTCAATTCCCATAAAGCTGTTCGTGTACTTCATAAATAAAACTTGCTATGCATAAACTCTTCTCTTGCCGATGCACAAACCTTCTAGAACAAGTGAACTTTAATAATTCATCTCTAACCCATTTGGAAGGCCTCCGTCAAAGTCATCCCCACGAATTATCCATGTTCCCGAATAACCCAACGCCGAATTCCAAAGTTCGCACTCCTGCCGAATCCGTGCTTCCGCCTCCTGCACACTCGTGGCAATTCGACGCTTAACCTCCGCGTTCCAGGACTTCTTACCACCACGCGTTCCTTTTGCTGCACTCGTTCTTCCCCTATTATCATTCTCATGCTCTTCACAGCGCGACTTGACCGCGATGCCGACCAGAGCTTGCATGGTATAATGGGCGTCGTTGCCTGCATTATGGAGATTCCAGCCTGTAAGCTCGAGGTCTACTAGGATTTTGCTGAGCGAGCTTGGCTGCATTTGACGGTTGAATACTCTGAAAAGAATGTTTGTATCTAAGCTATCGAGAAATTGCGCTTTTGACGTGCCGCTGCTTTCGTTTGATCCACTTTCACTGAAGTGGTTGGCAGCGTGAGCGAAGGATGGACACCCAAGCTGAGCCATGTACTTGATGTCTGATGAGAGGTTATGGCCGACGAGAATAACATTGCGGCGCACAGGCGCAGAGATAAGAGTGAACCGGTTTTCGGAATTCCGACGATTATCAGCAGTAATGAATTTTTTTGGAAGAGGAACTCCTCCATCTTCGTCGTCCTATATGTTTGTTAGTTAAGGACTCGAAAGGAAGTCGTTTCGATACAATATACCTCACTATCATCGGTTTTCGTACCAGCACGTTTCTCGGTATGTTTCAAAGAGCCAGAATAGGGAGGACAAAAGAACGATTCCACAATATCAGCGGCATCATTGATAGATATCCATTCGCTGTTGCCAAACTCGAAATAGTCAGGGCAGCCGGCGACAAAATCCTGGTTCACAATATGACGGTACTCAATAATTCGAAAATGGCGGGTTTTGATCTTGCCCATCCAGTTGCTGCCGTTTTTACCGGGAGAGATACCCTCCAGATCTAAAGTATCCAGTGTAGAAATACCAATTTCTAGTATCTGACTGTGCGCCTTCTCATTTGACTCAATATCGATAGAAATGAATAGCGGTGCGTCTGCAAATGGGAACGGGGCGGTATTTTTCACGTTCAAAGGTGTCATGCTGGCAGCAGCCACCAAAGAAGCAGAAGTAGAGGCGTCCCAGGAACAAGTATAGTCTACACCGAACTGTCTGCTGGGCTGGGAAAGACGGCCCCGGAGACCTAAATAGCACTGTGCACGTTTCAGCGAGCGACACCAGAGCTGAAGTCTTCTGGCTTGATCTCTCTGCTTTTTGGCCTTGCTTAACTTGGATTTACGGCGAATGGCACCAAACGCAGCTTCCATTTTGTCTTTAAAGGCTGCAAACGAGCGATCTGTGGTACCTGATGCGCTTTTGGGACGTTGAAATTGCCCCGTTGGAGGAGGGATAGTGCTTTCCAATGAATCCTTCATCTCGCGGCTGGTAGAAGTGCCTAGAAATTGCGGTAGCGGGGTACCGTCGTTATTAAATGGTAGACGTACGCCCAGATGGGATTTCTCAGGAATTTTTGCGCCACAGCCAAATTTTTTGTTGATTTCCTTCATGAGCTGTTGCACCTCCGGTTCGGGGATTAGAAGTAGGGGATTGGGAGATACAGAAGAGGGGGGGTAGATATAATACCTATTGTGAGTCATTCATTAGTAAATAATACACAAATAGCCATTGTCTAAATAGATCATTCACGAGGTACCATTGCAAGAGTGGAAGGGTATGACAGACAGAGCCTTAGTGGCGGGAGGAGGGATACATACAGATTCCATTTTCGGTTCCAAAACTTTCCGGCATCAAAAAAAGCGGGGCCAGCCTTCTCAGCAGCATCAGCATCAAGATACCTATAAGGAAAATGACTGATAAGAATAGCTGGGCAGAAGTAGCATGTATTGTCGAAATTTGGCTGCGAGGCCTGTGTAGGTTTGTTTGAGGAATCATTTGCGTTTCTTTCTCCCAGAGAGCCATCCTTCCTCCTTTTAGCATCTTTGGCGGATGAGGTCAAAGCAGCGAGATATTCATCTTCATATTCCGAATCCGAACTAAGTTCTACCTGTGTAGGGGGTGTTAAAGTTGAACTGGTTTTAGCAAGACTTTTCGGAACTTCCGAAACCGATTTACGCGTTATTTCAGGTGGTTCATTCTGGGTGTTAAGGCCCACATTGACGTTCAAAAGAGACTTATCTCCACCATGAAAGAGCATTTTCAGACGTTCAGACTGACTCATGGCTGGGGACATTGCATAGAAGAAAAAAAACTGAAAAATTAGCAGGTTCACCTGGCTGAATCTGTTGGGCTTCTAAGATGCAAGGCAAAAAAAGATGGAAAAAACTTAATGCTTGCAATTTCTCAGCTGTAGCAGATGCTGAAATGCACGCGGGGAAAATTTCAGTAAGGCAGTTGAATGTAAAGAGTAGACAAAATGCCAAATTCACTGGCAATTTTGAATAGAAAGAAGTTACATCAACCAGTTTCAATCTTAACGGTAATGCCCGTTGGTCCTGTAAAGTGAATAAAAACTAGATAGTATTAGAGCATAAGCGCTATGCCCACATAATTCAAGATTCTGGAATGGTCCAGATGAATACAGCAGAGAAAGAATGCATTTGTCTCTTCATTTCGCATCACAATGTCTGTTAATGATGCAGTCGTTCGTCGTTGCCAAACAAACCAAACACATCTAGGTGCAAACAGTGCAAAAGACGCGAAATCAGCTGATCATTAGCTGGAAGGCTTATTCTGGGTTATTATTTATCCGATAAGCCAATCAGCATTGCGTGGCAACATCATCTCCTCGCGAACTTCACGATAACATCATCACCATGAAGCAGATGTCCATACGGGTTCTGACGCCATACCCCCGCATTGCCTTTGGTCTTTGGCCCCTGTTTTTCATTCTTCTATAATATACATATCAAAAGTTTTCTGTTTTATATAATGGTGCACGATCTCCGCGCCGCCGCGCGTAAACTCCGGAATTGAGCTACCTTGCGCGTCCTTCCCCCGCGAGCATTGATCCCGCCAGAATGTCGAATGATTTGATTTCCCATCGGCCAGAACTGTTTTTGGAAGGGCCCTCCGATCCTGATGCGCAGGCAACTATCACTGATTTTATTGACTACACCGAATACCTTCCGTCAGACCTTGTTCGCTCCCTGACTTTGGTTCGGAACTTGGACAAGAAATACCTGGATGCCGCCAATGCTGTCCATGAACTCACTCGCATTTATGGCCAGCTACCAGAATTGTCCCCCAAATCTCGACCAGATCCTCACACCCTTCGCATTCAAATATCACAACAGCTAAAACGAGCGATCAATGCCCGCGAAGCGTCGTTTGCCGAAGCCTCCCGCTTATATGACGCTGTAGATCGCCATTTCGACCGTTTAGGAAGTATCAAATCTAAATTGGGTGCGCTTGCGATTACCACTGCCCGCGAGCTTGAAGCCCAAGCAAAGAACCCGCCTGTGACATATAACACCGAAAAGGTTGAAACGCCAACGCGCCTCACGTTACGTCTTGATGGTGGGCGCCAAAAATCTCGCGTTGAAAAGGTAGCTAGAAGTAGCCGTCTAACCAGCCTAAACCCAAGTCACCTTACGGTCAGCGTCGAAGGAGCTAGCAATGAAGCGCATGTTTCAGCACTTGGAGAAGATAGCCTAAAAAAGAATACTGCTCAACCAAAGAAAACGCTGAAGAATGGCATAAAGCTGCCTGGAACAAGGACCCACAAAAATGTCCCGGAACGCTCTACCAGCAAAGTCCTCGCCGCACTCCCTCCCCCACCGCCAAATGCAGAACTTGGAGGCGAACACCGTCCATGGCTACGGCTTACTGAGTGGGAAATGGCTATTCTGCGGAAAAAAATGAAAAAGAACAGTGTTTGGCAGCCAAGCGACGTTATGATACTCCGCGAACTTGGAGAACTAGGCCGTGGATGGGACAATTATCGAGCAGCAAAGGAAAAGGCCGAGCAAGAAGGCGCCGAATTTCTTGATTGCGACGATGTTATGAACACTTATGTTCCAGGAAAACTCACCCGTAAAGCTGACGCTGTGGGCGGCACCGGAACGGTGGAAGAAACGAAATTGGTTAATCGAGGTATGAAAATGAATGAAGCGAGGAAGTTGAAGCGCGAATCCCAAGCACGAGAACAAGCTGCACAAGCTGCGGCGGAGGCGGAGTCTGCAGCAAAACGACTGAGCGATATCGGATCGACGTTCAAGAGCTTGTTCTCAAACCCATTTAGCCAGAGACCCCTTGATACATCTGACACTGGATCTTTCGGTGTAGCATGCATTACTAACGGCATCACAGTGAAGCCTAGACCACAACCAACCGGTGCTTCTAGGAAGAGAAAACTCGAAGAATCAGAGGCACTTGCGCAACCAGAGAACACCGAGCATATGACCACTGACACCACTTCAGCTAGAACTAGCACGAAAAAACCAAAATTGACAAAACCCATGACTATTGCTGATGATACCACAGTTGTAGAACCTACATCTATCAAAACCTCTATCCCTATCGCATCAGCTGCCCCAGTGAAAGAGGCTCAGGAGATGCCCCCGGCCGAGCTGGAACGCCCCGTAACTCGGAGCGGCCGTCGACCATCAACATCAAAAGGCCAGCCAACATTTACTCCACCGAATGGTTTGAGATCGACCCGCCACCGATCCGCAACCGCGGGACCAACAGAGGCCGCAACCCGCGAATCAATTCGCCGCAAGAGCATGACGCCGGGCAAGGCTATCACAGTAGACGCTAGTGCACTAGCACCGGCCACCACAGCGGCAGGGCGACGGAGTAGGCGTCCCGCACCGGGCCCAGTGACGGCAGGCCAAGATGGCGGGTCTGCTGTTAGTGTTGGCCGACGCAAGGCTAAGCCGACCAAAAAGAGAAAGGACCTGAACGGGAGAGATGGCAATTCTCAAACGCGGGATGACTATCGAATCGATGAAGACGGGGTTATGGAGGAAATTGACCCGAACGAGCCGAGATACTGCCTTTGTGGGGATGTAAGCTTTGGGACAATGATTTGCTGTGAAGACAATGATGTGAGTATTTTTATATTTTTCACCCATGTAATTTCTATATAGGATGAGGATGGTGGTGGTGACGATGGTTTTCTACTTTCGTCAACCAATTGTTCACAATGTTGAAAGCCCGAGACTAACTACGCCCTATAGTGTGATAAAGAATGGTTCCATATTGAGTGTGTTGGGTTGACGGAGGTCCCAAGCCGCACCGCCAAATGGTACTGTCCAGACTGCAGGAAGAAGCTTGGCAGGCTAGTTGCGGATGGAATTGTTCGGTCAGGCAGCCGCCGCTGATAGCCCTGCAGCTTTTGCATTGGCCCATGCCGGTCCGGAGGTCCGGAACTTGCCTTTGATTTCATTTCAGAGTGCGGATGGATCGAAATTCTCATGGTATCGCTACTTTGCCTCTTGACTTTACCCGGAAATTAGCGGGGTTTGCTTCCATTTGACTGTGTGACTTTCTGATTGCTACTCTACTTACTACAACGTGCGTCTTTTTTGCTAGCATCGTGGCGGGAGACTTGGTTCGGGATACCAAACAGTATGGAGTCTCGGCCCTGTAGCTTACCATCGGCGCATCTGGGGGTTGGGGCTCGGGTTTAGAACTTAGGCGGCGAGGCGAATCCAAGATTTCTAACTAATAAAAGTCCGAAAGTCAGGTTTGAGTTCCACCAACGAGCCTGAAGCAACTCTCTTCAACGCCTCTTCGATGATGCTGCTGAGAATACATGACGTAACAACGCACAAACAACGCAGCGGCGAAACCGTAGAGAGAAGCGGCGAGAAGGCTACTTAAACCCCGGCTGCCCGCTGCTCAGACTTGATTTCTTCCCCTCATCACAACTTCAATCGAGATACTACCACATACTTCTCAAACTTCCAATCTTCTCAAGCAATACCGCTTTTACCAAGCCTTGTCTATCAAAATGGGTTGCGGATGTGGATCTGACTGCTCGTGCAACGGCCCCAGCGGCTGCACCTGCGCTACGCAGAGCTGCGACTGCAAGACTTGCGGCGTCCGTCCCTCTCCAGGCTCATAAGCTAACGCGGGTAGGCTAACCTATTTACGCAGAAATAATTTACCTGATTCCGTCCGTCCAGAATCGCCAAGCTATGCCGCCGTTCGCAGTCTGGGAGGAGAGGAGAGTCGGATGACAGCTGGTCAAATCTTTTGTTGACCAAATATTGGGAATGATTTGAACGAGCCTATTGCACCAAGGCTTGGAGCCTGAATATGTATACTTGATGTATCCACACTCGCTGGCAGGAGGCCTATGTAGGCCGTCGCCAAACGGTGCTACCCTGCCTTATATAGCCACTGCAGAAATTTTTTTTTTGGATCTGCATCATGCTGCACTCCTCGTGCGTAGTCCATCTTTCGTAAGATCTCAAATGCCGGAACACAGCCTGGCGACGTTAGCCTCGGCATCGAAAAAAGCGACCAGAACAAACAGAGCAATGTCGGGCCGCCCGCCATAGCCACACTTCGATAACCATGGCAACATCCACCACCAGTCTACTCGACATCTCTGGCGTAGTTATGCCACCCGTTGATATAGAAGTAGCCCCCCTGTCAAGGAGAGCTACTAAACAAAGTTGCGGGAAACGGATGTTGAATAATATTGTGCTCATGCAGGAACGCATCTAGAAGAGTGGGGCCCGGTCTTTCAAAGTCGTTATTTATTGATGCCACAGCTCCTTTCAGCATGCAGCTTCTATCATTTATGTGCAGATGCTGGAAAACAGGATTGTGCGCGGCGTCAGTTTCTGCTCAGTTGTTGAAGGCCCGAATATCCGCCCCTCCGATTCAGGGTTTTTACCTATTGTTTGTAGGTGGCCCTAGCTCAACCACGTGCTAATCAAAAATTATTAGTCAGCTATTGGCTAACCTACTTTAGTTTCTTAAACTTTGCACCGTTTGCATCACCAAGGATGGTTCCACGCAAAACATACCTATATCTTTGGAAAAGTCTCTACAACTGATATTACTACCGAGCCGATTTTTTGGCTCGGCCGACCTCCCACTACTGCTTTGAATAGAGCATTAATACCACCCAGGCCTGCTCCTGGACTAGAGATTTCATCAACTCTTATTTGCTACTGGAATGGCTTCCAGGGTGTACCTTCCCTGCCGCCCTTGGAATGGCTGCTAATGCCTAGCAGAGAACCCGTTTTGTTATACCAGTCCTTCAGGAAATCTATTATACAGATGTGCCGTACTTGCTTGTCAACTACCATTTGGCTTTCTGTCTTTATCTCTTTTTAGCAGGCATAGTCATAGAGTAGCATATTGTGTCTTGGGCCAACATAGCCCATCAAGGCACTATGTTCAACGCACTCTAGATATTTACATGAAATTTGATATAAAACTTTTAAAAGACCTTCCAGTGAGACCAACAAGAATCAATTTTACATTTTATGTCTTATTTCCAAAATCTGTTTCCCCTCTTGCCAACACAATGTCACCCTTTTTACTTTTACTGCCCGATTATTCACTCTACTGCCGTGACTTGAGGAAAATTCTCCAGTGTATAGTCAGTAATTCTGGATAGATGGAGGTTGGGAGTATTTCATACCAGATATTTTAAGCCACTCCCACTGAAATTTCTAAACTAAGAACCCCCAAGTCCTTATATTCCTTAAAACCTGAATGCATTCGCGGTGTTCAAAGAAGCCTTCTTCAGGTCATTAATTGGTATAAAAATTGTTACCCAGAGACAGTATCAGGGACGCTGGATGGTTTCAAAGCCCAGTCTCGGTTATTTGGGCCATCAATGGTATACATAAGAAGGGAGACACTGTGCCGTGAATTGGTGGAGCATTGTAGGCGAGGTAAGAAATAATCCAATAGAGGCACAAAGCTTGTAGTGTATATGTACACCTGCATATGGAGTATGGGCTCCTGTTTGCGCAAAACACCAGAGAATCATTTCTTATGGAGTCCCACCATCACCTACAAACATCAAAACCAGTATCATAAGACCATCACTCTTACAAAATATCAAAAACAAAAAAGAAGAGGTCTTAGATCTGAAAGAAGAAAAGCCGACTTAATAAAGCCATTCATGCAAGTTGTGGTGTGTTTGCTAGCCTTATCCCATAGAAATAATACCTGAGACCAAAGGACAGAAATTTTTTATCAAAGGCATACATGCATCTGGAGTTGTCCTTTCCGTTTTCCCCCTTATGTGGATACACAAGGTTAGTCAACAACAGTCCTTTTATTCTTATTTGGAAAAAAGGCGAAACAGAAAGGCGTGGCTCAAGCAAGACAAGAAAGAAAGGGGTAACACCAACAGAATAGCCATGTACATGAAACCAAAGACCTAACTCCTACAAAAAATGATTAGCATAAAAGGGCAAGTTGTAGAACCGTTAGCAAAATGCCACTCAAGATTATGATTATGTTCTGCAGACAGATGGGTGATTAGTTGAGTCCTTCTGTGAACCGGCTGGCACGGCTGCTATCTGCATGAGGGTAGCTTCTCCCGAGCGCGTCGTCTGAGCGAGGTCGCACGGGAGAACGTGGAGGAGGAGGGTTGGATAAATGGGGCATGACGCTGGTCCTGGCATCCGGGTGCAAGCCTGTTCCGGAGAGGGCACTCTCAGTAGTGATCGCTCGAGCTGGTGACGGACGAAACAAGATTTCTTCGGAGGTATCGCTTTGCTGAGACACGGGGCGGCCGAGAGGGGGGGATGGGATGACACGAGATTGGCCGATTTCTTTCTCGGGCTGTTGAATACGCGGAATCGAAGGGCCAGCGGCAGTCTCCTTTGCAAGACTACCGGATTCATAAGCTTTATCGCTGGCACCAAATTCGTTGTCATAGCCGTCGCCACCAGTCTCCAAAACAGATTTAAGCTTTCTCCCTCCAAGCTTTTCGAATCCACGCTGAGCGGGTGCGATTTCTTCCTGACGAATTGCTTGCCCAGAGTTCCTCCAACGGCTGAGAGCGCGTGCAGGAGCAAAGAAGTTTGCGGCGAGGAAACTTGAACGCGGGCTCATATCGTTGTTACCACCAGACACGGCCGGTGCTGAACTCTGCGGGGCCTCTGAGAGTGCACGTGTCTGCGAAGATTTTCGCTTTCGAAAATGGATTGCGAGCAAAAGGATCAGTAGGATTAAAACAACGCCAGAAACCGAACCAACAGCAGCTCCAATTATCTGCGGTTTGGAAATGCCTGCTTCCCCAGCATCTCGGCTCGGACCATTGAGTGGGGCGGTGGGTAGGGATTCAGCTTGGTCAGTTGGTGCACGCCCATCACCACCAATGTTGACCTCGGTCGAAGTCTCTGAAGAAGTTGAAGAGGATAGCTTCGAGGATGACGTGGTGGTCGACCTCGTAGTGCTATTCGAAAAAGAGGAGATGGTCGTTAAATTAGACGAGAATTCCGAAAAGCTTGGAGAAGTCTCGTGTGTCAGCAAAGACAAGATGCTAGATGTAAACTTCGCGGATGAAGATGTCAAGGTTGAACTAGCAGGGATTGATGATGATGATGGAAGAACAGATGAAGTTGAGGTAGATGGCGGGGCCTGGGAAATATTAGATGACAGCTTATGCACTGAGGAATTGAGACTTACAGGAAGGGGTTGTGGAATTGGAATCTTTGTTTCACCTGGCCAAGGAGTGCCAGAGGGAACTGGGGATTGAGACGGAGCTTGCTGGGTTTGTGAAACGCTAGCTGGATGGGTAGGAGACGCGCCACTTGATTTTGGGAGAGAGGGGACAATGATTGGTGACTTTGCATCTGCTGGTATGGTGATAACACCTAGCAGAGAGTTTGAAACTACTGCCGGAAGAGTTGCAACAGTAAACCTCCCAACAATGGAACCATTGGTGAGCACAACATGCACAATGGTCTTCACAACAACAGCTGTTGATGAGGAAGGTTCTGCCTGCCGAGCAACAATCACACCTTTATAGTGCGCGCGTAACAGATGCCCGGCAGCCTGGATGGTGGGTGGTGGGGCATGTTCCCTCTCGGCATCCCGGGGTGCAGCATATCTGCCTCTTCCAGCATTGTTGTTCTGGTCTTTCGCCTGTAGTTCCCTTAACAATGCTCTGGCTCTACCTCCATGATGACCCATGGTGAAGGTGAGTTGTTTTTTAAATGCTTGAGAGGGATGCTCTTAGCAGTGCATAGGGCTTTTATCAGAAACAAAGGCTAAATGCAGATAATAAAAAGGCAAGAATAGACAAGAATAAACAGAGAAAACAGCTGAACTAGTAGAATCTAAGCAAGGCTTTTGGGCTGAATACCACAGTGTCGTAAGACAAAACAGAGCAGAAAAACAATTGGGCGTGAGGTTGGGAAGGAGTGGAAAGGCACGAAACGATATTTGGTGCCGTTGTGTAGGAAAAAAAAATTTTGGGCACGCTCAAACGCGTAGAGCCGATGTAATTATGGTTGTTATTGGCAACGAGTGGAAAACGTATGACGCGCGAACGTTCGGTCGCTGGAGGGGTAAATAAACGAGTGAGATGAGAGATTGTGGTGTCGAACTGTGCGACTAAAGAGTTGAAAGAATGGACGTCAATCCTCGGACGATAGGGGACGACGAGTTGTGGGGTCTATCAAAAACACCAACGGCGCTATTAGCACATTTTCAAGCAGCGTCTTTAAACAGCCTGGCTTTGGGAAGTAAATGTACCAAGCTCTCACGGAGTCCGATCAAGTCATTCCGACAGCAGGACGGCTTAACGTAGCGAATTGAGGCTTTTCAATTGATGCTGGCCTAGAGGAATGGGGCCAGAAGGAAAGCAAAGAATCTGGATGGGCAGAGAGAAAGAATCTCACGGCCTGTTCAACAGCTCTATTGAACCAGCACCAAGCCCACCGGCTCCGACCAGTTCCCTTGTTCTTCTTCCCTTTTCACTCTCCTCCCGCGGTCTTGCAACAACGCGCTCTCCCTCCCTCACCCGCTCTCTACTTCCGTTCGGTGTCGTGGAAAGTAAACGCGATTCGTCGCAGCCTCATTCTTCGTGTCGTGCGGAGGCAGGCCTCAGAGCAGATCGCGGCGACGGCCTTTTTCGACGTGCCTGGCGCAAACACAAGCCAGGCCCATTTGCAGCCAGCATAGGAGAACGGAGCGGGAGAGCAGCGGATGGAGTGTGGTCGGCCGCCTGTCGTCCGCTTGACGTTGCACGGGACCACGGGGCCCGGCTGCAGGAAACGCCAAGCCCTGTAATAAAACACGATCCGGCCACTCATTGGCGCCGGCGGCGCCCGCCCGGCCCCATTGGTCTGCCGTACCTGCAGCTTGTGGTTTTGCCCATACCATTCACATGACGCCAAGAGTATGCTTTGGGGTTAGCGCGACGGGCTACACACCTTCGCATCCTTCTGTTGCACTGTGGTTCTTTGCATTCTGGAGTGATCCTGCTTGATCTTTCGCTTGTGCACGGAGCATAGGCAGATATAATTAAAGATAGGCCCAGTGCAAAGAAATGTGCTGTGTCGCAGGTGTATTTAGCTACTTCATACGGGTAGACAATCAAATCGTGCCGTACAGCATTTGGTGACGTGGACTGTCAAGCTCACTAGTATTAACGCATAATATTTTTCTTGTGTGCGGGAATAACTAATTACTCAATCCGATTGCAGATACCATTCGGATTTCTAATAATGTTGATATGCAATCACCGACTCTCAAGGCCTGGAGTTTCGTCTTAGCTCGTTTCGTTGAGCCCCATACTACTGATTCTCTTAGTGATCCCTCTGGATTGCAGCACCCCTGGCTTGAAAATATATTGCCGAATCCAGATGGAATAGAGGCTAAGCATAGAAATTTAGGTACTCAATGAATCGTGTCGCCCATACTAAGCTAATTAGATGAAGTCAAACGGCTGGCGGTTGACTCTTCGAGAGGGAAGCCATGCATTATCACCAGCAAATGTAATCTTAAGTTTCCCCAAAATCAAACGCACTGCATAGCACATCCTGATTTGCCAGCAACGAAATCCATCGGGTGAGAGGAGACTTCTACGGAGTACTCCGTACTACTTCCCGGCGTATGGGTCGTAAGAAAAAGAGACATAACACCATACAGCCTGTAGCCCTTATTTCTTTTACAGCAGGTCGTAAGCGTCTGTGATCGGGCCGCGGACGGACGCGTGTCATTGGCTGGGGCGCGTCAGCCGGTTCATCTCGCGTGAGCCAAACAGCTGCGGCGAGGACCGTTCCAGGGATCCATGGAAAACCAGATCCTGGAAGTCATATCTGAGTGGCCGTGCACACGCTAGCAAGGGCGTTGAGATCTACACGCTAAGTTCGCTTGGTCCACTTAACAGATGAATCCACTCAAGAATAACGGCTCCATTGATGCCTTTCCAAATGACAGCCACGTTATCTAGGGCCTCAGAGACTGAAAAGGCGCTGTACTGGACGCTGTGATGAAATAAAATAACAAAGACAAATGGTATGAGGAACAGCCTGAGGCAAACTACCCTGGTAGAACCCGCTAGCTACCTCAGTGACAATAAACAAGTAGAGCATGCAATGGTATTTCGCGAAAGGGTCATCAAAAAGCGGCCAAATCATAATGTTCACAAGCAATGGCGGCGCTAGTTTTCTCGTTTTTTCTCGTTTTAAAATGTCTCCAACTCGTCAGCAGCGGCCTCATTCTCGGCCGGAATTTCGAATCCCTCCTAAAAAAAAACCAAATCCGTTAGCATTTTCAGAATAACATCGCGTATATCTCCAGACAATAAGAATCGCGGTTCGAACATCACCGTGTGCACTAACCTCTGTCGAATACAGAATGGCCTGAATGTGCTTGATGAGAGAATCTTCCTCCTTCTCAAGGTCGGGATCCGCCTCCACAGCCTGCTGTAGCAAAACCTCGATGTCCCGAAGTTTGGCAAAGTAGAAGTCACGCTCTTTTTCCAAGCCAGCGATCGCTTCTTTTTGGGCATTGATCTCTTGAGTCAGCGCTGCGGTGTTTGCTGAGCCGCCGCCGCCAACTCTGGGCCGTGCAGCACCCACGGTAGGAGTAGTGCCGCGACGGCCACCGGCAGCGGACGATGTTCCAGGTCTTGATGAAGAGGCTAAAGCAAGAGGCGCTCCAGAGCCCTTTCGTCGGCCCACGGCATCATACTCCCCTCCTGGGTAGTTCTGGTCCCAAAATCGCTTGGTAAACTGGAGGAAGTCGAGGTTATCCTGCATACGGCATTTGATGAGCATTTCAACGGGGACGGGGCGATCTATCTGATGGCGTGCGAAGATGTCTAAAGGGCGGTTAGCAAAACGTAACTACCCATTCCAGTAGGTGGCCAGGCGTACTCTGCAGGACTTTGAAATTTTGGATATAGGCATATTCGGTGTTGACATTAAACTTGACTCGTGACATTGGTACATCCACTAGGCCAAACTGTCAGACACAACCTGAAGCACTTTGGTAATTTATCCCAGGAACATCAGTACTCACAAAATATTGAGTCGTAAATTTGGCAGTACGCAGCCCTGTCCCAAGTCCCAATTTCTCAGTCAGCAGTGCATCTCAGAACGGCAAGCTTCAAACTCCCAATTTTGTAATGAATATAGAAGTAATCTCAAGTCATCACGGCAACAATGATGGTGAAGTTCTCTCAAATTTCACTCGATATGCGATTAAGGGGTGGAAACGAAGAACGTAAGGGGGCCGCGATCGTACCCAGTACCACATTGCTCGACCTTGGTGATATTGAGTTGGAGGAGATTGTTCAGCCATGCCAGTAGCTCTTGTCTGCATGGAACAGTTAGACGTTAGCCGTCGTGGGTTACCAGGAGATCGTTTGCGAAGGAAACGGAGCGAGGGAGCAGCAAATCAAACGTGGCGGCTGCAAGCGTTGCAGGGGAGGACGTACCTGGATTCACCCATGATGGAACGATTCTAGAAGTTACAGCTACAAGAATGGCATCAGTACTTGGTTCATATTCTAGTGTAGAGGGGGCTGCCCTGAAAGATTTATACACACCACGGAGAGATGGCGGGGTTCGAAGAGGGTGCTGGAGCGAAGGCGCAATGGTAGAGAGCTTCCCAAAATGAAAGGGCCAGCTTCTTTCTTGGCCGGGATCAAAGGTTATGGGAGCAAAAGTGATGGAGGGGGATGGTGTTGCAGTTGTTGTCTGGAGGGACACACTGCGAGCGAACTATGGAAGGGTTGTTTTTGTTTTGCTTGGAAGGCTGTGAAGTTTCTCGGCCGCCCAAGCAAACCCAACGCGAGTTGTGTTCTGTTCTGCGAAGTCGGCGCTTGTCGCCTGGAGACTAACGGCATGACTTTGATGGTGCTGATCCCATACAGCTGAGCACACGAGCGGACTCTCTCTTCTCCTCAGCCCATCTCCACGCGCATGGGCCTGCTCTTCTGCCGCTCCCAAGCTACATACGCCTAGAATCCCAGGATCCGGTGCCTATCGCTACCTGGACGTCCTCCTGCAGCCGGAACGAGCCTCATCTCCCATGCCCTTTAATTACGCCTTTACCCAAGCAAGGGTTTCTCTTCTTCTCTCACCTCATAACACGCAGTGAAATAGGAAGAACTAGCAGTCATCGTGAGCCTCACACGGCGCAGTGACAGGATGCCTATTATTAACTGGCTTGCTCGCTACAGGCATGGACTACCTCAAGAATAACTCTCACACCCTTCATTATGCCCGTATCCTAAGATTGATCGGCAAGTATCCGGGCAGAATATTCTTCGGCTCGGTACGGAGTATCTCTTCATCGTTCTAAGGGCCCGGTCACACAGATACGGACAAGAAAAGGCCCAGCAAAAGAGCTATACGAAGAGCATCAGTGTACCATGAATAACTAACTATATCGCTGTTACGAGATTCAGCTGACACCATGAACCTGTCGATACATTGTGTGCCTTCAAAGGTACCTCTCTCTTCCCTTTATGAAGGCTGTGCTTCGGAGAACGCTCAGACCAGGCGTTCGTCGACGCAATTGTTACTAAATCCCTCTCACTTTGGCTTTTATTTTGCTCCCTTATCAATACAGCTGATATTCTCTCTGCTGGGGGCGCTGAAGATGTCATCCCTGATTCTTACATTGCTGTGATGGGGTATGACTTCCCTACCGTAGCCTTATATCGCCATTACATACAACTCCCTAATGCCGACTTTTTCGATTTTGGTGGGCTTAAAGGTTTTGGTGGTATGTTTGATCAGTCAACGATCATCAGCATTTCAAATGATCCAACGGTATGCCGTTATTATACACTTGCCTTGGCTATACATTAACACAACTACTCTGTAGGTGAAATATATTGAACGCGATAAAAGTTGTTCATGCAAGGGGGTGAGTTGAAGAAAGAATTGTCGGATGGAACCTCGCTCGCATCTCCCACAAAGCCCCTGATGCCACAAATTACATCTACGATGAGTCCGCTGGAGAAGATATCACACTGGTTGATACTAGAGTCGACGTAAACAACCTGCAGTTTAGTGGCCGTGCTATCTGGGGTGCCAACTTTGTGGATGCCGTTAATACGGATAACAATAGTCATGGTATTCTCCTTGCATCTCTCACTGCTAGTATAAAATATGGAGTTGTGAAGAAGGCAAAGATTGCCAGTGTCAAGATTCTCGATGCAAAAGGAATAGGAACGGTTAGTAAACTCGTTTCCGGAATTGACTGGTGTCTTCAAAACGCTACAGATAGGCATGCTGTTAAGCAAACCGTCGTCCACCTATGGCTCAGTGGAAGTTTTTCGCGAGCCGCCAATGATGTTGCAGAGAAAGCGGTGCAGTCTGGTATTTTTGCATCAGCTGCTGTTGATGGTTTAAATATGAGAGCTATCCCGCATCTCTTTTACTAGAGTACCTGACCATATCATTAGCATAATGCGAGGAATAACCCCCCAGCTTCAGCTAGAGGCGTATGTACCATTGCTGCAGGTACCATAAACGACGAAGTGGCCTATTTCTCGAACTGGGGCTCAATGGGCAAATTCTATCCCTTTCTTTTATGCAGAGGAAAAGCTGTACAAGCACAACATACTTCGGTACCTCTCTCGCAGCAGGACACGCTTCGGGAGTCGGTGCGTATCTGCTTCGCCTCGAGAATTTGACTGGCGACAAGGTCTGCGGCCGAATCAAGGGGATTGAGACTCCGGTGGTGTAGAACCCGCCCTCGAAAAAGACACGACTTCTGCTATACAATGGTAATGGACAGTGAGTTAAGACAATGTAAGGGCTTTAATTACGGGAAGATATTTGCAAATATAACGACATAAAAGCTAACAATAAACATTCATTATGAAAATAGGAGCAAAAAAGGTCTAGATGCGAATTACAATATGTACTGTATCAAAAAAAAAAAAAAAAAAAGAAAAGAAAGAAAAGATAAGCATGTTGCATAACCCTCCCGACCCCATACCATTATTTTTACCAGTATCCAGTCCGCCCACTAGTTAGCCAAAAAAAGAGAGACAAAGAAAGAAAAGAAAAGAAAGATTATAAGAATAAAAAAAAAAATAAAAATAAGAATGGTAACATCACAGACACACACATCAAGATCAACAAAAAATGCCCACCAACAAACAACTAACACCCGATTTATATAAAGACATCCAAGAAAAACTCAATGCAAAGCACTCATTCTCAAAGAAAACGATACTAGACCCCGAAATGCTAGACAATGCAAGATATAAAACCCAATATTATAGAGAATGTAATGTTCAAGAATTTAAAACAAAGAAGCGAAATTAAAATGCCAAAAAAATAATATGGCAACAGAAGCAATTAGTATCATAAAAGAATATCAACCAAATGGAATATTTGTCATTCTTCCAGGAGATCGATCCCATCAAGCCCATACCCAAAATCCATAATGACAGCGCGAGAATCTTGGCTAGTCGCCACGATCCGTCGATAGTCTGATTTTGCACTCAGCATCCAACTTGTGGTCCAGCCAGGAAGATCGATTGAGAGATCGCCAGATTTCCCATCAAATACTTTCACGCTCATATCGTAGCTGCCGCTGATAACCCGGCCATTTTCATTATCCATGTGTAACGATCGGACAAGATTGGTATGGCCCTTGAGTTCGTTGACAAGCTCGCCTGTGTTAGCGTCGAACTGGTAGATAACCTGGTCATTACCGCCTGCGAGGATGGTACGTGCGTCTTCGCTGAACTCGACGCAGGCGAGACCTCGATCGCGGCTGGTGAATTCTTTGATGCAGAGGCCGGATGTAATGTTCCAGAGTTTGGCGATCCCGTCGCCACTGGCAGAAACGATGAGGTCTCCACGAAGCTGAACGGCGTTGACGGGGCCGCGGTGGCCAATAAGTTTCTTGATAAGCTCCCCCGTGTGTCGGTCCCAGACGCAAATGGTAGTGTCCTTGGAGCAGGAAACGATATATCTGCTATCAAAGCAAACATCAAGAACGCCGGCGCGGTGGCCCTCGAGCCGACGAATTGGTCGGTAGTCATCATTGATATCCCAAATAATGCAGGTAAAGTCGGACGAGCCGGTCACCATAATTTCATCATCAAATTGAAGGCAAAGAATAGAAGCGCGATGGAAATCCTGGGGTTCAGGGTTCTGTTTCATTAATTCGCTGGCAGGTTTGACAGGAGGACAGATGCTAATAAATGGTGTACTGCCAGGAGCGTCGGGCTGGGGAGTGATGGGCAGCGGTCCAATGTGAGGGCTTTCATTGCGGTCATGAATAGCACCAATAACCTTCAAGCAAGGCCACGGATAATGGGCATCCCAAATACGAATAGTTCTATCGCGAGAGCCGGTAATAATTTTATTTCTAAGAAATATTAGTATTTGATTTAAAATGAAGCCGGTTTAAAAGGGAAGACATACTCATCAAATTGAACGCAGTAAACGCTGTCCTTGTGCCCATGTAAATAAATAGCAGCAGCTTTACCCTCCGTCCAGCGACGCTCCAGGGCCAGTCGAACGGCATACATTTTCTTCCAGTCCTGGTTTGGTCGTACTTTTCCCAAACCCGTCGACATAGCCTTGCGGCCGTTGTCGTTAGTAGTGCGAGAGTGTCGCTTATATTGATGACGAAAAACATCTCTCCAAACATGTCGAGAGGAAGCATGTATATACCAAGCCTGAGAAACCAGTTCTGCGTTCTTTAGTGACTCGGCATCGAGGAAAGATAGAATACTGCACATCAATTCTGTTGGTAAGCAAGACACCGGGTCTAGAAAAATGTTAGTTTATGAAGACCTGGTAGTAAACAAAGACCGACCTTTACGAACGACATCCAAATCATCAGAACAGCGTCCAATATCCTGAATGTTGATTTCAATTCCACTCTCCGAGTCTAGTGAAGGTTTGTTGGTGGAACCCAGGCTAGCATTAAAATCGACACTATCTGCATTTGACGAAACACGCTCCAACTTGATCAACTCGTTTTGCGTAGCGGCAGCAGCACGGGCTGCTTCTCCCCCCAGTATTTCTTCGGAGAATATAGGGAGTTCTGGGCTCCTTGGAGAGATTGGCAGCGGAGTGTTGGGAGGATTGGACGGCGATCGGTGTAAAGTATAGAAACTGCTGAATGACTTTCTATGCATAGAATGATTGCGGAATACTCCATTTCCTTTAATGCGATCGTCTCCCTGACCTCCTACCAGTGGGACTTCCAGCGTATGCCTGTGCGATTTGTGGCGAATAGTAAAGGAAAAACGTCGAACCGCGGCTCGTAATTCACCAACTCCATATCGAATACAAGAAATGCTCTTGCTTTGACGATGTGTGCCACCGTTCGGACTGAATGAGTCGAGCATATCTCTCTCCACTGCTGCGGCTCCGTAACGGCAATCGGGCGCTACTGGTTCGTGAATAACGTGCCTGGACGGTGCTTTATAGTTCCCATCTCCACCCGAAGCCCACAAAGGAGCATTAAAATGGTGAGGTCGTAGATTTGGGCTTTGATCATCTGCGGAGGTTCTTGGGCGCGTTCTCGACATGAAAGACGCTCGTCGTCGAACGGACTGCGGGTTGTTTGCAACGTTGAGAGACATGGAAACGAAGTAGACGGAGACGAAAAAGTAAAGCGTAGTCTAATATTATTCTTCAAGAGAAAGAGAACAGTAGCAGGGCTGAGTCCCGTATGGCGGCGTTGACGCGACCTGGCTGGTGTTGGGGCGCAAGGCGCTCCTTGTAATCGATACTCGGTTCCTCGGCCACCCGGACGCCAATATGCAGACAAAAAACAAAGAGGAAAAGAAGAATAAGGAGAAATAATAGCGAGTGTGCAAAAATGCCAAAAAAGTCAAGCGAGCGCAGAAGCTGACAGGCAAAAGTGGCAGAAGGGCAGGTCAGACAGTCAGGAGGGAGTATCACAGGCGTAAAAACAATTTCGTTCGTTTCTGCTGGCGCTGCAGAAGCTGTCTCCACTAGGCTGGATTCGGTATGGCGCACGAAGGGTTTGCATGCACTAGGCCGGGAGCGGAAAAGCGCGGTTTGCCCCCCTGGAAAAGGGGAAACACGGGGCTATTGAGGGGGGTATGAGAGGAATCAGTGTGCTTTCCGAGAGATTGAGGGGAATCAAAAATTGAGAGTGCTGATGGTGCTTCGAGCCATGATGGGCGGCGGGCACCTGCCTTATGTACTGATAGCTATGACTCACACTATACTCTCAGAAATGTCATGTCAGTCAATCCCGCCACCATACATACTTGCTTCAGATACCCATATCCAACCTGGAATTTTCCCAGGTCAATCAGGAAGTTGTCTTGCATTCCACTCCCAGTATATGTGAGTTTTTCTTTGCAAATGCCCCGTACCCCCCCCTTTCCTAGCCAATTAATATGCACTGAAGGGATCAACTTGGTGGGAGCCAGGTGTATGATTATCGGAAGAGGGATGATACATATTGATGGCACAGTATTCTGGTGCCGATAGGAAGCTTCTATCCTACCAGGAAAGCCTTTCTCTTTTTGGTGTCCCCAAGACATCCACCTGGTGAGAACCAGAAAATTCCGCACCCTACCTGGCCGTCGTGGCTGAAAACATGACCAGCGTCAACCAAGAGAGCTTGGATGTATGCGCATGCATACATACATACATACATACATACATACATACATACATACATACTTAACTATACTAAGGATAAAGCATAAGTTGTCTGCAAAGAAGCGGCATCCGGTGGCGTAGTAGCTTCATCCCACGCTCCACAGCTACGAGCACCCACACAATCACCCTCATAGGGCGGAATAGTACGTCACTGAGGGCTGCAGGGCGCCAGTTCGATCTTTGTCAAGACAGAATAAAAAACACACGTATTCCGCGGCAAGAACATACCATCAAACCACGGGCCATAGGGGACCCCTCATAAAACTGGGATGAGAACCTTTGCTGGATCGTGATCACCTTTTTGCTCTGTTCGCCTTTGCTTTGGGTATCCATGCCGCCGAAGTACAAACATACATGCAATAAGAATTGACAAAAGAATGATAGACATGATGAACAAAAGTTTTCTTTTTCATTACTCCCAGTATATATATTTTACTCGATCGAGATAGACAACAATGAATAAAAAAGTAAAATAACAATGCGTGTTTATATACACCCTAAACCAAAGCTCCTAGTGCGTACGAAACCTCTTTTAGAAAATTTTAAATGCCGTTCCCCTAGGCTCGCCAGTTATGAACTTTAAGACACGCGTCCCGTATCAAGTCAAAGTGCATGCATGGTATCAATAATTCCTCATAAAGTCTAGGGATCGCCGACATTTCTACTAAAAATCCACATCCTCTTTAATAACATACTTTTGTATGTGAGTTTCATCTGTTTGTGAGGAAGTTGAACGCTTCGGTTTGCGGCTTTGATGGTCAGTGGCAATACGATATCATAGTGCTGAAGTACATACCTTGACATCGAGATGGTTGTGGGATTGGAGCGAAAAGAGTAGCGCGACGCACAGTCATTTTCTTCATCTACGGATATATAAACCTGTTGGGCCGCTTTGAATTGCGAACCAATTTCATTGGCGTTAGACCGCCTCCTCTTTGGCGGAATTTCCGATACCCATGTTTCGGTCATTTGCGCCCGCATATTTTGGATTTTGAGGCACTGACTTGGTTCCTTAATAGTGCGTTGTGAATCATCAGAGTTGTCATCGACATCGGCCAGGTTTTCTTCTTCACTAAGAGTCGCGAAATCCATTTCCCGTACGCCCCGGTAAGATAATGTCAGGGCCGTTAATGGAGAGATAGAGGATGATATCGCTCGGTGTACGCCTTTGAAGGTACTTGATGGAAACGCTTTACCAATGTCCGCCTCAGTGTAATTAACCTCAACGTAGCTCATTATCCTTTCTGATCGGTCGAAAAAAGCCGTGCCAATCAATGCGTTGTCCGCTATTACAACATACCGGCTTTGCCCCATAATTCCCTGGAACGTATCGTCTCTAAAATCAGCAATTTTTGGCAATTCAAGAACACCTGATACATTAAGCTTAGAACAAACGGCCTGGAAGCGATTGGTGTCCACGTAGATACCCTCAAAATCAGAGTCCCCTGCTACCTCAACACCTTCGCACAGGGCTGCAAGTTCAAGTGAGTTTTGGGGGTTGAGACCGTGGAGTAAATGAGAAACATTCCACATTCTAGAAGGTGAGTGATAAATAATTTCCATTTTTACTCGAAAGCCCTCAATTCTCATCTCATCCTTCTCCCTTCTCCGCTTTTTAATAGGGTCAACTTTTTCAACATGGAAGTTAAACGGCTTGCCAAGATCTTCAAACAAAGATGTTATTTGTTCCAGAGACAGCAACTCTTTTTCGTATCCTGGAACAATCTTACTCGTCTTCGCGGATGAGATCATCTTTTGTGCATTAAGCGCTTTTTCTGTATTTCGGCAAAAGATAGCCAAAGCAATGCGAACGATCTCGGGCTTCCGATAGTATATTTCGCCGCGATGTTCGATCTCTGCGAGGGAGAAAACTGCATTCAAGTATGCTGAACTAAAGGGGGTATTGACTTCGCCCTTAGTTAGTGGGTCGAATCGGCTAAGGGTTTCTTCCGCGGATAAGTTTTCAACCCGAAGATCCGAGAGCAATTTTGAATAAATTTTATTGGCAATTGGGTCACTGAAAGGCTGCTTTGAGAGAGAGCAGCAACATTGAATTAGCGTTACAGCTTGTTTCACGTCTTCGTAATGCTGTTTTTGGAGATGATATTCATCCAATTGGAATTGAGCAGAAGATATCGCAGTTAACCAAATCTGCGGATTTTCCGGAGAGAGGCTAGATATTCGAATGGTTGTAAGCAAGAGAGGAATGCCCGCAACACCAGAATAATATAGCAGCCTAAGGTCCGTGAGGAGCTCTTGGAGGAGAATATAGGTAGACCTATTACTGAGAGGTTGGTTATGAACCAACTCTGAAAGCGAATCTGTGTCAAAAGGACAAGGCGAAAGAATATACGCTTTGTTCGCAATAACGTGTATGGCTTTTGGGGTGAGTATACTTCGTATGGGAGCTCTGTTCCCAGTAAGCGGCTTGAAATAAAAACTCCAAAGGTAAAGTACTCACTGCACCTGAGTAAGCCGCTTTCGCACAGCTACTTGATATTCAGCCTCAGATTTCGAGGGGAAGAGTTCTGCCACAAGCATTGTGCCCCTGTTCAAGTCCTGTGCGTAAAACAAGCTGCAGTCATCACAAAATGGCCTCTTGAGGATAGAAATCAGCTCCGGATAACCCCTTTTGACCGTTGGAAGACCATCCTCGTGAATAGTTGGAAGCAAATAGCCCTTAGCCTTTGCTTTAGCTGTCCCCTTTTGTGATACTAACCCGGTACTGGAAACCAATGTAGACGTAAAAGTCCAATCAAGATTCAATAATTCCAGTTCGGGAAGATTAGGATCTTGCCATTTCCACTCGCGCAGCCACTCAGAACTATCAAACCAGGTAGGCTTAATGTTAACAACCACATCGGCGCCATGTTTGCTCTGCGCAAAAGCTATTCGATTCAGGCTCTCATATTCAAGAGTAGTACGAGAAGAAGGGTCGTTTCCTATTCTCCTCTCAAGCTGACGGCCATTTACCAGCAACGACTTTGTCTTGGAGAGGTTTTGAATTATCCATGTCCGGTTTCGAAGGTCTGGGAAAACACAAAACAATCTCCGGCTAACGACTTGATTTTGGATAGCAACGTCTGGTGTTATCTTGGAGGTGGGTCGGCCGAATGTATATGCACCGCCGTTTTTCGGTAAGTTGCGTAAGAGAAGAACAGGCTGACATTCTCCGGGTTTCTCTGTTTCTGCCTGGCTTGGGGCGTCCTTCGTTAAGTCACCATCGAGGTTGTGTCCGCGTTTCCAACTTTCAGCAGATGATAAAGTGGGATGCACGGCATCTTTATTTGCCTCGAGAAAAGACAGCTCGCCAGAGCCATAAGTCACTATCAGAGAAACTTTCCTCTTACTACAGGGAGGAAGACGAGGTAGATCGTTCATAGTAAAAATAAAGTATTGTGCAGTTGATTTAAGAACATAATAGAATGCAAATATTGGAGAGGCGAATAGCCTCTATAAGCTTTGTTTTTAAGCGCCGAGATAGGATAAATGCTGGCATGGGGTTTACATGGGGAGCATCCCATTGTCGCCGGTACATGTGCAGCAGCAAATCAGTATTTCGGGCTATATGAAATAATTATCCATATGTAACAGAATATGCTGGGGCTGCATATAGTTTTCGGAAATGATGCCAAGGGGTACCTATTGGCAAGGGCATTCGCTATCTAACGTACACGCCGCCAGGAGATTCCAAACTAGTCTGGCGCCAACGTTGCATTGTGGAGTATATGATTTCGGGTTGGATATAGAATTAGACGCATGGCAACGCAGAGCTAGCCAGAGGGGAGTCGTGGTGGTTGCAGCGATGTAGGTCTATGTTTGGTGATATGATGTGTTAAAATAGCTAGTTTATTCCTAGATGTGCAAACAGAACAAACATCATAAATTGATGCCTTAAATTTAGAGAATAAGCGCCCTGGGCATCCAACTCAACCAATTCCCAAAATTAGATCGTTAGCCTTCCCCCAACAACATATCACGATGACTTCGTCCGCTGCAGAGTCAGGGTCAGATATGAGACATTCTCCAAAAAATGGCTGCTATGATCACACCAGTTAGTCCCATCAGTGCGGAGCCTTCTGAGCAAGAGCTTATCCATTCAGTTGAATGTTTACCTTCTCAACCTGTTAACCGACCGATAAACCACATTTCCGAACTCTCAACACTCGCGACTATTGATGATGAGCATAATTCAGAGGTCGTACTTTTAACTCAAAGGAATTTAGAGCTACTTGCAAAACAGCGTGCCACACCTGACTCGTCGCCCACCCTAGTATCATCAGAGGAGGATGGAAAGGGGAATAGGGTACATACAAAGGTGGATCAAGATTCTACACGGGGCATGCGAAGTGCCTCTCTCTCTCAATCTTCATTTGCAGGGCCGGCAATTTCACCAATCATTGAAGAACCACGCTCAGCTGAAACACTTACAACAACATATACTCCTCACCAATGCGCACTAGGGATTGACTGTTTGCTGGAAATAAACAATTTAAACTATCATCGTATTCTTGCGACCAGCCTAGTCACTAGAGCTAGGCTAGCACGCCTCTCTGTTCGTCCCATTGACCCCGACGATGATTATGATGACATCACAAGTCTTAGGGGACTCTCTAGGCACAGCGCCAAACTACTACAAGAAAAGTATCTGAAAATGCTCAGGCATGTCAACGACCACTTTGAGAGGTTCAATTTGACACACCGCCCAACAACAAGTACAGAAATGCTCAACTTCGTGAATGTAATGAAGGAAATACCATTCCCGGAGTACTGGGAAACGGAAAGACGATATCTCGAGAGCCCGGGCTGCCTTTGGGAGAGACAGAAAGCAGCAGTTTCGATTGAACCTCCGCCTTGTTTTTCTTCTGAAGTTGGCAACCACGAATTACCTGGTCCTAAACCACACAGACGACTAGCAGGCAAAAGGAAGCTGATAGAGGTTTACCCGAAGAACCAAGAACCCCTGCCAAAACGCCGCAAAAGTGGTACGTATATCACCTAACAAAACCCAGTACAGGCTGATAGAGATACCTTCCAGTAACCCCCAACGCACCCCCGGCCCAGTCATCGCCCCCTCAATGCCCTTGTCTCCTTCCAGATTCACAGGGGGATACTCATACTCGTAGGAGTGTTTGCCAACGAAATTCCTTCCGGCCTAAAACAACATTCTCCGTGCCGCTGCCGTTGCGTCGCAGCCAGCGGATTAAGGATATTGAGGCCCGGAAGGTATGTACGATCAAGGATGCGAAACAAAAAACGAGAGCTTCACAGCCGAAGAAGCAACGAAAAAGACCCATCGTGAGCAAACCATCGGGTGTAAAAAAGACTCCGACAAAACCAATGCAAACTTCCTCTCGAAAGGCGCAAAAACCTAGGAGCTGAAACTACGATATGGTCTCCAACTTTTTTCCTTGAGGGCGCGTAACAATAATCAGTAACTCTAGCAAGAAGACGCGAACATAATTTCCTTCTATGGCTCCATGAAGAATTGTACAAACACAATACGTGATTGCATCAGCTAGGCTATACTACATGGTACTGCCGTCGCACTAACATTCTTCTGCTCACTAATGGTAAGACTGCTAAGGGCCCCGTTTTTCTGGTGCATGGTAAAGGCAGTGCCTATTCACATTTAGTAAGCTCTGAACGGGACATCTATTTGTACTGCACTTGCTTGCGTGGGTTTGCAGCAAAGGGCGTCGAAGTCTTCCGGGCTTCGATAGAATCGCGTACTTCGCATCTAGAAGGGATTTTCCTGTCATTAATTCGATGGCATTGTTCCAGTATGTGATGAGACTAAATGACAACCAGTTTCAGAATCAGAAATAACTACTTCCTGTATACCCCATATATAAAACCAGCCAAAGTATTCATATACATATACCCGTCTAAGAATACGATCGAAAAATTACTCAACAAGCAAACCCTCTCATATGTTTGTAGACCTGATTAGCCGCGCAGAGTACTACGTATGTACGAATTACTACATACGTGTCAAGCACTACTACTATATTTGTCTGCAGAATAAAGCACCGTGAAATCAAATCAAACCCAATCAAACACCAGAATTAGCCGTTGCTCACCACTGTCTCAGTGCGTATATTAAGATGGTTCCATCCGTCTCAATGTTGGCATCAGAGGAGAGAAATTCTTCAGAAAATGACTACAACAGGTATACCGCTTGAGTCCACAAGTCCGAAATTCCATGAGCGGGAAATACATTCGATACAATGTTCTCTACAACCCTCTGACCGATTACCAACTGCTACTTTCAGCTCCCAACCACCACCCATCAATGAGGAGTATGCTCGAGAAATAACAACTCTAACCAAGGAAAATCTAGAGCAGCTTGGTGAATTGCCTGCAACGCCAGGCTCATCACTCACTTTATTACCAACCAGGGAGGATACGGGGAAAAGCGCAGATACAGACCAGCTCCAAGCTCTATCCAAGATCAGCAAATTCTCTCTCAGGCTTCCTTCACAGGACCGGATATCTCACCAATCATTGAACAACCACGCTCGGCTGAAACACTTGTGTATGCTCCCCACCAGTGTGCACTAGGGATTGACTATCTGTTGGAAATAGACAATTTAAACTACCATCAAATTCTGGCAACCGCTCTAGTTACCAGAGCGAATTCAATGAATCTCTCTGCTCGGTCCATTGACCCTTATCTGGATTATAAGTGCCTGGTTAGACCCCGGGCACTATCTAAGCGTAGCGCCAGAGTACTACGCTACGAGCATGATGACCGAGCTTGCTATGCTTGCCAACTATCATACCATGTTTGACTTAGGTACTATAGACAAAGAATTTGACCTTGGGGAAATAATGAAGGACATACAATTTGCCGAATTTTGGGAAACGCAAAGGCGCTATCTTGAGAGAGCGCATGCTGCCTTAATGAGAGAAAGCTAGCGTCTGAAATTCTTCGGCCACACGAAATAGCCAAAAGGGGGATAGCACAGGTTGAATCGGAGAATCAAGAAGATACGTCAAAACGCCGCAAAATCGGTAGGTTTATTAATACCCAACGCAATATATTTTTACATATACCGAAAATAGAAGGTATTCGTCAACGAGTGCTCTGTATCTATGTGATTGATCGAAGCGAATGGGATTACTTTTAGACCGGCGGCTGGCAGAAAGCTAATTTGCATTCCTCCTAGGATAGCTACCTGCTAGTTAGTTAGTTAAGTAAGTGGCCTCGTCTTTTATTTTGTGCCTGGGTTGCTTGCCAGCTGATCCAAAGCAAAATGATAACCGCTGGCTCACAGGGTTGAGAAATTTAGAGGCTTATAGATTTTTCAGGGCCTTGGAATAGGAGGTAGTATGTCTTTAGTATGTAACTACTTTACTATGTGTAATGCAACTCTGTCACATCCTGAACAGTGCTTATCAGCTATTTGTTTTCCTCTCTGAGCTGTCCGGTCTCTTGGGATAAGGTTGTGTGAGGGTAGATATAGTTCTTTTAGAAACAGGATAGCAGCTCTTGCACATTATTTGACGAGGGTATTCTTATATTGTTCAGACTATATCAGTAAAGACAGGTTATTCTGCTTGATCATTATAGAATCCACCACAATTGCAAATCTGTCGACAAAAATACGTTCAATAAGGGAGATGGACATAAAAGCAAACACAATTTAGAGATAAAGCTCAACAGATATTCAAGGTATTTTAGTTTTCAGTAGATAAAAGATGAAAAGCAAACCAAGGAAAATGTAAAGAAAGGAAAGCCGGGCCTTGACATAAAAAAGAGAGTTCAGGTTAGGTATCATTTGAAGGTTATTGGGAGTGTAAGATTGAAGGCACAAGTACTGTGTGCAGATGATATCACAATTGCAATTTCAGAGTCAACGAAGCATAGAGATGAGAGGTGATGAGATTCCATTGTTTGCTGGACAATTGAATTCAAATCAGTATTAGGATTCCATTTTAATTATGTTAGTATATAATATACGCACCATTTCTTTTGCCTTTAGACACTGTGTTATTCTAAACAACGTAGTCTCGGAGCAGGGAGCACTGCATTGACCTAACTTTGAAGGCAACCACCGCGCGCCAACCAAGAATTTTCAGTTGTCCAGAATCCAGCGGTTTGTATATCATTTACAACGTTATCAAGGCCTTTATGCATCAATGCCACAAGACGCTGCTCTGAAAGCCTCTCCTTGATCGTCTGAGCATAATGTTCGATATATCTTCTCTCGGCCTTCAAAAGTATGTGCGCCACGCTTTCAGACAGCCTTTGGAGCCTCCGGAATTCGTTGAAGTCGTCACCCGTATGCGGACGTATTGGGAGACGGGCTGACCTGGCTTGTGCAACAAGTTTAGTGGCTAAAATTCGACTATAATCAAGATTTGAAATTCGGAGGCGGCAAAATATGGCTTGAGAACATCGATGCCTATTAGGTCGGCCTTCCGTGGCGTTTCTTGATAACCGATACCTCTCGGTTGATTCGTCAGGGTGAAAAAGCTCAAAAAGGCTTTGGCCGCAGGGTGAGATGTCCGAATTGTTAAAAGCATGATCTGGCCACTGAATTGTTGTAGGTGTGCCTGAGACTCTATCGTCTGGGTATTGGCTGAGACTATCCAGTTCCTTGGGGTATGTTTTGTTCAAAGTAATAAGGTTCCCCTGAACAAGGGCAGGCACCAACGCAGGTGGGCGGAATGAGCCACCCCTATTAGCCCGCCGGTGTCGTAGGTCACCAGCTGCGTTGTTGTTGTTCTCTGGTGAACCGAACCTAGAATTCGGGTATGAGGAAGGGGCTGGAGCCATGTTGAAACCGACAAACGAATCGTTTGCTACTGGGATAGTTGGTGCTGATCGATCGAGTTGAGGGACGACTTTTTTGTGTCAAAAGATGGTTGTGATTTTGAAGAGAGTTATGAACGGAAGAAGAGTCCTTATATGTCTTTCGAACACTCGATATAGAGGGTCAATGACATTCCCCAAGCGCTGTGAAGTCCAACCAAATCTCTCAAAATGGCATTAAACATCCTGAAGGTGAGACTCCGATAGCAAAGGAATATGATAGCCACACAAAGATCAAGTCTCGATGGCAAACTGTTTCACTTGGTACGTTCGGAAGCCGTAGTTTTTTGTTTAAACCCCGACGAGCGAATGATTCTGCCCGATATAGCGCCCATCTCCTTCAAAAAGAGCTCTTACTCCGTTCGAGAGAAAATTGCCCTTTCTTACGTTGACCTGACAGCATATTGAAGGGGTATGACCGTCAAGAGGTCTCTAGTTGTTCGCGTTTGAATCATTTGGTTGGCTGTGCTCGCGCTGCGGTCTCACTCACTAAGGTAACTAACTAACTAAGACGTGGTCTCCAGCGAGTTCTGAATAGGCTCAGGTTAGACGCCCGGAAGCTGCGAACCCGGCCGCCTTCCCTGTTCCTTTGTTTCTTTTTGGGCTGTCGGCGTTCAAGCGTCGTGGTGGTCGCTTCGTAAGACGAAGTGACAGTAGTTGGCTATGTCCAGAGCATATAGGTCAGCGGTTCTGCAGAATCGAAGTCTTCAACTGTTTGCCACGTTTGCACGCACTATACCTATGCTCTAGCACTGGATTCCCTCAGTATATTGCTATAGGCGGCCAGGTATGTAACGGCTATGGTTTGGGTATGCAGCTCTGCAACTGCGTGCATAGGTGTGGGATGCGCTACAGAGCCCCAGATGCGGGGAATGACACGCTGGCTGTATGTGGGGCCATGTTACGACCATTTGTTTACATGTCTTTGGGACCCATGTATGCAGTAGGTGTTGGCGATAACTCTTCAGATATTATGATTCTTATTTTCTAATTCGCACCACTGTCTAGCTAGGCAGTGGTTGGTTGTTGCGATTCGGGTCCCAACCTTAAAAGCTTGTATTGCTAAACGAGGAAGCCGGGTTTTTGGAAAAGAGCCAAAGTCATAATTGGCACCACTTCTGGGTCCTCCATATGGCGACCGCATTTGCCTCAAAGGACTATCAAGATGCCGTTTTAGAATAATGAATTGCTCGGTTCACCAATATAGAATGTTCTGTTGATTTGCCATGGCTAGGTCGAAACTTTCCAGCGTCTACTGTTTCAATATAGCAGTGCAGCCATTGTCAGGCGGCTACTGTAGTTATATTGTTTTTATAGATGTCATTGGTGCATACGTGAGCTGCTCTCTAGTTTCGTATCACATCCAGTCGCACTTCAAGAATCGATTTGCTATACGGAGTCCTCCGTCCAACCGCCCAATTTTTGGGCAGAGTCAAACTTCGTGTTCGGTTTCCAAGGTTATGGAGCGTAAGATTCAAACTCGAAACGCTGCTTAACAAACATGATCAGCTCTTGAAATAGAAGAAGTGAGCCTTTCAGTGCAGCTCAACAGACAGAAAAATACCTCACTATTAGGGCTGTTTATGAACAGCCATATATGAAACATGGTTAGCCGCCGTGGTTGTGATGGGGCATTGTGATCCGCAGGGATGTTGAAGTGGCAATAAATAATATATTTTTGCTCGATGACTGGCAAGCGAGTTGACAACAAACAACTCAAAGTAACATTTGAATTGAAGCGCCAGTAATTCATACCAAAGAAACTATACTTTTAAGTCCCCGGGATACATTCTGCCAAGATTGTTATCACCGACCCGCGTTACGAAGTTATCAAAATCTACTACATAATCATGCCTACGCTACGGAGTTCTCGGTACAGTTTACACTTTCAACATAACCGCTTCAAAACTTGTTAATGTACTGGCCAACCATACCTCTCAAGTCTCAAAATGTGCAATAATCAATATAACGATTGGTCCAGAATGAACTATTTTCACAGTACCTAAACCGAGTCTTTTGCCAGTATGAGATCGTTCTATTCCCCCATTCAAATTGTCTTGGATTTTATCATTGATACAGTTTAGCATCAGTGCAAAAATATGTGAAAATATTCATAGCCATTATTCATTTCATGTGAGATAGAAATGTCTCCATGGATAGTGGCAAAGTTCAAAAAGATCATTAATTGCTTTCTTCTTCCACTATATTCAGGGCGACAAAAATTACTTTCAGCTCAAGAGTGGCAGATGCGGCGTTAACGCATTGCGTATCAGGGTTGCGCCACTATTCATGCTTAACATATTCCGAGAAATTGCTATTAGCATACAGCAATAATTCCCATCATTCCCAAGAATCCTTAGGATTCTAGCATAATTAGAGCATAAGAAAGAATGCAAATCTTTGAAGATCTAGGACTTGGTTCTAGCTTTGCCCCTAGGTTCGTTCTCTTTATTCAGCGGCCCCCAATTCGCTGCCTACCTAGCATCCAAGGTACACAAGAAATGAGTGGTAAGGACCAGCTATACTCACGGACGCCGCAGCTGAAAATCCGAAGTACCTCGCCTGCTTCGCGGATGAAGATGCGTGGCGTGACATGCTCGGTTTTTTCATCGAGGCGCAGAAATGGTGTCAAAAAAAACATACCAGATTTCGTCACTATTGACCCGCATTGCATGGGGAGTAAGAAATAATGGAGCTGCACCGCCTTCCTCAGCGAAAGCATGTGTACGTATCTATGCACATACATCCCCGGTTGCACAGTAACGCTTCGGGTGATCGATAGCCCGGAGCATCCATGGGTCGGGCCATGCGGCCTCAGTGTTGGGTTTAACAGTGCATGTACTTAGTACCGCTGTTTGGGTTGCCTCAATATCCGCAGCAAGGGGCTGTTTACCTCGGAAAGAACTGAGTGGGCGAAGCAGCAGCCGGATGGCTATGCAAGTCTGAGAAGAGTTCCAGAGTAGCTGAAGCTGGAAACAAATCGAGACAGCGTCACAGCGGGGCCTGGCGGGTTTCGTGGACGATCATCAAGCTGCAAGCGAAATTCTTAGTTAGCTGCTAGCAGGTGTCCCATGAGGGAATGTGCGTTCTTGGCGAAGCATCAGATAAAGGAGCTTCCGAATGCTTCCTCCAACTAGCGCACGCCACACGGCGCGAGACAGGCTGTCGTCAAGGCGATGGTTGTTGGGCTTTCAAACATGTTGGGTTGCAGGAAGCGGCGAGGCTCAGCCCCGCACGTGATCACAAGCCCTGGTATTAGGTAAGCCGCGCCATATTATGACGCCATTGCTAGGCAGAACTGGGACGAAAGGCGCTTACCGCCTGTTGCGGCTGTGGCGCACAGCATCTTCTGGCCAATCACAGGTGGCGCTGACCGAAGTGTGGCTGGGTATGTACTGTGGCTGGTGACCTTAGTCAGCTCGCTTCCCACCGAAGCGGGCAGTGGTGAGACCACAGGCGGAACAGAACTCCCTTCCAACCGTTACATTCTTGCGCTGGAGGATGATGGCCACCGGAGACGAGCTGTTTGCGAGTCTACTTGCCCAGCACTCCCCCGTATCTGTACATTCGCGAATACGGATAATTATTACCTCCCAAAACTACCCCCCTGAATGATCGAGCACTCCCAGGGCCAAGCATTGTTGATTGTTTAAGGAAACCTGCGGCTTTCCGATGCGAATGTCACCAAGACAAGCGGTGTCTGACTCTTTTGCCGGTCAAGCTTTTCGTGACCCCAGGCTGGAACGGGCTCCGATGCGAGGCGGAAAGTCTACCTGGTACCAGTAGTGAGCGGACAGCATTTTCGTGTGGTTCATTTGCAGCGCAACCACCCAAGGAGGCCTCCCCATGCCGCCAAGGAGGGCGGAGTCGAGTACGATTGAAGTTCTCACGCGCCCGGCGGAACTCTGTCTGCGTCCGTCCCGTCCAAATGAGCAGAGAGGAACGTCTTTCAGGCGCTCGTTCCGGTGTCACACAAGGTGCCGTCCGTGTCGTCCGTGTTGACCCGCGACGTCCTTTCCAGCCGGTGGAGATTTTCGTTGCCAATTTTCTTGGACAAAACAAACAAGAGATCCCGGACGGAGGCCTGTGTGTCCTGGCGGCGCGATCGCGATCTTATTAGGTGCATCTTCTTGTAAATAACTCCGGAGCCAAGGCTTTTCCAAGCAGCGATCCAGGCCCCAAACCGCAGGCTGAGGAGTTGAAGAATGCTTGAACGCAGTGACAGCAAATGGCGACTCGCCTGGTCATCGCATCCGACAGCTTGAGGCATTTTCATTCGTGTAGACAAAAGAAAGCAAGCTGTTTGGTTTCTGACCGTGCGCTCAGGATTATTATCGTTCGTCGCTGTGGTCGCGGGTGGAAACTCACGCAGGAGTCTCGCTGATTGGCCCAGCCCTGACGGCCAATCACCGCGCGCGATCGCCAGCCGCCGACAGACGACGCTGGCGATGCTGATGGCGACCGGCTACGTTCACCACCGCGGCTGTGGTGAAGGTGCTGCGGCTCGAGAGCCAGCAGGCGATGCACTGCGCTTCTCAAACGGTCGGACGGGCGCGCCGCCGCCGCGGTGTCTGCTTTTCGTCACAGAAATCTCGGGTCAGGGGTGGCGTTTTGCTAAGGTTGACCCCCGGAAGGGATCCTCTGCACTGCCTCAATCTCAGCGACCTGCCATGGCACCTGAGAACATGATTGCCTCCACCAAGATTCTGGGCGGCGGAGGCACTGCACCTAGGCTGCCTGCACCTCGATGGGTACTTATTATTCCGCATTGGCGGCCCGCGTCGACAGAGTTACCGCTGGCCCATACCACCTTGCTTAACATTGTCGCTGGAATCACGGAATCATAGATTGCAACTCTTCCTTGACCTTCCTCAAAGCTCTTTCTAATATCACTACCGGTCACAGCTCTGCTTGATTGACTGCTTCACTCTTTCGAAAGAGTCATGTTTCGTTGTTTTCGATGATCCTGTCGTTTTCTAAATTTATATCGGTATTCTCCGCGCAAAAATACCCTAATACCGACCTCTCCTCCCTTCACACCCTACCTTGCAGTTTCTCCGCTTAGGACTTTATCAATACTTATAAGTCATGGCCAATACCAACCGACTCCAGGCCCCTCAGATCTTTGTTGACACCACAGTGAGTGTTCTGGCAGTCAGCGGAATCCATGGTACTAACCTGCAAACCACAGCAATCGGGCTCGTCTTCGTCGCTAGCAGATGGCAACCTTTCTCCTGACAGGCCCTTCACGAGCAATGGCAGCTTTCTCACTGCCCGCTCTCCCGTGTCTATGGACGGGGAGACCCTTCGTTCGCGGGCGAACTCCTTCAATTCTAATGTAGAAACGCTGAGATCTCGGTCTAATTCTACCACCCATGGAGATCCAGACCATTTACCATACGACGACGTGCCGCTATCAGAAGCATTGAAGCCCGATCAGCGAAATGAGAAGGACTTCGAAGTCGAAAACAATCCTTTCGCATTCACTCCTGGACACCTCAATAAAATGCTCAACCCGAAGTCACTGGCTGCTTTTCGAGCACTTGGAGGTCCCCAAGGTCTAGAACGTGGTCTTCGAACAGACCTAATTGCCGGATTATCGATCGACGAGGACAAACTACAAGGGACTATCACTTTCGATGATGCCACTAAGCACGATACGAAGAAGGATAATTATGGAGATGCCGGCCCCTCCGATGCAAGCCACTCCGCTGCCTCGACCGGCGACAGCAAGTTTTCCGATCGTATTCGTGTTTTCGAGCAAAATCGCCTTCCAGAAAGAAAGGCCGATGGTTTTTTTGTTTTGTTATGGAGAGCATACAACGATAAGATCATTATCTTACTGACAATTGCCGCGGTCGTTTCTTTGTCTCTTGGAATATATGAGACCTTCAGTGGTGGCTCTAGTGTTGAGTGGATTGAAGGTGTCGCCATCTGCGTTGCTATCTTGATCGTTACAATCGTTACTGCTGCCAACGATTGGCAAAAGGAAAGACAGTTCATGAAGTTAAATCGCCGGGTAAGGATTCTCAAAGATCATAACTGTAATTTTTCTAATTTCAAAACAGAAAAACGACCGCGAAGTCAAAGCACTTCGGTCTGGGAAATCGGTCATGATATCCGTTTTTGATATCACTGTTGGTGATATCTTACATCTAGAGCCTGGAGATGCCATTCCAGCGGACGGAATATTTCTTACCGGGCACGGAGTAAAATGCGACGAATCATCGGCGACCGGGGAATCCGATCAAATGAAGAAGACTGGTGCCCTTGAGGTTTGGCAGCGAATGGAGAATGGCACTGCGACCAAGAAGCTTGACCCATTTATCCTCTCTGGAAGTAAGGTACTCGAGGGTGTTGGGACTTTTCTTGTCACCAGTGTCGGCCCTAATTCTACCTACGGCAAGATCATGATGTCCTTGCAGACGTCTAACGACCCTACACCTCTACAAGTCAAGCTAGGACACCTTGCAAACTGGATTGGCGGCCTGGGTACAGCGTATGTATCAACGGCTCCCCTTTGATTATTGCCTTTTACTGTTCAAAATGCTAACACAAAGCCAGTGCTGCTCTTGTATTGTTTTTCGTTCTCCTAATCCGCTTCCTGGCACACTTGCCTACCAACCCTGGCACACCAGCAGTCAAGGGTAAAGAGTTCATGGAGGTCATGATTGTCGCAATTACTGTGATTGTCGTTGCAATTCCAGGTATGCTCCATCACCATCCAGATTCCACAGCCTATTCTCTAATATTTCTATACAGAGGGTCTCCCTTTGGCAGTTACTCTTGCACTTGCTTTTGCCACAACTCGAATGGTAAAGGAAAACAACCTTGTTCGAATCCTTCGCGCTTGTGAGACCATGGGAAATGCTACTGTAATTTGTTCCGACAAAACCGGTACCTTAACTCAAAACAAAATGACGGTTGTTGCCGCAACTTTGGGCATCAACCATAGCCTCGACGGAACAACTGATCAAGATGGGAGTGGCCCGTCGACCATGTCGAAGAAGCTCGCAGAAGTCTCGTCGTCTGTTAGAGATCTTGTTGTGAAGGCAATCGCTCTAAATTCCACTGCATTTGAAGGCGAGGAAAATGGACAGCGCACGTTTATCGGAAGCAAGACGGAAGTTGCTATGTTACAACTCGCCCATGATCACCTAGGGATGAAGCTTGCTGAAGAGCGGGCGAACTCCGATGTCGTTCAACTAGTCCCATTCGACTCCGCTCGAAAATGCATGGGCGTTGTTCTCCGTCAACACGACGGAACATACCGACTACATGTCAAAGGTGCTGCGGAAATGATGTTGGCAAAAGCTTCCAAAATCATTGCCAACTTGCCTCAAGACACCTTTAGCCAAGATTCATTGCCCGAAGATGCCAAGAACACCGTTCTTGACTTAATCAACTCCTATTCACAGCGATCTCTCCGTACCATCGGAATGGTATATAAGGATTTCGAAGCTTGGCCACCGCATGGTGCAAAAACTATGGAAGATGACAAGGGCATGGCTGACTTTGACGACATTTTCCATAATATGACTTGGATTGGTGCTGTTGGAATTCAAGACCCGTTGCGCCCGGAGGTCCCTGGTGCAATTCAGAAATGCAACACCGCTGGAGTGGCAGTCAAGATGGTTACTGGTATGTCCTGCCTCATTTAACATTTTCTCTTGACCGTTCACTTTGACTGACCCCGAACTGTAGGTGATAACATGACCACTGCCGTTGCTATTGCGAGAGAATGCGGTATCAAAACTGATGATGGAATCGCAATGGAAGGCCCCAAGTTTCGCCAGCTCTCTAATGAAGAGATGGACAATATCTTGCCCAAGCTGCAAGTTCTCGCACGCTCATCTCCTGAAGATAAGCGTATCCTTGTCGCCCGTCTTAAGCATCTTGGAGAAACTGTTGCCGTCACTGGTGACGGCACAAACGACGGCCCAGCACTCAAAACCGCAGATGTTGGCTTTTCCATGGGTATTGCGGGAACAGAGGTTGCCAAAGAGGCCAGCTCCATTATTCTTTTAGATGACAACTTCAAGTCTATTGTGACCGCCATTTGCTGGGGCCGCGCCGTCAACGACGCTGTCGCTCGATTCCTCCAGTTTCAGATCACTGTTAACATCACCGCTGTGTGCTTGACATTCGTTTCCGCTGTTTCTAACACTAACAACAAGAGTGTGCTCAACGCCGTCCAGCTGTTATGGGTCAACCTTATCATGGATACCTTTGCCGCTCTTGCCCTTGCCACCGATGCGCCAACCGAAAAGATATTGGATCGAAAACCATCGCCAAAATCCGCATCGCTCTTTACTATGACAATGTGGAAGATGATTGTCGGGCAGAGCATTTACCAGCTTGCTATCACTTTCACACTCTACTTCGCCGGTGCTAGAATCCTAAACTACGACGTCGTCAACCATCCTGCATTACAAAAGGAGCTGGACACTATCATTTTCAACACCTTTGTTTGGATGCAAATATTCAACGAGTTCAACAATCGGCGACTTGATAACAAATTCAATATCTTTGAGGGCATGTTGAAGAATTACTGGTTCATTGGTATCAATGTGCTCATGGTCGGCGGTCAAGTCATGATTATTTTTGTTGGAGGCATTGCTATCGGTGTCGTACGTCTTGATGGCATCCAATGGGTCATCTGCATTCTCTGTGCAATCTTCTGTCTCCCGTGGGCCATTGTCCTTCGCAGTATCCCCGATCGATATTTCGCAGTTCTTTTCAACGGTACGCTCAGCGCCGTTGCCTTCGTTTGGAAACCGTTCGCAAAGTGCATGTCTGTTATTTTCGCCCCAGTTGGAAAAGTTTTTGCTGCTATGTGGTCCCCAATCCGGCGATTTAGCTCACGCATCAAGTCCAAAGCTGCAAAAAAGAAGGACAAATCGCCGGAGCAGGTGGAGATCCAAAAAGTTGATGTGGAGGCTCCAACGTCAGAGGTGACTGGCGCGAAGCAGAGTCCGGTTCCTCAACATGCCAATTTGCCGCCAATTACTCTGACCGCGCCGAGCTAAAACATTCATGATTTTATGTCTTGATTTTCTTTGATGATTTTTCCGCTATGTATACTTTGATATTTTGTGCCAGATCAATGGCGTTTTCGATATACCCGGGATTTTCGCATTTGATGGCGGAATGGGTTGGATATCTCGGTATTTTTGGATAGGCGTTTGGAAGAGGATTTTATATTATGTAGAAAGGATATAATGATTGATTGTATTTAGTTAACTCTGTACACTATTATGATACCATGACATTCAAATTACATGCTTTGCCTGATGTATTCATGTTGAGGTTGCTGCCTTACATACTTCCTCCGTAGTCTAGGCATGTCCAGCCATGCATTCGTCATTCCAAACAGGGTTTGTTCATTGCGGCTTAACCTCAACCAAGACAGACACGCAGACTCAGAGCCCTCCAACACAGCCTCTTACCAACAATCCTGTCATACTACTTCAAAGATTGACTTTTGCCGAAGCACCAGTCGATCTACTTTACAGAGCACCAATACATACAATCCGCTCTACTCCGTATAGCTGCGCAATTGAACCCCACATCACTCGACCTCACCATGTCCACGATCAACTATCGCACAATCGACGTTGATTCACTCGACCCTGAAGCCTCCGTGAATTTCCCTCTAGAGACACTGCTGCCTTCCAACCTTCCTCCCTCCACGTCCTCCAGCAATGCCGCAAACACCGCCTCACAAACCCGTCAGCTGCTCCGGTCTGGCGACTCCGAGGGCGCGCTGCGCCACGCCCTCGACACAGCTCCTCTAGGAGGCGACGATCGCGCAAAGGAAGTACATCTAGCAACAGTGGTGGAGGTTTTGCAAGGCATCCGCCAGGCGGAGATGGCGAGGGTGTTGGAGGCTGTGTGTAGTGGGGAGGGAGGGGCGGAGAGAGGCGATTGCCTAATGAAATATTTGTAAGGGGCAAGATTCTTTACTTCCTAGGAATGTGAAGTGCTAATATATTTTTGATGGGTTAGGTATAAAGGCATGGCGGCACAGTCTTCGAGCGGCGGAAGCTCTTCACCATCCTTGAGATCGTCTTTGTCGCCGCAGAGCACGGGATTCTCGCAAATACAAACTCGGAACTTTGGTGAAGGTGGTGGTGGACAGCAGATGGCTGTGCTGTTGAATTGGCACGAAAGACTCGTCGAGGCCGTCGGAGTTGGCTCGATTGTTCGTGTGATGTCCGACCGGCGGACGGTTTGAGGACCGGGGTGAAGATTGGACACCCATGGAAAAGCCAGAAAAATATAATCTAAAGGCTTCTACAACCCTTATTTATATGGTGTTAGTACTGACTCACACCATATGCTGAGATGAGAAATGCGGGTTCGATTAAGTTGGCCATATGATAAGAGAAATCACCAACTATGGACATGCTAGGACTTTTCTCGGTATGCAAAATATCTACTAGTTACGATTCAAAGCTTCCTCTTTCCAGTACATCTTTGAGGTTTACTTGTCCACTTCCTCTCTCTAGAGGCTTAGACTGACCCTCTCCTTCTTTCCATCCGATCATGAATATAAATCTAAACGTAGCTGGTATCCCCTGTTGCCCGTCTTCTTTATTGAGAGCTCTATAGATAGCCTCATTGGCTAACAATACATCCCTTGACATCGGAGCAATTTCCCGATGTTTGATCGCATTGTTCTCCCCCATCGCCTGTAAGTCCGACATTAGAGCAAAGGTATGGGGATAGTCAACAATTAAATCTTCCACATCCACTGTCAAGAGCTTAAACCCTGCCTTATTTAGTAATCCTCCAATATCTTTGACATCAGCTAATGGCGACACATGAGGGCTGACGCCCCCTCTTCGTTCAAGATCAGCCAGTTGTAATGACGAGCGTAATTCGAAAAGGGTGTCACCACCCGGCATTGCTGCAATGAACGGGCTATCTGGCTTGAGAATAGAATTCACCTGCGCTAGTACTGAAGGTAGGTCGTTTATCCAGTGCATCGAGAGCGATGACAGAACAGCGTCAAAGGTATTAGGTTCATAGGGAAGATTTTCAAGATTAGGAATAACTTCCCGAGTTATAGATATTTCAGAGTTGAATTGTAGAGACTTGTCACGATATAATAGAGAGGGAGACTCGTCAACGCAAGTCAATTTTGATACGCGGTTCGCTATGGGCTCTGAGGGCGGCGCATCGGGGAGGTCAGGGTTGACATAGGGTATGGTTAAAGCCCTAGCTATATTGCAGCTATTCGCTCCAAGGTCAAGAACATTGTTAAAATTTCTTTTGATATCCTGAGCTAGACGTCAGCGCTTGTTGCGCATATCATAAAGACCTTTCCTACTGACTAGTAGCCGTTCACTTAAGCGCGATGCAATCTCGTCTCTAATATAATCGACTTTCCGGCTGTCTACTGTATTTTGCGCTGCACGCTCCTTTTGTAGCCATTTTATTCTGCGATTGAAGACCTCGAGGGTGGGATTGCCAGGCGCCTGTACGGCATAGCTCCGTGATAGAAATGAACCGCGACGGAGAAGAAATCGACTGGGGATACAGGGGCGGAGAGACATATGGAGTATTAGGGCGTTTTAGACAAGGCTTAATACATTTTGGCTAGCGATTCAGGGCAAAGTGGAAGAAAGAAGGCCAGAATGAAAAGGTTGCGTTGGAAACTAAAAAGATTCGCGACTTGAAGTGACGTCGGTGCATCAACACTCGCAGCCCACGAACTCCAGGACGAAAAATGCTTCAGGGTCGGGTTTGGGGTAAATACGCGATACTATGCACTCTATTACTTCAAGAAATTCACTAACTAGCTACTGGATATTTACAGCAACGAGACAACCCTGCGCGAGATGAACTGTTGAATTCTCCCACACGCCGCGCCCAAGCTCCAGAATGGCGCGCCCGTTCCCGTATACTTTTATCTCCTGCCCTTGCGCAGAGAATCGCCTCTCCGGACAGCCTACAAACAGATTATCCAGAGATCTTTCAAATCTCTCACTTGCGCAGGCAGATGACGAGGACGACGAACCGACCTTCGATCCCCGATCCCCGCAGGCGAACTATTCTCTTTACCCGCCGGAACACCTCTTATACTGCGAGGATTGCCACCAAATAAAGTGCCCACGATGTATTACAGAAGAGATTGTCTGCTGGTATTGTCCCCACTGCTTATTCGAGACGCCGAGCAGTATGGTAAAGAGTGAAGGCAATCGGTAAGCATTACAATACCATTATTATGGCATCTGGCCTCTAACTGTATTTGTAGATGTACTCGCAACTGCTTCAATTGCCCAATATGTACGTCACCTTTGGCAGTAACAACAATTGGAAATGGAGATGGAAATGTGAATGCTCAGAGCGGTCCCTGGATTCTGACTTGCAGCTACTGCATGTGGACGACGCTGGATGTCGGGATTAAGTTTGACAAACCGACGAACATTCGCGCACAGCTATCCTCACTTACTAAAAAGTCCGAACGAAGATTGTCAGTATCTAGACACTCTCTGAAATCGCCGCTGGCTAGCTCTTCTTCCCTACAAGATATACCTGATGAGCCGACTTCTCAAGACGGGCCAAAAGTACATAAGCCGCCCGTAGAAGATGGCAGCACAGCTCTTGATTCTACAGCTCGTTTTGCAGCTTTGAAATCATTCTATCGAAGTCAGCTCGCGGAAACTTCGTCATCACCCACAGACCCGTTGGCCGGATCGGAGCCTGGTTCATATTCATCACCCACCGCGCTGAGTCGCATTATGTCTCTATATACTTCGGGATTAGGTGGTCTGCATGGCGGTGGTGCCAAAAAGGCCAAAGCCAAGCCACCGGTTATGCGTGAAGCCCTGACTTCATCTGAAGGGCTACATATTCCTGCCCCCGGTGTTGAGGACGCCATCGTACAAAAGATGGCAACTGAAGGATGGGAAGGCCTCGCTTCAACGGAGCAGCGTGCATTCCAAGCGCCAGGGACGCGATTTGTGGATGATCTACGGCCTCTCCCCGTATTTCTTCGCACCAAACGCTCCAAGCGTTGTAAGGCGTGCAAACATATCCTCGTCAAGCCAGAGCTCAAACCCCAATCGACACGATTCCGTATTCGTCTCATAGCAATAAGCTATATTCCATTAACGAGTCTTCGGCCTATCGTTCCCCTACCACCTTCACCACCTGTCAACCTAGACGCTCTTGAACCCCTTAAACCGATACAATTACTCCTTACGTTAAAAAATCACATGTTCGATTCGATACGTGTTACCTTAGCCACACCAAGCGTAACGCCTGGCCGTGTGGAATCTAGAGTGACCATCCTTTGTCCTCAATTTGAGGTTGGCGCAAACACAGATGTGTGGGACGAAGCCCTCCAGTCGAGTAGTGCTCCAGACCCACGTTCGTCGAAATCAGGAGTGGAAAAGGTTGCCGAAGCGGGCAAAGTCTGGGACAGAGGACGCAATTGGTCAACCGTGGCTATGGAGGTTGTGCCGGGATCGCTACTAGAGGCATTTGAGAAGGATCGCATGAAAGAAGACGAAGATGTGCTTGAAATTCCTATTTTTGTCAGACTTGAATGGGAGGCAGAAGGCGGCAATGAAGACTTGGGGTTTTCCTCAAAACCTGATAGTAAAAAGGCGGATGTGGAAATGGTGAAAAGGGAGTTGGCATATTGGATGGTACTTGGAGTTGGGAGAATAGTCCCTACTGGCAGTAGCGAAAGTTAAATCTTTTTTGTTGCGGAGATACCCATAGATGTTGCTTCGCGGTCAGGGATGTGTAGACGGCCCATTTGGTGCGTGGTGAAGAGGAGCATTTAAAACTTGCTTTTCAGAAATCCCTTCCTTTGACATTGTACGTTGGACTCATCAACGCATCTCAATACAACAAAGTGATATGCAGACAATACAGGGAGAATAAACGGTCACAGGAGGTGAAAAAAACAGAAGGGTTAAAATATCTCCATATCTAGAACCGTGCTCCAGGTATTGTCATGCTGTTCCAACCTTTTAATTGCCCTCTTATCCCTAAATCTCTACTCAGAGATAAGAAGTCCAACCCCAGTTTCTCGTTCTTCCATTACAGAATAGCAAGCAGAAAACAAACAGAATGGAAACCGTCTAGTATTCCACAGCGCTGCTCTGGGGGAACTCGAATCCGACACCACGACCCGTCAGTCTGCGGTAGACTTCACCATATGCATCGAGACGGTGGTCAACACCACCACGCTCCTTCTCGTGGAGGACGACCTTGAGGACCTTGCTGCCATCTTCCTTTGTTCGGATGCGCTTGCCGACAATCTCGACTGGGTAGACGATATCTGTAAGAATTGCATCGTGGACAGCGGTGAGAGTGCGGGAACGTGGGCGCTTCTGGGTCAACTGGGTGCGGGAGCGGTTGGAGCGCTTGGGACGAGGAAGAATACGGCGAGAGGCAATGATGATAACTTGGCGATCAGAGAATTTCTTCTCAAGTTCCCGAGTGAGTCTAAATTTCAAGGTAATTAATTAGTTTTCTTTGTGTTCGGATTTCCAGTAGAAAAATTGAATCAAAAGTGTTATTATCTTGAACACATACCTCTGCTGGATCTTGTGGAATCCCTGAAGAAGAGGGACTGGAACGAAGATCACGATAGCCTTCTTTCCGTGGCCGACCTCGATCTATACGCCATATGAACAATCAGCTTGTGGTATCGAAATTTAACGATAATTTCCATATAACAATAAATTCGCTTTCCAAATCTGATAATATCCTTCGAGATCGTCCAACATTCTTTCCGACTTCAACAACGGTACTCAATCCCATCTCACGATAGTAACTTCTTCGCCAATCCACTTTGTAAAATAGTATAAAAACAGCACCAGTTGCCTTACCTCACGAGCAGATGCAAACTGCAGCGGGCGGAGAGCAGCCTTCAAATCAGAGGTATTGGCCTCCAAATCGCTGAGAGCACTGGCCAAAGAGGTCTCGAGCTCTGAAGGGTTTTGCCTCGAGGGGCTGTTGGCGGCAATCTTGTTAAGGGCAGCCATGGTTTCGAAGGAACGAGGTCGAGGAAAAGACAGCACAGGCGCTTTGCTGCTGCTTTCCCTATGTCGTTAACAGGTGGCTGGACGGGGTGCGGAAGAGCTGGTCGGTGTTGCAGAGTCAACCGTCGTTTGCGCCGTGCTGGTCGTCGTCGCATCCAAACAGTTTTGTGGTGAACTTTCGCTTCGTGGACCCTCGCTTAGCCGAATCCGACCTTACTATATGTGGCTAGTATACTTAGTAATAAATCTATCTACCTAGTGCTTAAGGTTTTGAGGTGAGGTCTCGTGACCAGTAGCCCCTTTCCACCTGAAAAATATTTCAAGACTACTAAAACGATGTGCTCTGGACGGAGTACTATCTTGAATTCTACAAATATATTAAAATTTCTTACTTCATAGGCTATCAATCAAACTTTGGCATGTCATATGTATCCTCCGGGTCTGGTCAGGTCTACGTTAGCAGAAAGAAATCCAATTCAATAAGCCAGGGAGCATTACCTTGTTGGGTTTCAAGAATATACTGAGACGTTGCGTGGATCTCATGATCTAAAGCAGTCAGAAGCTCTTGCAGTCGTATTCTGACTCTCTCGTTCCGCCCAGCGCCACCCCTGAGGGCGGCTTTAGCAACATGAAATCGTGAAACTCCGTTGACAAGCATCATGTTAAATGGTGTTGTCGTACTTCCTTCTTCCTTATATGAGCCAATGGTCACGCGATGAAGTTTTGGTCTTCCAAATAGCAACCCCTTCAACTCGGTTTCGTAACCATGGTAGTTGAAATGCACCGGTAAGTCGGCCGTGAAAATGGCGTCAAAGGCTTCGTCAGAAAGGGCATGTGGATGTCTACTTGCTACTCCAAGTATCATCAAGTCCGTCACATTAACCATGCGAACACGTAACTCTGGAACACGCTTTCTTAAGATGGCAGCAGCTTGGACAACCTCAAACGTCAGCTCCGTACCTATGCCAACAATCACGACGTCCGGGTCTAGGCCTTCATCTGTACTGGCAAATTTCCATACTGACCCACCAGCTCGACAGTGAGCATCTGCTTCCTCAGCGCTTAGGTAGACAGGGCTTGGTTGTTTAGATCCAATCATGAGATTAATATAATTTTTCGTTCTTAGGCAATGTGCCAGAGTAGAAAGGAATGTATTCGCGTCTGGTGGGAGGTATACTCGGGCGAAATCCGGCTTCAAATTCAATACTGCTCCGATAAATGATGGGTTTTGGTGAGAAAATCCGTTATGCTCCTGGCGAGCCCAAGTGCTGGACTCAATGTAGTTAAGACTATATAGATCTCGATGCCATGTTGTTTCTCTGGCCTAGAAGGAAAGAATATAAGTCAACAGTAGTCTCATGCAGCATTAGATCGGAGCGTCTCACTATTTTATTAAATTTAGCATATTGAACCATCATCGTATGAATAATCCCAAGAAAGCTTTCGTATGAGGGGAAAATTCCAAGTCTCCCAGTCAAAGTATATCCCTGAAGAAAACCTTGGCACATGTGCTCGCTAAGTACTTCTATCACTCGTCCACCGTTAGCGTTTGAAAACTGGTCCCATTGAAAGTTTCTAGTAGTATGGGCAAGAGCTTGGTTCAACTTGTTGCTTTCTAGCTCGTCGGGGGAAAACAGCCGAACACCGTGCGGGTTTTGGACAAATAGCCGATCTATGAGATGGCCAATAGTGCCCATGGAGCTTTGATGCGAGTATTTTTCAACAGAAAATTGTTTCCAGTCAGGTATATTGACCTGTTCTGAGCCTTGATACGTTATTGGTCGCTGTCCCATCCTCATTGAATCGTCCCTTGGGAGAATGAACTTTATTTCATCAATCACATCCCCATCTTCCTTAAACAATTCGCTGGGATGATAAGATGAAAGCCAGTCTTCCAATGCATTTAACTCTTCGTCGTTAGTTTTTGCTGCTGGGAGCGGAACCTGATGCGCATGAAATGAGCCCTCAACAATTTCGCCATGAATCTTCTTCGGTCCCGTCCAGCCCTAGCACTGATGGTCAGTTTTGGATGATATCAAAAGCTAAGAGACTTTACTTTTGGTGTTCGTAAAATTATCATTGGCCATCGCGGCTTAGTGATTGGGTTGCCTGACCGAGCAGCTTTTTGAATCATACGGATACACGCTAAGGCCCAATTCAGGGTGCGATTGAAATCCGCATCAATATTATCTAGGTTATCAACGATGACTGGCTCGTACCCGTACCCGGAGAACAATGCTAGCAGTTCTCGATCATCCATGCATCCAAATATTGTACGCTCACTGATTTTAAAGCCATTGAGGTGAAGAATAGGTATTACGGCGCCAGACTCTGCAGGGTCAATATATTTATAAGAATGCCAACTCCTATAACGCGGTTAGTGCCGTTCGTAGGCATGGCATAGGGGAGTCTGCTCACGCAGCGCAAGGGCCGCTCTCTGCCTCTCCGTCACCTACAATACAGGCAACAATCAAATCCGGCTTATCCATTATCGCCCCAAATGAAACGGCTAGAGAGTACCCAAGCTCCCCACCTTCATGTATTGCCCCAGGCGTTTCCGCATTGATGTGGCTATTAGAGTCAGTTATAAGAATTGCCTACCCATTGGGAAACAGCGAACCTTGGGAATCCTCCGGTGGTACTGAAGGTTGTGATCAGCTTTGTTAGACCGCTGGTATTCCGAGAATAGATATGATAAAACTTTTCTAAAGAGCCTTCTATCCAAAGACATGCGAGAATTGCAGGGGCTCCATGACCGGGGCCAATAACAGCCAGCATATCAAGACTATACTCGGATATAAGGTAATTGAGGTGAGAATAGATAAATATTAGACCAGGGCAGGTTCCCCAATGACCTTGGAGTTCGAATCATAAGCACTCGATATCGACCAGTATGATCAAGCATCACAAACGTACCCAATAGTCGGGGTTTGATATCATCGGACGTAAGTTTGCGGGTCAAGTAGGCATTGTCACGAAGAAATATCATTGCTTGGATATGATTAGACCCAATAAAAAAGTATATGACTGTTTTGGGCCCGACTTTACCTGCCGCAATATAGTTCGCAGCTCGACGAAACTTGGCCAAAGAATCGATGGCATACTTGCTCAAGGAGCCTGCACTCAATTGAACGGTAAGATCATCTAGGGATTCAGGTAGATGGGAAGGCAATGCCTTCGGATTCGGCTTGTCAATGACTTCGCCAGGCATTTTGGATTATATTCTGTTTATTTCGCGGGATTTTGAGAAGTCCGTGATTGCAAAGCGGTTTGCAAGGCGAACAAGCCATTTCGGGCAAAATTGGCATAGGCCATCATTCCAGTCCCTATCTGCGCGTATTTACAGCGCTCACCTAATTGTTATGTCATTCTGACATCAGAGGGTTGGAAACCAGGACGCCGTACGGAGTACTTCGTATGGTCAGGCGGGTGGCCATCGAGGCAAAAGCATATCCAAGTAGTATCAAGCATTGATGCCATAAATTGAGAATATCAAACACATCGATTCCGATCAATTGTATTGAAGGGTTAGCATGGCTAAGGCAATTCTTGCTATCAACGCCGGCACGTCGTCTGTTGGAGTGACAATCTTTGACGTCAGCTGTCCGCCAAGAGAGATCGCAACAGCAGCGATTGTCGGTATCACTTCATCACCCACTATCTTCAAATATTCGCATGGTGACAATAGAAAGAGCCAGGACATCAAAGAGCACATTGAAACCCCGCAGGATGCCTTCAGATACTTGCTAGCTCATTTTCTGGATGATTCCAAACTCACTGTCACTAAAGACAAAGCTGATTTTTCATATGTCTGCCACCGAGTTGTCCACGGGGGCGATTTCAACCAAGCAACAGTCATCGATACCAATACACTCCACTACCTGGAAGCTTTACGAGATCTAGCACCATTGTGTGTATAAAACAATGTTTTTGTCTAGCTCGTTGAACTTACTCGACCATCCAGACACAACACCCCATCTTTAGATATTATCCGAACATGCCTCGATGAGATTCCCGCTGCGAAAAGCGTGGCATATTTTGACACGACTTTCCATCGGTCAATACCTGACTACATAAAAACATATCCCATTCGCCAAGAAGTTGCCCGGTCAAACTGGTTGCGAAAGTATGGTTTTCATGGAATCAGTTATGAGTTTGTTTCTAGATCCGTTGCCGAGTTTTTGATGAAACCCCTGGAATTGACGAGCATCATTGCTCTTCATCTTGGAAGCGGTGCTTCCGTGTGTGCCATCAAGAATGGAAAGTCACTGGATGCTTCGTAAGTGATGCTCCACGGTATCCTAACAGGTTGGCTGTTTCTCACACTTGAGACAGAATGGGCCTCACGCCCCTTTCTGGGCTACCAGGCGCAACACGCAGCGGAGATATAGATCCAACGTGAGTTCTATTGATTGAATGTTTGAATGTTCTTGTGTTGATATATCCCAGGTTGGTCTTTCACTATACTTCGGAAGCAAGCAAAATAAGCACATCAAAAGACCTACATCTCACACGGGTATGGCTTAGACACCAAACCAAAAGCTTGGACTAATATCAGCCGCTTTTAGGCTGAAGAAATTCTCAATAGATCTGCCGGCTGGAAGGCACTCACAGGCACGACTGATTTTTCCAAAATAGCAACTGAAACGCCAGAGACCGATATGCACAAGCTCGCATTCGATTTATTCGTAGATCGAGTTGCCGGGTTTATTGGAAGCTACTTCGTGAAGCTGGATGGCAATGTGGATGCTCTGGTCTTCGCCGGCGGAATTGGCGAGAAAAGCGCTATGCTGAGAAAAGCTGTTGCCCAAAAGTGCCAATGCCTACAAGTCTCAATCGACCCGCAGGCTAATTCTGCTGACATTTCAGATGACTCGCCTACTGTTATTAACATATCCGAGAAGCCTCATCAGAGACCTGCAGTCCTCATTTGCCAGACTGACGAGGAGGTATGCCTCTTGTTACCCTTGGATTTTCTTGGTCAAAGACTTATGACCGTTTACAGTTTGAGATGGCATACCAATGTGCCAATAACCCTCCCTAAGTTTTGCTCTGACCTCATTCCACTCAAGGTCAAGTCCTTAACAGTAATGAATCGGCTAGTTACTTGATAGGCAGCCTATGATTTGGGCTTTGTACGGTAATAACTTGAAGCGCTTGTTTACTAGAAGCTCGTAGCCCTGCCTAGCCATAGTGATATATGTATGGATGGGACAGGTGCAGAAATAGTTCATGTTCAGAATCAAGTGATTTCATACAACCGTATGGTAGAAGACTTGGGTATTAACTTCCCTCGCTGTGGATGTCTAGTCGTACTGGTCATATTTTCTTGCAAAGAGCTTGACAGCTAGATGTGTTGCATTCGGTATTTGGGTTGCTAGATATACTCGAGGCAATGATGTTGTGAGCACTGACATATGATAAATTCAGCTACTATAAAAGAAGAGCATCCTAGATATTATCATATCTAAAAGTTTCTTATCCCTCTGAAGTAGAAACGCTTATGGGAGATATACCTGTAGACGCATAAAGCAGAGGACACCGGTATCAAGCATCTATTCTCTTCTCCAACTTTTCTTAACAGCTTCGATTATAGCACCCCGAGGCTTTTTTTTTTCTTTTTCGCTCTACATAAGTTCGAAAAGTTCCCCTTCCCAAAAGCTCCTATGGTAGAAGAACTGATATTTGCTCCGTAGCTAGCCGACGGCCTGGGTTTCACAGATGAGCACATCAAACTAGCTCAAAACAAACGTTCAGCGGCCTTAATTTCTGGAACTCTCCGTCTCACTCCCGGAGCTCCATAGAACCCTGAGGCTTTTTCCCCTAGGGCGTTTTTCCCACGGAGAGTTGCATCGTATGCGCATATGCATCCAGCCACGACGCTGCGTGTATAAACGGCAGTTCGCCTATCCACAGGCATGTTGTGTCCAACAAAATTTTTATTGCAAAAAAACAAAAAACAAAAACAATCAGCGTTGCTCCGAGCCAGGAGCCGATAACATACAACACACACGCCCGGCGGTAGCGATCTGTAGCACAGCATGCGGCTGCGAGAACCCCTCTGGTTCTCTCAATAATAATGGCCCGCTGCATTGCATCTGCCGTTGACCGAAATGTCCGAGGCCGAGCCGGAGCTGCGCTTCACAGAAGATTTGCGGTGTGGGCTCGCGCAGAGACCAGAAGGTGGGTGGTTTGCATGTATGCACCGATCGAAGTTGCTGCTGCAGGGCGCATGATTGTCCCCCCCCCAACGGCCCGAAGCAACAATAACTACTAATGGACTCCCTCTCGTTCGTCGGGGTTTCTTTTTTCTTTTGCCTTTTTTTTTCTTTTCTTTCTTTCTCTTGCTCTTCCTGCTGTAGGATCGACAGAGAGGGATGGACAAAACGGCTGATCGACGGCCGAAAAGTCAAATGTCGCGGGCGGCACAGGAATTGGGGTCAAGCCCATCATTTTTGCCGCTTTAAGAAGACGATCATTGGCTGGAGAAGAGGCCGTCCTTTGTAATTTGACGCATCAGAACCAAAAGAGGGCGGCAGGCTTGACGCGGGTTTATTGCTGATAATCGCAGGGCGTGCATCGAATCTGGCCAGAGGACTCATCAGACAGGGGATTCGACACGTAAAAATCACCAGCCGTTTTTTTTATTTTTTCCCAGGTCCAGCTATCGCAGCCAATAGCTCCCTCCTAGCTTCGTGATTCCCCCTTTGCCACTGTGCCCAAAGGTACATATACCCAGTCAGTCGGATTCCCACAGCTTACAAACCATATGTAACTACTCCATAACCAATACGCTCGTCGTCGTACGGCGGCCCATTCCAAGGCGGGGAACCGTCATCTCCGCCAGCGGTTTGACGGGGGGTCCTGCCAGTCGGGCGGAGAATTTTCCACGTCACACTCTGGCCGGGCGAGGCCTGGTTGCGGTGTTGCGAACTTGGCTGGCCGACGGGGGGAGGGGGGTGGGCCAGCCGGCCGACTCATGGGCAGGTTCACGATCGTCCCGGCTGGGCGGAAACCAACAAGACGTTCCGCAGCTTGAAAGGACCCTGGGCTGTGGGTTGGCGTTCGGGCTGGCAGGGCCAGGGTGCCCGCTATTAAAGCGACATTACAAAGGGGATGGTCGCAGGAGGTGGTGATATGGCTGGAAAACAAACGAGGCCCTTCGTATACTGAACCTGGTCAAGCTCGATGGATAGCTCTTCCGCCCAACAGCTCCCCCCTTTGGTTACGCCGTGCCGAAAATAGATTGCCAATTTGATCTATCGACAAAGGGCCCTTTTTTTCCCAGCTGCTGCTTCACTGACTGGCCAGAAGCCCTCCCTCCTTGGGAGGTGGTTTATCTCTTGTCGCGGAGCCCCGGCATCGTCACATAGTACGGGGGAGGGGCTTTTTTTTTTTTCGGTGGAGGAGGCACGTCAAGCGTTTTGGGTTCTCGGATGGCGGCCCGTCCGTACTAGGCTCGCTTGGATGAGCTTCACTATCGAGCAAGCTCCCCTCCACACACCACCGCGTCTCGCAGGCGAACGGCAAACTCTGATCGATTCATGACACTTCCAGCAACCGCCCCTTCGGGAAGGCAAACTAAGCCGCGTCGAGCCTGGGCTTCACTCTGGCGGCGGTGATCGCGTCGTGCAGATGGGGGGGGGGGGGAGATGTGACGGGGCCAACAAAACCTCATAACCTCAAGAGGCGCAGGTTAGGCCGCCTAGTCGCCGAACTACTTGGTGAAGATCCTTGTTGGGCAGCTGTGAAATCGCATATGAGCAGTATATCGGAGGCCGCGGGAATGAGAGTGCCTTGAAAGCGGCGCGTCATGACCGTACGGATACTGGCAGGTTCTTGCGCCAATACTGGGTAACCACCATAACGCCGACGACGACGACGACGACGCTGGGAACAGACGCGGTTTTTGTTGAGATGGGCTAGTCCGGCAGTCAGCCAACTAATCTCCAGGGCAGAGCCAGCCTGGTCAAATCCCATCCTGCTCTCCCACTTGGCATGTGGGCGGCGATCCTGTTGGCGTTTTGGCTTCCAACTCACGTCGCATGCTTGCAACCCCAACAAGGCCCCAGAGCAACAATAATAGTAATAAAACAATAAAAGCAGTTTGCGCTTCTTTCGAACAGTAAGCTCCTTCTCGTCGAAGATCTCGCTTGCGCAGCCCAAGACATTTTGGAGCCAGGGGCCCGGGGCGACGCGGCGATTCGATGTTTCTCGCGATCGGCCAATCGTCGACACAAGCTGTTTCAGGTTCCCATAACCCTGACCTGCTCAGCAGTTGGCGGGACCAGGGCGCGGGCGGGCGGCGAAAAGAGGAGCATGGTGATGGCGCGGTGGTGGTGGTCGTGGGCTTGTCGCGTTAACGTTTCCGCTCGAGCCATGGTCTGTCTGAGGCTCATCCGTGTGGGTTAGTTAGTTAGTTATGCAAGATAGGCTAAAGATAGCCGCAAGCAAGGCAGATTGAGCACGATCGATTTTCCTGTTCCTGTGTCCAATAATGCCGGCGCGCGCAACCATCCGCGGGGCGTAGAAAACCCGTGTTTGGGAGAAGCAAAGAAAAACCGGCGAAGTTCCGTGAAGAATAACAAATATAGAAAATAAATAAATCAATTAAAAAAAAAATGGCTCATTCGCAATCCCTATTATTGTTATTTCATTATTGCTCGATACTACATCCCGCTTCTCCTCAGGCAGAGTTGCACATCATCTCGAAGGTTTTCCTGGGGGGAGGGAGGGAGCGGCGTTTGGGTTCTCGACGGGCTGGCCCAGTAGTTAGGCGGCAAAACTTGGCGGGGTTCCAGCCTGCCTTGTCGATGTCTGCTCCGTCAGATTATAGTATAGATGTATGCGCTTTGGCTGACGACTTATCTCCCTCCCCCCCCAGTCCCAGGGCCAGGCTCAACAGCCAATTTGTGACTGCAAGGTGCCGAGGGCAATAACAGCACCCGCTATACACACGGGGAACGCCGAACCGCACGGCGTAAAAAAGGCAACAGGCCGTGTGCTACGCGACCAGAAGAGACTAGGCCCTGCAGTGGCAAGCTTGACGGGGGGACGGCGTTGGGTAAAACACTGCCGGCAGCCGTAATGATGATGATGATAGTGATGATTCCAGAACATCGCATGAAAAGCCGCGCGCGACTCAGCTGAACCACCGAATAATAATAATCCACGGCGATTCGTTGCTTTCGAAACCTGCGGCGCGGCGCCACATCACACGTATACGGTATTAGGTGGCCCGGTCCGGTGTACGGAGGACGGAGGAGTTGTCTAGTAGTAGTAGCATCTAGTCTGGGCTCTCGACCATTGACCTCCTTTGGTCTAGAATGTCTGTTTTGGGTTATGTTTCAGCCGTGGCAGACCAGTATTACGGTGTATTTTCCCAGCCACAAACGCACCTGAAATTCCCATAGTGCGCAAGAGCTAGCCGTTAGCCAAGTAACTACACAAGCGCGAGCGAAAAAGAAAAAGCAAAGAAAAACCATGGGAGCTAGCCGGGGGGGGCGCTGGTCTAGTAGTAGTACTATGAGTTCGCACCGGGATGAGTAGTGAGTCTGGGGGGGAAGACGGGCAAGGGAGAGAACAAGCACGTGTAATAGGAGGGGCCCTCCCATGTCCGCGACACAGGAAGGAATGTGACAAAAAACAAAAAAAAAAAAAAAAAAACATCTCCTGTCGCACCGCCACCACCGCCCCAACAAGTCTGAACGACGTGTGTGTCGCATGCAGCCCGGCAGGCGGCATTCTCTTCCCGTCGCAGCCCAGCCGGGCTTCTAGCGGGTTTCTAGATGGGCGTCGCCGCCGTGATAGGGCCGGCGCAACAACGTGGAGCCGGAAACCACACGGCTCGCGGTGGGGTTTCCAGGCACACTTGCGCGCTGATTGGGCCAGCAGCTCCCCCCCCCCCCCCCTTCCCCAGCCCGTGGGTCCACGTGATGCACACTCCACTTGCGAGTGGAGATCGGCGGGCCACTCACAAGGCGCGCAGGCCGATGACTCAGCGAGCCCTTTCGTCAGGAACACAACGGGGGGGCCAAGGCAAGC